TTAGTTAGCCATGTGCGGTTTTCCTGAATCGTACATGTCAGATTTCATGTCGTTCCACTATATATAAGATGCACCCATGAAGACAAAATTTTAGGGGTAAACAATTACAAATTTATAACAAAATTAATGAGCACCATGAAAGTAAAGGCCTGCGCACGATGCATGTTCAGTGTTTAAAGGACTCCTTACATTCCATATGGTTTTACAATCTGATAATAATAGTATGCAACATAGAACACCTCGCCTGTATTATATCCCTGATTCTATATCCAAGACATTGTGAATGTTTTGTGACTCAAGTTCAACAGAGCCGTCACAAGGGCCCCGCAAAATAGATACAATTATTCTTTTCAAACTTCCCTTGCCTGAAAAAAAAGGTTCATTCCTGTGTTATAAATATAGCCTTAACTAAATCGTTCTGTGGCAAAGACGTCAAGCCCCGCCCATCCCATCCCCATCGTGGCATCCTAGATCCGACGACGATTTCATGCAAGTTCCAACAAGCCAATTCGGTATTCGGACTGCACATTTGTTAAATATAGAACATTGGGGATAAATATAAGCATCGATCTTCAAGGCATGGTTCTTTGTCGTACTTTCTAAAATTAATTTCGGTTGGTGCCATGCACATTTTTAACCAAAAGTAAGCAGCGACCTTCATTACATGTACGTCATCAGTCATGTGATGTCTGTCTTTACCCCGCAGACTCGTGACCTTTGACGTGAACCTCTAAGTCTCGCGGGGTACTACCGAAGTGTTTATTAAATGTAGACGGTTTCATGCACAATCAACTATCACACAAAATATGTAGAATTGCATTATAAAACAAGTGCAAGGGGCTTCACGAACTACGTACTGCATAAAACGGATCAGTTTTTGTGAACCTTAGGTTACACTGAAAGAAACAACTTCAAGAAACTCATTGTTATAATAGTGCCTTGTGTCAAAATACAAATGTATAATCATTTAAGTGACTAGTAATATAAGAAGTATTATTTCAACCAGGAAATAAATAAGTGGAGCTACATATTAACCCTACACGAACAACCGCTTTGTTGTAAAGGTACATAATATAACCGCACAATACGGTACAAAGGTTTTGTAAATAAAGTTGAACTCTATGAACGTATACGCAGTTACACTGTTTCTTACACAAGACTAGTGGACACGGGTTTCACATAGGGATCGTCAAAACTTCCAGTATCCTTCTGAAGCACTGATCACAATAATTGCCCATGAGAAAAGAAAACATCCACTTGTAGATGAGGACATGGCGTCATCGTGCATTTGCCGCCTGAGAGGCGTCGTACTGCCGGCCTTGTTCTTGTGTGTCGTTTTACTTCCTAATAAAGGTAGGATTTTGAGTAAATGTAGTCTTATCTCTCACAATGGCTACCCGGATATAACATTGTAATATTGCAGTACTATTATCATTCAACCCTATAAGACAACTGTACCGCTGTTCGGAATTCTTGCTTGACCAAGTCGGAATTGTGAATGTATTTCTTGTTTCCAGGCGGTTCTGACTTTTGTTTTGTTTTCCCCCTTTTATTCATGATCATGGGCGTCGCGAGGGGGGGGGGGGGGGCAAGGGGGGGGGCACTTGCCCCCCCCCCCCCGGAAAAGCAAAAAAAAAAAAAAAGAAGAAGAAAAAAAAGAAAAGAAAAAGAGGCGCGAAGACAAAGTGGTGTAAATTTAATGATTGGGGGGGGGCAAAATGTCCCTGCCCCCCCTCTAAAACTGATAAATCGAGAATGTGTTGAGAAATACAAGCATTTTTTGGCAAAATAAACTTTTTGCCCCCCTCTAAAAAAAATCCTGGCGACGCCCATGTTCATGATTTCGTGAATTATTCAAGCACAGCGCCCCACTTTAAATGCACCGATTAACTTGGGATTCATGATGCAACCCGTAAAACCTTCAAAAAATATGTTCATTTACAATAAATCCCAGTCTGCTTCAATGAACAATTTCAAATTTGTAATTAAACATTCCCCAATGGTTAAAGCCATATTTAACCCCCAAAAATGACAGTAAAATATGGCTGAATTGTGCCTGCATAAATAGTCTGGCGCCATCCCATTACACAGTTAACAATTAATGAAATATATTCAGGGAACTCGACAAAAATGGCCAACTCGTGAAAAATGGCCCATGCGCAACCTCGTCCCCAGTGCTTATTTTATTTCCAACCTCGTTTCCAATAGTAAGCCCTGTTTAGGAAACTTTCTTCCTGTATCCTGATTCGATACCGCAATTTGCTAGTAATGGATTTATATCGTGTAGTTGGTGTTGTTATTTCCAACGTGCATTACGTGTTTTCACGTTAACTGTTATTATAACGTCCGCGCCTTCTCAAAAATACTCCTTTCTTTTCTACTTTGCTCATATTAATATGAAAAGTGATACTGCATAATATTGCGACAGATTGTAGCATTTTAACTTCCAAAAAAAATAGTGTTTACAAAACTCACGGCGCCACGAATTGATGCTGTTTTTACCCCAGACACCGCATGCAAAAACGCTGATGTAACGCACAGGTAGACACCAGACTACTCCTCAATTGCATACGTGTTCAAAAAATTTGCCTTGCAAGTGATCCAATACCAGGTTGAGAGAGCAGGTAGTGGTGGGCGCGTACTGCTCGACAATCTGGGGACCAGGTTGCCCCATGCGCGCATCAGTACCAGCAATGTGCATCCGACCAGAAAAGGAATCAAAGAAATTCAACAAATGTATGAAGTGCAATTCAAGAGCTGCACGCGACAAACCGCTTTGCTACGTGACTTTACAAAATAAAAGTCTCAGTGCCTCATACTATAGTTTTTCATGTCACACATGAAACTGAAAGTGCAAAAAATATTCACATATTAGGCTGCGCACACAACTCTTTGCATGCGGGTCATAGTCAACCCCTACATTTCACAACCAAATGTATCATTTGTAACTGGAAATTATCAACGATTTGCCTTGATAGTTTACTTTACACGGTTGAAATAAAATTAGCAGACGACAGTCACCAGTTTTCTTTTGCTTGTGCTCGATTTGTTCTCTCGACCAGTGGGAAAGAAGAGGTTACACAGGTCTACGATTCGCCATTAATTACAATTACAGGAACGGAAATAACCATTTAATATTAGTGTATCAGGGGCCCAGTCAGTGTTGTGATTTACATGCTAATAACACCCCGAGTAAGTCGAAGAAGCTAGCCAGAAAAGGGGAGCCAATTGTGTCAAAATTAGAAAATAGGTTTTCCACGTTGTAAACAATGAAAGAGGATTTCATGTTGTAGTCTCCCCACAAGGCGGACTTGAGAAAAAATGGTATGACAATAATCTTCACATTCCCGGGGAAGACAGTTCGATTGGAACGATAACAAAAGAAACTTGTTTGAAATACACCTGTCATCATCCAAAGCAAATGTTACAAAAAAATACAATTTGCCTTTAAAATCGTTCGTGTACAGCCTTGATATTGTCCCAAGAATGAGAATGAGGCTGATATGTACGACCTTCGTGCAGTAGGGTTTAAAATGCATTCTGATACATTGTATGAACTGGTAGTATTAGTCCAGGAGTTTCGGGGAGCTATTTATAGGAACCTATTTTTGCGATTGTCCCGACGTGCACGGAAGAAAACCAGGAAAGCGATATCCGAAACATGGTTGAAAGATGTTCAAGACCCCTTGGTTCAAATGAAATACTACTCACTTGAAGGTATATGTAGACAAGATAAAAGAGGTGGTGGTGTGGCTCTGTATATCAAGCATGATCTTGTTTATAAAATACGTCATGATATATGTGTTAACAACCAAGATATTGAGTCATTCTTCATAGAGCTAATCGGCATTAGTAATAGAAATATAATTGTCGGAGTTGTATACAGACCACCAAGTGCCTCTGTTGATAATTTTACTGATACCATGAATGAAATGTTAACAAGTCTTACAAATGAACACAAAAAATGTTATATTATGGGTGACTTTAATATTAACTTGCTACATTATAGCAGTGATAGCTCCGTACAGTATTTCATTGATATGTTATCTTCCCATTCGTTTTATCCAACTATTACTAAACCAACAAGAATTACTCCTCATAGTTCTACTTTAATAGACAATATCCTGACAAATGACTTCCAGAATCATACAGCTGGCATTTTAGTAACTGATGTAAGTGATCATTTACCTGTATTCTTGATTGCAGAAAAATCCAAACCCATTGAACGAAATGTAAACAAGCAATTTAAGCGTAACTTCGGTAGTGATGATATTTCCCAGTTTGTCAATGATGTAAATTCAACTGACTGGAGTTATTTATCATCTTCGGATGATTTAAATGATGTATACAACAGATTCCTACAAACTATAATTAAATTGTATGACAAGCATTTTCCATTACAAGAGGTTAAATGCCGATATGATAAGTGCAAGTCTCCCTGGCTTTCTAATGGTATCTACAACTCGATAAGGAGGAAAAACTTCTTGTATAAAAAATTCCTTAGAAATCCTAATCCTCATAATAAATCCATTTATACCTCATACAAAAATAGATTGAATACTTTGAAACGAAATGCGAAAAAAAATTATTTCTCAAAGAAATTCGGCCAGGAAAAGGGCAACATTAAAGGGACATGGCGTTTAATTAATAACCTACTTAACAAGGGTAAATCGAAACCCAACCCGTCTCATGTAGTCCAAGATGGCGTACAAATAAATGGTAATGAAGAAATTGCCGACACATTTAATGAGTATTTTGTAAATATTGGAACTCAACTTGCAGACAAGCTACCATTATGTAATACCGATTGTCAGTCTTTTCTTAAAGACAGATGTTCACATTCTCTCTTTTTAACACCAATAACAGAAGAAGAGATTGAGGATACCCTCAACCAAATTCCAGGTAGTAAGGCACCTGGCTTTGATGACTTAAGCCCTTTTGTTATGAAACAAGCAAGGAGTAGTCTTTCAAAACCACTGGCTAAAATCTTCAATAAGTCCATGGCTATGGGAGTTTTTCCTGAAGGGCTAAAAACAGGTAAAGTTATTCCAGTGTATAAAGGGGGAGATGAACATGAAGTTAGTAATTATAGACCTATTTCAGTTTTATCTACATTTTCTAAGGTTTTCGAAAAGTTAATTTACAAAAGACTTATATGTTTTATAGATAAACACAATATTTTATCAGAATCTCAATTTGGATTTAGGTCAAACCGCTCCACCGAGATGGCAACTTCTTATGTGGTAAATAGACTTCTTGAGGCCATAGACGACAAAAAGATCGCTATCGGTGTATTTTTAGACTTGTCTAAGGCATTTGATACAATTAATCATGATATCTTGATTTCTAAATTAGAGCACTACGGAATTCGAGGAATAGTTTTAGACTGGTTCAAGAGTTATTTGTCAAAAGAAAACAGTTTGTATCATTCAATTCTGCAAAGTCTACATGCAAGACTATTACCTGTGGAGTCCCGCAAGGTTCTGTTTTAGGACCACTTCTATTCATTCTGTATATAAATGATATTTGCAGTACATCAGATGTAATTGAATTTACTTTATTTGCTGACGATACAAGTTTGGTGTATAGTCATAGTAATGTAGATGCTGCTGTAAGTAATCTTAATCATGAATTTCTCAAAATAAGCACTTGGTTGGTAGCAAATAAACTTTGTATTAATCTACTTAAATCAAATTATATCATTTTCTGTCCTAAACAAAAGAAATACGCACAAACCATTCCTTTAAATTTCAATGGTACTATCATGAAACAAGTCAAAACAACCAAATTTTTAGGTATACATATTGATGAAAACTTAAATTGGAAATTTCACATTAATACCATATCTGGCAAAATATCCAGAACTGTAGGGATTATGAATCGCCTAAAGTTTTTTGTGCCGGAAAATATCCTTATCATTCTCTATAATTCTCTGATTCTCCCTTATCTTATTTACTCGATTCTCACGTGGGGTGGTTGTTCTTCCCAATGTGAAAAACTACTAATTTTACAAAAAAGAGCAATTCGTATTATATGTAATGTCAGTTATCGTGAACACACTACTCCCTTATTTGCTGCCCTCAAGATTTTACGATTTAATGACCTTTATTACCTAAATTTAGGTAAATTCATGTATAAATATTCAAATAATTTACTCCCATATTGTTTCAACAATTTCTTTACTTTCACCTCGAATATTCATTCATATAATACAAGAAGCGTTTCAAAGCAAAACCTTTACGTTTATTCCAGTAGAACGTCAATGTTGAAAAACGGCCTTGTCCACCGGGGCATTGACTTTTGGAACAGGCTGAGTGATTCAGTTAAATCATCGTTAACTTTATCTACATTCACCAAAAAAATGAAAACTCAATTGCTTAACTCTTATAATGTCTGATGAATAATTATTTTTACTCCTGTTTGTTTTGTTATGTTCCTGTTTTGTCCCTGCGTTTTTGTCCCTATTCGTAACTTGTATGGTAATAGTAGGTATTTGTCCAAAGGTTGGGGTACAAAAGCTATGCTTCACCCTATACCTAACGTTGTTCCAGTATGTATGTTGTTGATTTATGATAAATGTTGGTTTGAATTCAATTTATATCCAGTTATAATAATGGAATTATAACATTAATTTTGTGTATTAATGAACAACGTTGAATAAATGTCTAGCAAATTGAATTGAATTGAATTGAAACTTCGATTTTTCCGCAAGCCAATCAACCATTTCATACTGAAAGTATCGATAAAATAAAGCCGTGGTAAGTCAAGCTATACCATTTTGTTTTCAAGTAATGCTATTCGAGAACGAGAACTTTGATGATCGAGTGCGAGTGCCGTTATTTCCAGTACATGTACTTTGAAATTCGAGTACGAGTATAAGCACGAGTACTCTTGAAAAAAAATACTCGAGTAGTACTTGAGTACGAGTACCAAGTATGAGTACTACAACACTGCCCCAAGCTACATGAATCAGCAGAGGCAAAAACCGGCAAAACCAGGTTCAACACCATGACTCTTGGACTATATGGACACTGTTAAATAATATACTTTAACACAGGTCTGGCTCTCAATCTGCGGAACAAGCCGACTAGTCAGAGTACAACGTTTGCAGCTGATGTGCCTGCGGAGAATGCAGTAGATGGCGATCGAGGCACCACATCACATACAAGTAAAAGTTGTTTACTGTTTAAAAGGGGTATCATTCATTGTTATATACTGGCAATCGTGGGCATCAATCAGTGTAGGCATTCAGGTTGGGGACGGGGGACATCCCCCCCCCCCCCACGCGCACCGTGTCGTGAATTTCTATACGCTCGAGGACAATGCTTTATATTTCCCTTTGTCACTGTAACACCCTCTAAAACTAAGCACATAACCGTACGATCGAGGACCGTTTTCAACAAAAGACCCAAAAGTCGAGGACTGAAAGGATCTTTTTTCTCCCTTTGTGTGTTCGTCATCTATCGTAAAGCCATATGTACACATAGACAAACGTGTGTGTTTACCTGCAATCGTGGACCCATTATTGTCCCTCTTTTGTTTGTACTTTTTAGGAAGACCTCCAAAATGTTTTGCACACGATTGTCAATTGTGGACCTTCGGGAATTGTGGACCCTATTGTCCCCTATTGTTCAACGTCCCCTATTGAATGTAATATACACTCACCCCACACACACACCTTTATTAGTGAAGTGATCGATGCCCATGTTGGTAATGTTTCATACAAGGTTGCCTTTCCACTTGTTTTATTAATTCTAAGGATAGAAGGTCCCGTTTTAGATGCGGGATTTTAATGTACGAAAACTTTATGTTTGTGAGTGCAATGATAAAACCTTCAAAAGGTGACAGATGGAATGCTCCGTTCCACGAGTCCAAATGGAACGAAAATAAATGGAACATTACATAATCACCGAATGACATTATTCTTTCCACTTATGAAACATTTACTTTTTTATACAAAACCTCAATAATTCCAAAAGTATAAGTGTGACCCGTGCAGCGGATATTCCATTTACCGTGGAATAGAACTGTTTTTGCTGTCGGGCCGTGCGTTGAGACGAATAAATAAATGGCACGTGATCAACGGCCCACCAATCCGATGACGGGGATTAATTCAGGTGTTGCCTACAGATATTATTCAGGCTTTTCAAAACGGGGTTGTCGTAATTCGTATCAACTGCGATAGAAAATTGCACAAAATAACAATCTGAAGCTAATTGGACGTCTTTGATGTTGTTACATTTCTGTTTGATTGTCCTCTATTCCAGCTGAGATGTTATAAAGCTTTTGGTTTGGTTTTGCGTCATTCATCCGTTTGGCTAAGGGCCACATTATCCAAACACATCAAAACAAACAACCGAAAAACGTCTCACAAAGAGCGCCCCGCATAATAAATTACAGGGGTTACACAATATTTCACAATCAATTAACTTCATAATTAATTACGGATGATTTGTGACGTGATGTATTGTCTTCTGTGATTGTGCAAGCCAAACAAATATGGGTTTCGTTAAAAAAAAAAACAGGGATGTGGTCAAAAACGGGTTTATAGAATCCCGCATAGTCTCAATTTTGTGGGGTTTTTTTTCTTCTATCGAACCGTTCCAAATAATGTATTGTCAACAGTGATTGTGCACGCCAAAAACAAAGACAGTAGCCAAACGATGGTTGTGGCCACAAACGGGTTAATAGAATCCAAAAGTTAATGTAAAATTTGGTGTTGATTTTCTATCGAAACCATTAAAACAATTGCCTGTGTAGACTTTTCACAACACTAAAATACCACCGTGATTTGTGACATGTCCTGACGGTAACTTATGCCTAATAAGCAGTTTTGGAAAACAAACCCAATAAAGACTCGACATTTGGCATGATTAACAAAATGTTTGACGACACAATATTTTGGCACTTTCTCTATACGGGGCATGGCGAAAAACCCCAGGGTTGGGAGATTATATCCCTCCCCTTTCTTTGACCTGGTTGGGTCATTGTATTATCCCCCCCCCCCCCAGTTTTGTAGTGAGAAACAATAAATGCTGAATTTGAGGCTGTATTTTTACATTTCAACCGTCCTAATTTTTATATAATTATGAAAAACGGAGAAGGAGCACTACAAAAGCTTACAATACACTGTTGGTCTGCAAGGTTCAGTGCCCAACATGTACATTTTGAATTTCCATGATTTTGGGATTTTGCCGTTTGGTCATCCACAGTCCCCCACTTGCCGACACAGATTTACGCAACTGGTACGAGATGATAATATGTGGAAGGATATATTATTTATGTTATAGAGGAAGACCCGAATCAATGGTGGAGAGTAGATCTTGAGGCTATCTACTGCTTGAAGAAAATTACAATACTCAACAGAGTCGATGGCTGGGGTAAGTTTTCTCTACATGCTCTTCCAAGCCACGTTTGTCGATTAGAAAAACAAAATCCTTCTTTTTTGCATTCGCCTTCATCATTATCAAACGCAGTGTAGGCCCATATAGGCCTACGCAAAATCCATTTCGTTTCCAGATATGGGGGTATTTCGATGGCACAGTTAATTTAGAATTTGTGTTAAACATAATAGTGATGCAATTTTGTCATTAATTTAGTTCAGCCGAACTGACTCAGGTGGGCATTTGCACCCGAAGTTAAGTTTCATTTTTTCTTACGTCGGAAATCGGTTTTGCACACAGGATTCGAAAATAGTAGGCCTACAAAGTCCAAAACATGTGCTTTCGGGAAATACATTTTAAAACGTCCACACATAAAAAACGAACCTGTTGAAGCTTTTTATAAGCAAAATACAAATATTAAAACATATCTAACTTTATTAGAGTCCATTAATGGGGTTCTTGAACTACTAGGAAAGTGCAAAGACCGTGGGTCAAAATAATCCGTGGGTCAAAATAATCTTGGCAATGATTACTTTACGGCGTTACAAATTACTGCAGGTGGCCGATTGGCAGGTGCTGTAGTGCGGGCTGGTTTGGATCCATCAGATTTCTCACAGAACACACAGATAGGAGATGCAGTCACAAGTTCTCAAGCAACTAACGGAGCAGTGATTGATTTCATCGCGGATCCCATCGTCTCCGCTCGATACGTCAGTGTGAAAAAAAATGCAAATGGTTTTGTGTGCTTGGCCGAAGTCATGGTGGAGGAAATCCAAGACACTGAGGAGACTTCTACTGTTGAAGGTAAAACGAATGAAAATTATGGTTGCAAGCAAAGATGGTATAATTATTCTGCTGTTTTTAACGATTTGTCATAGTCACGAGGGAAATGACATCGTGCTTCACGATACAGTTTCAATATCTCCAACATTTCGCATAATGAATATTTTCCGGGAAAAATATTAAACATTGAACTACGGATTTTGAACTTCACAAATGATAAAGATGTTTAGTTGCTTTAATTCTTTGGCGAATTACTAAGAGTATCGAAGTTGGTCTTGGGTATTAAGGTCGAGCCCATGCATAAAAGCTGTTATTGATGGACTGTTTATTTTTTTATTTATTAGGGCAAGTTGATGAGAAAGTTTACACTGCTTAAAATAAGTTGAAAATTTGTGAAATCATTGCAGATGCAAACACCGAAACCTCAAATGTGGTATTAAATAAGAGGGGACAACAAAACATGCCTTTTATTTGCTTTGTGTGCCTGTGAGCTAGATGGGATATAGAATGGTGTACTGATGTCAAAAGTGGGGGTGTGGGGGCTAAAAAAAATATGGATTTTAGGGTGGTCTTTTTTGGCATCTTGTTATTACATGCAAAATGCAAGTGTTATTGTGATGTTTTGTTTTAACTATTTGCCATGGCCTTTTCTGTAACCTGAATTACCGACAAAAAATATTGCCAAACCAACAGAAGTTTATTTAGATGGCCTCATTTTGTAGATTAGTCATTTAACTTCAAGGAACATTTTTCCTTTACGAGATCTTCAGTGAGAAAACTCCACTCTTAATGCCTTGAAGTCAAAGGATAATAGCAAAGAGTTGACAGAAGACACACTTAAAACGTAACACGAGTTACCACGAAATTGCTCATCAGTGAGCCTTGATTACTTTCATTTCTATTTATACAATAACGTATGAAGTTTTAATTCAATTGGCTGCCGCCAATGAAAAAAAAAAACGTGTGTTACATTGCAAAAGTTTCTAGGCTGAAAATATAAACTTTGAATGGACATTGTCGGCAGTGGGGGGATGGTTGGGAAAACTAAAGCGATTAACCTGACCCCACTGCTGCAGAGCTCTTAACACCTTTGTCCATATTATTAGCATATAAATAACCTGTTAATTACAATATATTGCTGATTGATTGATTGATGATATGTTCCTTTTTAACACAAGTTGTATGAAAAAAATTGAGGTTCAGCCGAAATTTACTTTACGTTTTTTTTTTTTTTTTAGGGTATTCAAACGCTTTCTATGTGTAACATTCCAAAGACTATACTTTGACATATTTTGTATTACGAGAAAAATCCCTTAAAATATTTAGATGAAAATTTAATTTGTTCCGATCCAACAGTCCTATGGCAACGTTAAAACATTTTAATGCATTCATTTAACTTTTCAGAAATCGGTGTGGATTTTACTCTGGTTGCCAACCCCGCTCGTCTCGGCCAGACTGGAGACGACAATGCAGTCATCCAAGCTTACAAGGGTTCTACGTATGCCTCAGCTGGGATCATCTTCGGCAGACAACTGACCACAGGAGGTAGCAATGTCGAACTACCAGCAGGATCGATGGTTATGGATGATCCTCAGACAATATGTAATGTTACATTGTCCAGTACGTTACCTGAATCAGCGGGGATTGACCGAACGGGTGTCTTCTACGCTGAAGCAGTCAAAAAAGAAAACGTGACCAGGATACAGACAATCATATTGAACAAAGATGGTAAGCTGATATGATGGCAAGGAAAAGTTGTAGTCTGATATCAAGCACTGCATTTTATTTCAAATATACATCCATCTGTTTTTGTTGTTACTTCCTCATACCGTCGTTTTATTTTATAGTTGTATTTACAGACTATGGAGCTGGGGATGCTTTCCTCACAAAAGATTGTAACAGGTGAGTTCCATGGTTATTACTGATTGTTGCAATGTTTCGTGATTTCATTGCAGACAGCACAGTCCATACACGACCTACACAGCGAACACAGATTGCCAACATCGGAGAGTCGGTGACACTTCAGATGGAGGATGTGAATTCACCTGCTAACAGCAACTACAGATGGAGGCATAATGGCGGTGACGTCATCGCAGCATGGAACAACCAGCTAAATGCGAATATCGATAACGTTGCTGTAGATGATGGAGGCATATACAGCTTTTCTGTCGCGGACCAAGAAAGTCAACAACTTCATGGCTTCATGAGACTCATCGTGAGAGGTGTGTCTTTCACATTTCTGCCCATAACTACCTTAACTTATAAGTTCTTGTTTTCCAAAATAATATAATTATTGCGATCATTCCATAAACAGGTTGTCCTGCGGGTATGTGGGGCCCGCCTTCATGTCAGAACACCTGTCGTCGATGCTACAATGGAGGTATCTGTGATGACAAGACGGGAACGTGTATCTGCGCTCCAGGATTCAGCGGAGAATATTGCCAGCAAGGTAATTCGTCATATCATTATATTTTGTATGGCGAACATTAAATCCTTCTTGTGAACAACTTGTTTGGCTGGTTTAGATATAGTTCAATTTGATATGATATGAGTATGTTATTCTCTTACATTCAGTTCACGGGCGTCATGTCTTTGGCCAGAATGCTAGCCATACCTGTTCTGATAGCACTGATCCACACAACGACGCTTGCCGGGGTCGTATGTTTTGTCTTCCTGATCCTTACGGATGCTCCTGTGCTGCTGGGTATATGGGACTAGACTGTATGCAAGGTATTATGGAATTATCAAAATCTTGTTAAGTGGTTTTTTTTTCTACACTTCTTTTCACTAGTTTTCCTATTCAGGCAAGGGTCTCCGAATTGTGAACAGATGACATGAAACTGGTTGTTTTGTGAAAGCGGATTTTTTTAATAGCAAAGATGTTCTGCAAAACAGTCGCTGCTGATTAGTTTTACTGTCTCGCTGATTCGTCCCCGTATATAGGGTAAACACTTTCTTTTGTCCCAAGTTGTCCACTTTTATTCAATTGACTTTTTTCACATTAGAATGTGCTGAAGGGAAGTATGGAGCCGACTGTAAGCAGACATGTCACTGTCCATCTGGAGATTCCTGCGAGAAGGATACGGGAGAATGTAATGGAAGTAAGATAATGTTGCTTTGTATTACAACTAAGCTTGTTGAAGCGGGGGTTTTTGTGACAATGCGAAGCAAAAGTTAGTCAATCTTTCAAACGTGAACTTAAGTTGTAACTTTAAGTCGAGTCTCCCAAAACTCTCCCTTTGGTACCGTTGAGGGGGTATTTGTGCACGGAGCTCATAAGGCAGTAACAACTAACAGGAAACTTCAAATTGGATGTGTACCCAGCTGCTTTTCTGACTTCAGCTATATGGTGAGGTTTATAGAACTGCCTTTGTTAAGTCAAAAAACTGGACAAACAGAACTTAGTTACAACTATAGTGTAATATGAAATGCAAAAGGATATTTACTTATTAACAATGTGTATTAATGCGTTACATCCGCTATACTAACATATACTAACGTTTACAGTCTTCATATTTCATTCCAGATTGCATACCACCATATTTCGGAAGTAACTGCCAGTGTTCTAGTAAGTTTGTTGAATCTCTTTCACTATACCCACTTATCTTTAATCTAAACAGATATTATTTTGCAGATACACGTTGACGGGAGAGTTACCAGCAAGACAAGACAAGCATCTCATAGTTGAAATAGAAACAATTAGAAGACGTTTGTGCAGATTATTATGTGAGATGACACCTTTAAGAGGAAGGTGATGGATAAAACGGCAAACAAAGAAGCATGACATATGAATGAAGAGGCCACGTCTACAATGGCTAAACATGTGTGATATTATGCTATCAGTGACACTACTTCAGCTTCAACATTACCTTTGGCGGATCATTAACTGATGCTTGTAATTGTTACACCCTTTGTCTAATTGTAGCTGACAATGGCGTTCTGGGGCTAACAGTGATTGCAGACGATCCAAAGCAACTCCAAGTTTCCTGGCAACCAGATGCATGTGTCTCTGGCTACATACTGGAGTATGCATTGACAAACAGGGGCCAATGTGAAGAGATTGAATCTCCACAGTGGGTATCACTTCCAGGTCTACTCGATGGTCAAACTACCAGTCATGTCATCACTGGTTTGATTTCTAGTTCAACCTATATGGTTTACATTCGCCCACAGTACAGTGGTACGCCAGGACCCAATTCGACGACATCTGGAACCACACTAAAAGATGATAGTGAGTAGATCGAACCATTTTTCCTCACATCCATAACTAAATGCAGCAATTTTGCTATATGGTCATTTAGCTGTAAGCGCTCAAAGATAATTTAGGACAACCTGCGATTAAACGCTCCTTTGGTTGTCTCTCTTTTTCTCCAGATCCATCCGTTTCCCCTGTGGTGGTGACTTCCTACGATTCTACCAGTGTCACACTCAGCTGGCGTGAGGTGTATTGTGCCAACTACTCCGTCGAATACGCACTGCAAAACAAAGATGGTTGTGAAACTATCGACCAGCTAAACTTCATCCAGCACTGCATGTGTTCTGGAAGTAATTCGACGGTAATACCAAATCTCTTGGTCAATTCGGTTTATGAGATACGAGTCCGCGCCTTTGTTGATGGAAGCGGCGGTCTACTTATACAACGGAGCGTTACAACCGGTACCAAAGGTAAGACTATTTTCTATGAGCCAAACTGTCAATGCATTGTGTACTGACTCCCTGGGCCCTGGCTCAGTTTGGCACCATAAACAAGCAGATGTGGACCAACTTAATTCAATCTGATTATTTTTTTCTTTAGAACCGTCTGCACCACCACAGCAAGTGACCGTCACTTCAACGGCGAAACGGAGCCTGAATTTCTCCTGGAGAAAGCCAGCGTGTGGAAGCCGAGGTGGCAACATCACAGGCTACTCATACAAGCTGAGTGGACCAGGGTCACAACTCATCTCAAATGTATCGACAGCTGAACAAGTTGAGATAGATGGCTTAATCCCCTTCACTAACTACAGTTTTCAAGTTGCCGCAAACAACAGTGTTGGGGTAGGGCCGTACAGTGAAGTTGTCGTTCAGAGAACTGATGAAGCAGGTGTGTGCTGTTTAAAAATACCATGAACAAAACCTTGATCAAAATTCCTTGTTATTGGGTGATTTTAGCCATTGTTTACTAACGCTTGCATATTTAAACTGATTGCTTAACCCTGATTGCTTGATTTTTTTAACAATATTCAATAGAGCCCACAGTACCCTTGAATGTCGCTATTCAGAACGTTGATGACGTATCCATCACTCTCCAGTGGTCAGAGCCCGACCCTCCCCAAGGAATCATCATCCATTACAACGTTAGGTACTGGAGGAGTGAACAGCCAGGAAACCAAACGCTTATCAACGACGTGGTGCAGTTGATGCATGAGATCACAGGCCTTGAAACAAATGTAGCCTACTTTTTGCAGGTACCAACTTTGTCAGTTCCAAACGGCAATATCAGAATCTGATAGGTACCATTAATGTCTACCGTACGGAGAGCAGTGGTGTAGAAGTGTCATTTTTATTGAGGGGTAGACGTGAAAAAGGCCACTTGCCTCATCTGTGCTCACATGTAGACATACAGGTGGGTTTTTTACCGGTCACCCAACTTCAGTAAACCAAAACAGTGGGGAAACACACCCTCTTCCTGTGTTATGAGGCTGCTTTTCAAAGCAGAATATCACGGACGTTATCGGGCAATATGTGGTGCTTTTCAGGGCGGCAATATTGCCGACGTTTGCCAAGTTGCAGAATGGTCACTCTTGAAAAAGGCACCTGTGAAAAAAAGGGCACTCGTACCAAAATATTGGGAGGCGAGGGGACGATCCTCCCCCCACCCCACCACTAGTGCAGAGTCGATTCGGTTTTATATTGGTAAAACTGAAGACTTTGATTTATGTTAATTCTCTATTAAGGATGCGGTTTAAAATGATAACTAAACCATTCATAACTTTCATTTAAAATAAGTGGTTTTACTGCCTGCAGGAACAGGGTGATCATTTACTTCAGTGATGCTGTAATTCTCGTTTATTCAAATGTTGTTAGGTACAAGCTGAAACGTCTGTTGGTGTAGGACCATGGAGTGCGAATGTCACTGCGACCACCCAAATCGGAGGTATTGTATTCACTGCAGAAGTCTGATATTTAATTTTACTATATAATACGATTCTATGGCGAAAATATTTTATTTTCTTGAGCTTTTTTTACGAAATGGAAAAGTAATGGCATGCAGCGTCGTTACTTTGCGAGACAAGTTACATGGTATGGACCATTTTATCACTGTACTTCTTGGTTATATTGCTGCGGGGTTTTTTTTTTTGCAATTAATTTCCGTTCAAGACTTAATTAATCTTTTTTCATAGATTCATTAATGTTTAGGTTTTCTTATTGACTGTTGTAAATGTGACCTTGCAAGGAGTATATGAGTCATTAAGGCAAACAAAAATTATTAATACCCACCATTCGTGTATAGTTTTGGTTCCGTCATACGATTCCTTATGTGTCCTTATTGCGATATTTGACTATAGATCTTAGTCTGTCGTCATACGAGTGCTCATCACAAAGGTAAGTCCATACTTAGTTTAAAAAACGATAACAAGGAAAGATTGTGAACCATTCTCTACTGACTTTTCCTTGTCATTTCTCCTGGCAGTGCCTGGGCCCGTACGAAATCTTCGTTGGACGAATACGAACGAGTCGTCAATAACTCTAGATTGGGACGAACCTCTCAAACCAAGAGGCAGCATTTCCCATTACATAGTAAGTATTTCAATAAACAAAGCCATGAATAAGTAGTGTTTGCGAGTCCCAGAGGGCCAGCCTACAATCCTCGCTGTACCTATCTCACTGCCCGACCGACCGACCGACCGACCGATTGATCGATTGACTCACTGACAGTCACTTGTGAGCAGGTCATTCTCAACCAATTCGGGCTATTCACAATGCTGTGCGCCACCAAGAGTTTGCCATGGAGATTCCATTTTTAAAGTTAACGGTCGACAATCACGGCCCATATGAATGAAGTGTCAGTAGACAACTTGAGCTATGATTTGTTATAGATTGGGACATAGCGTTCTGCCGCCTTACAAAAAGCATGATATAAATAAAAAGAAAAGAAAAGGGCAAACATATACTCGAATCGTACGCTTACGAAACTACTGACCGGAAATAAGTAACAATTTCAAAGGTGCGGCGCGGCGAATTTGTCGACCATCTCCCACAATGTACTGGGAAAAATGAACTATCTGTGGCAAACTCATGGTGGCGCACTGCATTGTGCATCGCCCGAATTGAATAGAGGTTTGTACGTGGGATGAGACTCAGTTTCATTTTCATTTTCAGTTTCATTTGAGAGACATTTATAGTTCCTTGATCGACAAACAGAGTTATCAGGGTCACACGTTGACCCTAACTACACGCACGCTGTTAAATAAAGGTCCAACATTTCCTTAATTCTCAATAAAGTATCGTTATTTCGTCTTCTATTTATTTGCATTATAATTACATAACAAGGAATATTGATCATATCCTGAATACCAAATATGTAAATTGTTTTTACAACTACAAATGAATTCTTGATTTTTAAGGTAAGGTACAGGATCTTCTCTCCATCGGAAGACTACAATATGGATGAGGTTGAGAATTCACCATTCACAAAGAATGGGCTAGATCCAGCCACTGCGTACGAGTTCAACATTACGGCTCAAAATGAGAAATTCGAAGGATTCCCCCACATCTTGGTGGTTTACACGAAACCACAATCAAGTAAGATACCATTCATAAGATGGAATTTTTGCGTCGGGGAGTAAGACACCAGTTTCTTCATTTATTCTTAAAAGCCCCCAGTCAGATTGACCCGAAACAGAGATATATGTTTGACCCACTTACTGACTATTAGGCAAAAGAGACTGTTTTCCGGGTCAAATTGACACTTCGTTTGCTCATTTACCGAGTCATTAGACCCGCTAACCTTGCAAAGTGTTGTTTTGATCCAGAAAAGTGTCATTTTTTTATGAGGCAAAAAAAAAAAACAGGATTCCGGGTCAAATTTGACAAGGGACCTTTCAGAGTGTAGAAAGTAACTATAAATAGTTCTTTTTAATACATGGCTAGTCCGTATTGTGTGGCATACCACTCACATTTGCTATCGGTTTGTGGACCAGGTAGCCTGGTAAGCTCAGTGGTCGAGTTGCTACCACGGCTGCCCTAACTAGCAGGTAGCGATGGGTTAAATTGTTCCTGCAACCAACATGTTTTTTTTGTACATGGATTTTAGTGAAAGGTATAGGATGTGCAAAATGTAGACCGTATGTGAAACCAGGTTAGGGCCTACTGTACTTTATAACCAATTCAACAAATGAATGAAGTCTATGGAGGTATAATGCATTATAATGTTGGTCTATCCCACAACAAGTAACACCTCAATTTTCTTCATTATTACTACGTCTATAGATACTCTGAAACGCAGATACGGTTGTATAAAATTAAAACAATTTTAAAACTCCCTTTGAACACTTGTTTTAGACCCTGCTGCGCCCCCTAAACCACCTTCCTACGACAGCGAAGCCACAGACACTACCGTGACGATCGGGCTGACGAAACCCACCACCGGGGGCCAATTCGTGGAGTAAGTATGAATCCGTACCTTGGACAAGGTGTATGAAACGCCAAGACCACCTGGAATTGGCACATAAACATTGACTCTTATTGACAAATTAAGGTTTGCTCAGTTGTCTCGTAAAGAGAAACTTCAAGAGAGAAATTTAGAAAAGTGTTAATTTTCAATGCGTGAATTTCGTAGTTTCTGTCGACGAATTATCCTTAAGGCATCCAACCGAGGTTCAAAGTATTTGTTTGATGTTAGGCCAAAAAAAATAAGTCGGTCTCTGGTCAGCGCGCGCGTCGATTTTAATCATGCGCGTCAACCTTTTTTTTCTTCAAATTGTCCACGGTAGCTACAGCAGCGCCCTCTATTGCCGCACCTCCTCAAATGTTTGTACCAAGGAATGGGGAAATTGCACCAAGGCAAATGATAAAGGGCACCAAGGCAAATTATGGAGGTCCCCAATGTATATGAGGACACAACAAAAGCAAAAAAGTACCCACCTTGTCTGTACAATCCAAGCTTCCAAAAAAAAAAAAAAGACCAAAAAAAAAAAAAAACAGCCGCGTCGCCGCATCAATTCCGGAACTTTGGTCTGACCAGAGACCGAGTATTTTTTTGGCATTAAAAAGGGTAACTACTGGCGAGCTAAGTCCGAGTTAAAAAGGTAATGTGTCTATTTTATAGATGCCTGCTATGGAAAATGACATTTTTTACAGTTAAACAAAATAAATAATATGATCGTAAAGATACTTGGGGGTTAAAAATTGATATATTTAACTTAAATTGGAAATTCCTAGTCTTTTTTCACAAGCGGGTTTTAATCACGAGTGCCCCTTCTTAACGTCGTGCGAACGTCTTTAATTGTGCCGTTACGAAAAGCGCCACCTATATTCCGATAGTGTCCGCTTTGAAGGACAACCCCGCAGAAAAAGGGTGTCAATACCCCCCCCCTCCCCTTTGTAATGTGGCGGATGCCAGGTGACCATTGAAAAAAAATGGGCGCCAGCCCCCCCCCCCCCTTCCCCCAAAAAAACCCAACTAACATCCCCCAACTCTCCCCCTAACGGCAGGCCACGTTGCTGGTCTTGGGAAATGATGATTAACAATCAATACAATATTTCCCCTCAGGTCATACGTTGTCCGAGTCAAGAGAGTTGGATCGGTGGTCAAGAGAGATATACTGGTCCCGAATCAGTTCGAGGATTCACCCAACGACTACATCGCAGCTGAGCTACTTGCTCAGATTGCACCGGAAAAATTCGTCATCGGTGATACCCAGATGTACGGTGGTTACTACAACGCACCGCTAATGACAGGCGAGAGTTACGAAATTCTCACGGGCTCGGTTAGCAAAGGCAACGAATCGGTAGGCTATTTTCGGTGTTTTTAGTAAAGAATTGTCAGTTATATCACGAAGTTAATTATTCCCGGTACTCTGATGTTTTGCTTACATACTTTGCTAACAGGAAGGCTACGTGTTTTACTCAGATCCCTGTATGTATTTTTATTACATTGTATGACAAATTATAGGTATCATTTTTTGATAAATGATTCCTGCTAGTATCAGATCCCTTTATGTATTTTTATTACATTGTATGACAAATTATAGGTATCATTTTTTGATAAATGATTCCTGCTAGTATTACGGGAAATGATCTTTAAATTACATAGACTTATGTCACAAAAATTCCTAGCTTAAATGACCCTTAACTTAACCTTATCCTACCCTCAACAAACATTGTAAATTTGGGCATCACGTTGAACCAGGATATGCGATGGTAGGATTTTGCCCAGAAACAGGACTTGGAACACCAAGGGTCTTCCTATTTTATCTTGTCTCCATAAATACAACAGTTGATGATACGTATCACCCTAAGGGTACAGTATACAAGATTTCTGATACTCGATTTGTGTGATATCTTGTAGGATGGATACGTGTCTTACTCGGAGCCCTTGACGGTTACAGGTAAATAATAATATGTCGATTTAGATATTTGTTGAAAAAGGTTTGTGGAAACAGTATGTGAAGTGATATCCCTGAAAATAATGGTGATTCTGAATAGGATGAGCGGTGTAAAGTCGACGTTTCGGTCATTATGCTCGGAGCGTCAGTTCAAGAATGATGCCGATATTTCTCCTAGATGTTCATTGTCATTCATGCATGACACTACAGTATCACTGTTATGTCCCCCCGCTCTCTATAGAACAATCGATTGGAAGCATGGTGTAGTCCTACAGTATACTTTAACCCTAAAGAGGCCGGGTTATTTTGCCAATCTCTCAGCCGGGGGGGGGGGGGTGTCAGATTCCGCCCCCCCCCAGATCTCGGCCATCGAGTGACGAAAAATTTTGAAACTCTGTACATGCATAGAACAACTCTTCATAAACATACCCAAGAAAGTTCATGACCAAAGGTCAAAGGGTTTAGGAATTATGGCTAATTAATTATTCATATGTATGAATGGCAATTCTGGTCTGTGTACACGACGTATATGGGAAAATTCAGTTTTCACGGCCAATTTTTATGTTTTTGGTGTGCAAGGCTTGAGGCTAAAAAGTCATAAAAGCTTGGGTCGCAAAAAAATTTGTTTAAAGGCTATTGCGGAAAAAGTCGAGGGGGGGGCGGATTCCGCCCCCCCCCCCCCCGGCCCTTTTAGGGTTAACTGCCGGAAGAGCCCTTACATACTTCATGACTAACCTTGTGTTTGTCGATCTTTGTTTCGCAGCAAAGAAGACCACAACCGAACCACCGCCACCAGTTGGCGTGATAGTAGCTGTCGTGCTCGTCGTTGTCATCCTTGCTTTGGGTCTTGTCGTTGGCTTTGTAGTCTACAAGAGGTAACCAATCACAGATGAACTTTATTAGAAATCTACAGATTCTGAAAACCAACACAATGTATCATGCTCTTTTATCAGACAAACAAGCTTGTTATCTTTTGTCATGTAAAACCTTGCAACAGTTTTTCTTCACCAAGATGAATAATTGTCAAACCTTGATCCTCTTACGCCTCTTCAACTTTTAAAATAGTTGAAATAATAATTTATTTTGCAATGAAGGTATGGTTCTTTAGGATATCAATCCTTTTACCTAATTTTTACATCTACGTGTCTTGATTGGTGTTTCTTTAACAGAAGAAGAGCAAGTCGAGCCAAACAACTCAGTGATGAATCTGACATTCCACTGAACGCAAAGGCTTCGCCTTCCGGTAAATCTTCTTCATTTCTAGAAGATTTTTGTCATAATCCATTTTGAGCCACGTTCAATATGTTATCCGTCGACCCAACAAGGGCAAACGGTTTTTTTTGTTTATTGCAAACAGATTACTAACTTATCTAGAAAAAAAAATGAGTGGGAATACATCGTAGTTTATCTGATCAATTTAATTACTATTTTTGAATGGCCCTGTATCTGCATTCAAAATCACAGAAAGATGTTCTGAAGACACAAGACGTCTCTAAATCACATCAGCATTCCATTTTTGTTCACAGATTTATCTTCTGTTCACAATTACGTCAACGACGGAGCAGCAGCCAGCGATACTCCCAACAAACAGAAGCCCAAACCGACACCAAAACCACGCCAGAAGCAGGGTGAGCCAGAACCACATGCAGAAGAAGAGGGCGGCGAACAAGTGGAATTCGTACCACCACCTCCTGTCCGCAGGGATGAGCTGGCTGAATACATCCGCCAGAAGGAGGCGCAAGGCGATAATGGATTCCTGGCAGACTACAAGGTAATAGTCCCTAAAAACCAGGCAAAGCTTGGCTCTTCCAAAGTAGCCTAATTCAATAATGTTTTCGATCCGAAAACGAGAAAGGAGTCACATGTCCAGCACGTTATTAGATCAGTTAAAAGGCAACTGTGCAATGGCCAATTCAAGCGTTATGAAAGTAAGTGTAATGTCTTCAACAGAGCGAATTGAGTCGTCTAAATAATGATAAACAGAAATGACCCAAACCTCAAAGTCTGCAATCTTTGGTTATTACCAGAGAAAGGATGTATAAGATTTAAGAAATAAATTTTCAGGGTATTTTACTGAGCTTTTAAAAGCTCTGTCACTGACATTAAATAACGCTGGAGTATCAGCACTCGTCGATTATAATGTAAGGTATAATCGTTCTTGTTTCATCCGAGTTTTGCCATGAGACATCATATTGCCATTTTTTTCTGGAAAATAAAACCTGAAAGTCCTCTTTTCAAAATTTGGGTTGAGGTGAAGTTGACAGTTGACTTATTTCTCTTAATCATGTCATCTTTAATTCACCGCAGTAGTTGCCGTGGTATATGTTTAATAGTTATTTTTTAAAGCCATAACTCACATAACTTGTATTCAAAGAACTTGTTTTTGTTTTGGTAATTACGCACAATTTAGTATCCTGATTAGACATGGAAAAACCAAATATAACAGTTATAAAATAATGAAACATATAATCCAGATTACTTTGTCTGTTTCAGTCGCTTCCCGATTTTCCACTACATCCATGGACAGTGGCAGCGAAACCAGAGAACAGGGCCAAGAACCGATACGTCAATGTCATTGCATGTGTGTATTACAGTCTATCTAAGTGCCATTGATAGCTTTTATCAAACCAGCATTGTTTTTAATTTTAAAACAAATAAGGGATATTATGTAAATCTCAACGGAAAGACATCTTATCTGATTAATTAGTACGGTTAATTCGAAAGCTTGTAAACATTTTGCAAATTTCAAGTGACACTTAAAGTACACTCTGAAATTAGTCTAGTTACATTTGACGAGAAAGCTTTCAAATTTCCAGCCGGCCGACTCTATAACTATCGTCACCTGGGTGCAAGATTAAATGTTTTAAAGTCAAATCTAACTAGGTGTTGTACAGTGTAAGCTGTTAAAATCACGATCACCACCGACTGAAAACTATTTTGATGAATTTTGAAAATGTTTTCCTACTTTTTAGAAACATTGTTTAAAAGGCTTTTGGACAAGAATTTTGTTCAATACCAAGTTGTGATTTCATTGTGTATTAATTGTTATTGTACGCAGACGACCATTCCCGCGTTGTACTTGACCTATTGGAAGGTGATCCTCATTCAGACTACATCAATGCCTGCTACATCGATGTAAGTCCATAATTGATGTACTCCTTCAAGCTTAGTGAGTAAAACACCGATGGGGTATTCTGTTGAACTAGGTTCTAATCCAGACTCAATAAGTCTTCTCTTTTCAAATGACAAATGAACATTAATTTCTTGACTTTAATTTCCCCCACCTGTTTGAACAAATGTAAGATTGCAGTAAGTCCACATTTTGTGGTGAAAAAAATGCTTGAAAACATAAGGCTTGCTGCCGAATAAAATACTTTTGTGGATTTTGTGTTTGTGCCAAGTTTAAATAATGCAGTACGTCTTAAATTGGTTTTGCTTTGTAGGGATACAAGACGGAGAACAAGTACATTGCAAGTCAAGGTAAATGCAATAGCAAAGTGGCCACTGTGTCTTGTAGTTTGGCAAGTTTAAACTCGTAAAGGCGCACCCACTGAATTATCTACCAAATTATGTATTTTCCGTAATTAAATAAAAGTAGGTTTGAACATAGTCACAGCTGTTGAAATACCGACAACTGTCACAGACAGAGCTCACTGTTTTAGTACCAAAAACAGTTTCTTTTCAGAACCACACAAAGTCCCAAAGATGTGACCACACGTTGCTACTAAAACCATTTATATATTAACGAACTTATTGTAATTCACTTTGCAGGACCCAACAAGGCATCTATCAAAGACATCTGGAGAATGGTCTGGCAGTTGGGCATCGATAAGATTGTCATGCTCACCAATCCCATGGAAAACGGCAAGGTAACGTGCACACCCTGAAGTATTGAAACATTATGAGGTTTCGGCAAAAAATATCGCACAAATACTGTTGAAATCACTCTTGCGAATCAGTATGAGGCGTTTGACCTTGGCTGTATAATAGAAGTTGGCTGGGAAATTTTGTCTTTTGAAAATTTCGAAAGTTTTAACAAAAATCAACCCGGCGCAAAGTGGTTAAGAATGTTGCATATTTTTTTTTGCCGTATTCAGATGAAGTGCCTGCAATACTGGGCTGATACTGGATCTACCATTCTCTCAGGCATCGTGGTGACTACAGACAAAGAGGAGGTGTTCCTGGATTACACCATTCGTAATTTCAGCATTCACCCGGTAATCACTAAATTATATAATCATTATTTTATTTGGATCAGGGAAATCAATGTTTTTATCATAACATGCAGCTGAAACAGGCCGTGAATTAGGCGAGCCATACATACAGTCCTAAATAGTAGTATTTAGAACTATTTAAAGAAGAGTCGGGCGTGTTTTTATCGTGATATTCGTGCATCGGGCACCGTTGGCATAAACTTGTTATAGATGACACCCGCATCCAGACAAGAATAAACTTGTTTTTCAAAACGCAATACGAAACTTTATTTTTTTCAATGGATTTTAATCTGATAAGATCTTAGCATGGTTTAATGCAAACCGACTATTTATTCAGGTTGGCAGCGAGGTTGCAGGAAGAGCGGTGAAGCAATTCCACTACACCACCTGGCCCGACATGAAGCCGCCAGAGTACCCAGCACCATTGCTCAACTTCCTGCGATTGGTCAATGGACATCATAACCCGGGACGCACAATGGTGCATTGCAGGTACACTCACTTTTTACATTTCGCTGATATTGCAAGAAAATACAAAGCCTCGTTGTTTACATCATTCTCATGAAGGTTTGGCTGGTGCGATTTAATTTAAAGAAACAATATCTAGTGATAGTTTTATTGATATTTACTCTTAATCTAGCGCTGGAGTTGGACGCACTGGTACATTCATCGCCCTAGATGCGATGCAGGAACAAATGGCGCAGGAAGGACAAGTTGATGTTCTTGGCTTCATCTACCAAATGAGACAGAATCGCATCAAGATGGTCCAGACACCGGTGAGTTTACGGGCACACAATCCAACAATAGCTATGGTTATAAGAGACTGCTGCGACTTTTGGCATTGCAGTATATCGGATGGAATATACAGAACCGAAGTGACATGAACCAATACCTGTTAATGCAATTAAAACTTGAAATCTCATAACATCATGACACCTGTTTTGCTCAATAAACGTCCAGAATAGCCATTCATCTCTTAAGAAATGCATCTTTATTTTCAGGAGCAATACAAGTTCCTCTATGACGCTCTTCTGTCGGCCTCTCTGACTGGAGACACGACCTACAGTGTTGCAGACTTCCGCCAGAAACTGACGACTCTGAAAAAGAAGGACAAAGGAGCGAAGGAAACAGGCCTTCAGAAGCAGTTCGCGGTAAGTCAACAAGCCAGTAGCATTTTGGAAATTAAGATGGACACAATGGGAGGGCACTATTTCAGTAAAACTCTTTTGTGTTACCCAGTCCAAATAGCACCATTCTGTTGTGTCCGCCACATCACAACAAGGCTATAATTGCAATAGTGAATCCACTCTAGGGTCAGATCGTTTGAAGCGATTCCACTATAGGGTGAGATCGTTTGACATCACAGTACCACGTGGCCATCCGGTTTTCCCGTGATCGGCCACCATTGCAGTAGGCAACCGTTTGGTTAGCAACCACGTCTTGCGTGGTTGCACACTATCATGCGACAGTAGGGCATATTTTCACATAAAGTGATTTTACTAGATTTATGCACGCCTTCATTCATTATGCTCGTGTTTTTCAATCAGTAGACACGTTAAGGTCCTTTGGGCTCCTGTTATAATGCAAGCCAATAAAGTGAAAATTATAATTTGCCAAGAAATTATTTTCATCTTTGGGCCTTTTTATTTTGTTATTGGGGGTTCCTTTCCAGACTCTGATCCAGCTGAGCAATAGGCGAGTTAAAGTCGAAAAGAAGTCGGGACAGCTCCCTGAGAACAAGGACAAGAACAGATATCGGCATATCATACCAGGTGAGTCCAGACAACAAGTTGAGCTTCTGATTCTTTTTTGTCTCATAAGTTCTCTCTTAATCGTAGATGTCGCGTTATAAGTGTCGAAATGTGTATACTATTATATAACAAAACCCTAACACCCACTCCCAATGGCGCAATACTCACTGTTTCGTACGGTTTGAATAACTAATTTCATTTCATCATTATTATATTATATTATTCATCATCACCATCAAAACGTCCTACTTGGTACTTCTGAGAGATTTCATCCTTGAACTAAGTATTTCATCCTATGTCTTATCATCGCTTGCTTCACAGGTGACCGTTCTCGACCATTTCTGTCTACCAGAGTCCATGAAGATGAAACCAACTACATCAACGCAACCTTCTTGCCAGTAAGTATCTGAATCATATGAGATAACACCAACATTATACACGGTCTCCACTTGTCAACTTCTACAATAATTATTATAGGATTTTGTAGATACCCGCAAGTTATTCATCTTGATTGGTGTTCCCAACACGCACGAAAATAAATTGTTTGTTAATTTTCTTTTCTCCATTTCCATTTTAATTTTCATTGAAGGGTAGGTAAAATTATTTTGTGACAGAATAAAGCTTCGTTGTTTTAATATTTTCCAACAACACATTTCAATGTTGCGTGGTGAAGCTCAGAAAAAAAATAAAGTTTTTTGCAGCTCTTCAGTTAGTATAATAATAACTTTTGTTATACCTCTGTCTGAATAACTTAATGTTCGTGACAGTTTGTGGCAGTCCTTCAGTTAGTATATAATAACTTTTGTTATACCTCTGTCTGAATAACTTTTGTTATACCTCTCTCTCGAATACTGCATTTTTATTGGCCTAGAACGATCACGTGTTAAGTTTATAAAAAGTCATGGCACAAAAATGTACAAAAATGCCAATATTATGTTTTCACAAAATGACGTCCCTGTTGGGTTGCCCGTAACAGGAAGTTTTTACACAATTAAAAAAACATAGCCTACCTAACAATACTCAATGAAAACGGTTCTTAATGCTTCTCTTTCCAACAGGGCTACCGTAAAAAGAACATGTACATCGGTACGCAGATGCCCATGCCCAACACTGTCACTGATTTCTGGCGCTTGATGTACGACCACAAAGCGACCAGCATTGTGATGCTGAACACCTTTGATGTCAAAGACAAGGTATGATGACAGCTCGTGTCAATGTTTTTTTCCAAAAGTTACAACTGCTGGCCCCTACATTTAAATATCTAGAATTGAAATCGCCCACTTGAAAAAGCAATGCATGAAATTAATTTTCAGCAAAATAAGAAGATAATGATTTCAGTACAGATCCTTTGCATATATCCCCAAAGTAACCTGTCAAATGTTAATTTGATTCAAGATCGTACTGTAACTAAACACCTTGTGACATTATTCCGTCTGCGTTGCTGTCACTAAGAAGAAATCAAGAATTGTAGGTAATTTTAACGATCAGTAAGTTGACTGATTTTTGGACATATAAATCGTGTTTCGTGATGAAAATGGCCTTGCAATCTATGTTTGCCACTATTTTCTCAACAAGTGTAATATCCACTGAGCTAAAGGCTGAACAGGTTAGGTTCTGAACATTCTTCTTTGGATTTTGGGTTGTTTTATTAGTGCAAACGAACAAAATGTGTTAAAAGCAAATGATCCTATATCCCTAAGTAAATCTAATACCTATTCACCCACCACAGGGGCGGAACCAGGAATTTTCGCCAGGGGGGGGGGGATTCGTCCACACAAAAAAATCTGAAATGTAGACAGTTTTCTCCGGGACACTTGGCCTCCGAAAATCAATAGGTACCATACTTTTAATGGGGGCGCTGTTCAAATCCGACGATTATTAACACAATAGTGTTAAGATACCCCCCAACCAAGCTGGCTCTGTCCATATTTTGTGCACAGGCGGATATTATTACCAATACATACAATACAATAATTTTGACAAAGTTGGGGGTTGCGGGTTTGAACCCCCCCCCCCCCCCCGGATCCGCGCCTGCACCAATTTGCTGATACGTGATATTTCAGCACGATGATTCTTTTTAAGGATTTAAAATCAAATGCCATTTTGTCTTCTGATTATAGACCATGTGTCGCTACTGGCCGGAGAAGGGAACCATCAACTTTGGCAAGCTGTCTGTCGAACTTATCCAGACCAAGCGATCCGACAGTGTGACACGATGCACCTTCACCCTGAAGAACACCACTAACGCGGTATATTAACTAATCCCCAAACAACTTTATCTTTATAAATGAGCCTTGAGGTCTGAACTGTTCAACAAGATGTTGTAGGCTCGAGATGGCCGAGTCCCGTCCGAGAAAATTTGTTCTTACGTGCTTAAAAGCCTTAGATAGCACTGCAAATTCACAATTACAGCGTTTTGTCAGGTCGGGGCTTCCCATAATGTCAAGGCAATGGACACAACTTGCAAATATCAAAAAATAAAAATGTCAAAAAATCAATTCAGGGCAAAAAGGAGAAAAAACCTTACTTGATGTCAAAATATCCTGAAATATCCTACTTGATTGAAAGTAAATGAAAGGATCATGCATCATGTGAAATCGTTGCGCTTAGTTTGTTGTCATTTTTGAAGAAAAGGGGAATGACCATCATATTATTCGGTTAGGACCAAACCACCGCGCTTTCATCGGAAATTCATGCTTTGCGTGGAAGATGGAAGATGCATTTTCACAGTTTACTCAAACAGAATTATACCGTATCTGTACTGAAATTTCTACAGGTTACTTTTCAACAACATGCTTGAGATTGATTTTACTACAGTCCAGGTGCTAATTACATCGATGTGCTTACCATAAAATGGTTCTTGGCAAATTTAATTGCCCAGCAACCATCCTAAGAGAAAATTGTCTCATCACGCAGAACACGTCGCAAGGCATATTGGCTGGTATTCTGCTTTTGCCAGGCAGAACTTCGCTATCTACAGCTAATTTTGTTCTGAGCGAAACTGTGTCTATAAATCTTTTACAGTCCGAGGAAGCACGCACCATCACCCAATTCCAATACCACGACTGGCCCTCCGACCAGGAGATACTGAATTCCGTGCCAGGAATGCTGACCCTCATGGATCTCACTCGAAAGTGGAACGGAGACAAAGGACCCATTGTTGTCCACTGCATGTAAGTCGAAGGGGAATTTTGGATGTGAAAAAGAGTATTGTTGAAATGTATTACATTTGTCTGGGACGCGGTTCGACTTGGATCGGTACACTTTATTGATTTCCAAAACATTAGTGATAAACGAAGACAAATTTAGTGGCATCAATTCCAGTTCAAGCATTTTTAGGCCAGTCTTCTGAGTAGGGTGTATAAGCATTCGGCATTTTTGCCGGACTTTGGAAACTGTAACGAAAGTGTCTGACGTTGGTTAACCGGAAAGTGTCGTTGGAAAAGGGAAAAGTAAACACCGTTGTAGATTGAGAAGTGTTAAGTATTAAATACTAAATTGAAGTATAATTAAAGAGAAGTTTTATCTTAAGTACTTGCTTGCATGTGTATAACCAATAACAGTAAGGTATATGCAACCGTAAGAATAATATGATGTTAAGTCCCTTTCGGTGTTTTGAAATATTTCATTAAATGAGAATGCCAAACTTAAGTTTTCGTATTGTAATATAAAATTTTGGACCTTTTTGGTAGTATCTTTCTTGAATCATTGAAGACCATTGTAAGGAGATAATTATCATTATTATTATTATTGTTGTTGTTGCTGCTGCTGCTGCTGCTGCTGCTGCTGCTGCTGCTGCTGCTGCTGCTGCTGCTGCTGTTGTTGTTTAAGAGTAATTTGACATTTTGAGAATTTTTGAAGTTACTGTTAAGATAAACATCCGAATATGAAAATGTCTGTGTATTGTTTGTTGTTATTAATTCAATTTAATAGATTTTTGTTATTTTTACAACTATTTCCCTTTTTTGCCTTTGTAGGGATGGTCTTGGTAGTACTTCTGTGTACTGCACGTTGATGGCGCTGTTGGAACAGTTCAATGTCGAGAAAGCAGTGGACGTGTTCCAGGCAGCTCATCGTCTGCGCATGGTAAACCAAAACATGATGAACTCGCTGGTAAGTATTGTGTGACTTTTACCTGTCATTTTACCTGGAAAACTTTGAATGTTTAGTAAATTCTCACGGCCTTGGGATTGTGGACAAGGGCGGATCCAGGGGGGGGGGGCAAAGGGGGCCATGCCCCCCCCAAAAAAAACGAAACCATTTTTTTTTTTTTTTTATGTGACATCGCAATAAAGGCAGGCAATGAGTACACTATCTTTTCCTCTAAAAAACATTGGTTGAAGTGGTCAGAAATTGCCTCAGATCGCACCACAGAGCATCTAGAATCCAAAAAAATTTCGGGGCCCTTAAGCGGGCCCCGAACCCCACGCCGTAATTTTTTGACCCACTTTTTGGGGGACCCAAATTTTTTTGGGCCCCCCCCCCAAAAAAAATTATGTTCTGGATCCGCCCTTGATTGTGGACAGCATTAGAGTTGCCTATGGGCCTTATCCACGAGCCGGCCATATTGAATTGAAAGTTAGATAAAATCGTAATTGTTTGAACTGGCGAAGAGAAATGAAAGCAATTTAATTTATTATCAATAAATTTGTAATTAAACATATTTCCCTAATGTTTAAAGCCATATTTACAACAAAAAAATCAGTAAAATAAGGCTGTATTGTCCCTGCACAAATAGTCTGGCGCCATCCAATTCAACAGTTAACAATTAATGAAATACAGTCAGGGAACTCGAAAAATATGGCCAACTCGTGAACAGGGCCCATTATCCTTCTGTAATTGACCAGGTTGCAGTATTTAATGCAGCATGCCACTACCATGCTGCAATATAGGGCCTACGTTTACGTAGGTTTGAAATGTGTACAAATTCTATGGTAAAAGATAATTTTTTACCATGTTTTTAAGCTGTCAGCATATTACACTTTGTCGTCTGACTTCAGTTGTTGTTTCCAAACGTTCATAAACGTACGTTCATAAACGTACAAGTGACCTCCGTTGTTATGGTAGATGCGCATGCGTGAAGTAGGTGCAATGATGTTGCATGCGCCACAAAGGATATTAACAAAGTTATTTTGTATGAAAAAGTTTATTTGATTCCGCCCAAAAGATGTATGAATGGTATTCACTTCACACATGGGCAACAGCATTTCTATTCTTGCTCTTCTTAAACTGCCCTTTTGAGATGTGAGGACACACTATAGGAGGCCACCATTTTAGAGCGGGAAAACTGTTTTATATCAAAATATAATTGCTAAAAAAAAACATTTTTGTCTTACCAGGACAAATACGCACTGTGTTACGATGTGATACAGGCCATGCTGGACTCCACTAGCATCTACGAGAACGTCACACCCTCAGCTGGACCCGAATCTGCCGTGTAAGGTAGACAGTTTTGATGCAAGTACAGCACATTCATGGCTTATAAAATACAATCCTCTTCGTACCTGACTGACTGAAACACTGACTCGCTGAATGTCACCTGTGAGCCGGGCAGTGCTATCGTATATGATTACCCTGTAACTCTAACGATGGGCTAAATCCTGCCCAATATTTACACAGATGCATAGCAAAATTTCCACTAAAACCATTTTGAATCAATGGGCTAATTGAATAGATTTTTTAAATGGTGGGCTCTTTGACCAAGCATTATCAACTTCAATTTGAAAATATGAATGCACAACCTACTGCAGATGTGCAAAAAAAGTATTGATGTCATAATGACGTCATCATATATCAAATCATCTGGCCTGGATGTTACACAACACTCCTGGAGTCTTTCCTTGACTCAGTGCATGCCAAATTTTCAGAATCCAGACAGGTGTTTGCTGTCAGTGTTGTCAACTGGAGGAAACTTGTCGTGGAAAAGGAAAAAATAGAAATGACTCGTATACTCGAGAAGAAAGCATCGAGAAGTAGGGAGACCACGAACATGAGGCTGGAAACTAGTAGTAGCCGATCTAGAATTTTCCATAGGGCATAAACAGGGGGTGTTGAAGTCCAATTTGTTTTCCGGGGCGGGGTGAGTCGTTGCAGTCAACAAAATACCAAAGAACTGAAACAATGAATAAAGATTTGATAGGCCTACTCTGAGTGATGAGGATATTTGAGGGAACTTCAGAATGTTTTGGACTGACCTTGTTGAAAATTAACGATGTTCAGTCCTGGGGAGAGATTGCCTACCCAACCCCTCTCGATCCGTCGATCTTTGCTACAGCTGTGTTGGTTGTGCGCCAGTACCTTGCTCTAGACCCACCGGTTCAAATTCCCCTCCGATCGATTTTTCACTGTTGGTTTATTACATTTTGTGACAATGAAATGTTTTTCCCAAAACATGCAATATCACATAATTTTTGTATCCCGACCGTGTAATATTTTCCAAAAATATGTACAATCAGGAAAATTAGAAAATATGGTTGGATGGAGCTAGACTAAATGCATTCAATTGCCAATTCTCCAACCATGGCCAGAGTACATCTTGTCAGTAAATAAGTGTAACCCGTTTGAGGACGTATCCCATTTTACCCAGAGCTATAGTTACATTTTAGAATCTTAAACATAAGTTTATCTACAGCAAGGAGTGAAAGCTCTATTCTTCTTTTACCATAGCTTGTTTTCTCTTGCAACGCAAGTTTTATTTTAGAATCTTAGACGTAAGTTTTTCTACAAGGAATAAAAGCTATATTCCTCTTTTATTTACCCAGAGCAATATTTTGTTCGCTTTTGCAACGCAAGTTATATTTTAGAATCTTAGACGTAAGTTTCGGCTGCAAGAAGTAAAAGCTATATTCTTCTTTTATTTACCCAGAGCAATATTTTGTTCGCTTTTGCAACGCAAAATATATTATAGAATCTTAGACATAAGTTTTTCATCTGCATGAAGTAAAAACTTTTTTCTTGGTAGAGCTGTTTTTTCTCTAATGCGAAACAAATTATACTTTAGAATCTTAAACATATTTTCTTACTGCAAGGAGTGAAGGCTATTCTTGTGTTTTGTCGTGGAAAGCAAGAATGCACGGACGTCAGTAGTTACATGATCACATTAATGCAACATGGCCGACCTGCTAAACCTCGCCAATAGAGGGCGCACTGTGGACACAACATCTTGATACTGGTATTGCAACGTTGTAAAGTTTGTTTGTAGGTTTTATATTTTTTGTAATTCGTGATCACGCATTCGGATATATTATGCGCTTTCAGCAAAGATTTCGTACTAATGAAATATGGTTTGCCGAATTGATTTGAGTTGAAATTATATAAGACGTTTTTAATGTTTAATCATATATATATATATATATATATATATGTGCATCTTGAATGTTTGATATGTATATTTTCGTTGAGTTTGATATCTATAGGCATATAATTGTTTACAGTGATTGTAGAAATTTGTATAAAGGGGCCTTATTAGGGGGTCTGGGCATAATTATTTGATAACATAAGCAATACAATTGTTCGAAGTATAAAGAAAGGTGTGTGATCACAGGAGTAACGACTACATTGTTTAAATCGCGATAATAATTTTAGATTATCAGAATTATTGTAAATAATTCATTGAAACTGTCGAAAAGGTCGCCTTTTAATAATACATTTATTTTTTATGTCCATTGGAGCTTATGCACCAATGGACATAAAATGGACTGCGAATGCAAACTTAAATATTAGTGCAAAGTAGGTTTATTTAGCTACATGTATTTACCCAGGGTATACGCCACAAAGGCACTTATAATCGTCTTCGCTCGTTCCTTCAACTTATTTTTGGTTACAAAATGTAAGCCCATCTATAGTTACAAAAAGCTATCTGCAATACTTTGCGTTTCCTCCACAGGACCTACGTCGTCAAGGCCTTGAAAAGGAAGGGGCATTGGTATGAGCAAACATGGAGTATAGGCTATTAGGCCCCAAAAAAGTCTCCGGTTTCTGGTATGGAGCTTGCCCAAAAAGTGGTGCGGCGACGCGGCTTTTTTTTTTTTACCCGTTTTTTGTTTGCTTCAAATGTCGGCTGATGACTGCAAATGGTTCCCGACTAAACTTAGTGCAAATATGATGGGAGTCCAGAGAAGCCACGTAAAGCTTATTCTCGATCATAACCCCATATAAAAAAAAAACGTTAAAACTGTGCAGCAGCAGGATTCCAGTCAAACCAGTGAGTTTGGCGGTTTTGAGACATCATCTTTTATTGAAAAAAAAAACTTTTTCATTTTGCCGACGCGCATGGCTACGGCGACGCGCGCGCATACCAGAAACCGGAGACTTTTTTGTTTGGCCTTAGATATAAACGAAAACAGATTTGGCTTTCCCAAGTATTTTACTACCCAGATTTACTGCAAACCACATGTTTATGCTTTTAACATGAATAAAGTATAAATAAAACTGCAATAGTACACACAATTTTGCGAAAAATCATTGAGATACCGGAGACATTTTTTTCTGTTTAATGTCACCAAAAACATTGCTGAAACAGACATGTGTTTGTCACAAAAAGTTATGCAGATATGTATGCTTCTTGTGCAGTCATGCGTCTTCCGTGAGCATTCCCGTATCAGACGGAACACTTTGCATGATAAGTCCGCTTTTTGAAACTGATGAAATCTCCAAATCTCCGTCAAGTCAAGCAACCCCCCCCCCCCTTCCCCCGCCCACCAAACAAAAAGAAAAAGAAAAGGACTTTTCATACGATTTTGTTGCAATTGTGCCAATTTTTATATTATTTTCTGGCGGCAGACTGCAATTTTTAACAAGTGGCTTGAGGACTTTTAATAAAAGTTCTCCCTGTTCTCAAAAATTTCCCCTTAAAATTAGCTCCTTACAAAATCCAAATATTATCCCTCTAAGCTTAAGAAAAGGGGGTGCATAGCACCTTCTCCCTCCCCATTCAAAATAAAATTGACTAATGCACTTCACTATTAATCAATCAAAATGTTCACCTGTTTATCAATACATTACTTCAATGTAGCAATTCTCTTAATTTTATTATTGCTCGATTCAATTCAAAACATCAATACACATAATCAAATTATTTCAAATTACAAGCCTCCTCTAGAATTCGCTTCAACGCAAACTAACAACCAAGGAATAAAGTGACCGGGAATGGATCTTGATATCGGAGGTGTATATGGTGCTCAATCGCAAGTTGGCCACGAACTATAGCGACTCAAAAGAGACAAACAAGGTTAGGAATTTAAATTCATACACAGCTGTTCAAATCACACAAACAGGGGCAATGGCTAAATTATATGCAATTAACTGTTCAGAAACAGGTGCATATTTGGCGTGTGCATGTTTAACATGATACATGATTCTTTTCTATATTCATGTAATCATTACAAACATGGCAAGAGCAACTTAATTTAGGCCTGTATGCAATGGTGGGGTTCAGAACCAATGTTTGGGTATATGTAGGCCATTCCAGCTGTTCAGTTTGTAATACATGTACATGTATTGGTCATGGTGAGAGACAATTGCCTGCTAGAGCTTGCACAGTTTGTCGTCACTGTGAATAGGTTACACAAATTCATTAAGAATTAAACTAGAGCATCTACTCATGCATTTAATAGACCTGTCCACTGCGAGGGCGCTCTCCGCAAACTCTCTATAGGTGGATGGCGCATTTCTTCTTAAATTAGGCTTCAAACGAAAATGACGTCACAATGGGTTTACATCACCTCCCAAAATGGCTTCCACTAGAAAGCATACATGTTAAACGAAACAAGACAGCGCGTCTCAGGCTTGTCCTCTTCAATGCCCACCATGACAGTATTCACATCATTTTCAGGCACCCGTTTAGTAGGACAACAGACTACTTGTGGATGGCGCCCTCACAGAGGACAGATCTGATTTCAATTCAGAGACAATGAAAGTACAGAGTCCTCTCATGTGTATCACAGAGGTAAGGCGCTCAATGCAGGCGGTATCCAGTTCGTTAGTGACTCTGTGATGCATGCGCGCACACCACTGATTACTAGGGCCATTGGATAAACACTAAAGTTGAGTTAACTCGGAGTTCCAATATTTCCAATGCTACTTAATCATGTTAATGTGCAGTGACCATGGTTCAAACTTAAGTGACGTCACACTGACGAACCAGATATTGCCAAATCCTACTTTAAAACGATTTCTCTTCAATACATTTCTACCTGGATTTAGGGAAGTAACTTCCAAGCCCGCAGATTATAGTTAAAACACACCATCGGTTTTAATAATCGAAAATATTCAATTTCCTTTCTAAAACCTAACATGGTGGTGTTTTATTAATATTTCATTTCAAAATATCAAATTTTAGATTTCAAATCACAAAAAAAGTATACAAAAAAGTATAAAAAAACAGCTACTTAATTCTAGTCCTCAATTTTCCAAACTCTTAAGTATTTGCACACAATGCCAGGGGTAATACTATTTAAAGCACTTTTTCCAATATAATGGCCACTTGTTCAAGTCAACATTTTCCTTTTTCAAACACCACAGAAATAAGTCAATATTTCTTTTGTTTCCTGATGCGCACAAATTATAGTCTTTTTGAACAATCAGGATTTTAAAAAAATCCACTGTAGGTGGTAATCAATTAAGTTGCCCGTTGAACAGCTTCCAGTACTTGGCCCTTTTCAATGCACATCTCAAATGAAGGATTTTGTAGGATTGAAACCTATAGGGCAAAAAGGCATGGCTGATTTTGGAGGATGTACCGTTTCAAGGTCTTGGACCGGACCTTGTGTTGTTTATGCTCAGCCATGCATAAATTTAAGACATTAAACTTGAAATCCTCCACACTGCTCCAGGATATCTGGCTCTGCCTCAACATTTTGAGGATTGAGGCAGTGGTCACCCCTCCAAGGACCACATTCAAGTAATAACAGAGGATTTTGCAGAATCGAGGCTGTATGCAATTTTTACATGGAGGGAGTTGGAGGATTTTGCAGGATTGACGTTGCATCCCAGCCAAAATGCCTAGGGAGTTACGGTTAAAGTAAATCTTTCAGAATTATGTTCATAAACATTTACCATGAACAATGGTATGTTACAAAGAAGAGTGTATGAATAAGAGTCAATCACAAGTCTAATAAGTCAGGTCATAGTCTTAGTCAAAGACTGCATTTGGTTTTTATTCCCTTTTTAAAAGCCAATCTGTGGCAAGTGAGGTCACTATCTACAACATGAATCAAATTCAGTCTTGGCAATATTGGCAGCGCTACTCAAGCTAATGCACACACGTGAGGTATGCTCCTCATTTCCTGGGTAGCGCTGCCAATGTTGCCAAAATGCCAAGACTGGAGTTGATTCATGCTACTGATAGAGACCTCCACCACCGCGGCAACTTTAACGCGTTTGTCACAGGACTGGCAGCAAAATAGGGGAATAAAAATACCAAATACAGTCTTGAACCAAGTCTAGCCCGTTCACACGTAAAAGGGACTGAACAATGACAAACCACTGCTTTCGTCATTCTTAACAGCTTTGGTGAAATGGCACAATAGGTGAAGCCTCACTTCAAAAGGAAAATTAAAGACAATTTCTTTTTACTTGGAGACATTCTAATCTGCTCCAATAATAATCAATCACTTGGGCTCAATGTTTAAGTTTTTGAACATTTTCTTTTCATCAGCTTTCTTCTGTTGATGCAAAAACATCAGAAAATATCTGGGGCAAAGGAAAAAATAAAACACACAAAATGGCCCCTTATTGCAAAGCTAATAACACCTTGTTACTGGATTGATTAACTTGGAACAAAATAATGCTTATTGCCCACCATGTGAGCAATTTAGAGAAAAAAAACACAGCTCTGACTTGTAGTTTTTTTAATTTTATAAATTTCTATACGAGTACAAGTGAACGCAGCGCCAGGAATCAGTCCAGGCAAATGTACGGTAATATATGCAAGGCATTGTCTTCTTGTACAGTAACCGAGAGACACTGCGTCCAATCAAACCACTCTGACCGGTCGTTAAAGCAACCATTTACACCATCCCACTCCTGCTCATGGATCCTGGTCAAGTCTTCGGCCGTGACAGGTTTGGCGGGGACTGGTTCCTCCTCAATATCACTTAGAGCGACATCTTGAGGGGGTGATGCTTCTGGCGTTCCCTTGTCTGGGGTGTCAACCTCCAAATCCAAGTCTACTTGGGAAGTGTCAACAGGACTTGGTTCAAGAGGCTTCCCTGTATCCGCTAGTATCAGTTCATGACTTGTCGGTGTAGGTACTTCTTCCAAATCCACGGTCGGTTTGCTGTGTTTCGTACCACTAAGAATATCGTCATCGTAGTCGTCATCAAAAATTGAGAAAGAGACTTTGGAGCTGTCTGGTTCCTGCAAAGCTTGGTCAGGGGATGGTGATGCAAGCTGGGTACGGTTGTAACTGATGACTGGGGCACTACATGTTGGAGTCGTGCATTTCTCTTCGACAGCAGCTGCAGGTGACCGTAATTTAACAGTTGCTGAACTGGAATTGGAGTCCTGAAGGCATTTCTGTACACTTGGGGATTTGACATGCTGCTGGCTGGAGACGACAAAGTCTTTTTGTGAGGTGTCTTCAGCCTCTTCCCCGACATGCAACGTGGCATCAGCCACGTCAAGACGGTTGGAGTCTGTGCTGTTGGAACTACTTGGCTGTTTTGCCTTAACAGATGGTGAGGAACGACCTGCTTTAGCAGTTGCGACGACAGCGGGTGAGAGTTTGCTACCACGGTTGATGGCGGGGCTAGACCCTTGTTTGGTGAGCAAAGGTGACTTAGAAAGCCCCTTGCTAGTATTTGCATTCAATTTGCTCAAACTCGGTGAGGACTGAGACTTCGCTTTTAAAGCGGGGGAGCTGGTTCTGGATGGTGCCTTGGGCTCCGATTGTTTCACCTTGGAAAAAGCCGACTTGGAGCTCTGCAGAGTGGACCTGCCGGCTTCCAGTTGGGTAGGCATGCCATTTTTGGTCTCTGGAGTGGTCTGATCTTTGGTTGCATTGGAGGTGGGTGTGCTCACTGATGGTCGTGGTTTCTTGGCAGATGTTGGTGCGGACCCTGTTGACGTAGCTGTGCTCGGTGACGGGGTCAGCTTCCTCCGTTTGCGGTTCTCCGACTTCTTTTTGTCCACCGTTGAGGTCGGGGTGGCGGACGTCTGGGTTTTGAGGGATGGAGTTCTGTTACCTCCGCTTGACAGAGTGGAGGCAGTCCCTGGAGTAGGTGGGGTGGGTTGCCTGTTAGCGGTGGCATCCTGAGTACTGCTGCCGGCCGCCTTAGCAGAGCTAGGTGTTCCTCTAACAAACTGCTTGCTCCAGACGCGGACCAGCTTCTTACATCTCAACGAAAGCGCATTGTCTTGTGTGTTCTTGCGGATGTCGTTCACAATCTTGCCAAGACGTGTCTCCTGCAATGAAAGGAACAAATGACATTTAAAGAACATCCCAAAATGTGAAACACTCTTTCAGAATGCTCTTTTAAGGAGCAGGGAGCATTCTTTGCAGTAACAGTCTGTTCTTGTTCAAGAATGGAAGCATTCTTGTTCATGCGAACACCTCGAAAAAGCTCCAAAAGACCCTTCTTCGGAGAGACATTTTGCAATTATTTTACTCAAAGATTTGACCCTCCCATCAGACTGGCATTTATCTCCAGTTTCAATGGCATGAAACGACTAAGAATATTTTCTATTCTCCCTAGATGGGATGCCGGTCCACCCTAGGTTACTCCCAAACTATTGCAAGTACACATATACATGTACACATGGTCAATATACACAGAGCAAAGTTGGGACGAAGTGGCTTGCCCAAGGACACAACATGCATGTTGGCGATTGTTACTTAAATGTTACCCCAGGGTGGGGATTTGGTCACTTACAAAATGACAGTCCCCCTAACTTGGGTGGAGCAGCCCTGGGGGGGGGGGGGGGGGGACCAACTATCACCATTTTCAAGACCCGACAGTTAGTGAAAACCCCGTAATCAATCATTTCAGTTTCACGAACTGACATGCATGTATGTACGCGCACTTCGTACATTGACGCATAAGAGAATAATTTTGGATAAGATACTGCTTTTAAGGAACTGCAACGCAAGCATGTTGCGGAAATACAATTTGGAGAAAAATGCAAATGAAAGGTTTGACACGAATATACTCCATCCGTACACTTTAATTAACACCGGTTTCAGTTTGTGAAAACGAAAATGTACATGTACGGAGTGCGCTAATGTAGTACAGGGTGTCAGTTTGTGAAAACCAAAAAACAAGGTTCTGTATGCCGGTGTGCCAGCAACTCAAGAGCAACCTAGTGTCAATTCGTGGTTTCGGTGCCGCATTGATAGGTACATCAGGAGCTAGAATCTTAAGGTACATGTAGGTGTACCCTTCAAGCCTCAATGTTTACCTCAAGAGCCTCTTTGGTGATCTGGATGTTTTCCAGGCATGTTATGGCTTCCAACACACCAACCATGTTAGTGACCTGGACAAAAGAAATAAAGAAAATGATCAGAACGTGTTCTAATAACGTGAAAAAAGGTTTAGTTAGGGGCTGTGAAACTTGGTATGTCCATAAAAGTTCCCTGATGTCAAAGAAATTATACTAGATTATATCTGAAATCCTCCGCACTGCTCCAGGATGTCACTGACTCTGTCTCAACATATTGACAGTGATTGCTGGAAGATTTTTGAGGCAGTGGTCACCCTTCTAAGAACCACATTAAAAAAAAATAGGCTTTTGGAGGATTGGGGCTGTATGCAATTTTTACATGGAGGCAGTTGGATGATTTTGCAGGATTGAGGTTGCATCTTAGCAAAACTGCTTAGACAGTTAGGGTTCAGATACCATTGTAATACTTTCTTTTCTTTCAAATTACTCATTATTGCACTTGATTGGATGGGCCCAGTCAAAAAAGGGCCAAAAAATTAATTCTAAAAATACATTGTAGGATGTTAAACCCATTGTACATAGGTCGTACACATGGTGCCAGATGTGCTGTATTCTCATAAAATCTCCCAGAATTTTGAGATCAACTAAAAAGCTCTACAGAATTAATCAATGACCATATTCCATTCCATGACATTGGCACTGTACGTCGATGTATTCAAAATGAGCACTCACCTATTTTATGATAAGGATTTAAATACAAGTACATGTACAATGTACATGACTTTAGCAAATTCCATTTGCATGTAAACTGTCCCTGATCATTCATGTATTATGCATCACTATGAAAATGAACTGGTTTGTTTTCTTTTTCTTTCTTGTTGTGGAGGGGTGTTCAATAAATAAATCATTAATTGGCACTTATGATTGTAAACAATGTGTCATGAGACCGATCATTGACATTTGTATTTTTTTTTTTTAGATCTATGTGTATATTCAGAGACAATGTTTGACTAACAAGTGCAACAACATAAAGAGAGCTTCATTTAAAAACAGACCTTACAGAGTTGTTGAGAAAAACATTCCTTGGAGTCAGCGTAAAGATAGGACTTGTGATTTTTTTTTCAGTCTGAAATTTAAGTGTTTTCATTTTTCAAGTTGAAGTAAGAAATCGACTGGAGCAGGGTTTGAACCTGCGACCACCGGATTGCTGTTTCGGTGCTCTACCACCTGAGTTACCCAACCCTATGTTGGCTAGTCCCATAAATGTGACTGAAATACCTCCGTATATCAGTCACAGAGCCACGTACGGCCTGTGAGCAGAGCTTCTCGTTGCTAGGGGAGCCGAAAATTAATTAAAGATCGAAATTATTTTGTCAGCAGAAAATCAACCCAGCTATAGTATGACTGCTAAATAGCACAAAATCGTTAAATTCGGTACCTTCAGAGGTACTGCTGTTACCTGTCATTCCAAAATCTTTGAAGCACTCTGCAGTGAAGCGCGCCCTCTTGTGTGCGCTCTTCATCCGCGGTCGCGTATTGCATCCGGGCACTTCACAGAGCGCCAAAGATTTTGGAACGACAGGTAACAGCCGCGTTGCACTTTGCCAAAGTTGACGCACGCTCAGTAGATGATTAAAGCTCTTGTTTGGTTCCCTGACCCCTTTGGCCTCTTGACTAATATTAGGGTGGCCGGGAACATATCAGCGACACCATGCTTGCTCAAAACCGTCTGCATTCTTTGACGAATTACCATGATTTTTGGATAACTAGACCTCTGAAGGTACCGAATTTAACGATTTTGTGCTATTGAGCAGTCAAACTATAGCTGGGTTGATTTTCTGCTGACAAAATAATTTCGATCTTTAATTAATTTTCGGCTCCCCTAGCAACGGGACGCTCCGCTCACAGGCTGTACGTGGCTCTGTGACTGATATATACGGAGGTAGTCCAGTATTTCAGTCACATTTATGGGACTATATGTTGGCGGTTCCCCATTTTGTCAATGTCTTAGTTTGTTTATGGCCAAAAAAAAAAAGTCTCCGGTTTCTGGTATGCGCGCGCGTCGCCGCAGCCATGCGCGTCGGCAAAATGAAAAAGTTTTTTTTCAATGAACGATGATGTCTCAAAACCGCCAAACTCACTGGTTTGACTGGAATTCTGCTGCTGCGCAATTTCAACGTGTTTTTAGATGGGGTTATGATCGAGAATAAGCTTTATGTGGCCTCTCTGGACTCCCATATATTTGCACTAAGTTTAGTCGGGCACCATTTGCAGTCATCAGCCGACATTTGAAGTAAAAAAGTCGGGTAAAAAAAAAAAAAGCCGCGTCACCGCACCACTTTTTGGACAAGCTCCATACCAGAAACCGGAGACTTTTTTTTTTGGCCTAAGGGTCGCTAGTATGAAACTTCATTGAATCATTATTTTGTCCACCGACTCTTTTGGCAGTGAGTTACACATTAATTCTGTGTCCGTTTTTTGTTTCCCTGAACTTTCCTGCATGAAAATTGTAACAGAATTGTAACCCACAACATTACCTACTGGTGGCCCTACACAACCAAGACTGTGCATGATAGACTGCAAACCACATGCAAAATCGTGCCGTGGGTTTACGTTGAGCATACCGGGGAAAGCGACTATTGCACCACGTGAATTTCCGAACTGTTTTAAGTTTTTCCTTCCTTCCTTCCTTCCTTACAAGTGCTGCCTTCATATGGTTGAAGATAAACACACTGCCAGAAACACCAGGGCATACTACGGCTTTACGTCCCATCCGACATGTCCGAAGGAAGAAGCAATACTGGTTAAGTGTCTTGCTTAATGACACAAGTGTCAAGACCAGGACTCGAACCCACACTCTGCTGATCAGAAACACCAGCAAAGCTGGAGAACAGTGCTCTTAAAGGGAATATACAACATTTGCAAACAACGAAAAATAAAACTATCAAGTTTTTGCGAAATACCTTAACAGGATGTTGGTAAATGACAGTCTAAAGCATCCTGTAAAATTATGGCACCTGGTATACTGTCATTTTCAAGAAAAGTGGTATTTTTGTATCAATTTCCAACGCTGATCGGCCGATCAGCGTTGGAAACAACTGGCTTTTTATCAAATACTGGCCCCAATTGACCATTGCACTTGTTTGCAATCGATTACAAACCTATAAACGGGTACGAGCCAGCTAGACTGGTTCCCTGACCTTACAATTCCCCCAATGTATGTAAACTGCTCTGTTTCTTCTTATATGGAGTCAGGGAACCAGACTACAGGAAAATGATCGTTTTTCTTGGTTTTTATAGCATTTTCGAACCCAAAACCTCCAAAAAGTTAGTGTAACTATATTTGCTTTATATTCCGACCCCCCAATTCCACCCATTTCTGAAAATTACAGCAAAAGCAAATGATGTATATTCCCTTTAACCGCTTGGCCATGACACTCCACTTTTTGGGGGGTTTATTTCGGTTTTTCACACGACGCTGAAGACGGCCTAACCGAACTAACCCGATCCAAAAATCGCAAATGCAAAACTGACCCGGACCGACTGAAATGATGAGAAAAAAAACGACCTGATCTGAACCGACGTTCTGAAGAACCACTGAATCTTAATCCATTCATAAACGCAGAATTTTTGTTGAGGACATTTTCTGTACGGATTGAGAGCCATGAAAATATTGAAATTAAAATTGACTCCCGACAATATGTAATATTGGTGCTAGTTTGAAAAAAATATATGTTCATGATGACAAAATTGTGCATGGATTTTACTGTTTTCTCCGTGGCAAAATTTCTCACGCTTCAAAGTTCAAGACAACAGTTTTGATTTTACACGTACATTAAGATGGAAAAGATTGTTTTGTAAGGTGTATTTGACTGTTTAAATTTCATGATTCAACCAATTTAATGTGGATAATTTTACAAAGTAGCTTAACTTAAAGTTAAACTCAAGTCAGTATGGTCAATCACTAATAATATAATATGCCATTCCATGCCATCATGATCAGAGCAGATCATTCCATTATCATGCCACATTTTCCATGTTTCCACATCAAAAAAATCTGGCAAAACCCAATCTTTTCACAAAATAAGCAAAAGCATGAATGAAATGACTTATTCACAATTCTCATCCTTCACAAATCATCAATTTTGGAGCTCGAAAAGGGTCTAAACATGACAAGAGAAAAAACACTGAACACGATGACAAAAATCATGTCCATATTTAGTTCACACTGGGTCCCATTCAATACAGTAATACAGCACTACATGCATTTAGCTACATACATTGTACATTACGATACGACAGGTGTACCAGCTACGCAAGGCCTCCACAGCACGGCCGCCATACTTTTTCTGCACGCATTCATTATGCACAGAAAAACACAAGACGTGTTCCACAGACCCCAGAGCGCATGCGTGCAGGCCGTCCGCTCATAGGTTCCCGGCCGCGGTCAACAGTCATTTTGCAGCGGACCAGCCGACTGGAGAGATCCCCTTACGGCTTCGCGCTCTCCACATACCCATCGAAAAACGCCGCCGTTTTGCACTTTTTTCACGTTCTGCTTTATTGTTTTCGCACCCAGGACATTCTATGATTGTCGAGCTTGGCGTTAGTGGTGGTTAGAGACTCTGACAGAGAGGCCCTGGTGTGAATTCGCGGACCGAATTTTGGTTGCTGCCTGGCAAAAATCGGCCATTTTGAGGGGTCTCCGATCCGCGTGCGTGCGCAATGTGTATGTTAGGCATGGCAGTGTATGCCCGATCGTACAGCCGGCCGACCGGCCCCGGTTTATTTTTCCGATTTTACGACTCCTAGAAGCGAATTGACGGAAATTTTGGCTTACTTTGGCATCTTGGTCTATTGCATTGAGCAGCTGCTCCCGGATCTGGCTTGGGGTTGGCGGCATTTGACCGTCTTTCCCCGGTCAAAATCTGCCGAGGTGCTGCACCTCCACAGCGCACACACTGCACAGGCATATCGCGGTTTATCGGCCTATTTCCCGAATGGCCCTATGGAACTATGGGATACGTAATGAGCGAGCGCCCAGCTTTTATTTTCTGGCAGACAAGCAAACTCACTCGCGTAGCTCGAGTATGCGCAACTCGTATATTTTCGTAAATGACGTCACGGTGCCCGATTAATCCCGAAGTTTAATTCTTTGTTAATTAAATAACACATTTGTATAATAACAACTGTAAAAATTTTACAAGAGCAAATAATAAGAAGATTTGTTCACGAGTGGTCTAGGTGCCGAACTGTGCATTCGCGATCCCGGCGCAGCGTGATGAAGACATAATGGCGTATCGTACATGCTAATACGTGGTGCGTGGTTTTAAAGCAAACTACATGAAAATCTTTCCAAAAACAAGGGTATTAAATTATTTCAGACGTGTTCGGTTTTTTTCCTTAAATGTTTGATTCGTGTGCTTTGTTTGTCACATCATGACCTTTAACCCTGAAAGGTTTTCATAATTCCAGACAATAGTTTTCACATTATGTTTATTTAAAAATGCAGTTTCTCATGTCTGCTAAATCACGAATTTTAATACCGTTGAGGGCGCTTTAGATGACATCGTTACGGGTGCACCCATGATGAAAATTCCATAGACACCAGTCATGCATATCCATACTTCAAAATTCTTTTTAAAATAATCAAAACCCACACAGGTATCAAACAAGTTTTGGTGGATTGAACCTCAATTATTCCTCTAAAACCAAATCAAATGGTAACAGACTCGCTGTGAAAAAGAGATGGGCAATCCGTACGTTCCTGTGAACACAGGTTCGTCCCCTAGTACCCGTTGCCTTACATTTTTCATGCGGGAATATAGTCTCGTGATCATGAAACTATCATAATGAGCTATAGAACATTAAGTTTAACCTACCGCACCGGGCGGAGCATCTTATTTTATTTCAGTAACAATGAACTTCTACAAAAGGTTCACTCATTAGCGAAACAAATTTAAGACTCGGCCCTCAAATTTTATTGAACACGACCTGCTTGACTGCTTCGCATAACTATTCAACCTGCTGTATGGTCTTACCTACATATTTAAGGATTGTCCACCCGCCCGTTGAAAAATCTTCATGGAAGTATAACGAGAAGCTTGGATGGAGGGTGGCAATTAAACAAAATCAGAGGTAGCTTGTTCCACTATTAACAGTTCTTGGAAGAAAAGATTGCATGTAAACATTTGTTCTTGCGCGCGGTGCTTCATTAAATTAGCAGTTATTTCCCTAGCCTTGGTCAATGCTCTCGTCGTTATTCGTCCCGTACGCGGTCAATCGTCGGCGTATATCCTCACGCGCTATGCACATGCATGTAAAAATACAGCACGAACAGTGACCTCACGCGGCCACTATTTTTATACGCAAATCAGTTGGGGACGATCGAGAGCCTTGGTACGGTTCAATCGTCCATGTGAGGTTTTGGTGGTGGTGCTCATTATGTTAATAACCTTAGCTGACCTTAAATGTCGTTTTCTTATTGGTCGATCGTTGCGTGGAAACTTGCATAGTGAAACGTGGCACCGTACATAATCCATACACGTACACGTTGTGTGTCTCTGCACACGGCACCAATGCACAAAAACTGTAGTTCCTGTCACGTCCGCAAAAGGCGAAAATAGCTGCAAATAATTTGATGACATCCGGATTTACCAAGGTGTGATTGGACACTCCACATATTGGCCCTGCCTACACTCATCTGTATTCGCATACGAGGTCGTGCGCTAGAAATCCAGCGCAAAATAAAGAAAAACAAAAGCTTTTGCCGACGATTGAACGAAGGCTCTCGATCGTCCCCAACTGATTTGCATAAAAAAATAGTGGCCGCATGAGGTCGCTGTTCGCGCTGTATTTTTACATGCATGTGCATAGCGCGTGAGAATATATGTCGACGATTGACCGCGTTCGGGACGAATAACGACGAGAGCATTGACCAAGGCTATTATTTCCCCTCCTTTCTCTTAGGTTGCAGTGTATCTCAGCGAATGTCCATAGACGTAGCCAGCGGGGGGGGGGGGGATAATTTTGTATATTGACTGCCCTTTTTTATTCAAATGCCCTTTTTTTTACCATCGTTACCCCCCCCCCCCATTGGAAATGTATACAAAAATACCATTTTCTTGAAAATGACTTAACACCAGGTGCCATAATTTTACAGGATGCTTTAGACAGTCATTTACCAACATCCTAGAAAGGTATTTCGTAAAAACTTGGTAGTTTTATTTTTCGATGTTTGCAAATGTTGTATTTTCCCTTTAATCTGGACGAAGATACCACCTTGTCCTGTCCAGTATCCACTTAGATATAGAGACCTTTGAGAAAAAGTTTTGCCATTTTGTGGCAGGCGGCCGTTATACGGGTGTATTTTTGTTTTAATTTCGCGCTTGTATCGCCCTGATAACCATTATGTCTGTGCGAACCTTATGGTGCGTACGCATAATCGCCAATTTTGAACAGCGCCCCCAACGACATTACAAAAAAATGTACCCGCCTCGACCTGCACATTACTCCAATTAGCCAGGCGCGGTTCTAGAGCCAATGGGGCTAGAAGGGTGGATCCGGACTTTTTTCAGGGAGGCGTGCTGAAATGTAGACCGGTTATTTTCTCCGGACATTTAGGCCTCCGAAAATCAACAGGTGGGGGCCGGGGAGGGGTGGGGCTCGTGCCATATTTTCAATGGGAGCGCTGATAAAATCCTAAAATCAGGCACACTATATAAACTAAAAGTGTATAAAATGCACCCTTCTCACAGCTATTTATTTAGAGGAGACCATTCGCATGTCACATTCTTACATTTTGCTAGTGCAATTTTTTGTATGGAATTTTTTTGGGGGGGCAGACAATTTTTTTTGGGGGGGGGGCTAACCTGTTTGATGAACTTAAAATTGGTCCGTCCATCCTTTTATTTGTATTTGCCATAATTCATTCATCATCGTCCTGTGAAACCCGACAACTTGGGTCTTGGGTCAGTGGCCGCACCGTTGCTATCCTTTGTGGACGAATGTTGTCGAGAAATACAAACGTGCGTCACATTCATACGTATGTGCCGCAAAATCTTGTTTCCGTCTCCACGGGTCCACTTCCATAAAAACATCCGCCCACGACATCTATTGTTCAAGACAGTTTATAGATCTTGCAATGTCAATAATACTAATACCACTGATTGAGCTTGGAGTTCAAGATAATGAGACAAAACACAAAATTACTTATATCTCAGTTCAGATATCAAAATTTAGTAGACCCTGGCGGATACCTACAGGTCACCCATAGTGATGATAGTCCACTTAATTTTCAATTTCAATGAATTTTCTTTTTCAGAATTTTTAAAATTTTTTTACACTTTGATGATATAGAATGATGATATAAATATTGTCGCAATGATATTACTTTCAAAGGCATTATGTGACAACCTGCATGCGTCATGTTTAACTTAATTAATATGTTATCGGTTTTATTTGTGTGGTATTTCAACTTTTACCACTCACATATAGCAAATTTACTGCGAGAGATGGCTTGTGGTATTCTTCAAAATCGATTTAGGGCGCAAAATTGCCAAGATAGGCTACATGCGTTAGGGCGAAGTCAGAGGGCAATGGTTTTGTATCGCTGAGATATTTGTTTCAATCCTTGTAATTAAATCAAAATAACAATACCTGTCCTCCGGCTCCGAGACAACTGCTCCGCAAATAAAGCCTTACAAATGTGACAATATTAAGTTCATCGGATTTCTGCAATTATATAGATGAAAGACTAAATTCATTTATTTTGTAGTATACTATTATGCGGGATATCCGAACGTGGGCTACATGGGTTTGGGGTTAAAATGCCACAAAAATGTGGTGAATGGAAGTTTATAAGACTGTGATATGTCATGCACAGTATGAAGGCTAACCACCGTACAATCGGATGTAAAAATGACGTCAGAATACTAACTCAGTGGTCTGATTGTGTCCATAAAAGGGAGGGGCTTATACGTAGACGGGCAAGGCTGACATTGACTGCACTTACGCTAGTGCTTTTACAGACAATATCCTGTCGAGTTGTGAGTAGAACGCAGTCTGTTTTTGAAGCGACTTTTCAGCACCAAAATCACCAGTAATCATGGCTGAGAGACCAAAGGGCTACGGAATGACTGCCGAGCTGCAGGCCAAGGTAGGTGGGGTGTAAGCTTGGGCAGACGTTGATACTAGGAAGATAGTTGCAGGTGGTTGATTATGCACGTACAAACCGGCGCCGTGTACAATGTACATGTACATGGTGTACATGTACTTGCGAGGCACATGGGCATGTACATGTACATGTACAACGCGCAACGTAAATCGAGTGAATCACCACTGTACATGTACTGCCCATTTCAGGAATTTACTATTCATAATTATAGGGTTGGCATGTTTCTTTGATTTTTGCCAATACACGAGGGAATCTCAGCCACTTTGTGCAGGAGTCGGACTTGCTTGGGCGTATAATATTGCAACCTTAACACACCATTGTGAGATTTGCATGTGACCATGAAAACACAATGCGAAGGACACAAACATGGCATTGGATGAGTGGGGGGTGTACGTCCTATAAAATAATTGTGCCAAATAGCCTTCAGTCTACTAGTACGTACATTACAGACTATTGACATTTATATTCGCTGCAGAGTTGTATACGGCCTATACCCATCATGCGGTTCTAGGGGCGAGGAGTGGATCCAGATTGTTTTTTTTTTTGGGCAGGGAGGCGTGCTGAAATGTACACCTTTTTTTTTTTACCCGGACACTAAAGGCCTCCAAAAATCAATAGGTGGGGAGGCCGGGGCGGGCTCTTACCATATTTTCAATGGGGAGCGCTGATAAAATCCTACAATCATACACACTATTTTGCCCAAATGACAAATGCGCACTTCTCACTACTGTTTTTAGGAGAAGACTGTTCGCATGCGACGCCACCTTTAAAAGCCCCCCCCCCCCCCCCGCCGTAAAACCGCGCCTGCCTGAGCCGTGATGGAGTTGTACAAAAAAGGGTGATGCGTTTACCATGTTCAATGCACCTTGGTTTATAGCACGCGGTTTTGTTTGGTTATTTCAATTTAGCATCAATGCACAAACGGCCATTCATTCATCATGTGCATATTCGAGCAAAACTAAGGCATTGCCCACAAAGATTGACTGCTACGCAGACCCTTAGCCTACCTAAAGCTACAAAATACTACTGAGTAGTAACCTGCAGTATATGCTTTTCCTTTCCATACGTGAAGTGTACACAACACACGAAGCATTAAAGTCTGTTCAACAAGTTTCTGCATAATTCAAATGAAATACTGGGGTGCTGGGCGTAGTTGCATTGCATCGCGACTTGTTTCCATAATGGCTGTGTCTGCAGCCCAAGGGACGATTTATTGCTTGAAGATCCTCTCTCACTTCCTATCAATTGCATGTTCTTTATTCAATTAACTTGACCTGAGTCAAGCGCCGTGATGATGCATCAAATCCGGTTTACCGATTTGATGAACCGAAAGGTATGGCTATTGACCGACAAGACTTATTATTTGAATTTAAAGAAGAAAATGGGCCATTAAACTCCATAGATTAAAACGTCATTTTACCTTGAACGTTCTGTTACAAAAAGTACCATCACTCTATTTTCATAGACTTCGTATTTCATAATGCATGTACCATCATAAATTCGGCCAGTATATACCATTGTGCAATAAACAATTATACAACGCATGTATAAATATGTGTATAATTATGAATGTTTATGAGCGCAATATGAGGTGACAGATGGAATGTTCCATTCCACGAGGCGAAAATGGAACATTTTATCTATCACTAAATGAAATTATTCTTCCATTACAAGAATGTGACATTCATTGTTGTGTTTTATGCAACACCTGAATAAATCCTGGTCATCTGATTGGTCAGAGCCGCCAAAACTGTGGCCGTGCGTTGGAACTTCTATTTACCGTGGATGGAATAGAACTGCTGTTGTATTGCCATGCGGCCGGGTCATGGGTTGGGACGCACAATTCAATGTCACGTCATCAACGAACCACCAATCAGATGAGGGCTTACTCAGACGTTGTATAACAATACATGTGCACTGACCTCTGTCTTTAGAAGAGTGCCAATATTTTTGTATTACACGTTCATTGTCACTAAATAGCCCTAACCCTCAAGGGTTCATTTGAATTACACAAAACTAGTTGTGTTAAAGTGAGCTTGGTAAAGAAAACCCACCGGGGAGCCTATAACGCATAAGATACAGTCTATTGCAGCCAACTTATGTAATTTACATTTGTTCCGTGTGGCACGCATGGGTAAACTTCTAAATGGAATATTGTATTGGTACTGATTAAAAGTAAAAAAGAAATGCTATTATAAGTGTCTGTTGAAGAGTGCGTATAATGCTTTATACTCGGTAGAATTATTCCGAGGCTCGGGGGAAAAAAACTTTTGTGTTCTCTGTCCAAATCAGCAGGAACTTGAATTATTGTCTTGTTAAGTTCAGCAAGGTCAAAGTTATTTTTCACCTTTATGCCGGTTTCTAATGAGATAATTCCCGCAGTGCGAAATGGTGCGTGAAAACACAGCAACATATTTCGCAAGTCGCAACTATAATATGCAATGCGATCCGCATACTGTTAAAACAGACAGTAGACCTGTGCAAATATGGCAGACGACATTGTCGAATTTTAATGAGCTTGTCTGAAGCGGAATTTCCGAGAGAGACATAGAAGGCCAATATTGTTTGTTGGTTTGTGATCTCTTGGTTTCCTGTTAACGACACAGGACAGGTTGCTAGGATCGAGGTTTCGCGCCAAAACAAACAATGACATTAACGGCACCATTGAATTCGATAGCATGGGACGGAAGTTTCAGCCAAACAAGCACATGGGTGTTTCAGCTCTTGGTTTAGTTTTACTGTAATGCGACACGAAGTACAGTCGTCGGGTTTCAACATAGACTTGATACTAGTCGTAGTTCGTGGCAGGTTTACCTATATACTTCCTTCTCGGAGGGAATACCCAAAGCATCAACATAATTCAATTGAATATGCAATCAGGTGTATCAGTGGCGGATCTGGGGTTTTCGGGGTTCCACCCCTCCCCCGTTCAGCTGCTGACTTATCTTTTGATACTACTTGTACTATAGGCTAAAGTGGGGCAAAAATATTATAAATAGTCCTAGATTGCTTTGGTTGCCTTGGAATGCAGGAGAAAGCATCCTAACGTATAGACTTCCCTAGCAGAGCGTGCCTTCACTACCCTTCATCGGAAAATAAATACCAATACCAATACAACTCTAAATGACACTGTAAATATGTGCAGTTCTCTTGTCCAACTTGTCTTTCATTTTTAAAAGTGTCTTTTAACAGTGTAACACCAACAGTTGCAGGAAATTTTAAAATGGCGGCCATCTTGAAAAAAAATATAAAAAATAAAAAATAGAAAGCCCCGCTTCCTCCCTTTTTTCAAAACCCCGGACGAGAAACATTTTTTTTATTCGGCCTTAAAGTTGTGACATTAGAGTTGCGTGCCTCGTGCTCTTTTAAAACAAGTGTACGTGTTTCTCCTCACGAAGTTTCAATTTGTATGATTTTTATTTTAACGGAAAAACTACTTTATTAAGATGTTTGACACCTGCAACCATCTGAAAAGGGGTTTTCATATTGCGCACAATGAACCCGCTCGGCAAGAGCCAACTTATTGTCTGGCAGCCATGAATTAGAATTTTGTGAAGAGAGAATTCAATAACAAAACGTCGCATTGAATATTTTTGTTCGATGTCTCATTCAAAAGTGATTGACTTTTAATTGCTGGCAAAATAGAAATTTAAAACATCTATTATTTTCAAAAGATCCAAAACTTGAAAATTGCTCGGGGAACGCGTCTTTAAATTACGAGTAAAATCCGTAAAATCCAACTTGTTTCCGACGCGACCACATTGTGTATTTTTATATACAAGGTCGTTTAGGTGGTGCTACCTTACTTGGTCTGTAATTGTTTTAACTCGTTACATGTCACAAGTAAGTGATGTATCACATTCACTTTTCCAGCAGCAGCTCATGACGTGTCTGAAATGTACATTCGCATTTACTGAACTGCTCTGTCGCCGTCCGAGCTGCAGTGCAAGTGATACTTTTGAGGAGATCCTTGGTTTCATACCAGAAAGAAATTATGTTTTGCTGATTTCATATATTCCACAATATATTCCACAATATACAGAAAGATGCCAAGTACGATCCAGTTGCAGAGCAGGAGGCCAAGGACTGGATTGAGGCAGTCACTGGGGAGCGTATCGGCGGGGCCACTTTTCACGAGGGTCTCAAAGACGGAGTCATCCTTTGCAAGTACGTCCCGACAGACTTCCCCACCCTGGCACCCTCTAAGAATGAGTGCATCCCTTGTGCTCTTCGACCCTTTTCGCTTGTATATGACACCACTTCCATACTGAGAGTTTAATACTTTTGAAGTCACCTAATTGCATCATGCTATTTTTAAACACTAGAATGCTTCTGAAAAGAAATCCCCTTCATTTCGCAATAATGGCCCTTATTACCAAAACCTCGCGTCCGAATCGCGTCCTTCTTTATTTTAAACCGATTAAGTTCCTCTTGAAAACAAAACCCATTTCAGCCATTTTTCCCATCACTAAAAATTATTGTGACCTGGAACCGTGACCTGGGGTCATTATTGACAAGCAGGAAATGTTAGCCGCATCCGTAAACCTCTTGTCTTGAGGGCTATTGTCTAGGTCCTTGTCCATTGCAACTAAGTGGAGAAAAGTGGACAACATAAACGTAGCCATTCTGGCTGCCCGTTTTGAACGCGGCCTTATAATCGCTTTTATTGTAGACTTTCTTTCCTGCACAATTTGGTGAAAGGAGTTTAGATGGCACAAGTTAGCACCATTTGTCACTTACACGTGTCACTGTACTTGGGGAGAAGCAGCTTTTTAAGTGTTTGTCATCAGAAATCGAATTTCGCTTGTGTTAATATGAAGGCCCTATGAAGGTGTTATGAAAAAGCATGATGTGACACTCGATGCGTGCGAGTCGGCCGTTTTGGAAAACGCAGCGAACGGCTCTGGAAAATAAGTTTTCGCTTTGGTACGAAACGTTCAAACGTTTAAAACGTTTATTTCTAACGTGAGTGGAACACTTCCCGAACTCATCGCCTTCCCGATCGTAGAGGATTGTAAAGCGAGTATTCAATCATATTGTCAGTATGCCATTAAAGCAGACCCATTTGCGAGGAAGAATTACAAAACTGTTATCTTTTTGTTTTTGAAAGGCTCGCTAACAAGCTGCAACCGGGCTCTGTCGCCAAGTTCAATACAAGTAAGATGGCATTCAAAATGGTAAGTCCCCCTTTATTTTCCTCAAGTAGCTGTTGATGTTGTGATTGTGGACTAACTAATTTTTCAATTAATCGAGTATGAATTAATTTTTTGCTTCTCAAACTCATCACCATGTAGATGGAAAATATCGGCAAATTTTTGAGCTTTACTGAGGCGTACGGATGCAATAAAGTTGATATGTTCCAAACGGTGGACCTGTATGAAGATCAGAATATGCCACAGGTAAGGCTTTGGACAGCACACTGTTAGTTTATTTAAGTTAAATTGGCCTCATTAAAACATCTATGCGAAGACTAGAATGTGAAAAAAATCTTGCTCGAAACGAGCTCAATGGACTTTATTCACAAGTCGGCCATATTAAATTAGAGGCGAGGCAAAGTCTTCATTTTTGGAACTTGCGAGTAGAAATGAAAGCAATGAAATAAAAGATCATTACAAATTAATACCAGTGGTATTTTGGTACTAAATGGTACTTGGATTTTACTCTCTCTTTTTCCTCAAAATATATAATTTAACCGCTGAGCTGACACAAATTTTTTTTTTGGGGGGGGGGGGGGATTTTAAGCATTTTTGAAGCCTCCGACAGAAACAAGTATACACAAAAAGCAAACGAATTATGATGACCTGTACCTCAACAAGTGCGAGTGCACAGTAAGCTTTGGCCGTGTTGCAAGAAGTCTTACATGAAAGTCTTGCATGAAATCTATCAAAATGATCCCTGCCAGAGTTTAAAAATGCGACGTCGAAAAGAGCGAAGCCGAAAAAAATGCGACACCGAAGGCACATACGAAACACCATACTTTTGGTCAATTTCCGGAGACAGACAGACAGACCAACCGACCGGCCACCAAGTGACATGTAGAAGCACCTGCCAGGGTTTAAGAATTGAAGTCAAATATAAATGTCATAATAACTGTGTGTGCTCAGTTATCTCTGAGAGATTGTGAGCAAAATATACACAAGTTAAGCCTGCTCGGGTGGGAGTCGAACCCGCGACCTTCACAAGCATCTCACATGTACGGACAGTAAATCGAAAAGTGCTTGTGAAAATAAGCCGTTTTCAATTATGTTCCTTTTCGGAGTTCTGACCCTACACGGGTGCAAACACAATATCAAAAGCCTATACATCTCTCAGACGACAAAAACAAATATGATCTTCGTCCCTTTTATTAACAGTTTGATGAAATTGTTGTTTTTGTTCCAGGTGATTAATGCAATCCATGCGCTCGGACGTAAGGTACGTATTTATGTGCATTATTTATTCACAGATGTAGATTTACGTTGTTTTATCTAAGGGGAATCAATAATGTTATCAAACGGTCACTTATAATCGATTAAGTAAACAAGGAGTATAATCTTCTTCGTTTTTAATTGCAGGCCCAGGCGAAGGGATTCAGTGGGCCGACACTCGGGCCCAAGGAGTCTGCCGCGAATAAGCGGGAATTTACGGAGGAGCAACTCAAGGAGGGCCAAAATGTCATCGGGCTTCAGATGGGTACGAACAAGGGGGCCTCCGCCGCCGGACAGAACTTTGGACTGGGACGTCAGATCAAAAGTTAGGGCCCCTGCCAAGTCAAATAACTACAAACGCAAAACCAATATGCAACAACTTCTAAAAAGATCATAGTTCATTCACCACACAAACTCAGACAACCGGTAATACTAAGAAAAGAAGGGGAATTTCATAAATCTATGCCCAGTCAGTAGCAAAGTCTTCTTAGAAACCACGTCTGTTAAATTCGACAGTTTGATAAAGGTCGATATATCAAATTAATACGTTGAGGTTTCGATGTGAGTTTTGTTGTCTTTTTGCTGGGGTATAATGACTTTAGATTTCATGCTGTCCGAAGTTGATGTTTTAAGACGGTTTTATTGCACAGTGCAAAGCCCTGTCCAAGCATTTAGAGAAATGACACAATGGTCCAAGTATAAAGTGAAAAGTACCTTTTTTCCATAAGTATCTCTAAAGGCTTTATCGAGTTTGACGTTGTTCGCAAACAACACATTTTTTTTCTGGTGACACTTTGACAACCTTTCAAGCAAATTTGCACAGATTTTTTTGAAGCCGATACTCTGCCCCAATAAATTTGAAATTTTGATTAATTTGTATTTACTTTTTTTTCTCGAATTAGTGCCTTCAAAAGAGATGCATGGCCTTAGCGGTTCCATTGTTTACTGTTCAAAAGTTTCTACTTTGAATAAAATGTCTTGGTATTTGGTTTAATAGAGTATTTTTTATATTAATAGATGCAAATTAGTTTGTCTTATAAAAAAAATACATATATAAGGTGTCCAAGAAACTCACGCAACCTCGTACTTTCACTTTGCAGAGACCTACTGACACTTTATGACTAGGATTTTGTTTTGGAAGGAAAATGATACCAATAACTCCTGATTCGGTCTAATAGTTTTGATTCCAGCGCCATGTTAGCGAACCAAAGTCGGGGACAACGGATTATCTTAACCCCTGACCTTGGTTCACAAGAATGGTGCTGGAATCAAAACTACTGAACAGAATCGGGAGTTTTTTGTTTCATTTTACTTCAAACAAAATTCCCTAGCCGTACATAATGGTTTAGGTCCCTGGATCCTGGAAAGAAAAGGTGGCGTGTTTCTTTTTCGACCACCCTGTATGGACATTTAGCACTCTTTTGTTTTGAACATTTTACGCATTCATTAGCAAACATATAACATTTGTATATCTATTATAGAGAGTGATGTTTTTTGACAAAGCGATGCCAAACTTATAGTGCATTATTGCGTATAGATTGATTTCAAGTGTGTATTGCATGTTTTACGTCAACTTTATTACGCAGGCAACGAGGAGGTCGAATTTGCGATTTTACGTTGACCAAAAAAGAAGTTATATTTCGCAATCTCTTGCGGTATTTCTGTAAAGTAATAATGCGTTTAATTATGCACAATCTTCCAAAATCTAACAGCGTCTTCCTTTGTGTTGTCATAGCAGCTTTACACAGGGTTTGGATTTAGCTTACGGGTAGACTAATGTAAAAGTACGCGACGCGTTTCGTAGTCTTGAGTATCATAAAAGTATGTTGTCCAATGGAGTCCAACGCAGCGTTTTTAGTGGATTTGGTTTAAACGACTCTGAGAATGAATTTTTTTATTTTTTTTTATTTCATCGTCATTATCAGTCTAACCCAATTAATGTTTTCACGCACTTCTCGCATTTAGACATTTATTTTGAACAATCACTAAAAGTTTAATAACATTTGACTGCATAGAAATACACCTTAATAATTTAGCGAATTTTTTTTTCTTCCAATTTTGGTTCAAATATCCCTGGATAGTTCTGTCAATTTTCTTTCAAATATTGCACTTTGACGTGATAGCTGTTATGCTGTTAACAATTGATATAGAAATTAAAAAGCAGAAATCTTTCAAAATCAATGTTATTTGTATCGGCGTATAATTCTTAGTTTATGGTTAAAAGTTCCTTAAATCGTGGCTTAATGTAAGGTAGAAAGGTATGAAGTGGAGAGGAAAAATAGGTTCATTGGGCTCAAACTTGAATTGTTGCTCTGGGTAGATGGCGGAACAGATGGAAGTTTTTAGGGTATAGAAACTGGACAAAACATGACCCCAAATCCCCCCCCCCCCCACCCAATAACCTTGGAAAGGACATTTCTGGGAAAGATTGCCATATAAGAAGTTCACTAATTTTCATCTGTATTGACTAACAAGCCTCCAGATAGCAATTTCATGTCATCAAAGTCAATTTGAGCAGTGAGAAAATACAAGCATTTTCTTAGAAAACACTTAGAATTTTTCAGTCCAATCTCATAGGGTTTGTACACAGGGTGTTGAGTGAACTTCGTATATGGAAATCTTTCCCATTTCTGACCCCGTCAGCGCGTGCGCGTACGCTCAGTTATCAAGAGGAGGCTTGTTAATGTCAGATAGAATACAAAACTTTCCTTTTTTTATTTTTGTTATATTTTGGATTCAAAAGTTACGTTTCCCACCACCAAACATGGATGTCACATGAAAAGTGAGCATTTCTGCGGTTTTTTGGTTCAAATTTTCCTCGATAAATGTCAATTTTTCAAAAAGCCTACTTTGAGATGACAGCTGTTACAAAAAAAAACTTGGTAAGGCAAAACAAAAAAAAAGTCTCCGGTTTCTGGTATGGAGCTTGCCCAAAAAGTGGTGCGGCGACGCGGTTTTTTTTTTTACCTGATTTTTTTTGTTTCAAATGTCGGCTGATGGCTGCAAATTAATGGTGCCCGACTAAACTTAGTGCAAATATATAGGAGTCCAGAGAGGCCACATAAAGCTTATTCTCGACCATAACCCAATCTAAAAACACGTTAAAATTGTGCAGCAGCAGGATTCCAGTCAAACAAATGATTTGGCTGTTTTGAGACATCATCTTTCATTGAAAAAAAAAATTTTTCATTTTGCCGACGCCCATGGCAACGGCGACGCGCTCACATTCCAGAAACCGGAGACTTTTTTTTTGGCCTAAAGGAATTAACAAAAAAAAATATTTCAATATAATTAAGTCATGTGTAAGTCGGCGTATAATTCTTTGTGTATTTAAATCATGGGCTTGATAAAGATCGATTAAAGGTAAAGTCAAGGGGCAAAAAAGGTTCACGAGTGGTTCATATGGTATATGGAGGAACATTATGAAACTTTTTAGGGTATAAGTGAAAACTGATGATTCAGGAAAGATGACAATTCAAATGACATTTCTAGTACCCCGTCGATCAGCGCAGCGCGTGCGCGCGCGCGTATGTCATATCAGATACAAATTTAAGTTACGTTTCCCACCACCAAACATGGATGTCACATGAAAAGTTGACATTTCTGCACAAGAATCTGAATGATCATGAGTTTAGAAAAAGAGCCAGGCTCATTGATGTACCTTATTCATGATCATATCTCAGTGTCGAAGTTTGTAGAATGCGACCTTGCAAACGCAAACCGAAGGTGAAATACCTAACCCCTGACGTCATACTAACTTCTAGGTTAATGTATCGACGACGGCTGATGCATGGATGGCCTTTGGGGGGAGGGGCGGAGAGGGCCGGGGGCGCGGCCGGGATCACATGAAGTCATTGATGTGTGCTCTTTCTTTACTTGCATAATCCCTTCATCCAAACCTTTCTTAAAAGTCAACTTTTATGCATCATATTCGCTCATCGTTTTAAGATAAAATCAGTCCTTACCCAAAATAACAAATTGTGTTGCGGCTGCCGGGGGCTTATAATTCAAGTAAGTATTATCATTGAGTACTTCTGCTGCTGCACGTGACATTTGTTGTTCATTACATTTACATGTACTTCATGGTCAAACTTCCTAAGTCTTCAGGAAAATCTTTCCAAAAAACAAGGGTATTACATTATTTCAGACGTGTTCGGGTTTTTTCCTTAAATTGTTTGATTCTTGTGTTTTATTTCGTTACATCATGACCTTTAACCCTAAAAGGTTTTCATAATTCCAGACAATAGTTTTCACATTATGTTTATTTGAAAATGCAGTTTCTCATGTCTGCTAAAACACGAAACTTAATACAAAAGAAACGAATAGGAAACTGTGCACTTGTAAACACAGATTCGTCCCGTAGTACCCGTTGCCTTAAATTTTTCATGCGGGAATAGTCTCGTGATCATGAAACTATCTGAGCTATAGAACTTTAGGTTTAACCTACCGCACCGGCCATCACAGAAGGACATCTTTTAATTCAGTAACTGCAACAATGAACTTGTGCAAAAGGTTCGCTCTTTGGTAAAAAAAACATTGAGGAGGTGCGGCAATAGAGGGCGCTGTTGGAGCTACTGCGGAACATTTTGGAAAGAAAAAAAGATTGACGCGCATGATTACAATCGACGCGTGCGCTGACCAGAGACCAGGGTTTTTTTGGGCCTTACTAATTTAAGCCAAGAAAGAGTGAAAACTGCAACTACCCAAAATTGGGTTGTTCTATAACCAGTTGTTTGGGTTATAATTTCTGGTAAATTCAACCAAAACTTGTGGTCTAGTATGACTACAACTTTTGGTTGAATTTAACAGAAATTATAACCCAGCCAAACAATTTTGGGTAGTTGCAGTTTTCACCCTTTCCTGGGTTCAGTTATAGTAACTCAGGCAATTTTTCAGTGGGACGGCTGTAGCTAGCTGTGCGCGCGTGTGCATAATTGTCAGTCCTGAACAGAACTCCCATCGACAGATGGTACCCGCCCCTACCTGTGTCACATGAAAATCGGACTCGTATGAAAATCGGACTCTTTTTCTCTTTTATTGGTTAAACCCTCTCACATGACCGGTCCCTCTCCTAATTATCTATGCATGAGCATGCGCGATACCACCGATGAGTCCGTATTTCATAAAACCTAAATTCACGCTACACCTGCACACCCGTGATGGAAGTTACTCCAAGCTGTTTGATGAACTTTTGGTCCATCCATCCTTCTACTTGCATTTCCCATGATTCATTCATCATCGGCCTGTGAAACCTGACGACCTGGGTCTTGGGTCAGAGGCCGAACCGTTGCTATGTCCACGAATGTTGTCGAAAAATACCGACGGCATTCATTAGTATGTGCCGCAAAATCTTGTTCCCGTCTCCACGGGTCCACTTCCAACTAAAACATCCGCCCATGACATCTATTGTTCAAGACAGTTTATAGATGTTGCAATGTCAATAATACTAATACCACTGATTGAGCTTGGAGTTCAAGATAATGAGACAAAACACCAAATTACTTATATCTCAGTTCAGATATCAAAATTTAATCTTAGACCCTGGCGGATACCTACAGGTCACCCATAGTGATGATAGTCCATAATTTATTTATTTATTTTATTTTTTTTACGCTTTGATGATATAGAATGATGATATAAATATTGTCGCAATGATATTATTTTCAAAGGTATTATGTGACAACCTGCATGCGTCACGTTTAACTTCATATTAATATGTTATCAGTTTTATTTGTGGGTATTTCAAGTTTTACCACACACACATATAGTGAATTTACTGCGAGAGATGACTTGTGATATTCTTCAAAATCAATTTAGGGCGCAAAATTGCCAAGACAGGCCACATGCGTTATAGGGCGAAGTCAGAGGGCAATGGTTTTGTATCGCTGAGATATTTGTTTCAATCCTTGTTATTAAATAAAAATAGCAATACCTGTCCCCCGGCTCCGAGACAACTGCTCCGCAAATAAAGCCTTAAAAATGTGACAATATTAATTTCATGGGACTTCTGCAATTATTGAATGACTTTAAAGATAGATGTAGATGGAAGACATAAATTTATTGATTTGTCATTTATTTTGTGGTATACTATTATGCGGGATATCCGAACGTGGGCTGCATGGATTAAAATGCAACAAACATATGGTGAATGGAATATTTTATGCACGGTATGAAGGCTAACCACTGTACAAGTGGATGTAAAAATGACGTCAGAATACTAATTCAGTGGTCAGTGTCCATAAAAGGGAGGGGCTTATACGTAAACGGGCCAGGCTGACTTCGCTGGCGCTAGTGCTTTTACAGACAATATCCTGTCGACTTGTGAGTAGAACGCAGTCTGTTTTTGAAGTGACTTTTCAGCACCAGAATCACCAGCAATCATGGCTCAAAGACCAAAGGACTACGGAATGACTGCCGAGCTGGCGGACAAGGTAGGTGGGGTGTAAGCTTGGGCAGACATTGATAAAGCTAGGAAGATAGTTTGCAGGTGGTTGATTAGGCCCAAAAAAGTCTCCGGTTTCTGGTATGCGCGCGCGTCGCCGTAGCCATGCGCGTCGGCAAAATGAAAAACTTTCTTTGTCAATGAAAGATGATGTCTCAAAACCGCCAAACTCACTGGTTTGACTGGAATCCTGCTGCTGCACAATTTTAACGTGTTTTTAGATGAGGTTATCATCGGCGAGAATAAGCTTTATGTGACCTCTCTGGACTCCCATATATTTGCACTAAGTTTAGTCGGGCACCATTTGCAGTCATCAGCCGACATTAATTTTGAAGCAAAAAAATTAGGTGAAGAGAGAATTCAATAACAAAACGTCGCGCTGAATATTTTTGTTCGATGTCTCATTCAAAAGTGATTGACTTTTAATTGCTGGCAAAATAGAAATTTAAAACATCTATAATTTCAAAAGATCAAAAATTTGAAAAATTCTCGGGGAACGCATCTTTCATGCATCTTTCATTTACGAGGAAAATCTGTAACATCCAACTTGTTTCCGACGCGACCACATTGTGTATTTTTATATACAAGGTCGTTTAGGTGGTGGTCCCTTACTTGGTCTGTAATTCTTTTAACTCCTTAGATGTCACATGTGAGGGATGTATCACATTCACTTTTCCAGCAGCAGCTCATGACGTGTCTGATATGTACATTCGCATTTACTGAACTGCTCTGTCGCCTTCCCGGAGCTGCAGTGCAAGTGATACTTTTGAGGAGATCCTTGGTTTCATACCAGAAAGACATTTGCTGATTTCATATATTCCACAATATATTCCACAATATACAGAAAGCTGGCAAGTACGATCCAGTTGCAGAGCAGGAGGCCAGAGAGTGGATTGAGGCAGTCGTTGGGGAACCTATACAGGACAACTTTCAAGAGGGTCTCAAAGACGGAATCATCCTTTGCAAGTACGTCCCGACAGACTTCCCCACCGTAGCATAGTCTAAGAATGAGTGCATCCCTTGTGCTCTTCCACCCTTTTAGCTTGTATATGACACCACTTCCATACTGAGAGTTTGATACACTCCAATTTTTAATTTTGAAGTCACCGAATTGCATCATTAATCGGCTAAAATCTTTTCGTTTTTGAAAGGCTCGCTAACAAGCTGCAACCGGGCTCTGTCCGCAGGATCAATGAAAGTAAGATGGCATTCAAACAGGTAAGTCCCCCTTTATTTTCCTCAAGTAGCTGTTGATGTTGTGATTGTGGACTTACTATTTTTTCAATTAATTGAGTATGAACACGGGGCGGATCCGGGGGGGGGGCGTGGGGGCGCACGCCCCTCCTTTTTTCCTCAGAAAAAAATGTTACACGCGCTATTCTTAATTTCAACTGGACATGCTCAATCTTGAGGGGAAAAGCCCGTATTTCTGACGCATGTGTCATCACATCAAAGCCATGCCGCTGTACGATGTTCCGTACGTACGGCATGCGGCAGTGCAGTGCAGTGCCATCCCAATTCACAGGTTCCCACCGCGTTCCCAACAGAATGAAAGCTATTATGATGTAGGACCAGAACCAGTGACTACAAATACGAGCTATATATACGCTGCAACAGTTTCGTGCGTTGAACTTGAAATTGGATCATAGAAAACACCAAACGAACATCGATGGATGGAGAGAGTTTCTTCAAATTAATTTCCATGCAGAACGTGATCTCTCTTTTCTGTGTATGTGTTTTCCATTAAAATTAATATTTATAACGAGATTGTTCCGCTCGTATGTGATACACCGTAGCGTGTTTCTGCAAACTTTTCGGTCACGGTACGAATGGCTTTGTCCGGGTCCCACACAATACACAGTGCTGTTTTCACACCATAGTGCGCCGTGTGCGCGACGCGATATACGGCCAGCGCTGCGGCCGGCGGCTGACGGTAACTAACATTGTCATTGTTTGAGCAAAGTGGCGCGGACGACTTCAATTCTCCATTATTTTAAAGAATAACCCACCTTAAATATATTTTCATATATTATTAGACAAGGCAAAGTTTTATCTAAAAGTTTTGATGGACATTCTCGATAACTTTCATGGCGCGACAGGAATGTGATAGGAATCAGATTTTTTTGTTCTTGAAACTTGAAACTTACTTTTAATCCATATACTTTTCCTGTTTAGGAAGTTGTAATGTTTGTGAAATGACTATTCAGTATTTTTTGTTAAAAATATTTAAAAATCTCCTCTGAATTTTGTGGAAAAATCTGCCGCAGAGACCCCCAGATTTGCTCTAAAATGCACCAGAGAGCTTCTAAAGTTCACGAGTTAATGTTTCACCACAACAAAACTTCCCACACAAGTTTGTAAAAAGTTTCACGCCCCCCTCCCTTTTGGAAAATCCTGGATCCGCCCCTGATGAATGAAATTTTTGCTTCTCAAACTCATCACCATGTAGATGCAAAATATCGGCAATTTTTTGACGTTTGCTGAGGCGTACGGATGCAATAAAGCTGATATGTTCCAAACGATGGACCTGTTTGAAGGTCAGAATATGCCACAGGTAAGGCTTTGGACAGCACACTGTTAGTTTGTTTAAGTAAAACAAATTGGCCTCATTAAAACATCTATGCGAAGACTAGAATGTGAAGAAAAAAAATCTTGCTCGAAACGAGCTCAATGGACTTTATTTTTTTCCTCAAAATATACAATTTAACCGCTGAGCTGAAACATAATAGGGTTTTGCGATTTTAAGCATTTTTGAAGCCTCAGACAGAAACAAATATACACAAAAAGCAAACGAATTATGATCACCTGTGCCAATAACAAGTGCGAGTGCACAGTAAGCTTTGGCCGTGTTGCAAGAAGTCTTACATGAAAGTCTTGCATGAAATCAATCAGAACTAGAGGTTCGCGTTTGTTGTTACACACGCAGAGTGGTCGGGTAGACAACCATTTCATTAGACATTGTCCAATTAAGTTATGAAAATGTTTATGTCAGAAAAAAAGGACCAAGAACTTCAACATTTCCAGTACCAATTATTTTGTACAAAAAGTATAAATTTCAGTAAACAGTTGGGTACACGTACAAGTTATTTCCGGTTTGATGGCGTCATCAGCCAAACAGGGAAGGGAGGACTCTTGTTTATCATTAAGTAAAAATAACGCATGAAAATATGGAAATTAAGTGTATGTAACTATAACAGCTAATTTCCAGTTTGATGATGTCACAGTATTTGGAAGCAAAAGGTCAATATTAAGTGTAACAGATGTCATTTTTGGGGGGCAAAAAACAAAGTCATGAGACAGGGATCATATGATGGATTTAAATTTAAAATAAAATGGTTATTGTTGAATTCTCCCTACAGTAACTTCTGGTCTGATGACGTCATGATTATGAAACCTTGCAAATTCATTTGCGGTTGCTCACGGGATATATAGGGGCAATATATCATAAAAATTTGATTGAGGGTTTTAATATTTTAAAAGATTAAACTGTTTTCTATATGCCGCTGGAGGGCGCCCTATCGTGGATGACGTCAAAATAATGTTTTTGTGATTGGCATTCCTCACTTAACACTTCCATAATGTATTTGTCTGTAGTAAAATGCTTCCGTTTTAGAGTTAGATTCAGTTTCTATTGCACTCCCGGTAACACCGGAAGTAAAGGTCAAGCAGTTTTGTGCCCGGGAATAAGAAATGTTGCTCAAGGCACCGTCTACAACCTCACGAAAAAATGAACACGATACTCTATTTAGTTCCAGAGATATAGGTCAAAGTACTTTGTCAAATCGTGCAATCAAATCGCTTGTAATTTGATACCTGATGACGTCATGATGACGTAACAACAGTTATAACATCTTCGTAACATGGTACAAGTTCACACAAGGTTTTATGATCATACCGTAAACCGTTTGGAAGAAATTGTGCTTTGTTTCGATTTCAGGCTAATGTCTTCATTTTGAATTCACCTAACTATGACCTTCCGGTAGACCCGGAAGTAAAGGTCAAGTGAGTTCACGTAAAATGTTTATCAATTTATGGTCTATCTGTTTACAAGATTGGAGCATAATTGATCATTTTGTTGAAGAGTTATAGATGAAAGAAAACTGTCATTTTTTTTACAAAAATCGCTTGTAATTTGACACCCGATGACGTCATTATGGCGTCAGTGTAATATGCACCACTCTGAGTGAGGGTCAATATATGTTTTAAGTTACAAGTTCATATCATATACCGTTTAGGAGAAAACCCGCGGAAACTTGCTATGCAGAAAAAAAAAGAAAGAAAGAAAGAAAGATTAATCGCAACAAATCCAAAGAGTGGTCGGGTTGTGCCCGACCACTCAATGATCCCTGCCAGAGCTTAAAAATGCGACGCCGAAAAGAGCGAAGCCGAAAACAAATGCGACACCGAAAGCACACACAGAACACCATACTTTTGGTCAATTTCCGGAGATATACAGACAGACAGACCAACCGACCGACCACCAAGTGACATGTAGAAGCACTTGCCAGGGAATAAGAATTGAAGTCAAATATAAATGTCATAATAACTGTGTATGCTCAGTTATCTCTGAGAGATTGTGAGCAAAGCTGCTCGGGTGGGAATCGAATCCGCGACCTTCACAAGCATCTCACATGTCGAAAAGAGCTTGTGAAAATAAGCCGTTTTCAATTATGTTCCTTTTCGGAGTTCTGACCCTACACGGGTGCAAACACAATATCAAAAGCCTATGTAGCTCTTAGACGACACAAACAAATATGATCTTCGTCCCTTTTATAAACAGTTTGATGAAATTGTTGTTTTTGTTCCAGGTGGTTAATGCAATCCATGCGCTCGGACGTAAGGTACGTATTTATGTGCATCATTTATTCACATATGGAGATTTAAGTTGTTTTATCTAAGGGGAATCAAAATGGTATCACACGGTCCATTTTAATCGACTAAACAAGGAGTGTCTTCTTCGTTTTTAATTGCAGGCCCGGGAGAAGGGATTCGATGGGCCGACACCTGGGGCCACGGAGAGTCGGCACCGGGACTTTACGGAGGAGCAACTCAAGGAGGGCCAAAATATTAGCGGGCTTCAGATTGTTTCGAACAAGGGTGCCAGCGCCGCTGGGCAGACCCCCTATGGACTGGGACGTCAGGTGGAGAAGACAAATTTGAAAATTAAACAATGAACTGAGCGGACTTGTCTAGACGCATGATAACGGGCATTAATATCCGTTGGCTTGTAATCGCGAATTTTCCAGGTGTGCCATTGTGTTGGGTTTTTGCATGACATCTATAAAACGGAAATATTCATAAAACTGTAAGCAAAACTACTTCTTATTTAAGATATAAATTGTTCCAAAATTATTAAAGAATAAATACTTCAGAAATACACGTCAAATTTCGAGGAGATCACTGTTTACCCAAATTTCGTGTTTAATTAGGCTTTTATTAAAAAGTTTAAGAGAGATGTGATGCCGAACCGATGTAACAACAGTGACATTTTATTGTTCATCTTAAAGCTAAAGATTTTGTGCTCGGCATTACCATAGTCAAAACCAATATGCAACAACTTCTGAAAAGATCATACATGTAGTTCATTCTCCACACAAACTTGGGCAACCGGTAATACTAAGACAAGAAGGGGAATTTCATAAATCTAAGCCCAGTCAGTAACAAGTCTTTTAAGAAACCACGTCAGTTAAAATCGACAATTTGATAAAGGTCGATATATCGATATATTAGTTTGTCTTATAAAAAAAATACATATATAGGTGGTCCAGAAAACACACAACCTCGTACTTCCACTAAGCAGAGACCTACTAACACTATATGGCTAGGATTTTCATTTGGAAGGAAAATGATACCAAATTAACTCCTGATTCGGTCTAGTAGTTTTGATTCCAGCGCCATGTTAGCGAACCAAAGTCGGGGGCTCTATTTCCCACAAGGTGAACCAGCGGATTATCTTAACCCCTGACCTTGGTTCACAAGAATGGTGCTGGAATCAAAACTACTGAACAGGATCGGGAGTTCTTTGTTTCATTTTACTTCAAACAAAATGTCCTCACCGTACATGAATGAATTTTTTTTTTATTATTTCATCATCATTATCAGTCCAACCCAATTAATGTTTTCACACAATTCTCGCATTTAGACATATATTTTGAACAATCATTAACAGTTTTATAACATTTGACTGCATAGAAAATATCCTTGATGATTAAGCGAATTTTTTTCCTTCCCATTTGGTTCAAATTTCCCTGGATAGTTCTGTCAATTTTTTTTTCAATTATCGCACTTTGACGTGATTGCTGTTATGGTGTTAACAATTGATAGAGAAATTAAAAAGCAGAAATCTTTCAAAATCAATGTTATTTGTATCGGTGTATAATTCTTAGTTTATGGTTAAAAGTTCCTTAATGTAACGTAGAAAGGTTTGAAGTCGAGAGGAAAAAATAGGTTCATTGGGCTTAAACTTGAATTGTTGCTCTGGGCAGATGGCGGAACAGATGGAAGTTTTTAGGGTATAGAAACTGGACAAAACATGACCCCAAATTTACCCCCAATAAACTTGGAAAGGACATTTCTGACCCCATCAGCGCGTACACGCGCGTACGCTCAGTTATCGAGGAGGCTTGTTGATGTCAGATAGAATTTAAAACTTTCAATTTTTTTTTATATTTTTGTTATATTTTGGATTCAAAAGTTACATTTCCCACCACCAAACATGGATGTCACATGAAAAGTGAGCAAAGTGCGGTTTTTAGTTATGTCAATTTTTCAAATATCCTACTTTGAGATGACAGCTGTTACAAAAAAAAACTTGGTAAAGGAATTAACAAAAAAAATATTTCAATATAATTAAATCATGTGTATGTCGGCGTATAATTCTTTGTGTATTTAAATCATGGGCTTGAAAGATCGATTAAAGGTAAAGTCAAGGGGCAAGAAAGGTTCACGAGTGGTTGATATGGTATATGGAGGAACATTATGAAAGTTTTGAGGGTATACGGTGGAAACTGATGATTCAGGAAAGATGACAATTCAAAATGACATGGATGTCACATGAAAAGTTGACATTTCTGCCAAAGAATCTGAATGATCATGAGTTTAAAAAACTGAGAGCCAGGCTCATTGATGTACCTTATTCATGATCATATGCAGTGTCGAAGTTTGTAGAATGCGACCTTGCAAACGCAAACCAAAGGTGAAATACCTAACCCCTGACGTCATACTAACTTCTAGGTTAATGTATCGACGACGGCTGATGCATGGATGGCCTTTGGGGGAGGGGCGGAGAGGGCCGGGGCCGGGATCACATGATGTCATTAATTGATGTGTGCTCTTTTTCTACTTGCATAATCCCTTCATCCAAACCTTTAAGTCAACTTTTTAAGCATCATATTCGCTCATCGTTTTAAGATAACCATTACCCAAAAATAACAAAATCGTGTGTGTTAATTCCTGGGGGCTTGAGTTTAAATAAAGTACATTGAGTACTTTTGCTGCTGCATGTGACATTTGTTGTTCATTTTATTTACAAAGTCATGTACTTCATGGTCAAACTTCCTAAGTCTTCCTTTGATAAGTACGCCATCAATATAATCCTTGACTTTGGATCTAGCGCGGTGCAAAGCGCATATTGTCCTAAATTTCATGAAATAGTCGTCTGCTTCGAGTTAAACGCATGAACGTACGTGGGTCACGTTGGGTCACACTCACAGATATCTATGCAATGTATAAGACGTCGACGAGTCGACACATGTGGATTCGTTTCTCATGCATGCTCAACTGTACTACTGAAATTCTACGTCATATTTAATGCACATCAAGTCACGAGAACAGTGATAGTTGACGTCTATATTTCCTCCAACTCTGACCGTAGTTGAACTCCGGGCATATTACAGCCGAAACTGCAGTTCTTTTGGACTTAGCCCACGTATTTTCTTTAGAGTTTCGTCATCAACAACACTCAACAGTCAGGCAACATGCCGATGAATAAAGGCCGCGCGTATGGCTATTCAGCTGAGTTGGAGAGAAAGGTGAGGATTATTTGGGGGTCACTCAAAGAGCATAGATTACAGGTCGTTGGGAACTTGATGAAAGACATTTACTACGCTTGGAGTATGCTTTAATCCTGTGTAAATAATGGCAGATTTATAAACCTAACAAGTCCTCACTGACCTCAGACATGTCAGAAGAAGATACATTTGTACCCACAATTCATTCATTGTCAATTGAAGTCACACAAGTTATTTTGACATGTCTGAAATGAAAATCTTTTCCTTGATCTATAATGGCCATATGGTGTGACCACAGGGCGACCGTAAGGTCATGTCCAAATTCTGCTAAATGCACTTCAAAAATCTGTCAGATTTATCAAAAATCTGCCAAATTCCGTACTTGAAATACACTTTAAACACGTAAAATCACATGCAGATGTTGTAGTATTGCCTTAATTAAGGTTCAAATTACATTATAAACAATCTATAGTCACATGAAGATGTTATGAAATCGCGTAAATTTCAAGCAAAACGCGGTTGCGTCACGACGAAATCCGGTTCGCAGTGAACCTCAGCATCTAGACCAGCCAACCTGCCCCATTATTATATTATGCAACTGTTTGATTGAAAATATTTAAGTTTTTTTTAACAAATGTACCATTTTTTTTCAGCTTTGCTGTTTTTCTGTCAAATAACCAATTTCTACAGAATTCTGCCAGAAATCTGCCAAAAGAGCTCATTCTGTCATATTTTTTGTCAAACCCCTAAAAAAATTTTTAAAAATCTGTCAAAGTTAGTTGAAAATCGGCTAAAACGGTCACCATGGACCATGGAGAAAGGAACAGGAACACATCCTTGTACATGCTGGGAGTGTTGGTGACAAAGGCATTCCTTTGTCGTTGTTCATCTTTTTGTCTTGAGTCTTGAGGTTGACTTGTGATGGACTTCTGTATTTGTGCAATATGGTGCTTGTAATGTTAATGCTTAGCTTCTACTGAGTGGAGCGTTGAACTACGGTACCCTCCGTTAGAACGGAGGGTACCGTAGTTCAATGCTCCAGCTTAATAGAGCTAGGTAATGCTTTATTTTGATGTTACATGTTTTGTTAAGCTAGGCCTAGGCCTACTTAAAGAAAACAAAATTGGTCAACAATAACATATAATTTTTGTCAAATATTGTAAATTGTAAATTACTATTTCATAGTACATTCGTGCATGCTCACTATAGTGGAAATATTCAAGGAGCTGACTTGAATTATTGACATTTTTGTCAAAAAAGTGTATCATTAACTGAAAACTGAAGCAAATTTTTTTGAAGGGACAAGATCACAGGTTTAATTAAGACTGTGACTACCAGCAAGTTGTACTTGGCCAATATATGCCTCAATTCCTGCTGCCCCACAAGTTGTACTAGAAAGACATTCTAAAAACTGACCGCTGCAGATAATGTCCACTTAATACTCCTGTTGTGTAGTAAACATGACAGACAGAAGTGAACCTCATTTCTAGTTCAGCATTCATAATTGAAAAGACTTCCAGCACGTACGGAAACCTGGATGTTCCAATTGTCTACACTTCCTCCTTCTCTTCGTCTCAGTGAAACAAAGAGCAGAGTTTCACAATTGTTCAGGATGTTGTAATTTGAAAGTCAGAAGAGAACTGGACAGTGTTTCCTCTTTCTGTTTAACTTACAAAACTTGTATTGATAACGAGCGTTGTTTCCCCCCCCCCCACTTCCCCCCCCCCCAAAAAAAATGGCGGATTTTCCAAGATGGCGGATGCATTCTTCCGTTTTTTCAACTCTTTTGCTGAATACAAAATTGTGTCCAACAGTCCAAATGAGCCATGACCCTTTCTGCATCTTATAGGCTATAGCTATAATTTTATTGGAAACAAACAATGTGCAAAAATATTGTACAATGTAATTTATGTATGAACTAAAAAAATTTAAAAAGAGGCGGGCAGGAAAAAAGGAAGCAGGCGGGGATGAGAAACTGGGTTTTTTTTGTATGCCTTAGGCCTATTATAAATGCAAATATATTTTTTTAAAAAGGTAATACGATCAATTTCTTTTTTTCATGCTATATTCTTTGCACAGTCATGCACATTATAATTTCTTTCAACCCTATCCACCCACATTTTTCCAGACTTATGGTTTTTTAGGTAATCCGCAGTATCAACAAACCCAAGTTATTTCAAGGACTAACCAAACAAAAGAAATCCCAAACAACTTTCAACAAAAAAAACTGTTCACAGAACAGTCACAACTGGGGCAGTCTGGATTTGTTAAAGTTCATTGAGTTTGAACAGCTAACAGTGGGCGCAAGCTTTACAGAATATGTGGCCTTGCCATGCAACTTGGAAACAGTCCAGGCCGGCATTCCAAGGAAAAAACCTGCCCCCTACAGTTCAAATACCCCGCTGCGCTATTATCCATCTGTGATTTTTTGCATGACATCACGTTTTCAACAATTGCACCCTGAAGTTTAAGAAATAAAGTACCCTTTATGCTTGCAAGAAGTGTGTAAATTGTCAGATTTCCTACATAGATGCATACTGTAGTGACCCATATTCAGTCTCATTTAACTTTGCAAAATAAACATGAACCAACATTCAGGCAATGTATTGGCTGTGACAACTTCTCAGCACAATGTTTGGTTTGGCATAAATGTTCCTACTGACAGCAAAGAAACTCCATGTACGTAGATCTACATGTACATGTACATTTGTAGATCTAACATTTTACATTTTTTTATACTAATTATACACCTGAGGCCGAAACAAAAAATAGTTCTGCTTCCGGTTACCCTACATGTATCTACCCTATTTTGACTGCTGTACCCTAATTTGTTTGGGAAAACGAGGAAAAAACATAGAAAATTATCCACTACTACCTTTTACCCTTGACTCAGGCATGCAACTTTTCCTCGGATCAGCTGATTTCCTCGTTTCTCACTTCAGACTTATGCCATTAAAACTTGAAAAACAGTGTACAAAGTCTTGTAAAGATTGGAGTGTCCTCGTTTTTTGTTTCTTCCAAGTTGCATGCCTGTTGACAACACCTCCATATGATCGTACGCCAACAAATTGGCCTGCCTACCTGCCTACCTGTACGTGTACCTGCCCTATTTTCAAGTATTTGGAAAGCAGAACTATTTTTGTTTGCCTTATAAGAAGTTGCCTTTTTATACCCCATTCGAAATGCCTGTGCCTGTCACAAGTTTTCAGTATAAATATCAACCTTCATTCACGTCGGCCATAGATGCGCGCAAGGAAATTCCAAAAACATAAAGTTTAAAAAACTTTTTTGTTTGAGTCTGCTCTGTTTCACTTTGCGTCATTTCATTTGGTTTCATTTTGCTCTTGGGTTTCATGTTGTCGTTTGATTTTGTTTTCTCTTGAATTGCTGTTTAACTTAAAACCATAAACTCAGCACCTATTAGGCCTAACTAAAAAGATTTTCTTGCACTAAAACTGTTTGTTTCTCTACAGTGGGCTTTTGTACTATGCAATACAATGTTCTCCATCGTGTGTCTGGAAGTGTTTTACAGTTATGGTACATGTATATGTACATGTAGCTGTTCCTGCTTTATGTTTGTATGTGACCCCATGACCAGACATGTGATTTACAACCTTGAGCTCAATAGTGGAGTGAAGGTTACTGGGTTCTTCCCTTTTGTTCCTTGGAGAGAAATTTGGGAAGGGAAAACAAGTCTGAATGTTAAATTATGTAGGTGTACTAGTACAGGCTGAGTAAAAAAACCCGAAACCCAAATGTTGGGACTATTGTTTTAGTGAAGTTCTGCATCAACATGTAGCACTTTTAAAATCTAGGATATGAAAGCACAATTCATAAACTTTGTTGTACTTGTACTTTACAAGAATCATTCAAATCACTCGTGTACTTTTCAAGTTAGGGAATTTTAAACACAACCACCGTTTTAAGGTTCTGTCCACAGATCACAAAAAAGTTCAGTGTTCTTTCAGCAAAACGAAAACAAATCACATAGGGATGTGCGTGAATTGTTTTAATTTTGCTGGAAGAACGCACACCTTTTTGGTGATCCATGGACAGAACTTTGAAACGGTGGTTGTGTTAAAAATTCCGTAACTAGAAAAGTACATGAGTGATTTTGAGTGATTCTTGTACTAAAAGAAAGCTTATGAATTGGGCTTTCATATCCTAGATTTTCAAAGTGCTTCATGAAGAACTTCACTAAAACAATAGTGCCGACATTTGGGTTTGTCACACTACCCCCCTCCTCCAATGTACACCAATTTTGAATATCAATGAGTTAACTTTCATTAAAAATTCATTTTTCCCCTTCTCCATTGTTCTCTGTAAAAGCACAGTATTAATTAACTGGCACAACTTTTCTTAAATGTTTTAAAAGAACAAAGTGCTGCATTGTTTTGGTAATTCCGAGTGTCAGCAGAAAAGCAATAAATGTTTTCAAATAAATTCATTGAAATTTCTGTTCCCCATAAGCCCATACCTTAATGTTGGTGTGCATGTGTATTCTGTGTACCAGAGCTACAAATATCTTCCCACAGTTTAATTCCTGGTTTCTGTCCTGGGTTTCACGGTAGGCCCTATAGTTTGTGACGTCACATGTTTACATAGCCCTTGGCTAGGGAAGGGCACCTTTCATGTCAGCTTGGTATGTCAAGTGTTGTGGGTCACTTCTCCACAATGACCGGCATTGTGGACCAGCCACAAAGTCAAGTGATTTTAGTTAATTATTTGCACATTGTAAAAAAGGACAACTGCATGCTAAAGTCTACTTGAACTTGACTTGAAGCAATCAATGGGAACAGTTGGGCAGTAGAATACTGTACATATCAAGGTCTGACATGTTTTGAGTATACCTCTTAGTTCTTGTGTGTGTTATCTGTTACTGGGGACAAATAAAACATCCTCTTTTGTTCTTGCTACATTCCATGTTAAAAGAAATATTTTAAGAAATATAGCATTAAAAAAATTTTTTTTTCACAAACATGTTATTATTCATAGCTTGTAAGTGGGTTTTTTTTTACTCCTTCCCCAATGTTACTAATTTACCTCCTTTCTTATATCCACATATATAGGTCTTTATCTTCAAAATCTTCCAATCATCCAATCTTCATGTATGTTAGAGCCATGGCCATAGATCTTGTGTATGGCAGCCATCTTAGGGCAATGCCTTTGTTCTGCTGGGATGTATGCACGAGTGAACTTATTGTGCATTTATTCTTACTGAATTGAAGTAACAAAAGTTGTCCTCTAAGATGGCTGTTAATGCATAACGTCTATTGCTACAACATGCACAGTATGCTCCACCACATGGACAACACACAGTGGATTACGCAGTGACTGCGGCTGTGGAATAACACACTTACTGCAGCTGACAAAGTTTGCTAGATGATTTAGGGAAAACCCTCCAGTTTTATTTCTCAACTTGCTCTGATTATTGTATTTTTTGGTTTAGGCCAGGGCTACCTTTGCGGAGAACCTGGACAAGGAGTTGGAATGCAGAGCATGGATAGAAGCCATCGTGGGCGACGAACTGGAACCGGTGGAAAGCGGCTGGGATAACTTCTCTGCTGCCCTGAAGAATGGCATCGTTCTGTGCAAGTAAATACATTTTGTACATGTATAACCTAAGCAATTTGCTTAAAATGTGTACTAGGGCCTAATTTGTTGAGCAGAAAATATTAGTACATGTAAGCAGATATGTGATAAGCTAAGAAGGTGAGAACCAGTTATGTGCAGAATACAGCACATTGTATTTTGGTTGGTAACCTGTTTTTGCTTAGCCTATATTTTCTAGAGTGATTATGTGAAAGCAAAGGACCTGCCAAACAAATGAAAAGTACAAAAAGTGGACTGACCAGAAAGTCACAAAGTCACCACTATATAAAATAAAGGAAAAGAAAAAGTTGTTAAGAAAAAGGTTATAGTGTTCATGTCTGTATTTTATTTTCTAGACAGCAAGCTTATTGTCTCATTTTTCTTCACAGGTTGATGAACATACTGCAGCCACGGAGCATCAAGAAGATCAACGAAACTAACACCATGGCGTTCAAAATGGTCAGAACATTTGTTCCAAAAAGTTACACCCCAAAAGCACAATTTAAAAGTACTCTGAAGTACCCACGAAATGACTGCGTTAAGTCTAGTGATTTAAGTGTCAGTGTAGTGTGTTTTATGAGCGAACTATACGATGGTCGAGTAGTTCTTCACACTACTTATCATCATTTAACAACTTTAAATGGTCCATTTCAAAGTCCCATTTAACCAAGTCAAGTGTTTGCGAGGCCTTTATGACTAATGTTTATCTTTATTGCACATTTTTGTGTCCCATATTTGCCGGTTATAACAATGAATTGAGAATTACATGTACATTTAATACTTGGCTGTTACTTTTTCAAATAAACACCTTTTTTATTCAAACTGCAGAAGTAGTTTTTTTTTTAAATAAGTATAAATATCCTTCTTTAATAAATGGTTTGAGCTAAATAGATTTTTTACCTGAAACTTAAGCCATGCCCTGCCATGGTCTGCAGCAAACATGTGACTTACCCTAACCAAAACAAGCTGAAGTCGATTGTAAACATTCTTAATTTACAAACATAATCTCTTACTGTCGAAATCAGCACACGAGAAATGCCAGTTCCATCAAAGCTTTCTGCTCAATTTTTACGTACAGTTTGAATTACTGGAAATCAATTTTGTTGTTGGCACAAAATTCCACAACCAAAATTCTGCAACTTTAGGGTTTCGGTTAGCGGGTCTCACATGTTTAAAGCCCTTTTCACACTAAACAAATCTCGGGGTTGACGCAGGGTTGACGCAGGGTTGAAAACATGCATTGTTTCTCACTTGAAGAATTTCAACCCTGCGTCAACCCTGCATCAACCCCGAGATTTATGTCGCCCCTGGTTGAACTCAACCCTGCTCCAGACCAGGGTTGAAATTTTCAACCCAGGTTGAAATTCTTGCCAATGTTCAAAACAGAAGTAACTGAACATGATAAGCTTGATTTGCATGAAACAAGTGTGAAACGATGCGGGTTGAACGCGGGGTTGAAAAATCAAAAACTCAACTTGGGGCAGCACTGGGTTCGCCCAGGGTTGAGTGCAACCCGGGTTGAGAGGCTCTAGTGTGTAAAGGGCTTAAGTAAATTCCAAGTTGTGTGTTATCCCATCATGTACCGCCCCAAACCGCCCAAGCGCTCTTATGGTTTTACAGATTCATCAGTTAAAACATACATTTTTACATAATGTAGTACACTGAGGTGCTAATGGGTTATAAGTAAAACAACATAATAGGAAAATGTTCATATTTTTCCCGTTATAGATGGAGAACATTGGTAATTTCTTGACAGCATGTGAGACGTATGGCGTACCCACCCGAGATCTCTTTCAAACTGTTGACTTGTTCGAGGGACGTAATATGAACAGTGTAAGTTACTTCCCTCCCCACCCCCCCCCCCACCCCCCAGGCAACAAAATTAATAAATAATTAAATTGGTAAGGTAAGGTAAATCGGTTTCCCTACCTACCCTATTCTGACAGCCCCTACCCTAATTTCTTTCTGGAAAAATGAGAAAAAAACACCTAAAAGCATCCATTTCTACCTTTTACCCTTGACTACACGCAGATGCCTCCATATGATCGCACACAAAAAAAATTGCAAAAAAAATATTTCCCTACCTACCTAATCTATTTTCAAGCTGAACTATTTTTTATTTTTTTGGCCTAGATATTTGTTTACATCTTCAAGGAATATTCAGTGATGTGACGTGAAAGATTTCTTGAGAAGGATTACTTTCCTCAGAAAATCATTTCAAAAAGTTTGCAGAGATCCACCATTGTTTTTTTTTAATCAAAATACATCCTGACCGAAGCAACTTTGAGACAATGTGACTCATAAACTATCCCCTGAGTAATAATAATAAACCATTCTATATAGCGCAATATACACACAAAATGTCTCTATGTGCTTCTGAAGCAAACAAACTTGAGTAGTAGTTGACTTCATTTTACTCCTTGAACTTCTCTGCAATATGATTTTTTTTCTCCGTTTTTTAGGTGCTGACAGGGTTAGAAGCTATTGGACGAAGGGTAAGTACACAAATTATCAGACTTGAGACCTGAGGAAATATTTTAGCCAGCCCACCCCAGATTTTGTGGTTTACCCTTCCTCGTCATTCAAAAGATTACTCTTCCTGTTGTAACGTTGAGCCCTGCATCCTCATAGCACGTTATGCTTTCCAAACTTTACTGACCCAGTACACCTGGGCAAACTGATGTGTACTCACAAGGTTGTGTGATCTGGAGAATGGTTTTGTTTGTAAAGTACATGGCACTGAAAGGACCAATTGATACACGGAAGTGTGAATCAGGCAATGTCCCTTTATACTAGAAATAAGATTTACATGTAAGATACATGTTGGCAATATGACTTTGCGCTCTTTCTATGAGATGTGCAGGTATTGTATTATGCATTTAAAGGTAATAAGCAAGATTTGCAAATATCACTACCAAATTATTATGAAAGACCTTACTTGACTGTACAAATGTAGGTGAATAATAGTCGCAAGCATCCTGTGAAATCATCATGGGCGTCGCCAGGATTTTTTCCAGGGGGGGGGGGGGGGCCAAATCAAAGTTTTCCCCCAAATTCCATAACTTCCATATTCTCAATTAATTTTTTTCCGAGCGTGAGCAGGGGAGCATTTGCCCTAACCCCCCCCCCCCATCAAATTAACAGCAATATGGCTTCTCACCTCTTTTTCCTTCCCCCCCCTCTTTTTCCAGGGGGGGGGGCAAGCGCCCCCCTTGGCCCCCCCCCCCCCCTCGTGACGCCCATGGAAATCATGGCACCTGGTGTGCTGTCATTTTCAAGAAAAGTGAAATTTTTGTATCAATTTCACCAGCTTACTAGCTGTCTGGTTCCCTGACCTGACAATTCCCCTATGTCTATAACTTGCTCCTTTTTCTTCATAAAGTAGGTTCAAGGAACCACAAGAACAGCATTTTTTTTTCTTGTTAGTTCCATAAACACAACATCTGAAATGGGTCAGAGTAACAATATTTACTATAAATTATTAACCCCCAAATCCTTCTGTTTCTGAAAATTCCTGCGAACGCTTTGAGTCGAGTTGTAAAACTTCAAATTGTCCACCTTGCTGTGTCCACTCACTTGCCATACTACACATTTCTGACACAGGCTCAGGTCCAGGGTTTTCAGGGGCCGAGCTTCGGCGCCAAGCCGTCGACGGAAAACAAACGGGAGTTCTCCGAGGAGACGCTTAAAGCCGGCCAGAGTGTCATTGGTTTACAGATGGGTACCAACCAGGGCGCCAACCAATCAGGAATGTCCTACGGCACCAGGAGACAGGTCTATGATCCCAGTGTCGCAAAGTGAAGGCGAGGTTACGGTTTGAATTTTAATTTTTTTTTATACTGAAAGTGTACTGCTTGTCTGTTGTTTTTAGATCTGTGTGGCTTGGACTGGAATGCAGGGTTGTTGTCACAAGTCAGTCATGAGTTGATTACAAGCCAATCACAAAGTGATCATAAGTCAATCACAAGTCGATCACAAATTGATCAGAAGTCAGTCACAAGTTGATCAAGGTTGATCTCAAGTCGGGTTACAATATAAAGTCAATCTTATGTCATAGCACAAGTCAATCGCAAATCAATCACAAGACGATCACAAGTCAATCACATGTTGATCACAAGTTGATTGCTAGTCGGGTTACAATAAGTCAGTCTTATATCATATCACAATTCACTCTCAAATCAGTCACAAGGCGAATGATAGTTTCAAGTTTCAAGGGATGAACAAGGACAAAGGACATGTGAAAAGCTTGTCACTGGACATGAGTTTAGATGACGTGATTGACATACGATTGACAAGTGAATGACATGTGATTGACATGTGAATGGCATGTGATTGACTTGTGATTGACATGTGATTGACATGTGATTGACTTGTGATTGACTTGTGATTGACATGTGATTGACATGTGATTGACATGTGATTGACTTGTGATTGACATGTGATTGACTTGTGATTGACTTGTGATTGACATACGATTGACATGTGAATGACATGTGATTGACTTGTGATTGACATGTGATTGACATGTGATTGACTTGTGATTGACATGTGATTGACATGTGATTGAGGACTCAACTACCACTCTGGTGTTATGTCCTTGAAGCTAAGCTTTTTTAAGGTGTAAAACTAAGGAACATGTATGCTGCTGCATATACATAACTAGTCAACAAGTACCGGTACTTGTACATTTTTATTTGTGTTTAATGAGCATTTGCATTTTAGTTGCAAAATTTAGTCGGCATTTGCAAATTTGAGAAAAACATTCAGGGACCTAATGGCTAGATCTTGCCCTTTTAAGGAGGCAGTGCCCTATGTCCCTGTGTTCATCTCATGATGACTCTGTCAGTCTACAGTTGATTTGGTATTGAAAAGCCCAATTGTTTAGACTAGACTTGTACCACTGCAACCAGCAGTCAATATCTGTTATTAACACTGCTGAACTGATGTACGTGAATGTAGTTGGTTTGGCCTGACGCATGTGCGGTATACTTTGTACATGCTCGACTCTACAATTGTAGACATACAGATATACTGATAAATTTCTGTTTTATACGCAGCAGTTAATGCTCGATACAAATTTGAAATAATAGACACGTTTCTAATTTCCAAACTTTAAATAATATTTGTATTCAAGAGTTATGTGCATGTATGTGCAGACTCATACATGTACTGGTAGGTACATGTATGAACACCGTTTGGGGGAAAGAACATATGAAACCCTCGCTTACATAGGCCTACAAATTTAGAGAAAGTTGCCAGACACATTGGCTATTGTTTCCTTTTAAAGACAAGTCTTTTAACTAAAAATTTTTAAAAAAATTAACATTTCCATGAAGTATGGCTAATTTACTTCAGAAAATTGTAGTATAATATTTAATGAAGCTTAAGTTTCTTCTCAATCAGACGATCAGTTATTTTCCAATTGCTTTTACCAAAAAGTAAGTCAAGCAAAGGTGCTCAAAGAAATTGTCATGGGATATATGTACTGTATATCACTTAATAGTAGTAACCAAAGAACATTCTATTCAGATATATTTTGGAAGTTAAAGAAATTCTGTAGAAATCCATTTACATGTTGGAATCATGTGCAGTTGTCATTCCATTTTTAGAATTGTGTTCTGTATTTTCGGTAAAATTTAGTTTGTTTCAACATTGCTATGACCAAACCTTTCACGTATTTTTGTGTAAACAAAATTAGTTTAAGACATTTGTAAGAATCTATATTTTTTAACAAAATTCGGCCCTGTACAAACAATAATCGCGGTGAAGTTTTTAATTTTTCATGTAACCATGCACGTGTACTTTTAGTCATTCCTGAAAAATATTTTGAAACGCCATTTTATCATTTTTAAAAATTTATTCTTGGATGAGTTCTCAACTGTCCCCATTTTGTGTTGATATTCCAATTACGACTCTTTAACTATTTTTTTTGTACAGTTAAAAACTGCATCGTAATATTTGTAATTTGATTTTTTATTTTTTTTTGCAAACTTTAAAAACCCATCTGCAACCATGAAAGTTAGCAAGTGACGGAATGAATTTAAAGGGAGACACATACCAACTTATAGGGTCTGTGTTGAAATACTTTCAAAATCCCATTTTTTTTTTTATTTTGGGGTTTTTTTTGGGAGGGGGTGGGGTTTGTTTCTATTTTTACCCAATGTAGAGATGCTGTATGTTTGGTTGAAAATAATGTGATTTGGCATATTTTTTAATGAAGTTTCCCACAAGACTCTTTTGAAGCAATTTTTCGAGAACTTTCATGACACAGATGAGCTTTACAGGTTTGTCACGTTATTTTCTTATGTGTACACCGGTACATGTACATGTAGCTAACTTGGTTTGGCACATGCCCCATATCTGCAGTCCGTGCTATTGAACACTGTACAGGCCACACCCCGCAGTTATTGGACAGTTTACAACATTATTAAAGTAGCTTTTATATTTATTAGTTATGTATCGGCAAGTGCTAGATATAGAGGTGTTACTATGACAACCAAGTTCACAGCTACTAGGTTAGTTCTTCTTCTAAGGACTCCGCAAGGGAGTTTTAACAGGAGGCCAGAAACGCAGGGGCAGACCCCTTCTCTTAGCGATAAGTGTTACTGTTTTTTTTTTCGTGCACTGCATTACACTACTCAGTGACCTTGACATGAATATTTAGTCTGTTGCAGAAAACTACCTGCAGAAACAGCATAATGAATAGTAATTTTATGCGCATAGATAATATTCAGCCCTGTCTGGACGTTTTAGAGTTTTTTTTACAGCTCGTTTATAACACGGATCCTACACACAAGGATTAACGGCTCAGCTAAACTTCTGGTTAGACGCGTGATAATGGCCGGTACAGGTGGCAATTACCATGAATACTTGTCAACAAAGTCCTACACAGCTTGACCGCTTCACTGTCATGACTGTGCGCGAAGGCTATCAAATATGAAGGGCATTAATGCTCTCCATCTGGTGTCGGAAGTTTGTCGAGCCAGCTAATTATATTTTTGTATATTCATGATCCTACGTTTTTGGCCTTAATTATTGAATTCTGATAAGGGATAACTACATAATCATGTTGACGCCAAGCACAATAAATTTAGCTTTAAAATGAACTATGAAGTGTTGTATTTGTTTATCGTTTCGGGACCACATCTCAGTAAAACTTTTTATTGAAGGCTTAATTAAAGACGAGATTTGGGTAAACAGTGTTCTACTCGGAAAAGGTCACATTTGACGTTTATTTCCAGGGTAAATACTTCATCTATGACGACAAAAACTGCACAATACCATCTGTTATATCCTGAAGTATGTATTTTTTTAACAATTTGGAACAAGTATATCTTACATCAAAAAAAAAAATGAGCTGTTTTGCTTAAAGTTTTCTGAATATTTCTGTTTTAGATGTCATGCAAAAAAACCCTGACAAACTGGCACACCTGGAACATACACGATTAAAAAGCCATCAGGTAATAGCCCATTATCACGCGTCCAAAGGCAAGTCCATTCGGTGCATTTTGTACCGGTACTAGAGCTCAGAATAGTCGTTCATCTTTATGTGTAGGATCCGTGTGTTTGTAACAAGCTGCATGATTTATTTTTAGAATACATAATGAACTTCAGCTGCGACTGGACAATGTATTGAAGTTAACATGCTGTTATTTTTGTGAATATGCCAAAGCGATAGTCTCTTAAGTATGTACAAATGTAGATGTAATCTGTGTTTATTTAAACGACAATTGCTGAACATTGATAATTCCAAATAATGTTGTTATGCTACAACAAATTTAAAACCAGGCTGAAATTGTTGCTATGTATTCAAGCAATTCCAGAAAATGTTCCATATTTTGCTTCATATTTTGCAGTTTTTTTGATACAAATTGATTACAAAATCTAGAATAGATTTGCCTGGCATTCCTACTCAAGATTGTTCCATTCCAAACTTATTCCAAAGAATTTCTTTTAAAACATTTCTAAGAAACACTGTGTGCTTATTTTCAGTGTACCTGAAAATGTCTGTTCATTTGTGTACCTTCACATTTGTTTGAAAATTTGTTTTGGAGTAACCTTTTGTTGTATTCAGTTTGTGCTACATTTTGAAATAAAAGATGTTTAATGTGCTTTTCCAATGATTTCCTTGTACGAGTTATTGCCATGTTGAATTCTGCACCACATTGTTATGACTGTTGCACCTTTAAAGGTAGTATACAATATTTGAAAACATCAAAAAGCAAAACTACCAAACTACTATGAAATACCTGTGAAATCATGGCACCTTTTTCTAGAAATGTGAAACGTTTGTATCAATTTGTATCATGGTCGGCCAACCGTCATTGGAAATAAAAAACTGGCTTTTTCAAACAGATTTACAAGTACATGTAGTTAGTCCACAATTGGTTTGCAATTGGATACACATTTTTTTGCAAACCTATAAACCTGTAATTTTTTACATACTCAAGAGCAAAATGCCAATACATGCTTAAATATTGGTAGTAAATGCAAATGCCATTTTTTATTCATACGAACTATGGTATTATTTGTGCTTTATAAACCTAGTTAATATTAATTTTTTTGCGATTAACATTAATAAATGCAGTACTGTTTTTTTGTTCAGAATTATGTGCTTTTATATTTTCAAGGTGACCCCAACCCAGCCTTTAAATATGACCTGTAAATATTTAAAATTGGAAGCATTAAATCCTATTTATTCATATCAAACGTAGTAATCACTACCGTGGAGCAAAAGCTAAAAGGTAAAAAGTAATTATTTTCCGATTTTAGCAAATGGTTTTTAATAAAAACATTTTGCCTAATTTTCATTCACACAGATGGGAGTAAATGCTTAAAATTGGTTGCAAAAGCTAATGCCATGTTTTATTCATAAAAACATGGTATCATTTGTACTTTGTGAACTTTAATATTATTTTTTTTGCGATCAACGTTAATAAGTGCAGTCATTTTTGTGCAGAATTTTTTGCTTTATAATTACAAGGTTGCCCCAACCCAGCCTTGAAATATGACAAGTGCATATTTGAATTCTGAAGCATGTACTTCTTGTTTTATTCATACAAAATGAAGTAAACGATTATTAAATAATTTATTTCCGGTAATGAAGCCAAGGATTCCTCAAAAGTGCATGCCCAGGCACTGTTGCTCGCAAGCCTGAGGAAACTTGTAGAGAAAAAAACCTAAATTTTAATCAATATTTACATTAAGCGCTTTGTTAAAGAATTAGTTTTTACTGAATGGGAAACATTTTATCAAGAAAAAGCTACAAATGTTTGCCTCCTAATGCAAAGGTTATGTTGTATTCAGCAATTATTATATTTGATTGAATCTCTCAGATCCGAGTTTGATTTAAATCAGGAAATAGCTCAGCAGAAAGCCAATAAGTTTCGCATCTTAGTTCTGTCACAAGACAATGCCAGACATCTATATTTAGAAACTAAACGACACATCAATTGAGCCATGCATATATCAACACAGTTTTACTTTCAAATGTTTGATGTATTTATTTTGTTACATGATGCGTATAATTCACAAACAGTCCCACACGCTGACCTCATTTTTCTTCCCATACGGAAATAAATCCTACGTACAATGAACACATTCATTTTCTGTACAGTGCATGTTAATTGTGTTGGACACACTTGGAGATATAATCCAACTACTTCGTAAATGGGCCACTGTCTAACACAAATAAACACATTTTGAGGACAATGATAAAAAATGTTAACTCACACTGGTTTCAGAATAGACAGTTAAAAATCTGCTTCGAGTTCAGTAAATTAAAATCTAAAATCCGTACAGGGCATTACATTTACAAAATGTATTTCATTGTAAAAATGGGTACCATTTTATTGCTTTTTGAGTACATGAGACATGCGTTTTGAACACACACATGTATTTGTCTAATAGCTTACCGTTTCCTGATATGATAATGATTGCAAAGAAATGCATTCTGGTTTCCTGTTTGGTGAATAAAGATCATCAAATCCATTGGTAAAGGGTAAAAACACTTGTATCCATTTTTTTTTTTGGAATGGCACATTTGTACTGACAAATTTGGACATACATGTAAAGCCCATTACCCTTGATATAGCGTGCACGATAGGAGTGGGCTATTTATATGAGTACATTTGAGCAAATAGATCTTTCAATCATTTGTAAACAGTGAGTGCCATTTTGTGTGGACTGCCACAAGAGCATACATTTCAGCCGTGGTTGGCAACAGATTTTGCCGACTATGCATATTGATACCTTCATCATTTTAAGAAAGAGGCATTTTTTAAAAATAAGTCTCATGGTAGCATTTGTTGGTTATTTTGTTATTTTCAACAATCAAATATGTTTGGAAACGTTAACTATTTATTTTTTTGGCAATGTTGTCCTTCCATAGTTGGCAAATAGTGGTCTGTACAAAAGAGTACACAGACTCTGAAAAGCAACCTCCTATTTGTCCACCGTATCTCCAAAAGGCTAATGCTAAGGATACCAACAGTCCTTGCTCAATCAAAACCAAACAAGAATTCCAATGGATTTGGTCAAGAATAAAGTGATTTTTAAAGGCAGTGGATATTTAGTCGGAGACAGCAAACCTTTAGTCAACGTTAGTTTGCCGGATATGCACTGAACATGCGCAGTTACTGTTTTTTTTTTAACTTGGACATTTTCCAGTGACAAATTTTAGTCTGGCTCCATGCCAACATTATCATTGTAACTTCATATTCCCAAGATGGAAATCAGACCATTTTACAATTTCGGACTTTATTTCCCTTTTAAAAAAATCCTCCAGTGCCACAAATCGGAAAAAGAAAATGTAATACTCTGCAATAAAATGTTTGAGACATGTTAAAATAATAAATGAAGAATATTCTTATTTTTTGGGGATGGGGAAAAAAAAACTTAAAAATTTCGCCAGCGGGGATCGAACCCCGCTCATGCGATCTCTGTTGCATATCCACTGGCCACAGGTGCTACACAACCATTGGTGGTAACTTAAAATATCTTATACTTCAGCCCTATCTTAGAGAGTACAGCGCCCACTGTTGATAGGGATTGCCGCAGGCAATATATCCACTATCATTTTTAAATTGTTGGACCTGAATCTCTAGACATGTACATTTCTTTACATTTCTTGCCGACGTACTACATGGCGGCATTATCTTCTCTATCGTTCGAAACACATTCAGAATCACTCACCTTATGAAATCATGGCTACCTAAGTAAGCACAATACTCTACCGCAGCATTACGATCACTTACAAAATGGCACATACTAACTCCATATGAAAACATCTAGCTTCTTTGGCATGTTGTAATATAACAACGCTTGGTTACTCAATCACAATAAATACAGAAAACAAATTTGGTATCATAAAACAAAAAAGACTTACGTACAAAGGCAGCTGGTTTATGCCGTGACCATCTTGGCCATGTTCCCTGACTGTACATTGAGAATTCCTGTGACATGCAGTGACAATGTATAGGCACCTGTCTATAAGCTTTGTGCATGACTGTCAGTACAAATAGGCTGGTTCCCAATCTCTACAATGTGTTCTAGACTTTGAAAGGAGGGGGCTGCAACCAGTCCTCACTGGTTTACATGTGCTTTTATCACCATTTACATATAGGAATCAATGCTTACCAGGGAAGCTGAATACACTGATAAAGGATTTGCATGTGAAATAGAAACTGACAAAATGGACAAAAATGCTCTCCTTTTTCCCCATCATGAAGACAAGTTATATGCAGAATGTACATTCACACACACATGTCAGTCACAAAAACTGACTTCAAGAATTGTTTTGAGCAAGTAAATTACGTATATCATGAACAAGATGGTCACAGCGTCAAATACCAAGCCTTTTTGTAACTGAAATCAGTCTTCATAACTTGTAGTGATTTTCAACAGTCCTACAATAAAATAAGCTGCACTACTAAAATTTTCTAAAAAGGAAGCATTTTTAGCAAGCTTATTTACATATCTACATTTAGTTTAAAACAAAAATAACCCGGCCCCTATTTTCTGGAGTCGACTACTTCAGAATTTAGGACAATTTTAAAAAATATTTGGCAGTGATTAGTCTAATACGATATTTGATAATTTATTTATGAATCATTTAATAATCACACATCAAGCATTTGGCACGATTACACCACTCCAACCCGATTAAGTACTTCGCCTCCAATTTTTTTAAAATAAAAAATCACTGATTTTATAGAATTTGGTTGTGTTTAACTGAACTGTTACCAAATTAATATTGATTCCCAAATTAAATTTTTGTTAATGTGTGGAGGGAAGAATTTCTTAAGCTTTGGATTAATTTGTTACAATTCAAATCCTAATGGTTGAAAATAAATAGAATTAATTATTATTATTTAAACAAGTGATACGGTTGGTCATGTTTTTCTTGTGCATATACGCCCATGGTTTGTGCAAACATGAACTTTACACTGATCTATGTATAGGATACTGTAACACGCATACCGGTGTTAATTGTTCCGTAGTTATGGGGACCCCTCCTTCGATAAGCGATAGTTACTATGGGGACCAAAGATACTATGGGGACCAAAGACGCTGTGGGGACAGTTGAAACTCGGTCCTAATTTCCATAACAATAAAAAACTTCCCCACTTCAGTGTCTCCACTAACACAAAAGCTCCATTAATAACACACAACTTGAGCTCAAAAAAATATATGAAAAAAACGTCAACGAATTCTACGAGTAATTTCTGTAGTTTAAATTAGGTTCATTTTTGTTGTTAATCACCTGAGATCATTCATTCAGTTATTCGTTATTTTGGTTTTTTAATCAAATACTGAATACAAAATATATATACATGTATACACAAATGTTGACAAACGAACATTTTCTCTCTTATCTGATCACATACTAAGGAGTAGTACTTTGGCTAATAATAAAATCTCTACAATTGATATGTACAATATTTACAATAAAACTTAAAAATGCTTTTAATATTTTACGTCCAATATCAGAACTTACCGGTATGACCAAATTCTGGGGTAAAATGCCTAAAATAAAAAAAATCTTCATATATTTTGAATTTGGCAATTTGTAAAAATGCCGCATAATGCTGTAGTGACTGATAAGGCTGATTGGCCCATGGCTTTGGTATTTATTTATGAATATTCAAATATGCAAATTGTATGCATAATTAACTAGGAATTTTCTGTGTTGCAGCTTTGGTAACAGTACTGTGATGGTTTTTCTGAAATTTTCCACACATGTTGGGTATACAGAAGTGCTAGGGGTACATAGTATGAATATAATGCTATTTAGGATATCAAGAAAATTTGCCATCAAATTTTGCATTGTTCCTGTTTTCATGATGTGATGCCACACTGTTCCTGGCACTTTTCCAATATGCGGCCCAAATAAGTACTTGTATCTTTGGTAAATGCAAATCATGGGGTCATTAAGGGATCCCAAAAGATTGTTATAAAGTTGCTCCAAATTTTGCACAAAAACTGTGTGAATACAGTACAACTGGTGAGTTGCGTGAAATTACTTAAGGAATACGTACAGCCGCCGCGTAGGGGGCTACAAGACTGACAGCTAGCACACCGTATCCATGGCGTGTACCTGCGCTTTGACTAGAGACCTCCTGGTGGGGATGACGGTCTGGGGTGGGGGGTCCAGCCTTGGGGGGAGGTCGCTAGAACCCCCCTGGGTGGGGGTGCCTGCGTCACCTTGTGATAGGTCTAAGAGGGTAGCGGTCGGGGTGGAGGATTTGGGGCGCTTGACGCGTAGCGTACCCGGGGGCGGGTCTATGTTGTGGCGCTCTGGTTCCACGTGGACGAGGATGGGTTCGGGCTCCACGTACTGGTACTCGGAATCTTCGTGGGGGGTCATGGTGCTGTAGCCGTGGTCACTCTCGCTGGGAGTGCCACCAGGGCGGTGGCGCCAGACACGGATGCCATAGCGGGCACGTTGGTGGTAGGGGCTGGGTTGGTTCAAAGCGGCCAAGAGAATGTTGGCATGTCCGACTACAAAATTTACAATTACAAAAATTGAAAATGAGAATAAATATACATTTTTAAGAATTTTATAGACAAAAAGTGTTAGAAATGAATGGCTCAGTCCACATTGCAGGGATGGTGGTTTAATAGCCCATAGCAGCAAGGTCTTTAGACACTTCTAAAATAACAAAGTTTGAGCGAGACTTACAAGCTCCCGGTGCTGGGGGTTGGTTCTCGTTCTCCCCTTCCTCTTCTCCTTCCCCCTCCCCTTCTCCCTGAGACATCCGGACCGACGCATCTGAGCCGTTCTGGGCCAGCTCGCGACGTCGCTGCGCGTTGTTGTGAACGTGGTGACGGTAGGCATAGATGACCAGGGCTAGGGCCATGATGACACCCATGAAAGCACCAGCGACGGGGCCGACCTGGGCACCCTTGTGGGCCTCGAAGGGGGCGGACTGGTTGTCGGTGACTAGAAAGAGAAAGATATTGAAAATTAAACAGGCATAATTACATAAATAAACAAGCAAATCAGTTTGGAGGCTAATCATCAATACTTGCAGAAGAAGCTGAATTACAAAGGATGCAAATCCAAACTAGAATCTTCAAAACTAACTGTGGATATTACGCTTTTCGGGAAAACTGTGAAAAACCATGTGCAACCTTTGGATCACAAAACACGATTTTGTCAAAAACGCTCTTTATTTCCAAAAATTAGTCAATTGACTGATCGTTGGAAATCAACTACATTTCTTGATTTCTTCCAAATGACAGCAAGTTAGACAGAATAATCTCACAGGTGTTTAGTACCATAATAATCTATAATCCAAGGAAGATTTTTGATCAAAATGCAGGTTACTTTTTGAATAAATGCAAATGATCCTATATTCTTTCAGTCGTGAAAACATAGATTTTTGCAGAGGTACATACAAATCACTATAGATTGGAAGAGTTGGCAGAAAAAAAAACCTTAAAAGATACTTCAGGGGAGCAACGGAATAATGTCGGTACTTAAAACCAAATCCGCAGTCAACCTGGGGGGCATTCGAACCCGGACCACACAGGTGGAAAACAAGGAAAGTACCACGACATCAACATTACACAGCTCCACGTTTCACAACTTCTTTCAACGTTTTGTCCGAGTTTATCTAACTTCCTTACGTCCAGTTGATACTGACCTATCTCGTCGTAGTACGGCGACTGGGCACCGACCACTCCACCGAAGCACTCGCGCTGAGTGGCGCAGTAAGGCATGGACAGCTTACGGAGTTTATGCTGAGGGTTGGTGGCGGCCACGCACCACTCACAGTCTACCACACCAAAACAATCCCTGTAATAATCAAACAAAACAAAACTTAAAAATAAATTACAACGAATATCGGTCTACAAAATAAGCCAAAATTTGGGCGTACTGAATCAGGTATTTTTTTTAATTGTGTGATCCATCAGATAACCAAATCTATAAACCAGAATGCTTGTTTAGGGGACTTTGAAGTCAAACTACTTGGCTATGGCTTACGATAACACATGCACCTATGGAAGTGGCTTTAGCCTCTTCTCATAAACATGTGTTACTTCTAGTCGTAGCCATGTAATTCGGATGCGGCTTTAACTTAAGGATCACAGTAGATTACTGTTCCTTAAGAATGTTCCATTTGGCACTAAAATTCCTCCAGGACATTTTGGAGGATTTGTCAAGATTGCAACACGTAGAACCTCAAAATACTGTACGTGATGCTGCTTCGAAGTTAAATATAGCAAAGACAGTGTCACAGTACTGGATTGTGGAGCATGCACAGAGGTTAAAACAAGACAGCGAAGACAATTTGGGTTGAGAAATCATGGCATATAGCAATAAGGGAGTTCTCTGAAATGGTTCCCATTGGCACTGATGATGTTTTTTTTTGGGGGGGGGGGGGTTGTTGACAGATGCCTGTACCTGAATGTCTTTCTCTGCTTGCAGTTGTAGTTGAAGCACTGTGGTAAGTCTTCAGTGATACTCTCATCTATGATAGGCAGGCTAGCACTCTCTTCCTTGTCAGAACAGCTGGGATTCCTGCCATGAATATGGTGATCAATCATGATGAATATGGTAATCAGTCATAATGAATATGGTAATCAATTACGATAAATATTCATTAACAAATATGCCATTCATGTTAGCACTGTGGTATTAAAGCCTTCATTGATACTCTTGTTTGTCATTAGTAGGATGGTGTTCTCTTCCTTGTCTGAACAGCTGAGATTCCTGTCATGAATATGGTAATCAGTCATGATGAATATTCATAAACTTGGCAACACAAATGTGTCATATTCATTGTCACTTGTTATGAAGTACATACAAAACTAAGTTTGAAAGTCAAGCATGCTTACGCCTATTGTGCTATCTACGTAAGCTCTTTGTTGTATGAAAATATCAAATTGAAACGATAAATTAGAAGTGTGGTTTTATATTTTGTTTAACATCCTTGTTTACTGACCTATCCTCCCCTTGTTGCAGTGTCCCATGACAGTGGTCCAACTCCAGCTCACATTCACAGGGGCATTCACACTCTGTTTGCTCCATACGGTTGCAGTTCAGACACAGACGGTCATACTGTAAGTAGAAACAAAAACGAGGAACTTGATATTTCCTTCTCTTTATAGCAGAATACTGTTGAGACAATGCTAGGTAGTTTAAGCAAATAGTTTAAACATTTACTTTGGAGTAATAGCATTAAGGAAAAGCAAATGCTTGAATCCGTATGAATAAAAGTTTTCTTTTACTGTTCAACATTCGTTAGACAACAGGTAGCAAATACTTCTTACTGTTGGATTGTTTGCATGGACGAATAGTTGTCAACAATAGGGTCTGTTTTGTGTGTACGAATTGGCACACAGACAGGGTTTACACGTAGGGTAAAAGCTCAAATGATGAAGATTCTCCAGTTGCAGAAAAAAAAATGCAGAAAATATATATTTGTGAAACTTGTAAAGTGCCACAGTATTCTGTAGACAAAGTCACAGTCGCTTACAAAATCTAGACATTTCGGCCAGTAAAATCACACCAAAATACAATATAGAAAGTTGTTAAAATTATCTCGAATATTGAAATTTTTTTAAAGTTTCAAAAGATTTATTACACAACCAGACGATTATCTATTTCAGCTCTTTCAAGAAGTACCTGGTACGCTTGACTAGGTTCATTCTAAATGTGCATGAACCAGTAGCATCTTTGCGTGAGCATCAAGCACTATGGTCAATGTGTTTAAGAGTTCCAGCCCAATTTTTCATTGTAACCATTGAGGGTGGAACTTGTGTGTTAGTTCAGTTCTCTACTCACCATGCTGCACGGGCAGAACGTCGTCACCTCGCTACACGTATCGTTGACCACGCCCACAAAGGCGTTGGTATCCGGCACAGGCACGATGCGGTACTTGCTGCAGTATTCTCCATGGTAGAGGTTAGACAGGACACCGACTAGGCTGGTGTTGAACGAGTAGTAGCGCTGGATGGTTCGATCCTCGTAGTTGTTGCATCGGAGTTTCTTCACCAGGTGGGTGTGGTACAAGATGTCGTTGGACACCAAGATTTCCTTTAAGGAGACAAGAATCAAATAACAGTTCTCATTTAGCTTTGCTCTGTTATACCCAATATATTCCATTAGACCCTCTCCACGGCAGCCATTTTGAAGGTACAATGCTATTGTTCAAGAGGGACGAGAGTAAGTGGACAATGTGTCTATTGATACTGAATAAAAATGATAGAAACACTTTCAAAAAGGCGAAGGGTCTATCTGCTCCGTTCACAAGTACCCCCTCACCGGCAAAGAAAGTACAGTTGGGGTCACTGAACATCGCCATCTTGCCTGACTGCAATATTTTGCCGCAAAGCGCTGCCACTAGCTGCGTGAACATAGTAGAAATCCCCTGGTGAACGTGCGTCACACACAAGGAACGGTGCGTGCGCGTCAACCAGCGAAATGTATGTGTCCCGCCCATGGGACATTAATGCTAGGTAAAAGGGCGCCCTCTTTTGTTGGCGCAAGGAGCCCATAGAGACCACAGAGGCTAAATTACAAATTTCAGTCCCTCGTTCCTCCATTAAAAACCAACAAATAATGATCAAGATTCAGTTTTGAAAGCACTCACTTGATGAGTTATGTGCTGCTGCTCCACCGGTCCCCTGCCGGCCGGTTCCACCAGCCTCGGGTGAGCTATGAGGTAACCCCTATCATCCATGACGAAGCAGCGAACGTTCTCCTCCTTGCATACCGGCATGATCTCCAGAAGGACTTTGTAGAAGTAGCGGATGGTGAAGTCAATCCCCATGATTCCTACAACGTGGTCGGTTTCCTCGTGTGAGCCGTCAGCCCTGAGTTAAGCACAGAAATGTTTGCTTAGGAAATGCGGTTACCAACCAAAATGCCATTGGGTTAATACTGCTTGTGACTGGTACTCAGCTGATATTTGCTTAGCGCAAAACATTTGCTAAATAGTAATTTCTGTTTTTATAAGCTCAGTGAAAAATTGGTTTTGATGACAACTCATGGCTGATTTAAACTATAAACTTATCGACATGCAAAAAGAAGTTAACTACTGAGAAAAAGACCTTTAAATTTTCAAGTTTTGTATTCGTGAAAATTTAAGATACCTACTACTTTTCCTTAAAAACACTTTTAACTCCACGATTTTTGTACTATTTCTCTAAAATATGTGTAGTAGACATATATCGAAGATTACAAATCAATAAATCTGAAAATGTTCAAGTTGATATACTTGGTGCCATTTTTATCATTTGCATATGCATGCATATTCAGGACTCAGACCCTTGGCAGCATCCAATGGGATGGCTTACCTTCCCTGATAGACAACATGGCTGAGTGTGATGATGTAACCGGCCCCGCCCATGTCCAAATAAGGAGAGGAGAGAGTCACACGGCCGGGATGAGCTATGGCACGCTTGTACCTGTCATAAACAAAATAATAATAACTCAATAATAAAGGATTAATGTTTGAAGTGAAGTCTAGCCATATATTATGGGTACTGCAAAGTAAAATACTATCACACACAATTTTTTTTTAACGAAGCATATTTTTTTAATGAAAATAATAAAACAAAATTTAAATACATTTTTTGAGGATTTCATGGGTCAATCATGTATCAAAGTTTTCCTTTCTAATTGGCTCATGATATGAATTTGGTAACCTCAATGGTATGTGTGGATATCGGGTCACATGACACGTGTCAAAGGTCACTTACCAAGGTCGCTTGGAGGGGTCAAAGCTCTTATCCACCCGGGAGCCTGGGTACATCCTGAGAATGCCGCTGGTCGTGGCTAGATACCTGACAAGAAAAACAAAACCAAGAACATTCTTATAGAAGCTGTGAAAAGGCAGCAAAAAGAGAAAATTCAAAACAGGATGCTGGGGTCAAGGGGTCACTAAGAGGTTTTGCATCAGAACTGAAGAGTGGCACAGGACATATCCGTAACGTGTTCATGTGTAGCAGACAGCAAGTTGCTTGTGGCACAAAACCACACACAGTGATGACCTAACCGTATCCATTTGATTGCGAAACCTCTCTACTGTTTCAGCGTAGGAATAACCAACCTTCTGACAACGTAGTCGTTGAGGTGACTCTTCTCAAACTGAGCCAACCACGCCTTCTCCAAGCCGCTGGTAGCAGATACATCATCTTTGATCATATCCTGGAGAAAGTTAAAAAAAAAAAAAACAATTTGTAAAACCCATTCATTCCTGGAATCAAATTTTTAACCTTACAGTCATCTTTTATTGTGTTCTGTTGTTTTTCACTACCCAAATTGGAAATTGTAAAAGTTTCCAACTAGCAACAGTTTTTAGAAGTTGTTGAAGAAATTGCCTGGAGCGGGGTTTGAACCTGCGACCTCAGGATTGCTGTTCCGGTGCTCTACCAACGGAGCTATCCATTCTTCTGATTGCGGTTCCCCCGTTTGTCAATTTGTTTGTTCAAGGGGCGCTAGTCAGAAGCCATAAACCTGTATATGCCATGTAGCCAGGGATCACAGCCAAAGTCACGATGCTAACAACATTAGCAATGCTGCAAACCTGGGAAACTGTTAACTAGGATCACTCACAGATCAAATCCAGTTCTTCAGGTTAAAAAGGCTGTGACGTAAGATGTTTAATAATGATTTCTTCTCAAGACTTGAGCTGACCAGCTGTTCCCTGGCAATCTTACATGAATTGGTCAACTGGTTAAGACATCTGCACTTGTAAACGGGAGGTCTTGTGTTCGAATCTAACCCACACAAGCTTGAGAAATGTTTTCTTGCCAGCGCTAAGACAACGTAATACAGCACATGTACAGTTCATACAGAGTAAACACATGGAATATCCCATTACATCACTGATGAGAAAAACCCAAACCCAAGAGTTTTAAGCAAAATCGCTTTCCTAAAGGAAGACGCGTTTACCTTGAATCCTGGGTTGGATATGAGATTAGTGTTGTCACTCAGGTAAGCCATGTAGGCCTGAACCACCAGCTTAGTCTCTCGTTGGCTGAGATGCTCAAAGGGGAGGAGAAACTACTGGGTGCTAACATCAGGGTGCTGGCATCTGAAATTGGAGATGACAAAAATCAAATAAATCAATTGCCCCACAATGTTTTGACCAATTACAGCCGTGACAGGGACACGCATGTTGATGTCAAAGTATTAAGTGGCAGGCTTCTGGCCAAATCCAGAACAGTCCACCGAGATAAATCGAAACTTTGAGATTTGGGGAGAATGGAGAACTAAACACAGGGTAACCCGAGGTGTAACGCGAAGTTTACCTCAAAGTTTTATGATGTTTGACAGGATTTAACAGGGTACTTTGGGGTTCAACCTCAAGTTTGCTTGTTTAATTTTGCATTCTTCCCTTATACACATGTACATTGTATAATTCTCTTTCAAGGTCAAAATCCTCAAACATGACTATGTAAAACACTTTGACGTTTATTTTGACATTTTGAAAACGCCATTTCATGCAACTTGCGAGCAAAGCAAGTTCGTCAGGGTGATGACAAGCGTTATAATGAAACTAAATCTGTCATTAAAACATAAGGTCTTTGCTGTTTGAAAAAAGTTCCTTCAAGAACAACATTGTCCTTCACATGAACGGTGAGCCAATAGCAAACCAGGAAGCTTGGAGACTAAAGGACAAGTTACAATCATGTTTTACCTGTAGTTGCCAGCTGCTTGAGGTGCATGCAGATGTTGTCCGAGGGGAGGAGGTCAAGTCGATGATACAGGAGGGTCTGGCCTGGTGGAACTGCAATAACGAAAGACAAAGATGATTTGAAAACGTCAGATACTGACAGCTATGGCTACGGCCAGTAATTACACATGCTACTATTGAAGAGCACGAATCCTCTTCTCGCACATGCATGTATTATTGCCAGTCGTAGCCAAGTAAATCGGACGCTGCCATAGTTCTAAAAAAGCCTCAAAATCTGTCACAGTGGAGAGTCTGAGATCGACCCACACATTGTTAGCCCAATAACCTATGACGCAGGGGTCCACTTAACTTGAATATACACGCATGCACAAATAGGGCACTGTGTTCTGTGACCTTTAAGCGTGCTGGAGATGTAGGCCAATCAGATTATAGGTAAGGCAGCATCATCAAGGCATAGTAACCAATCAGATATCAGAATCATGGCGACCGTTGCCTGTCCTCATATACACATGTGATGCAAGGTCACGTTTCCAGTCTAACTCAGGGGAAGTTTTTATGACGTCAGTTGCGAGACTTACCGTGCATTTTCCTCAGGTGCCTTAGGTTGAAATCTTGCTCTTCTATGACCACACACACTGACAAGAGGGCATTGTCAACCTACAAATCAACATTTAAAGTAAAGCATGTAAGCTTGAATTTAAAAAAACTCTTGAGTGAAAACTAAAGTCTATGATAAAATACATTATATCATTTTCTGAGCCAATTTTTTTTGTCAAATATTTTTTTTGCCGATTTCGGACATTCAGTTCACATTTGTACAAAGAGGTGCTAGTAAAACAAAACTGCATGATGGGAAATGTGCTCAAACGTAGTTTTCTTGAGAAGTGTCAAATTACCACTCTACATTTGGCACAGTGGTTTTATTCCAATGAGGATAAGGAATTTGTTCATGAATATGCATGAGGTACAGCCTAGTACCCAGACACTCACCGGTTTCCATGTGTAGTTGACATATGTGCTCTCGTTGGCAAATCTCCGCAGCTGCATGGTACCACTCTCACCCCTGCACAAAACAAATGAGAGATTGGATTTCAACAAGGGAGCCATGTCCATTTGGTCAACACTCCAGACGACAAAAAATCTTACTTTTCACAAATTAATGGTCAATTTCTTTTTCAATATCAAACTGTATTTTGGGGGTTTGTTGCTAATTCTTTGACAACATTTGTTTGAAAAATTTCAGTTTGTTAGTGGTCTACATGTGCGACACGGCAGTAAAACATAAAATTTGCTTAGATAGATTATGTCACTTTGCTCATAATTGGAAACATAGTTTTACAAAATACTTGGTCAGGATATTGCAAGAAAAAGAATTTATGTAGATACCTTAGCATCGACTGGCGGACTCGGTCAAAGTTGACCGACTGCTCAAAGTGACTGATGTCGGCATAGAGCGGTGGTTGTGAGGCTACTATGGGCCGGGCTAGGGACGGATGCATGATGGTCAAACCTGCAACAGGAGAGAAACCAAAGGTTTACATTATACAGTTGTCATTTATGTCAGGCCCAAAAAGCTCAATACATCTAATGTCTGGATTGAGCCAATCCTATAGTGTGATTCGATGAACAAAATTAGAAGCCATTTTGCGTTGGTGTCACGCTCGCGCACGCTGCACGCATTCCTAAAGACAAGGCGTGCGCGCATTTTGGTAACCCTATTGGTCGAAGGAGCCCGGACTGTGTGCGTATTAGTCTATAGACAAAATGAACATCAACATGTGATCTAAGCCTAGTGGTATTTTTATGTGTTACATAGAGTTAACAACTGTCACGTACTTAGGCAAAAAAAAAATAGTCGGTCTCTGGTCAGACCGAAGTTCCGGAATTGATGCGGCGACGCATTTTTTTTTTTTTTTCAAGCTTGTATTGTACAGACAAGGTGGGTACTATTTTGCTTTTTTGTGTCCTCATTATACATTGGTGTCCTCCATAATTTGCCTTGGTGCCCTTTATCATTTGCCTTGGTGCAATTTCCCCATTTCTTGGTGCTCCTTGGTACAAAAATTTGAGGAGGCGCGGCAATAGAGGGCGCTGTTGTAGCTACCTTGTTAATTTGAAAAAAAAAAAAGGTTGACGCGCATGATTAAAATCGACGCGCGCGCTGACCAGAGACCGAGAATTTTTTTTTTGGCCTTATCTCACTGTTGTTATCAACAGTAAGTGCCAAAATTTATGACATCAACGGTGCACAAATTTCAACAATGATTGACAACTACTTTAAAAAAATAGCCTAGACGACCACTTGTTGGAAAAATTTGCTTTGATATAGTCCCAAAAAATAAGGATCATACACTGCAATACATGTGACCAACCACCTACCTCTCCTGTCAATAATGAAGGAATAAGAACGGTCGCCTTCCTTGAAGTAGGTGATATCCTCCAAGAGATCCACCATGTTAGCCTCTAGACCAACGATGCCTATCAGACGACTGTTGACGTAACATGTCTGGGTGATACTCATGATCAGACCTGAATAAACAACAACATACACCAAGTGTAAACAACAACAACCAACATAAATATCATGAATACATAGTTCAAAGAGACCACGTCACTGCATTTTGTTGAATTGTTGCATTGCGAAGATGTAATTTTTTAGAATTTTATTTTGTCTCTCAACAACTTAACTTTACCTTTTTCCTACACAAAGTGGAACTTACCTCCTCCTGTTGGATCAAAGTGAGGTAGGGAGAATACGGGCTTGGAGACTGTGTCCAGAGGCAGAATGGTGTAAAATCTCCCAACTGCAGAGGGTAAATTGCTCATCTGGTTCAGCACTGTCATCACTCCTTTCTGTAGGGAGAAAATGAAACCAAAAGTCGAAATCAGACAAATGCTGCTTACCGATACGTGAAGATGCCTGATACATACTTTGTACAGTAACTTTTAAAGATACATACCCCATACTCTTCCTAACAATTTTTTTTTTTTTCTCCTAACAACTTTCCAATTTGTAGGTTTTGTTTTAATGAAAAAAACTAATTTACTCAAATTTTCAGCATCTGCAACCCTCTCAAAAAGGAATTTCAATTTAAGACATGCTGAATAATTTTTTTTTTTGGAAGGGGGGGATGGGGGAGGGGAAGACACCTGTCTTTACCTGTTTAGGAGGTAGATTGAGTCTGGCAGTCTCTTGGTAACTTGTCCCGTTGTCTAGCTCAGCCAGGTCTCGTAGAAAAGCCAGCTCCTCCAGACCAGTTACGCCTTCTGCAAAATTCACAAGGAAAAATTAAGACACCTTAAATAAGACCCTTTGAGATCATGGCGTTGCCTTTCATTCTTGTGACTATGGTTCAAATCCCACATGGGCAGACATATGGATAAGATTCTCAGTCTTTACAAGATTCCACAGATTTGGCCCAAAGCACCTTTTTAGGTTCGTGGACTTTTGGGGTTGAAACCACTGCGTCATTTTTACCCTGCTCGCCATGCCACTAGAGCATTGCTAAGACCATCTTTAATCCTTGTGAGTACAGAGCTCAATGTTACAGTTTTAATGGAAATATTTAATTCAAACACAACATCCTATTAAAACCATCACAGGTTTAGGAAGAAAACTGAATAACTACATGCCAGAGATATACAAATCATGGCAAAGCGTCTTGCCAGAGGACACACACACTAGAATCTCACAGGTTGGACCTGAACCCACTATGTATACAATCACCAACAAGATCTCAAGTTGGCATTTAACATTCAAGGACCGTTCTCAAAAGAGAAAGAAAGAAGATAATGTTACACCATGACGAACTGAAAGTATCGTACCTTGGACCAGGGCGTACGTCATGACAATAGCCCTGTTGTTGAACCGTCGATTCTCGTTGATCACCATATTGATGATTGATGTAGCGCCCTCAGTGTCGGATACATGACCAGCACTAAAGTACACTATAACCGAGTCTGAAAAATAGAAACGCAAACGATGAGACATTTTTTAGAAGAAATTAGTCACATATCATTTCACACTTCATTTCTAGAATTCTTACAATTTATAATTTTCACAAATTTTTATTTATTTGTGTACTTACCAGCGATACTATTGTTGGGATGTTGCGGCACTGTAGACTTTTGGAACAAACTAAACGCTTTCTGCAAACCCAGTGTATGATTGGTAACACCTACAAAAACCAATAGAAACATACAGTTTGTCATTCCATGAGAAGCACAAACAACGAAGTACTTCTTCCAAAATAAGTGTGCTTAAAGTATATGCTCATTTCAAATCGTTCGGAAGCACATTATCCGAGATGTTCCAAGAGTTTTGGCAACACAGCTTTAAAATAACATTTGTACTAACAGCGAGATAGTCACAAATGACAGTATGTAAACAAACATTAAATAATGAAGAAAAATGGGAAAAATCTGCTATATTCAAATGCAATTGAATAAGAAAAGTTTATTGATTTGCTTCATACCAGTATCTCGCTTGATGGTTCTGATGTATCGGACCAGCTGCTCTTTGGCATCCATGGTAGCGGTTGCTAGGTGGTTGTCATAGCAACCATCCTGTTGGCACGTCTGCACGGTAGAGCCCACACTCAACACTCCAACCTGAGACATACCAATTGTTATTAGATTTTGTTGGTACTTTTTATAATTTTTATAAAATTTCTTCTCTGAATTAACATTTTTCTATCACGTCGGTAAAAAAACATTCCAATTGAAAAGTTTTATCTCCTGACCTTGAAATTCACACACAAATTCCCAGATATTGGGTGGGGTTTCAATCATGTGCCACAAAGCCACACCCATATCCTTGGATATGGGTGTGGCTCCACAAATGTACCACACCCATATTTGAGGATATGGGTGTGGCTTCACAAATGTGCCACACCCATGTGCCACACAGATATATAAGGATATGGGGTGGACCGCCTCCTTTGTGCCACACCCATATCCCAAGATAAAGTCAAATACCATCATTTCATGACAGTAAAATTATCGACTGTTTCATTTCTCTGGGACGCATTCTCTGTTGGCTACAGTTTGAAATGACACATGCATCTATGGATATGGCTGAATCCACTTCCCATAGACACGTGTGTATCACTGCAAGTCATAGCCACATAGTTCAGACATGGCTTTACCTGATCTTTCTCTGACAGTGATGCCAGGGCGACTTCAGCAGCCTCTCTAGCAATCTGCAACGATGCATCGCTGACTGAGAAGCCCCTGTCTATCAGTATGATGACATTCTTGGCCTGAGGTCGGACAGTTGAGGAGTAGATAGGCCTGCAGACAAAAAGAGACACATTGAAGTATTTGAATGCAGACACACTGATAGGAAGCTATTTTACTGTAAAATTTGAAGAAAAACAGGCACTTGCGTTTTCACATGATTTTCTTTACAATGATATCCAATTCATAAAAAATAACAGATGTTCGCTGAACGGTCACAATTTGGGACTATGGGATGTGCACATACATAATTAAGCAACACATCTGCAAATATATTACAGACACCGGCACAGAACTTGAAAATCTATTCCACAGTCTATGATGATTTAAAAGTCATATCAACCAATTTTCTGCTTGTTCTTTTCTCCAAACTCTTAATTTCAAAGTTATCACAGCTCAAAGTCCAGAATTCCAAGCTCAGAAAAGGGCAGAATTCTGCTTTAAATACAGAATTTCGTGCTATGAATAAAGTTCAATGTTAAGCAAAGTTTAATCCTAAGCCAAGTCATGGCATCAACTCACTCATTCCTCATGTCCATGTCATCTTTGCATCGTCTGGCATGGGGATGGTCGGCTGTGTAAGACGTCGCTGGGAAGATCACATGTACACCGTCTTCTGAGTTGAAATATTGCCACTTGAGGGTTGGGTTGGCCATTTGGTGTCTCTTAAATACTACACAAGACAACAAAAGATGAAACAACAAATAAATTGATAAATATATTTTCGGGGACTAATCATCCTTACTCGCAGCAGAAGCTGAATTTTGAAAAACGCGGCTACAACGTGGTCCTGCCGAAGGCATGTAAAGGTGTAGACAGGGCCCTGGAGTGCCCTGAAACATGCAAAACTAAATCAAGCCCACTTTACTCACAGTTTAGCCAGCAAATTTCTCCAAACATCCCACTGGGGCAAAGAAAACGTCCTCAGTATTTCACCAACTAAGTTGGCAGACTCAATTCAATTTTTAAAGCAGACTTTTCTTCAATACTTTGCACATGAGAAGGAAGTCAAGTGATTTCAAAATGGGGCTAAATACTAGACTGGTACATGTCCAACCATGGTCCAACTATTTGAAAAGACTGACCTCTTCATTCAGTGTCAATAGTCTGGTGGCTTGACTATGGAGAAATGTGTAGTAAACTGAGACTAGTTCCCGCTTCATGCCACATGTTTCTTAAATTCTTTTGGCATGGTTGATTGATGCAGTACTGAAGCTGTGTTGGACTGGCTGTTTGAGGTGCCAGTCTATTTTCTTGTATTGCATGTTTTGGTTTTCAATACCTTAAGTTTTGGGACTCTCATGTACACAGTATTGAGAGTCCCAATTTTCGGACTAGTAAAGGTGTATAGGCAGCCACCATATGACCCATGTCTGACCACGGAGCACAGCCAGATAGAAAGTGTTGATTTTTGCAGAGGGAGGAAAATCGGAGAACCCTCGTGGCCCAGGAGAGAATTATTGCACAACTCTACTCAAATATGTAGCCAGGAATCGAACCCGGGCCATGGCGATGAGAGGCAAGAGTAAATAAAGTTATAAAGTTATAAGTTTTGTATCCTCATTGTAATTTTATCATAAATTTTTATTGTTATATATGTTTTATGTTTTTACTCGGCCTGTAATTGGCGGTTATTCGCTGTTGGCTGAGAGAAATAAATAAATAAATAAATAACTAAATGTTGACTAAAAGAGACTTCAGATGATGCAAGTCTTAAGAATAGTTTTTGGAAAACAGTAAGCAGTATAAGTGGGTTCTCGTTGATGCTACCTTGTGAGATGTTTTTGACAGGGTTGAAGGCGTTGCCGGGCGTGGCTGGAGACACTCGCTCACAGGCGGACTCCTTAGAGATGTTGGCTTGGAAGACCGAGTCATATCTACGCAAAATAAAGCAAATCAAAGACGTCAATAAAAGTGGAGTTCTTACAAAGTCTGACAAAATTGTTGTAGTTGTGTGAGGGGTTCAACTCTTAACAATTTTTTTCTACAATGAAAACAAAGCATGCATTATAACAGCGAAAACAAAGAGATTAGTATCAGATGATAAACTCCTGGCATACTCTGGAGATTGTGAAAATGGGTGGTGTTTCATGTTTTTTCTTGACAATTTGAATCTAGCTCAGTGCCACTTTCCTCGCCTTCCACCTCTGTGACCTGGGTTGTAATCCTGTTCAGGCCAACACGCAGATTGGTTCTTCATTCCATGCCTGACTCTGTCACTTTTCTTCGAAAAAAATGTTTCCAAAATTTTCCTCCCACCTCTAAAACTGATCATTTCTTCTTACTCCTCTCTCTTTGGCTTTTTGTTTTCAGGATTCTGGGCTCTTGTCACTGTTGTGCCTGTGCACTTTTAAAGAACCTTGGAATCATTACTAAAAAGAGTATAAACATTATATAAAATAGATCAAGACTATTCATAGTTTCAAGGACATCTCATCGCAATAGACTGTTCAGAATTCACCAATAAGCCCTGTCTGACAGTGCCTGTGATTGAGTTTGATCAGTCACCTGACCAAAACGTTGAAATCTAATTGGTCAAAGTGAACTGTTTCATTGCCAGGCAGGGAAAGCCACTGAACTTTATTTTTTTTCAAGACGGAGGACTTACTTGAAGTACTCCGGTGGGAGTCGGCAGCATTTATGACTAGCCGTGATGGGGTCCGAGCGGTGGGCTCGATACAGAGTCTCTATCACCACCCGGTCAAAGTTCAAGAGTTGAAGGAACTTCTTCAGTTTGGCTTTGACGTTGAATGTCAACTGCAGAAATACAGAGGAGACACAAGTTTAACACGGCCAAATTGCATGACAGTGGTAAGAACATAAATCTTTTTAAGATATGACGGGCACAAAAGGTGGCACAGTTTGGTTTGGGTGAATTTACTTAAACCGAATAGTGCCCTCATTGTGTCCACCACATCTCAAAAAGGATTTCCGCAGACAGAATTTCTGCTCATTTCAGAGAAACCTTTGTCAGTAAACGCAGTATTAACAAGTATGCTAATTTCAAAGGATCAATTCATGTATCAAGTTGCTCAAGCGAATATATACTGTGAAAAAATGCTAAAGGTGAGCACATTATTTCTGCTACAATTAAAAATACTGTTAAGTAGCAATTGTCTTTTAATTATTTCAGGATTTTTCTGTTGCAATAGGAGCAACTTTTCAGCAAGCCACTTCATAAGTCTGTGAATCTTTTCCCAAGGCATAATTATCATTTTACTTTATTATTTTGAGAAAAGAAAGAAACAATTCTGATTGCATTTGAGAAAGATTTTTTTTTAAGAAAAAAATATGTATCGTCAGACTAGCAATGCATAGGTGTAGCTGGTGTAGAGATATAAATGTCAGTTCCATGTTCAAATTTATTCAATACTTTCTTAATCCAAATGAAAATGCACAGAGCAGGTTTCCTGTGCAATTATTTCGCAGTCCAGTGCACTTCGATCGCTGCTAGTCAGCAAGTAAAATTTAAAATTGCAATGTCGTTAAATTACGCACATCGTTGCACACAGTGTGATGGAGTGTGAGACATGTTCTGCCAGTATACAGTGATGACAGTGAGTTGTTTATTAACACCCAAAAGGGCGGACTGCTCTTAAAGGGAAGTTTGAAGGGTGTGTTTTTTTTAAACGGGAAACAAAATCTAACTAGGTACAGTGGTACTAAAGGGACATTGCTGTCATGAATTTCTTTTATGATTGGACTTTTTAGAAATTACAAAATTATAATTACCTCCTAAAAATTGGGCACCTTGCTGTTCTTTTGTTTTTTGGGGGGACAGTTCAATTGTTTTTAGAATGCCTTAATCCTTTTCCAGTATTTTTAATTTTGTTCTGTTTTGTGGTTTTTTTTTTTTTGGGGGGGGGAGTTACTGTTGTTGTTGTTATTAGATTTTGTTTGGGGGGGGGGGAATTTGTTGTGTTAAAAAGTTAAATATTTACAGTTACATACATGGTCACTATACATACATTGTGTGTACCAATACATGTATGAATATTTAGGAAGACAAGGAATTCTGCAAACAGGAACACATCTAAACTTACCTTATCTAACTGCTGCTGTGCATTAGGCTCCTTGTCTTCATATGACAGGGAATCGTATGCTTTCTGAAATGAAAAAAATAAGACTTATTTGTTAAACCATTTTTCATTTTTTACACATATTCACTGTACAGCAAGTTCCAGCAATTCCAGATTAACATCAAACTGATTGGTCTCCGTTTATGTTGTACCTGCTAGTTTTTTTTTCTAAAATAAAAAATATACACTTCCTTTAATTTTTACTCTTGCTAAAAACAACTTCGCTCCCGGTGATCAATACGTTGTAAATACTACCACAGGAAAAAATATGTGGACAATACTTTCTGCCTGTGGACCAATGGAGGTCGATAACTGTAGAAGACTTTTCTTAAGCATTGCAAAGTTTTGTTTTCATAATGAAACCAAACTACCGCACGATTTACACTTGGTCAATACAAAATAAAGGTTAAAATAACAATAACTTGTGGTCCCTAACCATTTTCTCAAGGTCTTCTTGCACAAAAATCCAGAGAGTTTTTTTTTGCTTCAGTTTTCAGTTGCCTACTGAAGAATAAATTTAATTTACAGTAGCCACATGGAGGCGTGTTTTAGTCTTTGAATCGATGTCCATTCACTGTTCAGTCAGCGTATGAGAGAGTACAGAGTACACTGTGGGACCTTGTCAATAATTAGTGAATTCGTGCGCGAGACTGAAAAATGAAACCCTCCTGGATTGTTCAGGGTTTGTAAAAAAAAAAAAAAAGCACCGCGATCTTTGTACCGGCACTCAACGCTCATTAATTTGTCATTTTGGGAGGAAGGGATACAGAATACTGACACTGTAAATGCAAAGCTTCATGTACATGTAGTGAATGAATTACATTTGGACTTTTTATTCACAATGCGCTTCCCAAATGCCTTAATTGTGTATGTACAATGTACCGTACAGTGTATTAAATCTCAATTTCTCTAAGCAATATTTGCATATTAAATGAAAAATATTCACTTTAAAGTAACATCTACAATTTACAGCATCACATTATGAAAAAAATGTAATTAACTTCACAAAGCTCAGTTTTTCTAGTATTATAATTATTACTACAATGTATACTGCATACATTCAAAAAAATTACATACCGGTACATGTATTTTGGTCAGTTATAAATTTGGAGTGTACATTTTATAAACCTTGATCTTTTCAGTGAAACAGTCTTCACCACAAAAATATGACATTTCTAAAATCTGGAGTTTGCATCAAGATTATTTGCATTTTCAATACTATAGGCCTAATAATTTATAGAACCCAGTGAAGATTTAAATGTACATGTACATTGCCCTTGCTGTCAAAATTTTAGTCAAAATGCAAAAATATTACATCATTGCTTTTTTGGTCCATTGTAATTTTTGTATGAATTTGGAGAAGTGAGGATTTTGTTTGTAAAAAAACCTGCATCCATGGGGGTTTGGGTTTAAGTGGATATAAAGTTATTTAAATGACATACATGTACATGTACATTGTACAATGTATACACATGTAGACGTGCGTTGCAAATTGCACATTTTCCATCAAGTAAACACTAATTCCACATATATTTAACAAAAAATGTTCTTTTCAGGACAATGCATGTACCGGTACCTAGAAAAAAACTGGAAAAAAAACTATAGTGACAATGGATTAGGTAAACTGCTGTGTTTCGAAGTCACCTGTATTACATGAACTACATGTTGCAAAATAAATAACCCTTGCCTGCAGCATGTTATCCGAGCTACACTGAGCAGTACCATGCATGTATGCATGGTGTAGGCATTGGATTAAAAACCTTCACTCGGTACGGTTCAATATGAGCGGGTTGTTTGGAGAGCCCTAGTACCTGGTGTGCCAGGACTGGGAGCTGGAGGGAAGAATAACAAGTTCGGTGGGAAACGCCTGAATTCTAATCAGCCTCACAGAGGGAAGTAATATTTTCGTAGGGCTTAAAAAAGCTCCGAGATTTTTTTTTTTCAAGGTAAAACTGTTTGGTTTTGAGGGAATGATACATTTGAATCCAGAACCTTTATAAAAACAAGTTTTTTACCAATTGCTATGATAACTAGTGCTTTGTCCATGCTTTGTCCTGCAATTTTCCATTTTGCTTCAACCGTGAAATACATGTATTTCAGGCGTGGAAAGTTGTAAAATCTGACATTTAATTAATTTACCCGACCCATCAAAAACCTAAAGTTTACCAGTATTTTAGAAATTTTCTTGATCCAAATTTTTTTTTTTTTAATATTTTGTACAAATAACGTGTGCACTGCACATTTGGATTGGGTAATAATTCAGAATCGTTCTCTTGGTGAATACAACAGGGGAAATAAGGGTATAATTAATTCATATTTCATCGATAAGTAGAACTTTGCTATAAAGAAATGCAAGGAACGCCACAAAATTTGAGCAGTAGCATGGTTGTTTTTCTTAACTGATTTTCGGCCATCATTATTACATGTGTACAAAATGTGGTATCAAAGGGATGTTCACTGCAGCCAAATGTTTCCTTTACTAGGGCTGTTCATTACAGCATCATTCTGTTTTATGAAAATGAAATGGAATTTGCGTGGGGGAGACCTCTGGTATTGCGTTTTACCCTTTGCCTATAAACACTGTATACTCGGTGTTGTTCGAGGGTTGCGAGAAACAATGCACAAGCTTACTCCAGTGGGACTCGAACCCACGACCTCCTGCTTACTAGTGCAGAAGTCTTACATGTACCACAGTACCACACGACCACCAAGCTTGCTGGGTCAGCTGGCATACATGTACATTCAGTTTGATGTAGCAGCGGATACCACATCCAAACATTTCATAAGATGGAATTCACCTGGGGAGGGGACTGCTTAATCTTACATTGTGTTTCGCCCTCCTCAACATACTTGTACATGATGTACCCACACTTCATTTTTCTCTGCATTTTATTGTAGTGTAATAAAACATACGTATGCAATAAATACATCTGTACTGGAAGATTGTCACTCGGATTCAGAATGCAATCAATATGCCAGTACCCAGAGGAATCATACCAGTCTTTCAAGACGTAATAAATTCCCTTTTGCTCCCTGTCCGGTCCTGACCTGACTGGCCTCAGCGGGAATGCTGCGCTGACGACCGCTGACGACCGCTGCGCCAACGACCGCTGCCCTCATAACTCATGGCTAGCAATGACCTCCATTGACATCGTGACCACCAATGGCATTGTTCACAGGGTTTTAGTGGAAAGTACAGGGTTGTTGTACATGTACGTCTCAGCGCTGTGGCAACAAATGATGACTTTGGTCTTGGGAGAACAGGCTAAAATTCAACGAGGCTTTAAATCACAACTTTTAGTTTTACAATTACCTCCCCTGGCTTCATGACAACCAATGGCATTGTTCACAGGGTTGGTAATAAACTACAGGGTTATATCTAAGTACCCTACACTTCATGTACACGTAGGCCTACAGTCTAACATGTACATGTACTGTAAGTTTTATTGCTAAAGCAAAGTGTGATGACTCTGGTCTTGGAAAACAAAATCGCTGAAATTCAACACTGCTTCAAATTACAATTCCAACTTTACAATTTGGATTGAGTTAAATATATGGTAGTAGGCTCTTGCAAATGCAAGCCTTACAGAAAAGCAGAATTGTACTGTACATGTACATGTATGTACCGTAGAGTCGCTCAGTTTGAGTCCAAGACTGAGTTTTGAGTCTCTTGGCTCAAGTACAGGCCTGAGATCCAAATCACTGGGTCTGAGTGCAAGTGTCAAGTTGAGTTATGGTAGTCAACTCTGTGTCTGAGCTTTTTGTCCAAAGGACTCGAAATTGCAACTCTAAATTGATTCACGTCATACAACTCTGCAGAATAATCTAAATTTACAAGCGTTCTTGATCTCTTTCCTTAACATTACAATCCAAGTAATAACATGATAATTTGCTGACCCACAGGAACATTTTACGATGTTGAAATTCTTGTACATGTGTACATGTGCATGTGGTTTAACCAATTTCGCTTGAAGACAGCGCATCATCATCCTTGCGGATGTGGAACTGAGCACAGCTTCATGAGATTATATGAGGATGGATCTGCTACGCAGAGCAAAAACTGATGACTAGGAGGCCCTTACTAGCCAACATTTCATGGGATTTATAAACTGCCTGTGACCGATTCACCAGGGATTTTGGATATTAAAAGCAAAAGTTTATGGTTTTAAACTTTAGCAACATCATGAAAGTGTGCCCAGGACTTAAGAACCCCCTTTTTTTTTCTCGCCTTACTGAGAATGTACACGTTCTGAATACATTGTAGGTCAGGCATCTTGAATCCATGCCTGGCACTGTGCCTGAAATTTACAACTTTTGCCGCAGCATTGTTCACACCTAACACGCACTAGGGGTCCATTATGACCGACATCAACATGTAGCAAAATTGGCTTTCTTGTGACACACAAGCCCCACAAAAACCTCCTCACAAACAGCCATAAACACTGCAGGATTGAGCCCAGTCCCTTGTCATGCATTTGTGGTCTGGGGCTGGTTTGGCTTCGGCTTTTGTGAGGAACAATAGAAGGTTTAGCTGGCTGAGGGGTGGTTTTTTAATCCAATGGGCCATCAAACCTACCCTCTTTGTGTGGTCATAATGCTAGCCTACAGCATGTGCTCAATCTAGACCTATGCATCTTGAGTGCAGGTTCTTGGACCACAATGTTACTTCTCAGGTCATCTTACACAAAAATCTGGTCACAGACCTCAAAATAGTGTACATTCATTGAGACAATTTCTTTCAAGCGCCATAACGTTGATATCATACATGTATGGTATCCATTTCATGAACTGTCACTGAATATTAAAGTTCTCAAATAATTAATGCAGTGCATTCTAAATCAGTAGGCCTACCTTCAAATATTCTTCAAATTACAAATTACAATTAAATGCAAGTAATTGTGAAATAATGTTCACAGGGTCAATAAATGTCAATGGTACCATCTTAACAAAATATGAAACAAGATGACATTTTCTCATTTTATTGAATTCTACGGGGGACACAAACTAAATTTAGTTTTTCTCTGGCCACCATCCCAGCCTGTACCTGGTTTGCCCTGTGGCCATGAGGTGAAAGGCCAGCCTGGATCTGCAATTTGTATGCAAAATAGGATTTGTGGCTCCAGCCTGACAGAAAATTACATTAGTTGCGCCGAGGATACACGGGGCAACATGCTTCATGCGGAAGAATGCCTCATGGAGTACACATAGGAGATGGGCACTGATATGTACACATAATTGAAGGAACATGTTTTAAGCATAAAGGATAATTTGCATTTATCCCGAAAGTAACCTACATGGACAAAATTATTTCAAAAAGCTTATTTGGATTAAAGATTGCACTGGCACTAACATCCAGTGAAATTGTAAGAAATCAAGAAATGTAGGTGATTTTCCAACAATCAGTCAATGGACTGATTTTTTTGGGGAAAAAGGGTGCTATGGATAAAATCATGTTTTGTGATCAAAGGATTGCTTATTTGGATTTAAAGATTGCACTGGTACTAACATCCTGTGAAATTGTAAGAAATCAAGACGATCAGTCAATTGACTGAATTTTTGGGGGGAATAAGTGCTATGGATATAATCATGTTTCGTGATCAAAGGATTGCTTATTTGGATTAAAGATTGCACTGGCACTAACATCCTGTGAAATTGTAAGAAATCAAGAAATGTAGGTGATTTTCCAACGATCAGTCAATCGACTGAATTTTTGGGGGGAATAAGTGCTATGGATATAATCATGTTTCGTGATCAAAGGATTGCTTATTTGGATTAAAGATTGCACTGGCACTAACATCCTGTGAAATTGTAAGAAATCAAGAAATATGGGTGATTTTCCAACGATCAGTCAATTGACTGAATTTTGGTGGGGAATAAGTGCTATGGAAAAAAATCATGTTTCGCGATCAAAGGATTGCCCATAGTTTTTCACTGTTTTCTCGAAAAGGGTAATATCCACTGAGCTGAAACTTCAACAAGGTTAGGTTTTGAATATTTGTCTTTATATTTTGAGTGGATATTATTAGAAGCGAACAAAATGCATGAAAAGCAAATGATCCTAGATATGACTTTAAACTGAAAATACAATTTGGATAATCATGTATTTAACATGTTTCTAAATTTGCACTGTGCTGCTCTGAATATTCAATAGTAAATTGGGCTATATGAGGATGCTGACAGCTCTTTCTTTGCAATGCATTGACGAATTCACAATAATTTTTTTTGTAAAGATCCAAAAATCAGTCTTGCTAGTATGATCGCGTAGGATCCATACATTATATTATTATTATAAGTTATAAGCATCAGCTTCAATTAACAAAATTCCAAAATTTACCAAGCAAATTTGAAATCAAATGAAATTCTCCCCAAGGATATTAGAATTGTTATATATTTTGACTCATTCATAAAAAGTATTTGAGTTTAAATACTTCAAATTGAAACAGTTGTACTTTTCTAAGTTATTCAGTTAAAACATGAAATTGATTCTGTGAAATAACTGATAATTCTAATGTGAGGCAAATTTAGATCGAGGACTTACATACATTAAAACAGTATGTACTGAAAATAAATGTACACTTTCTAATAATACATACATTGAAATTGATGCAATAGTCCCCATTATTTACTGTGTGCTTCATTGAAATCTTTGGTGCATGATCGACATACATGTAGAACAAATTTGAAACAAATGTATGAAACTTACTAAATCCTAATGTTCGCACAAGATTTGGACAAAAAAAAAAAAATGTAAACACTGTGCAGTTTATTGCTTTTGAAATTTGGTACTTGATGAATAACAGCTTTTCTAAATTTTTTAGAGTACATGTATGTACGTCATGAGACGTACATGTACGCATATTTTTACTCACTATTAATTCTTGCACGCAAAAAGATAACTGTAAAATCTTGATATGCAAGTCAAGTTGGAATGTCAAACCGTCCTACGGAATTGCAACAAACTGACATCCAGTTACAATAAAGCGAAGTTACAGTGTACAAACGGATCGTACAAACGATGTGTCGTTACAGTCGGTTATGTTTAAAAATTAACAGCAGCAATTTAAATTGTCAGATTTCAAACAAATCATTTTCAAACATTTTCCATTTTCAAATGTCTCAAAAGCAAAGAATCAGCGAAGCATAATTATTCTCCCCCTCTAAAAAAAATGTTGAAAGAAAAAAATACAAAAATTCAAATACAAAAATTCCCTGATGTGAAATGAACAATCTGTATCAGATCCAGGTTAATTCTTTATTGGCAACTGATGATCTGCTGGCTGACTGGTAGATCATGCAATAATCAATTATTTTGAGCACATTGAGCATAACAAACATACAAATGTACAAGCATATCACAAATTTACAAAACATGTTTTATAACCATGATAACATTTACATTTACAATCACGACAATGTACTGTAAAAAAAAAAATGATGCTCAATACTTTCCTGGATGTAATTGTAAAACATAACACATTTGTTTGTCAACAACATACTGGCACATCCAAGTTACAACCTGAATATATGTTTGTTTATAATAATACTTCTGTAGGGCCTATTATTGGCCTACGGAAGTTCACAAATCAGTGGAGAAATTACACATACATACACATAATCATTTAGCCTGTATAAATAACAAAAGCCATTACGCCAAAATCTGTTGTAAATGTTTAAATTATTAAAAATAAACCAGTATAAATTTATCCATCAAAATTGGAAAAATTGGTCCCTTTAAAACTATAAAATAATTATTATAAATGAAAATGGTCAACATAATATTAACACTGAATGAAAAGACAACAAATAAAAAAAAACACATTGGCATTAGTTTCTTCTAATAAAAGTAATATGATGACGGCAAACATACCTGTAATGAGCTCAACCCGAGTTCTGTGTTCACGATGTATCTGAACCGGTCTGACAAGATCTCAGCTTGCCGCACCAAGACGCCGTCCAAATCGGCCTCCTTGCCCGCCCCACGACTCCGCTTGCTCGCTCCCGCTGACTCGCCGGGCTGGTACAACGAAGAAGCCAGCTCGCGAAGCAAGTCCGGATTGTTAAAGTTAATCTGTGATTTCGAGAGATCGTCCCCTCGATCTCCCCGCCTGCTTGATGCAGATTCAGTCTCCTTGGGAGCATTTTGAAGCGGTTCCAGTGCCGAGGAAACATCGTTCGTAAACATTACCAATCCGCACACAAGTACAAGGACAATGGAGTCTCTCGCACAACATGACGAGGTCGCCATTTTTGCTGCCGATTTACCTCCGCTACCGGCCGGCAATCGCGACAGTTTTCAACGCTTTTCGAGCAAAATTCTTCGCAAAATTCATCACATGGTCGATGGAAAGACTTCTACCTGTCCTGTACGGGTTCACTTACTCAGTTGCATATCTTAAATTGTAGTATTTAAGCGATCATTTAGCAGCACATTTCGACGTTCCATCGTCAAGTCGCGTATGCGGCGATCACACACACACACCAACTGTAGTGTATGGCAATTAATCTTTTCTTTTGCATGCATGATTAGCTTCGCTTCTCAATGTCAAGGGTCACAAAATCTATCCCACAATTCTACCTGATTTCCAAGATGGCGCTGTTCATGAACGTTACAAAATGTGCGACAAGTCTTATTCATCGTCAAGTTCGTCAGTTGGCAACGTTACAACGAACTCAGCCTTTTGTTCGAAGTGCTACCTGTACTTGTAAATCTAATTTAAACTCTTTCTGTGTGGAGTCGAGAAGGAGAAGACGGTTTTTCCATTCACAAAGTGGTGAGCAGTCAGCAGTGACTGAAAATGAATTAGTTGAAAAGCCCCCCCCCCCCCAATCATTTGCCCATGCCCCGCCCCTTCTGAGGTGGGGTATATTTTTAGATTTTTACTTAAAACGATCGGTATAATTTTAAGGCCTAGCAACATTTGACGAAAGTGGTGAATAAGACATGGCCATGCAAGGCCATGCAAGGCCATGGCGTCAATTTTATTTATTAATTTATCATGTTTATTTTTTGTTTTAATAAAGTATGAGTTTTCTTCTTTGTTTTAAATCAACTCTTACATTGAGTTGCAAAAGAGTTTGTCTTTTTTCCTAATTTGTGGCTCGGGGGATTTTTAATAACAAAAGGGATTTACACGTAACATGTGTAAAGTCCAAAATTGGGTAATCCTTACTTTTAGGACCCCTTTCCTATATAAGGTTAAAAGACTCACCAAAACAGCTGACTATGACACTCAAAAGTGACATTCTGATATTTATTGACACATTTGAACATTTGGCAATGACACCTCTTGAATATCAGCAGGTTTAATTTTGTAGAAAGAGGGCAGGGTTTTGATTTATGAGGGGTTAAAGACGACGATGACAAACAGAAAATAAATTTAAAAAGCAAGATGGCGAACTGCAAAAAAAGGTAGGAAAGTCACATTTTCTTTGAAAGTGCTTTCAAAATTATAACTAACATGAGTTTGTCTGAAGAAAAAAGACTTCTTTAGCCTGCAAAAGTCACTTTGGTACTGGACAGTCATCTGCAAAAGTCAGTTTTGAACAGAACTCGTACAAAATAGAGGTGTCCTAAAAGTAAGGATTACCCAAAATTGCATTAAGACTGATTCCCATCTCCGAATATGAAGTCATGGTAAAAAAATTCAGTTCCACAAACAGCCACTATGCATATTCAGTGCAGTGCTGGTGCAACAGTGAAAACAATCGGGAACCGGTTCACGGTCAAACATTCGCTGTCATTTGTCGTAAAATCAATTTGAACGTTCGAGCACTTTATATTTATCCACTTGTTGTATACGGCTCAGTTTCCATGTGAATAAAAGTTTCTGGAATGGATGTTTAATAATAATGTTAAAATTAATAATCAATTGGTTTTTTTTGTGCAGGTCCCCTCAGGCATGGCGATTATGAATATAAAGACCCGAAATCCCCCGATGAAATGTGAGTGCCATAGAGGACTTCAAAAACATATTAATGGTCTTTCACAGTCCTCCAAAATCCTCCCTGGCAGTTTTCAAGGATTGAGGCTGAATGGCAAAATAAATGTTGGTTGATTTCGGAGTATGCATTGTGTTGAGTTTGTAGGCTGTACCCTGCATTGTAACTGTTTATGTTCAGCCATGCATAATGCTCATTATCATCCGCACTGCTTCTGAGTGTCATCGGCACTGCCTCAACCCATTAACAGTGATTGTTGGAGGATTTTGAAGGATTGAGGCAATGGTCACACTTCCACTGAACAAATTCAAGAAGTAATAGATGATTTTGGAGGATTGAGGCTGAATCCAAGTTTAACATGGTGGCAATTTGAGGATTTTGCAGGATTGAGGATGGTTCCTAGCCGAAAGGGCCTAGGGGGTTAGGGTTAAACCCTGACTTGTGAATTCCAGAAAAATTAGTTTTATGGTGCCTTGTAAATAAGGGCCAGTAAATAGGAGACATGTATTTCAGCCAATCAATTTTGTGAGATCCACCAGACTCTGATTCAGTGATTGTCTTTCCTGTGTGTGGTTTTTTTTGCAGAGTAAACATAACATATGTGGACAGAAGTGGTGAAAGAATCCCCATACAAGGCAAAGTGGGAGACAACGTTATGTACCTAGCCCACAGATATGACATAGAAATCGAAGGTAAGAGATATGAATATTGAAGTGACGGTGCTACATGTGCTATACATTTTCCTATGAGCAGTGTTAACATGTAGTGTGACTTGGGGTTAACGAAATCTTGGCTTAAGTCTATCTTCAGCTTCGGACTCCAGTTTTGTGATTTCAGTCCCCTGACTGGACAGACTCCAGTATGGTACTGGTCCATTTTCTGCTTTAGATACAACAAAATGTTGTCGAAATGCGGCGGTTAGTGCATTTTTATTCACACTACACATTTGGTTCTTCTTAAAACCTCTTCTTTTATTATCTGCAATCTTCTCCAAAGTCACATGCCACAGAGTGAAGGTTTTTATTAGTGTTTGTTGTTTACATTTTCTTTCCAGGTGCGTGTGAAGCGTCGCTGGCGTGCTGCACATGTCATGTGATCCTACCAGACGAGTATTACAATAAACTCCCCGAGATTGAAGAAGAGTAAGTATTCACAATCATGGTATGGAGACAATTTTTATCCAGCCACTAATCGTAAAGTAAAAGTAAAATTGAAAAAAAGCAAAACATTTTTGCTCAGCAGTAGCAGTTAACAACGTTGTGGTTGATCCCATCACACATTCTACACAGGTCCATCACAAAGTCCACCACAAGTCCACCACAAGTCCATCACAAGTCCATCACAAGTCCATCACAAGTCTATCACAAGTCCATCACAAGTCCATCACAAGTCCATCACAAGTCCAACACAAGTCCATCACAAGTCAATCACAAGTCTATCACAAGTCCATCACAAGTCCAACACAAGTCCATCACAAGTCAATCACAAGTCCATCACAAGTCCATCACAAGTCCAACACAAGTCCATCACAAGTCAATCACAAGTCTATCACAAGTCCATCACAAGTCCAACACAAGTCCATCACAAGTCAATCACAAGTCTATCACAAGTCCATCACAAGTCGATCACAAGTACATCACAAGTCCATCACCAGTCTATCACAAGTCCAGCACAAGTCAATTACAAGTCAATCACAAGTCCACCACAAGTCGATCACAAGTCAATCACAAGTCCACCACAAGTCGATCACAAGTCCATCACAAGTCCATCACAAGTCCATCACAAGTCCATCACAAGTCCATCACAAGTCCATCACAAGTCCATCACCAGCCCATCACAAGTCCATCGCAAGCCCATCACAAGTCCATCACAAGTCCATCACAGGTCCATCACAAATCCATCACAACTCCAGTCACAACTCAATCATAAGTCCAGTCACAAGTAACAGCGGTTGAGAAATAACAAAGAAATGTCTTTGTCACAGTTCATTTGAATAGCTATAGACTAGTGATAGAGGATTTTGTAGGACTCCACTAAAACACTGGACAAGAACCATCCCAAATCCAACACGCCGTTACAAAGACTGAAATCTTTGTAAAGCGTTATTAGGGACATAAAGGTTCTTTCAAATTATTGCATTTTGCTTACATGGTTTTTTTTACAGGGAAGAAGACATGTTGGATCTTGCACCATTTTTAACTGCAACGTCAAGACTAAGTAAGTAACTTCATTCCTCAAAGGTTTCTTGTTGGAGAACAAATGTTGTAATGACATTGGGATTTTCTGATAAGGAGATTCAGTTGGAAAGCTCTGTAGATTTTGAAATAGTTAACACAGATAGACTGTGATCAAGCAAGCAAAGGATCTCACTACGTATTCCCTTCTCAAATCATATTGAATTTTTTTGAAATTTCTTGTGAACAGCTATGAAATCACCAAAACTTAAAAAAAATTACATATTTATTTATTACCACCCAAAACCAAAACGTTTCAAAGCCATTAACTGGAATGCATTATGTGAAACAAGTGATTCTTTTTGGAAGGGAGGACAGTGGTGGATCCGGGGGGGGGGGGGGGGGGGGGGGGGTGCAGGTGGGCAACGCGCACGCGCCCCCCCCCCCCCGACAGTGACCAAAATTTTCTCAAATAAGGTAATTTTTCACTTAAGTGTGACCCTCTGCACCCCCCCCCCCCCAAGCACACCCTCTGCCCCTCCAACAGTAACCTCTCTGGATCTGCCTTTGGAGAAAATAGTCATATTTTTAATGAAAGTTTTACTTTTGTGTCTTTTCTTTGTTTAGGTTGTCAGATCATCCTGACAAAAGAACTAGAAGGAATGGAGGTGAGCCTTCCGCAAGCGACCAGGAATTTCTACGTCGATGGCCATGTGCCCCAGCCTCACTGATGATTATAGGTCCCATGAAATGTCACTGACAATTAAGGGAACATCTCGGAACTAAGAATGTTTTCGTACATCTTAGAATACTCCACTTGGAACATTGCTTCTTCTCTGTGAGAATGAGTGATGTTTAAAGCCGCCCTCAGGTCGACCTGTAATTTGCTTGTGCCACGATGGAACCGTCGACATCAAGCAGAAAAGTATTGCTCACGTCACAAAACTGAGAAATCATGTAATTCTCGTGGAACAAGCGGCACCTCCACGCAAAATAATCGCAACTAAGCTTATGTCATCCACGACGCGACGATCGCACGGCATACACAGTCAGGTGACTTCTTTAACAATAGTGGGAAAAGCGTGTTGATTACAATCAAATGACATCCCACGGCCACACCTGTTAGTTCAGCCGTTTTTGTCGCGCGCTGATTGGCTACAAGACTACAATTGATTCCCGCCTGTTTGGGAACACGTAGCAGAAGTTGAAATTTTTCTACTCTTTTCTACTCTACTGTTGATTTTTTTTTTTAGCGCCGACTGATGCCGATCGTCGTAATATTGCCACAGTTTCACTCAGGTCGCTAAAAATAGGCGACTACAATCCTGGCCAAATTTCGCTGGGCCCCCAACACCCCGGCCCCCACTCAATCTTGTCTCTCATTGCACTGTGTGGTACATCAGCTGGAGAGAACAACATTGACCGGGGGAGCAGGGGAGTGGGTGACCGTGGCAGGTTCAGGAAGTGTCCCAACCTTTTTGGCCGGGATTGTAGTTTGTTCCCAATAGTCGTGGCTCAGGCGCAGCTTGATCCTGAAAAGTCCGTTGCCGACTGATCTGTGCCATCGCAAGGTCGACCTGAGGACAGCTTAAAGCTTGTTTCCCATAACCCATTTTAAAAAACACACAGTGATGGGTTGGTTTGGGCTTAGGGTGGTACACTGAGCAACAGGCAGGACCGTTAGAGAAAGTGCAGGGACTAACAGGTTAGGGAAACAACTGGTCATGAAGGAGATAAGGGAGTGTTAATCGTTGAGTAGACAGAAATTTCTCAGCATTTTCCAGTTGTTGAGAAGACAAGTGTTGAAGACGCCACAATGGAATGGACTGGACTCTTGGTGTTTTCTTGACTCTTGGTGTTTTCTTGACCCTTGGTGTTTTCTATAATCCTGTAAGATTATTTGTAATGACCTTAAACAGACCTGTAGAATTATTTTAAAAACATTTTCAAGAAGTAAAAGATGGGGCTGAAACATTTTAAAGTAATTTCATCCATCTGACATGTTGTTTGCAAGAAAATAAGTTCTCGTCAAAATTAAAGTTCTTGAACCAGATATTACAAGGGAGGGGTGTTAGAGCAGTCTTAATACTCCTCCGCACAACATATTTTTTTAGTGTGAAATTCGTTGCATTGGCCCTTGAGATGGTAATGTAGATTTCCTTGCAGTATTTTTTCATCTTGTTCAGGACTTGGTGCTGTTATGTGCTGTACAGGGTCTATGACTTGTTACTGAACAATTTCAAAACTGTCGTCTTCACAAGCGAGGATTTTTTCTTAAAAATGCTGGACAACTATTTTGTTCACCCTCCGTGCAATGGTCATTGGATTTGATTAGCTAATTGTGGACATTGAAGAAAATTCAGTAAAATTGAGTACTGTTGTTGCCCTTTTGTGTTGTACAACAAAATGGACGACCATAAAACTCATAGTCTTGAGCAGCAAAAGACAGAAATTATGATCCAGTGTGCTTTGGTAGATATCTGGAAAGCTTTGTTTGAAACCACACTTGTGTTTGAAATTATACAGATTGGGAATGGTTTACAGCAATGGCTAAATATCTTTAATTAATTATAAACTTGAAATTGGCTGAAAATGACTGCTTTCTCATTAGCAACTAGTAATAACCAAAGAAACATTAAATACATATCATACATATAAATTAATAATGGTTATTAACGTCTCCTTAACCCAAGCGCACAAAATGTTTGTAGAAAAAAATAAAGCATTGAAACATTGCAAATAATGGTCTGATTCATGGATTTTTTGTTTTGTATGTCTGTGTGGGGAAGAGAAATCAAACATGGCCTTCCATGTTCAAACAATAATGAATGAGTTGAAATTCCTCCTTTTTTTTTGTTTTTTATTTCCTGAAAAAAACTTTAAATCTCAAGTTTATTTTTTGCTGAAATTTCCTTGAAACTTTTAAGTGCAAAACAGAGGGCGCACTGAGAAAAAGTACTATCTGTTGGTATATGGTAGAGGGCGCTCTTTATGTCAATCGATCACGGAAATTCTGAGTTCAGTAAACCGATGAACCTTCGCTTCGTCACGTAACATTCGCGATAAAATTTCCACTCGTTCTATTTCTAAAATGTCACCCAATAACAGTTTGATCATCTGAATTGATCGGCACTGCAGATATTCTTCATTTTAACTGCGTAAATCCAGGTGAGTATGTTTGGTGATTGAGCTCACGAGATAGAAAGGAACTTGGGTACGAAAATTATCAGCCGAGTTTTATCAGCTGTCATGGTCATGTCGATTCATGTCGCTGTCGATCAAAGTTCACTTTCTGTCTTCTTTTACCTGAATCGTAACCTTCATCAAACTTGTAGGTTTATGGTTAAGGCCTTGACCACAACGAGCAACGCATTTGATAATCTTGTTTTTAATTGCAGCATTTTATATACGACCAAGAGATTTATGGTGAAAATGTTCAGAAAGCAGTTTTTGTTTTGGCATAAATTGGTTTGTGAAAACAGCTGTGACGGCCACGGATGAGAGGAGGCTCGGACGAGCGCTCGGACAACTCCGATCTACTGTTTGCCAACTTGACTGGTCATGCTGGTGTGACAATTTGACCATATGTGCGTCAGATGGAAAGACAAGTCGTCCTCAGAGACAAGTTTTCTCGCAATTTTTTTTATTATTTTTGTTGTTGGGCAAGGCAGTGCTACTGGGGGGGGGGGGGGGGGGTACATTCTATGGGCGTGATGGTTTGGTGGGGCTCAGTCATCATTTATTTTTAAACTGAGCTATTTTTCTGTGTCCGGTTGTGATCATTGGGTTGTTTGGGTTGGGGTTTCTTGACGGGATCGTCCGGGCTGGGTTGATGGGCATGATGGGGTTGCGGTTGCTGGACGAGATGATCGGGCTTGGCTCGGCTGGAATCAGGGATTTGCTGTGGGTTGTCGGGCTCGGTGCATTGGGCAGGCGGGTAGGGGAGCCGCCAGGGTTTCTTGGCTGGGTAACATGGGCTGGGCTCGGTCTAAATTTTGTGGTACGGAGCTGGGGATTTGCGTGCACCTCGCCAGGTCCCGGCAGCTACCGCGCTGGATCCTGGCGGCCACTGCGCCGCCCACCTTCACGGCCTTGCATGCCGTGTCACAGTACACTGGACAGGTCCCCGCGCACGGTCATGCCACAGCAACGCTGCACTCGCAAATGCCCAAACATCAACGGCAGCCTGTGTGGAAAATACCACGTTTTTTGTACTTAACAAAAATCCTCCAAAGCCATGGATCACAAAGAAAAAAAATGAAACCTAATTGTACTTCAATAAAAAGTAGGATTTTATTTGAAACCTTAAAAGTATAGAAAACGATTAGAAGAACCACAAAAGAAAAAAAAACATTGTCGCAGTGCAAAATCTGCCTGGTACCTTCGGCATGGTAGTCCAGCGTTTAACCAATCGAAAAAGCGCTCTGTTTGGACAAGGGTCCAAACAGGATAACTAGTCGATGATAATAGATGTTCAGAATTTGATTGTTCCTGAATATTATCCAGGCATTCCATAGCGAATATCAAATGAAAAAGAGTTTTGATTTGAAATTCAGGAAACACAATTTTTCAATTTTGCAAGCTTCGCTGTGTGTCTAACATGGAGGAAATTGTCCATTGTTTGAGCCACATTTATGGGACTCCCCCCCCCCCCCCCCCATCCCCACTCCCGCCCGAAACGAAAGTTTGGACTTTCCCAGATTATAAAAGTACTTGCACAATTCCAACCATATTTGGGGGATGGGACCATCCTTACTATTTTTGAGACACACATGTAGAAAGGGACAGTCCCTACATGTACATTGTATACTTGGCATCAAGCCAAGTATAGTGATGCAAAGTTAAGTTGGGAAGGTCCCCATATTATAGGAACATAATTCATGAACCATTAATGTCGGTACCATATTTACAGGAAACTTAGATCAAGGATAAAAACACGACATCTCACTTTCCTGTCCTACATGTAGGGTAGGCCAAAACAAAAAAATAGTCGGTCTCTGGTCAGACTGAAGTTCCAGAATTGATGCGGCGACGCGGGTGGTGTTGTTTTTTTGGTGGCTTTTTTTTTTTCAAGCTTGTATTGTACAGACAAGGTGGGTACTATTTTGCTTTTTTGTGTCCTCATTATACATTTGTGTCCTCCATAATTTGCCTTGGTGCCCTTTATCATTTGCCTTGGTGCAATTTCCCCATTCCTTGGTGCTCCTTGGTACAAAAATTTGAGGAGGCACGGCAATAGAGGGTGCTGTTGTAGCTTCCGTGTTAATTTGAAGAAGAAAAAAAGGTTGACGCGCATGATTAAAATCGACGCACGCGCTGACCAGAGACCGAGTATTTTTTTTTGGCCTTACATAAAACCTTCCTGACCTACCAATACATGTTGAAATTCTTAGCCAGAGGGGGAGGGGACAGCCCCGCCCACTTTGCAAATGAGACAACAACACATGTCCATCTGCAGTGCTACTCTCTCACTGCATGCGTCATACATCAATGGGAGCATGTCAGATTTTGTTGGACATGTGGTTGGGTAGTCACAGAGTTGTCATTGGTCAATACATAATGGGGTGGGCCTCAGTGGAGCGGTCAAATTTGTTCAAAGTACAACTGCCCATTAGGGTTACTGTACTATGACATTCGGAAAAGGTAATTGCTACCGTGAAGCCCGCAAGTTTTTTTTCCGTTGGTTTTGTTTTTGTTTTTTGGAACGGCCTCGTAATTTTGGCATTCATTCATGTACAAACACTGCATTTCCTTTGGGGAAACCGGGAAGAGGAAGTCGGACAAGGATGTTGGATAGTTCCAAGATCTTACTTTGTTTTAAGCTCGTATTTCCCTATTAATAAACAGTTGCTTTTGGCACGCGTGTGATGCATGTGCATATCAAGCATGTTGTTGACATGTATTACTTTTCATTTGTCACAATGCTGCTTGTATCCGTCTACATGTGCATGTACTGTAGGTGTTCACACAGATTAGTGACAAACTGCTTTGGAATGTGAAGTTGGAAAAATCAGTTTTCGTCAGCATTGAGCGTGTACAGCAAGCGCAGTTGTACACTAAATGTGCTTCATCCCAGTGTGATTGAGGCTGTTGTGTGACAGTTTGAATTTTTTTGGCGTACAGTTTGGACATTTCAGTATGGTGCTTTCTGGCTCGGAAGCAGCTCATCTTAGGCTCTTAAGAATTTTAGGTAAAACCGATCTTTAGATGTGAAGTTCATCAAAACCAGTTGTTACTTGGGCAATCATGTTAAAATGTTTGTATTGTTATGATTGTTTGGTTCTGTTAGGATGGTTTGAATGATCAAAGTTTTGATCAGTTTAAAATCCGAACACTTTGGACGTAACTGAAATTTGCAGATTGTTTTCACAAGTTACTGGAAGAAACTTTAATTTGCTGAAATTTTGTGAATACTGTCACAGTGCTGAAACAAGCTCGATTGAAAATATCGCGGAAGCTGTGGGCCAAGGAATTCTGGTTCCATGTAATCTCTGATACTATACTTCTGAGCTACGGATATTTTTGTTGAAATCGGTCAAACTATGGAGGAGTAATAGACAATGTCAACGTTTACTAAGTAGTAACAGAGAGACATGATGATTTATTGAGCCGCTATCCTGCAGCTAAAAAAAAAAGGATTAAATACAGCATCGCTAACACCTCTTTCATTATATTACTTCCTAGGTAAAAATTTCAGGACCGAGATGGGCACCACTTCGCCAGACACCCTGCAGTCCATATGCCTGCAGTACATCAGCTGCAATCTGTCTAAGCTCTGCAGTGAGATACTAGTGACTGGAGACGGAGACTACGCCGAGTCTAGACTCATCTTCAAGAACCCCGATGCAATCATTCACAGTGATCTAGCCGAGCGTCTGTTGACCAAGTTGAGCGAAAATGGTAACCTGACGGATACCAGTCTGACGCTGTTTGCCAACCAATGCATCATGTGCCTGCGTCGGGCGTGCATCCGGAACGCCAGCTTGACCTCGCGGGGTTTGCGAGCGCTAGCCTGTCATCAACTCATCGAGCTAGACGCCTCAGGCGTGCAGAACGTGAACGTTAACGACGTCATCGGCGCGTTGGGGGAGTGGACCCGCAAACACATCCGTTCGCTCAACGTCAGCGGCTGCACGTTTCTGAACAACTCAAAATTCTGCATCGTCATCTCCTTACCCCAACTCCGCAATTTGCGACACCTCAACGTCAGCTACACTGAGTTCGGCAACAACTTGGGCCTAGAATGGGTCGCAGAGGGACTCTCCCATCTTGAAAGCCTGGACATTTCAGGAACCCTCGTCTACAGCATCCAGCCGTTACTCAAACTCAAACCCACCCTCAAGTCCCTGTGTATGTTTCACACTCGAGTTCCGGAGAAAGACCTCATCCCTGTCGTCCTCGCCTTGGATGAACTCCGACATCTAGACATCTCGCAGGACGTCCACCCCATGATGGACAACCACCAGAACCCTAGCGTCAACACCCTCCTTGAGGCACATCAGAGCCTGCCTCACCTGACCTCCTTAGACATCTCAGGCCGGGATAACGTCCAAGACGCTTCCCTATGGTCCTTCATCCAGCAACGGACAGGGCTGAGGTTCCTTGGACTGACCTTGACTCAGGGAATGGTCAGAACTCTGCAGATTCCTAAGGAGATGTGTGGGGAGGACTTACTGATCAATGAGAGCAACCCGGACTTTCCACATGATCTCAAGGTATGCAGCATTTTGGGGATAAAACTCTTTTAAATATATTGTTTTTTGTTAAGTTCTTTGTTTTGGGGGGTTGTTTCTTTGATTGTTTGACATGAAACACAGGGTTCTTCAAAAGTGCACACAAAAAAAAAGTGGAGGAGATTAGTGGTGGCATTAAAATTCGGATTTTGGAACATTGGGTTTGAATTCCTCTTCGGTTTTGAGCTGGATGGGAACTTCCGGTGAAATCTGATTTAACTGTTATAGGATTACGGGATTTTGAAAGCTCGGATTTCTCCAACCACTAGAGGGGATAATGAAGAACTGTATTGCTTTAATTTGATTAAAAAAATTATTTTCTTGGAAAAAGTCCAGAAAAAAGGCAGGCAAAGTAAACCTAAATTAACAGTGAACCAGGATTGTAAACAAAATTTCAGATTTTTTCCTCAAAAATTTGCTGTCATGCCAAACTCAAATATGTCTGTTTGCTTTTGCAATGAGTGTGAAACGGCCTCATTTTGTAACGGAATATTCCAAATAACTACATTTTATCGTCCAATTAGGTGACTGGACACGCCACCGAGAAACAGGTTGAAGAAGCCCTGCATTGCTATGGCAACCGGCCCAACTACGTGCACAAATTGCTCTGCAGCCTCTTCAACATGACGCTATATTTAGAAAAAGCCCGGCCGAATATCATCAAGGTAAAGTCCCATACATGTCTCACATAAAACTACCGACATAAATTCCAAACCCAAAACTTAAGAGCACAATTGTTTGTGTGGTTTTCAAGATTCACAATAATCTTGATAGTGGTGTAATTTTGTTTGTCTTGTGAATTTTGTCGCTAGATTATCCTGCCTGAAATGAAAGCCCATCCTCATCACCTCGGAGTCCAGATGGCTGCCAGGTAGGTTCAGCGGATTGCGCATTTGTAATGGCTCAGTGCATGACCCCATAGAGGGCGCTGTTTTGCGTGTCTCACAAGAGCCCACTAAGGGAGTATCACACGCATGCTGTTTTTAGCACAAATGGAGCAGTATTCGTGACCAGTTTTTAATTACATGCCTAGCAGTTTTATACCAGTAGAATGCTTATTAGAACAAATACTCAACATAATTTCTAAAGTGGCCAATCAAAACGTTAAAAACAATCCTTCAAAAAATCCTTAAGAAACATATCTAATGTGTAAATCTATTCAAACTTCATGTGTCGTGTTGCTGTAATGTCTATAAATGTAGTTATCAGTGAAAATGTCGTGTGATGGTCATGTGACCAAAGGAACCTCAACATTATGTACGAGGTATTCATAATGCTACTTTGACGTGATATCGTTGTATGCTTATTACCTTCAGTGCGTGTTTGTACAACCTAACCAAGCACCATCTAGCGGACAGCGTCCACGTCTCGGATTTGAGCGTAATGGTTCATCTTACGCTCAACGCAATGGAAACATTTCCCAGCCAGCAACAGGTAACAAAAGCATTTTGAGATCGTAATATATTGGAGAGGTTGTTAAATGCAAGTTTTTTTTCAAGAGAATGAACGCCTAGAACCTGCATTGTGTCACGTATACAGATTTGAACGTCTCAAAAATACTATGCATTGGCAACACACCTTCAACTTCTAATAACTATAATAAGGGAATGAATATGTGCTTGGCCGGTATTAAACAAGTATGTTTAAAACCGGCTGGCAGCCTTATTCCTGTTCATACATGTATATACCTTTTTGGTCAAAAAGTTAAAATATCTCAAAAATTGACAAAATTTCAACGATTTTACCTCTTGTTTTGTGAAACCCCTCTGGCCATGTCTATGGTATGTGCCTTGCGCGCGTAATGCAAAAAAATCTCCTTGTATTGAAATTGGTGCTTGCGCTGGGCATACTGTGCGATGTGGCGCAGAATGCAGCAGTGTTTTACCGGTGTTTTAAAACCACCCTCATGACGGGCCCTCAACTAAAAGGAATGGGTACAATTTCTCAGGTATTTATGAAGGTCAAATAATCCCATTTCCCCATGGTCATTAGAGGGCGCTATTTGCCAATATTTTTTTCAGACCAAAGCGGTGTTTAACTGGCAGTTTTAAGGTTTAATAGAGGCAGCAAGTTCTATTTCTAGACAAAAATTCAGGAATGCCTCAGTTTATTGAATGCACTGGTTCCAACAGTCATATCTTCAAATGTTGATTTCCAGAATTGTTTATAAGTAACATTGTTTTTTGGGGTGTTGTTTTATAGCTTCAGAAGAATGCCTTGCTGACGTTGTGCAGCGACAGGATACTTCAAGATGTGGTAAGACCAAGTCAAAAGGCTGTAAGCTGAATCTGTGCCAGGGTCATTCCTTGCCGAACTTACCTTGATTTCGGAAAAGTTGTCAGGCGACCCACTCAAATTTAGATGAAACTGTTTTTTAAAAGCCTTTGTGGACCTTTAAGAACACACAAAGAGTTACAATGTTATTGATTTCTGGCTGTGACAGAGTTTTGACCGGTACCGTGCATCTAAGATGGTGATGGATTGTCTCTTTGTCTTCGACGACGCTCCGATGACTCGTATGTCGGTGGCCATATGCTCCATCTTGGCTGCCAAGATATCAACGGAACAGACAACGCTACTAGGCACTAAGCGCAACATGCAGGCAAGTCAAAAAAAGAAATCATAACTTCTAAAATTGATTTCTTGTGCTTTTTGCTAGACCAGAAGAGCCAATGACTGTCCTCTGATTGAGTCACTGACTGACGTAAGACTGCAACAGTCCATTAAACAAAATAGGGACCTATTATTTTGCCCGCTGCTATATCAGATTCAAACAAGCCAGCCGACCCCGGCAAGCTTGGTAGACGAGCGATAAGATGTCTGCACTAGTAAACAGGAGGTCGTGGGTCCGAGTCCCACCCGAGTAATTTTTTTCTCACAATCACTGGCGACAACACTGAGTATACACCGTTAACCAAAATATGTCGGTGAAGGGCAAAACCCAATATTGAAGTTACATCACCCCGACACAAATTCCATCTCATGAATACTTTGGTTATGGTACCCACTACTATATCAGATTCGAACCAGCCAGACAACCCTGGCAAGTTCGGTGTTCGAGTAGTAAGACGTCTGCACTAGTAAGCAGGAGGAGGCCCGAGCTAGCTTGTGAACTGTTCTCACAAGCTTGAAGACAGCATTGAGTAATCAGTGCTTATGTAATTATTTCTGTCGAGGCCAATACCCAGTATTTACCCTCCTAGTCCTCTGCTCTTCACAACTCTTAAAGTTTTGCAAAACCACTTTTGCCCATAGAGCTAGCACCCACACTTCCAATTCCTTTGAAGAAGTCTTCTGTGGAGTATGGATGACACTTCAAATCCCTGCACAATTCCTTGGTGTTGTTAAGCTCAGGGCAAGCAGGCAGATTCAGTTACACTTCACTGCTCTCCACAGTGCTGTTTTTGTGCAGTGACTCTCTGTGTGACACAGTTAGTGCCTAGGGGATGTGCAAAATAGTATTAAAATTGGAGGATTCAGGATTGTTAGGGCTACCACTTCTTTTGAAACTGTCCTGCAGGGATATGAAGGGATTTTACATATTGCTCTGAATATTGACTTCCCACTATGAGGGTTCAAATTGGCTGGTATGTAGTTGCACAGCCTGCACTGTATTACAAAGGTCTCCGTTTCCAATCCAACTGAAGTCAACAATGATCCTTTTTTTTTTTGACAGAAACTGTTGCAAATTGTGAAGCAGAAGTCTGATTTATTATCAGTGGACATCACGCTCAAGTTTACCCTTAGTGCTCTCTGGAACCTGACGGATGAGTCGCCATCTACGTGTGCTATATTCCTCAATGAAGGCGGCCTGGATCTCTTCATTCACATCCTAGAGGTATGCTGTGGGATTGTATCTGATTAGAAAGCCACGTGTAGTTGGTGTTGAAGTGGTTTCTTCTGAAAATTGGAATAAAGTAAACTCTCAAACTCATAAACTCTCAAACTCAAAGTCAGATAATTCAAAATGCAATTTAACTCGACGTAATACTCCATTCCCGTCAAGAAAACAGGATTTTATGTACATAAATACCCTAGTCACTCAAAATGCCTGACCGATTCCTCCATATAACTCATAACATTTGTTTGGCCAGTCCACAGAAAACGCTGTCAAAACAGACACAAAGAAACGTAAACTACATAGCGAACAAAACAAAACATAAACTACATATTTTCATGAGTCATTACTGACCAACGGACTTCGTTTTGTCACGTTGGGATGCAGTGTGTACACTACATTGTGATATCGGATTCCAGCCCGTAACTGCAGCAAATAAATCCTGGCTTTTGAGTTAGCCTGATCACTACCGCTGATCCAATTGTAGCCTGCACGCTGGCAATCCAATCAATGGCTCTTTGCGGTGGCCACGTGACCAGTGGAGGATGCGCGTGAGATAGCCTGATTGCTACTGCTGACCCAGTTTCAGCTGGTGCGCCCTTTATTGGCCATATGACCACCCCACACATCAGAAAACCCGAACGCGGTGCGTTGCTATTCTTAAACCTGTGTGATTTTGAATTTGTGAAATGTTTGCGCTTAGCAGATTGTCAGTGGTTTTTATGTCATTTTTAATCTTTTGACAGATCTTTCCCGATCAGGCGACACTTCAGACAAAAGTCCTCGGACTAATCGTGAGTACAATTTCACGTTTTAATCTGAAGAAAAGATGGGGGTTATTTCTATCTTACAGTAAGGCAGAGGATTCCTTCAGATATCGAAGATTTTCTGATTTTTCTTCAAATGTTGGTATACCATGAGAGACATCTAAACAACGTCATGTGCAAAGTTTAAGCTTCATCGGCCAAAGCATTTCATCATGGTCACCCCTCCCTCTCTGGCTGGCAATGTCAACAAGGCCAGCCCAGCAGTCAAAATAAACCAAGTGTTTGCTTTTAAACAGTTGAGTGCTCCCTGCCTTCATAAAGCAGGATAGACTGGTTGTGATTGTTATAACTTGATATAACTATGCTTAACTGTAGGAAATTGACAAGTCAGCTGAACCTACCAGTCCCCTGCTTTTGTCTGTTGATGAAATTTGACTGTCACAGTGCTTGCTTGAAATATGATCTGACTGTTGGTGACTAGCCTGTGTAAAAGGCATGACAGGGGAACAGGATTGACATGTTGACTGTCTGTGACTGATCAAACAAAAGGAGGGTTAATGTTCCATGTCTCTTTCCATGAGTGCTTTGGTCTGTACCTTTGCAATTAAATATAAAGATTGTTGGTACCCCACTTCAAATTGTTTATGTTTATGACTAAACGTTAACTAAAAGTGCAGAAATTATAACGACATCCGTTAAATTTGAACCATGATATCATCTGTTTAGTTTGCATTTTAGCTGCGGTATAGCAGCTCAACAATTCATCATGTCTCTCCATTAGTCCTTTAATGAGTAACAAACGTTGACCATGTCTATTGCTCCTACATATTTTGACCGATTTCAACCAAACTTTGTCAAAAGTATCAGTAGCCCAGCCAAACATGTCACCTGACCAAATGAGGGTCAAAGGTCATCATGGGGTCACCGGCGTCAAAAACCTGATTTGTTTACTCAAAACACTTCTCCTTCCAGAAATTGCATGGCACAATCACGTAACTCATGCATGAACACGAATTCGTTGGCCCGTAGCTTGCGAAATGTTTTCGATCGAGCTTTTTTTTTATCCTTTTTACATTTGAAGAACAACATTGCAGAAGTGAAGGGGCAGCGGAATGCTCTACTCAGAGGGGACTTCATTGAACATTGCAGGTAACTTCCATTCTCTTATTTTTAAAAGATTGAATTTAAATTGAATTTCTTTCATAATTATATTGAAAGGTAATATATACAACATTTGCAAACATCAAAAAACAAAACAACCAACTTATTATGAAATACTTTACTTGACTGTTAGTGATAATAGTCTCAAGCATCCTGTGAAATCATGGCACCTGGTGTGCTGTCATTTTTAAGAAAAGTGGAATTTTTGTATCAGTCGGCCGACCATCATTGGAAAAAAAATGACTTGTTTCAATACTGCCCCCAATTGACCAAATTTAGTTAGTCCACATTTAGTTAGTTACACATCCGTGAACGGGTGCAAGCCAGCTAGTCTGGTTCCCTGACCTGACAATTCCCCCAACGTCTATACTGTATGGTTTATGGATTAATCAGGGAATAAATACAATGTAATACAATGTAATACAACGTAATACAATGTAATACAACGTAATACAATGTATTACAATGTAATACAATGTAATACAAGTGCTTATGGGTTTAAATATCCCCTTCAAACTCAGGACCCTGCTAGACAGTAAGCAGATTGAGGTCAGCTACTTTGCTGCCGGTATCATCGCTCATCTACTCAATGAAGGACCCAAGGCCTGGGCTCCACTCCCCCAGGCGCTACGGCTGGCTCTGCAAGACTCCCTGGTGAGTGGGCCAACATCTTAGAGCTGCTCAGAAAATACTTGTGATTGACTTGTGATAGACTTGTAATTGACTTGTGATTGAGTTGCGATTGACTTGTGATTGACTTGTGATGGACTTGTTATTGACTTGTGATGACTTGGATTGACTTGTGATAGACTGGTTATTGACTTGTGATTGATTTGTGATTGACTTGTGATTGACTTGTGATTGACTTGTGATGATTTGCAATGACTTGTGATTGACTTGTGATTGACTTGTGATTGACTTGTGATTGACTTGTGAACATTTGTGATGACTTGGTGCATACTTGTGATTTATTTGTGATATACTGATGCTGACTTGTAGTGACTTGTGAGTGGCTCAATTACAGCTGTACTCGCATGATTTTGCATTTTGCCCCAGCATTTTCAGAAGTTCTCAACTCAGGCCAGTCGCATTCATAATGAACTAAACTTGCGTGCTTGTTTTGTAATTTGCCGTGTTGCAGCACAAGAACATTCTAGCCTGGAAGAACCCAGCAGGTGAGATGGTCGCCTACCGTTCCTTCAGTCCGTTCTTCCCGTTGATCAAGTGTGACATCGCGGAGGTTCAGCTGTGGTCAGTTTGGGCAATGCAGCACGTCTGCACCAAGAACGGTAAGAAATTCTCCTAGGTCTCAGGTTTAGAGAGACTCGCAAACTTTTGGAAAGGGGATGTTAGTTTTGCCTTTTTTTATTAAAATAATTTTCCTAGCCAGTTTTCAAAAGGTAAAATACTCACTAGATCACTGTAACAACTCCAGTGGTTTCAGCTTTATTCTGTTCTTTTGTATGAGCAATCAAGACTCAAGTTATTAACAATTACAATTGGTTAACTTGGAGTCCCATCTGACCAACTCAAATTTGTATCCTCGTCAAAAAGGCAAATGTTTAACTCGTCAAATTAATCATTCCTGTATCTTCATTCCACTTTTGTTTCCCAAAACTTGTTTTAAAACAGTCGACGTGGGTGCCACTACTATACTAGGCCTGGGTGTGCAAAAGCGTATTGAAATTGGAGGATTCAGGACTGTTGGGGTTAAACAAACTAAGCCTTTTAAATTCAAACTCTAAAAGAGTATTTCTTATCTTGGCTCCAGTGTCATAGCTTTTTGAGTCTATTAAAAGAAATTTGATTGGAATGGTCTAGTGTATTGTTAACTGAGATTCATTCTTGAAATCAGTCGAAAAGTGAATGGCCTGCTTTGACCTTTTATTGACCTTTTTGTTAACCTTTGTGTTGACCTTTTTGTTGACCGTTTGCTGATCTTAGCTTCGCGTTACTGCCCGATGCTTGTCCAAGAGGGAGGCCAGGAGATCCTACGGGACATGATTGCCAACAGACAGGTCCACGACGAGGTCTACCAAGTTGCCAAGAGTGTGTTGGACACGGTGGACACCAATCATTCCAACAGTGGGACCTGACAAGGCGAATGCATCCCACTCCTGCCACCATTTTTATTCTCCCAAACGGTTGGCTTGAGAGGTTCTGAATCAGACAGTTTTTAAAGAAATGGATTTGTGATGTCGGTGCAGACGCTTAGTCTTTCCTTGTCACTTTAGGAAGTGACTGGGGATATCTCATATTAGGAACTGTCGGGGTATATCCCACATTGGGAATGGACGGAGGCTATCCCACAGCTGCCACCATTTTTTTGTCCAATAGATGGTCCTAGGCCATCTCAATTAGGAGATGATTAGTCTTTTCTGAACACTATGGACCGCACAGGTAGGTAAACGTAGGGCTGTGCATTTTCAAATAATTAAGTATCCGATTATTCAAACTTGGTCTTGATCAAAATATTGGTCAAATATTCGATCTCGATATGCACTGATCAAGTAAAACATGTGTCAGCCTAAACTGGCCCAATCGGGATTTGCTTGAACCCGCGCATCTTGGAAATCAACGACCTTGTGAAAATAATATGTAGAACCAAAAAGGCTGATATTTGACTAATTTTCACAAAGAAATTTGAGCTGATAATCCTCATTAAAGCTCTCAAAATTGCACTAAAGTGGCATTCAACAAAAGCGTGGCATTTGACAAAGCAATAAAACGCCACAACTTATACATCTCTTTGAGACTGCTTATATTTTTTCGAATATTTGAATCGAAAAATGGTGTTCGGATAGTCGGGTGATGATCGAATATTTGAATAATCGGTACAGCCTACTCAAGCAGATGCACATTCAGGATAACGTAAGTGGCATGTTGTTTGTGCCATTCTGTTTATCTTCTGTAAATTTTATTCATGAATTTTTAAAGAAGTAATAAGTATTTAAAACTCTCATAGCTGCAGATGGCATGATTGAACGAATATGTGGAGGTTTCGTGTATTTTAATTTTTTAAATTTTATTTTATTTTGCTTTACAAGCAAAATATTGCAATTATCAAATGAATGTTATTTAAACTAAATATTATGGATTGGTGTATAAACGGGACTTTAGCCCATGTATATTGTTTTGGGTTACTCCAGGCATCTTGGTTCAAAAAGTGTTTGAATGGTGAGAAATATGCAGAATAAATATGTCCAACTTGTGTTGTAACAGGCATGTGTTTTTTTTTTTGGGGGGGGGGGAGGGGTAACATCGAAAGTTAGAAACAGGGATGTCAGTTTCATGCGAGAGCTTGAATTCAGGCTTTTTCATGTTTTGAAGAAAAAAAAAGTTTAGCATCCCATCCCTGAACAGGCTGGAAAAATAAATCTTTGTGTAGCGTGCATATAGGAAACACTGTGCATGCGATGCTCCATAATAATCACCATGCTAGCTCGATGCAAGATTGTATGAATTGTAAGTTCAAAGAAGACATATTGCACTGTTATACCTCTGTCTTGAATACTGTATTTTCATTGGCCTAGAACGATCACATGTTAAGTTTATAAAAAGTCATAGAACACACCCTGTTGGATATCACGTATGTGATATCCCACCTAGGGAGTGCTATGACTTTGTGCGTACAGTACGTAAAACGCAGCGAACTTGCAGCAGACGATCGATCGATCAGCTGTTTCGAGCACGTGACCTTGCATGTGAGTTGACGTCGTGTCACAATTGTGTTTGCTGCTGTTTGTTTTCGTGATTTTTACATCAAAATCCAAAGAATCCAAGACAGAGGTATAACAAAACAATTGTTGACTGCTGTGATGTGGGATATTCACACCAGTCAGCAATTGTTAAATGTGTTTATGGTGAATTGCAGTGTGTTTGTAGGTATTCCAATGTGTTTATGGTGGAATGCCATCATTTTGTGCATGGGTGCCGGCTTCCACGTCCAATTTGTCAGGCCCTGGAGCAAAAACCCATTGGCATCCCTGTAAAAAGTACATTTGTATCACTTTGAATTTCCCCCTTTAAACAAAAAACATCCACTAAAACTTGCTTAAAAATGTTTGCCACATTTTAGACACAGTGTTTTTGAAACTTCCCAAATATGCCAAAAAATGGCCTCAGAATTTTGTCCCCAAAATAGCTCCTTCCCAAAAATATGAAGTTTTGGAAAGTTCTTAAAGATAATATTTTCAGATTTGCCATTTGGCATTATCAGTGCAACTAAGTTGGCTGCCGCATATTATACGATATTGCCTTATTGTGTATACCGAATACTTTACTTGGCTTTCGGCTGTAGTTATATTTAAATGGTATTAGTACCAACAAAATGATAGAATACTGATGTATAGGAAGTGACAGAGACTATTATATGAGAGGTTAATGAGAGAGTAGTGTTTGTATGAATAAATTATTGTAACTTATGCTCTTTAACATTTGATCTGTTTTTCCATGTTTGGAGTCTGTTAATTGGTTGGGCTGTTGGGTTTGTTTGTTGTTTGTTTGTTGGGGTGTTGGGGTGTTTGTTGGGGGTGTTGGGGTTGTTTGTTTGTTTGTTTGTTTATAAGACTGCCATGGGTTGGGCAGGGAAATGGGTTGTTTGTTGATCAAAGATTAGGCTGTTTGGGTGTTTGGTCTGTCTGTCTGTCCATCTGAGTTGTTTTGTTTGTTGGTTGGTCTGGTTGGTTGGTTTTTGGCAGATGTTTGAATGCCAAACAGGCCTTCTAGCCAGTTAGGATAAGGATCCATTATTGAAGAAAAACGTAGACTAGAACTCACGTGAATCTGAAAAGGAAATCTGCTTTAACATTTTTGTTCTAAAAAAAAGAGTGGCATTTTAGTTGTTTATTCCTAGACTATGAGAAAAATATAAAGGGTGTAAACTTTTCATTGTACGTTCACGCACCCACACATCACCTATTTTGTATTGGAATTCCTGAACCCGTTCACTAGGTGATGCATTGAAGATCCTGTTGCTTTTCAAGCCGATTTGAATAAGGTTACCGCTTGGAATGTTTACGCTGATTCCGTACTGTTTGTTCAAGGTCTTTGGGACAATGAGACACATGTGTGACAAGTTCATTTGGCAACGCAAGGCCGAATAGTTAGGATATTCTCTGCGTATGATTTTTTGTTCAACGCACAAGCTTTTCACGGAAACAATTTTTTACACGGTTGATTTTAAGGAAGTGTAGTAATGTATAGGAAGTATTTGAGAGTGTCCAAAGACTATGATATTTGGGCAAAGGTGCCAAACTCGGGGAAAACTTTGCAGCTCGAAATCGGGGCTTCTGTGACTGTTTAACCGATTCTTGAGTGTACGTAATAGTCAAATATTCCAGTAAAATCGCAACCATAATGTCACCAGGTTAAAGGTAGAGTTCATGATCCGCCTGCAAGACGAATGAAACATTCTGATATCCGCATCCTGTTTTCCCCCAACCTTTTATTAATTTTATAGAAATCAATGACAAAAACACACGAAGGTATTTTAGGGTATTGGTTAAGTTTAAACTAAAAAAGTTTCTCACGAGCGCACATCATTTCTACATGACGTGTGCGCATAACTTAGGGAGATAATTTGAACAGAAAAGTCAGAAACAGTATGGATCAACTTAAAGTTTCAAAAATGTATTTATAAATGAAAAACACACCCTAAAATGACAGGCATTCCGTTTTGGTAAGCCACTATTTCCGCCTTCGGCAACTTAGTCGTACGATGCCGTAACCTTTAAAAAGAAGGTTTAGTACGTTACGGTATTGTTGGCCTATGCATGGAGCGTACGTGCGCGAACAAATTCGGCGATTGTATACCTCTTCACGCCCGAATGACTTCGCTATACAATTCGCACAATAGCCACAAATGAAAACATATATGTGCTTAGTCAATTATTTCTCCATGGTTAACTGTATAGGATCCTGGTAGGCCCTTCTCTTCCTGGTCTTGTCATTTTTTCCGCATTTCGTACTTTATTTTACACCACTTTTACCAGTTCCAGGGCTTGCACATTTGTATATACACCATTGATGTAGTGATGTAAGTTCCAGCGAAAAGCAGCCGACCTAACTTCGCAAGTAGAAAGGAGAATATAGCCTCAACAATGACGGGTATGTATGCCGTAACTCGTAGGCCTTATCAATACAACGTCCTTTCAATTTTACACGACGAGGGTATACATGTAGTTGGAAGGCTTTTCAATCATACAGTCTGGTAGCTCTGTATTGTAACAAGAAATTTCATGCATTTTCCATGCAATGTAGTCATTGAAAATGCATCTGTGTGTTCTATTTAACCTTATTTTTCAATTTGCGGGTTTTTTTTTTCCAACTTCAAGGGTATTTCCCTGTTTTGTTTTGATGCTAATGTAAATTTCCATATATTCATGAGCTGATGAGCAAAACTGCGATGTCGTTCCGGATAGAAACCTCAATGTTACACCTATTTCAGCACACTTGCTAGAATTTCGGATATTTCGCTGTCGTAAATGTTCTTTTCTTTGGTGATTCGTTGTGTCGGTGCCGTGGCAGTAAGCCAATGAGCAAACTTCTCACAAATGTTTTCAATGAGCACATTTTGGGCTCACAATTTGAACAGAAAACCCCTAAACTGAACAGTGTCTTCCTAAAATAACAACACAGTACAGTGCTCTCAGTTGTCCGGAAAAGCATGGGCATTTTTTTTTTATGTTTAAGATGTTTTATAAACCAGAAGTGGTTATAAAGATAACCACAAAGGGATGACAAACAGTTCTCAAATAGTAAGAGGAGTAGAAAGTAACATTATGTAATCCTAAGAAAAGTTCATCGCGTTGAACCCTTTAAACTCCCTAACTGCATGTAAGATGTGCTTAAAGGTATATGTAGGCTAATTTGCTCATAGCTTTGTGCGTTTTTAACTTCTTCTTTTTTAAAAGCAACTAACCTTTTGAAGATTGAGCTCGGTATTTTAGGCACATCTTTGGAAATGACCTTCTTTCATTTTTTTTTCTTCAAAATGATAGCAAGCCATAAAGACTATTTCACAGTGAGTTTAGTGCCATATCTTTAAACAAAGTATGCTTTTCAACAATAATTTCGTCATTTTTTTGATGGATGCAATTGTCATACTCTGCCTTTGGTATCCCGACTCCTCCCCCCTTTCCCCTGAGACTCGGACCTGAAAGTTAGGCTTATTCTAACATGTTTTCTACCAGGTGAGTCAAAAAGAAAGTGACCTGCATTCATGATTTTTTTCTTAATAAGCAATCACATTTGATACACCAGTACGTCGTAAAACAGCATGTTCTTCAACTCATCTGTATGAGGAAAAAAAGGATTACTGAAATAGATCCATGCTATAGTGCATGTTTTATATGCTAAAAGAACCCATTTTGATAGCTGTCCATGGAATGCCATTGGAAGCTATTGAGCTGAGTGAGAATTACAGATTGCACACATGCATTCAAATACAAATGGAGTTTTAATCATTTGGGTCAAGACTGAAATGTTTTTTTTTACTGTCAGATTTCGTGTTTTGAATATAAGGAACACGAACTCTCTTTTTTAGGAAATATTGATGGCGATTTTTACCTGTTTCCCTTTGCAAGTTTTCATTCATTCATGCATATGGAAAACGTCCATCTTTCATGGTATGTAACCGGGTATTTTGACCAGTGTTGGACAGCTGAATTTTGTTATTTTTTTTATTGAAATATACATTACTTGGGAATATGCAAATTACGTGAAATTATCACAGTTAGTACTACATGTACATGTACGTTTGTCCCTGTTTTATTTTTTATGAACTGGAGCGAGTTACACATTTTTTTATTTATTTTTTCTAATTCGGTCACTTTCTTTGAAAAAATATAAGAATATTTTAAACAAGCAATCGCATCCATTTTGACTTGATGCATCCTGAAACTCATTTTGTCGTCCCTGCAGACCACTACGTGTCCATGGCTCAGATACGGGCCTCCAAGAAACTCCAGAAGAGCGAAGAGCTCTCATTCAAGAAGATCGAGACTTCGTTCGTCGAAGAGGAGCCGTACTCCGAGATCACCTTCGGCGAGGGAGGCCCGTCCGTAGACGAGGAGGAAGGCCCGTCAGTAGATGGCGACGTGCCGTCGTCTTCTGGTGTTTCGTCAAACTCCGGACAATCCTCGCAATGCAACGAAAATGCTTACGTTGAATACATGCCGGTCACAAGAAAGGTACATAAACAAGGTCATGGGAATTATAACACAGAGAATGCAACATTTTCAAATTTGGGTGAGCAATTACCATGCCATTCTTAAATTCATTTTCAGAGATAATTATCAGTTACACAAAAAAATGACGTTTCAAAGGAAGGGAAATGTATTGAAGAAAATTGATTCTGATGGACAAGGTATTGAAAGAAGTCACATTTTAAAAACAAAATAATGTGGTTCTCACGGTGAGGTAAGTTGATGAAGTTTTACATTATAGATCCTAAACATCTCCCAAAACAAACTTGCTGTGTCAAGTAAACAGAAAATCATCTAAAACTGAATTTTGCTGAAAAGTATGTTATGTTTGTCGCTCTTCGACGGATTTCTTTAATCGGAGACGCATATTGTAAAACTTCACAGGTGAAAAGAGTGTGCAATTCCTTTAACCCTTTGAAAAATTCGTTCCTGGACAGAAAGCTGAAGTGTTCCCTCTATACATACATTTCTTTGTTTCCATGCCAAAACGTTTCTTCTATATTACAGGGTGAGTTCAAAAAGCGGAACACAAACCGCAAAAATTATATTTCATATTTAAAAATTATGTAGCACTAAAACAATAATGACTGGAAAAGCCAATTTCATAAACTACTTTTAGATGACAAAAATACTGAAATTGCTCAATCCGTTCAAAAAATATCACCATTTAAACACAATGACCATAAAACCTCTTTCGCCCAAAAAAGGCGATGTCAAGGATCGTCGTCACAATTGTCTACAAACATCACCAGCGATAAAACCTCACTTTAAAAGTTAAAAAATATTCAACAAAGTCCTTTTGAAGGCCCGTTGATTTTATTAATCATATTGATTGCCTAACCAGGGTTGTTAATAAAGATTGTGTACTACAGTTGTTCACAGTTGTTTAAACAAGTATTCCGTGTCGTTTTCTTTGTTGCTCCAAACAGTCAGAATACATGTTCACAATAAATTGCTTTTTTTGACAAAAAAAGGTTTTATGATCATTCCGTTTAAATGGTGATATTCTTTAATTTCAGTATTTTTTTCATCTAAAAGTAGCTTTTGAAATTGGACTTCCAATTATTATTGTTTTTTGGTGCTACATACTTTTTTGTCCGTTATGAAATATATTTTGGGGGGTTTAGGTTTCACTTTTTTTGACTCACCGTGTAAATGGATTTCTGTGTATTGACCAGGTTGTGTTACATCCGGGGCCGCGAGGGTTGGGCATATCAGTAGTGGGAGGGATCACGACACCCGAGCATGGTCTGATTCCCGTCATCATTACGGACATTGACCCCGGTGGAGAAGTGGACAAGAGCCAGGTTGTCAAGGTAGAGTATTAACAAAATAACAATATTTATAAATAACAGAATTCTGCTTATATTACGTCATTGCACTTCACAAATTCGAGGATTTTTTTTGCAGATGAGTGGAAGAACATGCTCTTTTTAAGACATGCTTCATTGGTATTATTGCTTTTTAAGAAAAATATTAATTCAGGTCACTTTCTTTTTGACTCACCCTGTATTTCTCGATAACTCAATCCATCTCACCCCTTGCCATGATTCTGTCTAGGTCGGTGACCGTATCGTCAGCGTGAATGGCGCTTCGATGGAAGGCAAGACTCACGGTGATGTCGTCCTCGCCATCAAGGCAGCTGGCGCCTCTCTCATCATGGAAGTCACCGAGGGACAGCAAGACATTCGGGACTACATCTCCAAAGAACTGTCCGATGAAGATTAACCCATTTATCCTCCAAATCATGGCGTTTTATGTCACTTGCATGTCGATGAAAAGAAATATCAAGAACGTCATATCGCTTACTCATTGCGTTTTATATTATGAATTTTGTTGTAAAAATACGCTTTTGCATTATATCTTGCCCTTTTGCCTTAATTAAATTGTTTAATTTGGTTGTTCTATTTTTCTGTTTTGGTGGATCGTTCGTTAGTTCGTCACTCGGTAAGTTTCGTTTGTGAATTGTTTGTTGGTTAAATTTGATGGCTAGGCCTATATAGCCAGTTTATTCTCTTGATTCGTTCCTATTTGTTAGTGGATTGACATTCAGTTTGGTAGACGATTTTGAGGATATGAAAACATTTCATTATTTTATGGGTTGGCTGCAGACTTTTGGGCTATTGTTTTTAAAGCTTTTGTTTTTAAACAAAATATGATTTTTTTTTTCAATAAATGGAATGTACACGCTTATTTCTAAAATTAACGAGCAGGCAATGGTTGGATATATAAATGTAAAGCATTTTGTACATAAATCTAATAAGTTAATGTTGTACACGGCGCCAAGTTTGAGACGATTATAAATTGTTTGAGGAATATATGACAACTGCTTTGCGAGGAACTATGCAGACTCGGTTACGAAGTGTGACTCGTTTGTATATTGAAAAATTTAAAAATAGTAAAACTGTCCTTTGAGGTTTGTAGATATACGTTTTAAGCTGTTAATGCTGCATGTAATGCACTGTAAATATCAGATTATGCTTTGGGAACTTAATGAAGAAATCTATCTTCAAAGTTGTCGATCCATTTTTACAGAGGCGTTGCGCATTTGTTACGTTTGACAATGAGCAGTTTAGAAAAACACAATTACAAAAGTTTACAAAGTTACCATTTTTATTGCTATTTCCATAGAAAAAACAAACAGGTTTGTTATAATACTTGGCTACGCGGTAATGCTGCGACAGACCGAAAAAGAAATAAACGAAAAACAAAGTAGTAGATAGGGCTCGATCCTAGCATTACAATTATCGGAACACCAACATACATTGGTGACAATTAAGTAATAATCATCATAGAAAAAAATACTTTTTATTTTCTAACCAAACCAGTGGTGGATCTCTCCGGGGGTAGGCTGGCTACCCCCCCCCCCCCCCCCCCCTTTGGGCCACAAAAAGAATGGAAAAATCCTACAGAAAAGAGTAGCATGCACATGCCTGTTAACATCCAAAGTTTGACCCGCCCCTGCAATTAAGACGGCTCCAACACTGTACCCTTTCAATTACATGTACTGTACATACACACCTTTGATTAAAGTTTAACTAAAAGCGAACACACCCATATACTGTACATGTATATGCATCCAAAAGATCCGTTTATAAAATAGTTGAAATCATTTGCAAGTTTGGTCTACTTTCTCAATATTTAGACTATGCCATGAGCTTGAAATGGACGGAATTAATGCATTTTGATAAAATGATGTTAATTCATCTCAATCCCTATTATTATAAAGTTCATACAAAACTATTTACAGCATAATACAGCAAAAGTAGATATGGAAGTTTGTACAAGAAAAAATGTCAATCAAAATGTGCTGCAATAAATATAAAAGTGAAATACATACATGATGTGTATGTCTATAGGCCTATAGTTGTCTATGCTCATAGGCCATGGTAAATACTCCCTATAAAGCCATGTAAAATACATGTTTTCTCATTTTTTGCAGCATTTTTACTCTTCACGCTGTCTGACTTCTTAGTGTCATGCAAATCAGTTTTACCCAAATATCCAGATTCCTTCCCAACATAATCCCTAAATCATCTGAGATAATGTCAAGGATTATCTAAAGATTATCTCTGATAATCCCATGATAATCTCAGCATTTATCTCGAAATATCTTAGAGATAATTCAAACTTTATCTGACGGATTTTCCCAAGATTATGCCAGTGATAATCCCACGATTATCTCAGGATAACAATCTCAGGGATTATCCAAAATTATCTCAGGGATAATCCCAAGATAAGTTCAAATGAATAAGTCAAACTCACTCTTACGGGCCTAACCATGACCATGGAATGTTTTTTTTATAAAAAAAAAAAGCAAACGGATCAAAATGGGAGATTTAATCCATAGCGGTTTTGATCCTCCTCTGAAAATATTCTTAAATTGTTGACTACTTTCCCTTAACCAGGAAATAAACCATAATTTGTTTCACAGGCCTAAAGGTTTAGCAACACCTGACAACTTGTTGCCACACCAAATTCCATGTATTCACTTACTAGTCTCCATCCATGCACCATTGCATGTGTATTATGTTGGGAGAATATGAAAGTGCAATGACTAAGTTTAACAAAATGCCAATACACAGGGACAAAAACGTCACAGTGTGAAAGCTTGGCCAGCAAGGTCAGAGAATAGTTATTTTTAGAATTATACAACAATTCTGATGTCAAGAAATGTATGTCCCTCAGCCTGTGGCTGGGGTGATGGAATACCCTACAAAATTACGGTAGATACCATAATGGTCTTAATTTATGGGATTAAAGATACATTCCCCATGCTCATTTCAAATTTCAACCTGTTTTTAAATTGCTATTTTCTTAGCTACACGAAAGTTATTCAATTTTGAATGAGACATCGTTTAGTTATTGAATTATTTACTTACAAATTTGAATAATTAGCTACCAACAATTAATAATTTGGCTCTTGCTGGGTTGGTTCATTGTGAGCAAAAATGGAAAGCCTTTAATTCTCACAGGCTTGCAGACATCCACAATCAGAATAAAGTAGGTTTTTTTTTTAATTCAATAAAACATACAAATTGAAAATCTATTAGTTTTTAAGAGCACAGGTATGCATCTCTAATGACCCAAAAACTTCCTTTGAAATATATATACTCAACCAAAAAAGAAAGTTCCCTCTTAATACTTTTCGTCTAACTCAAAAACTACTGGGCACATCTTGCTCAAATTACAACTGATCAGTACAGAAATTCCTTAGCAATCCAGCCATACTCATATAATTTGTACAAAATTATGCAATTTATGACAAGTGGTACCGGAAAAAAAAGTTGCACTTTTGTATACGTGCAAGGTGCGTGTGAACCACAACTTGCATGTATACAAAAGTGCAACTGTTTTCGGTATCATTTGTCATAAATTGCATAAATTCGTACACATTATCACCGTTTTGGGCGAAGTAAAGAGTATGGCTGGATTGCTAAGGAATTTCTGTACTGATTAGTCGTTATTTGAGCGAAAGGTGCTCAGTAGTTATTGAGTTAGACAAAAAAGTATTGGAAGGGGGGACTTTCTTTTTTTGGTTGAGTGTAGCATCACAGTGCAACATCTTCATACATCTACAATGTAGATGTGACATTTATGACACGTCATTGTGATAGTTCAGGAAACGTTAACAATTTCTTACATATTTATTGTCTTTGTACAAAAAATATAAACCTATCCCCCAATTTACACTGAATACTTCTTCTGTACACATGATATAAGCCACCATCCAAGAACCAAACTGAAAATCCCAAGAAATTATGGTAAATTTGTACCACAGCATCACACATTCGGTAACTCTGGCTGTCTGTTACAGCCAAACCCTCTGTGCTCAAAATTGTAAAAACACAACTCGTGTACAAGACTTGCAACAGCCAAAACTGCCTATTTCAACCTTATCTTGGGGTGGTGGATCCACTTACGAGAGTGCAGACTTCCAGGAATTTCTCAAAATGATTTTAGTTCTATTTCCTTGGAACTGAATAATTCACGATCTTGAATACAAAATAGTACCACATAGCAACCAATGAAAACTTGCATGCAAATGAATAGGTGTGTTCAACGGGTTGACCTAACCCTGCCCACACATATGCATGGATGTATCAATACTAACAGGGGCCGATCTCATGGCAATGCAACTAAGAACGGAGTTTGCTAAGCATAGAAAATATCTGCTTAGCAGACATAGGGTACCAGCCAAAATCTCATATGTTTACTGCCCGTGACTGGTTCTCAGCAAATTTTCGCTTAGCGCACTAAGGCCATGTCCGAATTAATTGGCTACGGCTTGAAATTACACGCAGGTCTATGGGAAGTGACTGTAGCCGCAACCATAGACACGTGTAATTGCAAGCCGTACCCAAGTAGTTCAGTCACAGCCGGAAGCTGCGTCCAAATTACTTGGCTACGGCTACAAATTTCACACAAGTCTATGGGAAGTGGCTGTAGCCACTGCCATAGACACGTGTAATTTCAAGCCATAGCCACTAATTCAGACACAGCCTTACTTGCAATACTTTCTGCTTATCCATGAAATTAGGCCATTTCCCGTTCTATATAGTTTACATATGACACACATTAACTTTATTATAAAATACCCTCATTCGTGGTATATAGCGTAGACCATCGCCGTAGCAAAGAGCGAGTTGTTACGGAATTCATAGGAGGAGGAGTTGTCGTGGGCCGCGTCCCACAGACACCGACTACTGATCTTAAGACCCTGGTCCCGCAGTTCTCCGATATGCACGAGGGCTATGATCTTGTAGCGGCCCAACTGAAGGTCCTTCACTCGTGCTTTCACAACCTGAACAATTGGAAAGTAAATTTGAAGAGTTTATTTCTAAAATAAATGCCACTTTGTTCCCTTTTCCGCTCTCTCCTGGATGCTCAAAGTCGGTTTCAACGAGTTTTAAATAGTTAAACACAATCTAAGACGACAATAAAGTGTAAATAAGTTTGGATTAACAGCTGTTATTATCGTTCTTATTCTTTAGCTTTGATAAACATCCAAATGGTTCACTTTTTGTTCAAATGGATACATCACGTTTTAGAAATTCTTCATTTCTTTAAAGTCAAACAGCACTCCGAATTTCAAAATCGAAAATACTCAAAATCGAGACAGTTTCAATATAACATACAGCACCCAATTCATTTGAATAATTCATTATATTGCTGAATGTCTAAATATTGTAATCAAAGCCTGTTGTGCCACAGCCAATGAATATTCATAAGCATCATGCAACATTAAGCCACACCCCTTGCAAGTTAGCCACACCTCCTTATCCTGCCCATTTACTTGAAAGTGTTGAAGGATTTTTTTGTTGTCATGTCGCTTTTGTCAACTCAGCAAACACAGCGCAACCAAATGGAGGTTAAATACACATTCACTTGTATTCAATTGATATCGATTCATTGATTTTCTTCTGTTGTACGACAAAAAGGTTGTACAAGTGAGATTTAAATGTTTTGCTGGATAGAAAGTATGCATGAATAGACCCAAGTATGTTGTACTGAAACCCAGTGCCTCGAGGAGTATTCTGGCTAAATATTTGGTGAATGTTTTATCAATAGGTTGGTCAATATACATTTAGCTGGGTAACAGAATAGTTCCCCAAACCTTTTTTTTTTTTTTTTTTTTTTTTTTTTAAAGTAGATCACCTTGTAGGTTTATGCATTCTACAAACATGTTGTGAATTATCTAGGGCAATGAACAAATTCCCCTTTAAACTACATATTCAATTTGACTGACCAAAAATGAAAGGAGAGAAAATATCAGTCAGCGAAAATGACTCAATCATTCCGTTTCAAACATCCAACCAACAATACATCAATTTCAATTTCTTAAAAGTTGCTAAATTAGTAAGTCGGGAACGATTTCTTGCGCATTTTAGCTTATAAAAATATGAGAAAAGGTGACACTTATCTAAAGTCCATGTACACTAGCTGAAATGACGAAATCATCTTAGATAAAATTACCCACCATTTAGGTAAAAAGCTTAAAATTGTTAAACTGGCCAAATGATCAAACTGGCCCAACAGAGCCAAACCAAGCTGGTTTTATATCAAACATCCAGAACTGAAAGTTCAAAGAATTAACACAGCATTTGCACAACACCTAACTTAATGATTTTCTTTCCAACACAAACCTTCCAGTATTTTGACATCAAATTACCTTTCAACCAAAACAAACTAGGATTTCTAAAGAGATACTTTTCGACTGGAACTCCCTCTTTCTACACATTTCCACTTTCTTTGTAGTATTGTTTGTGTAACGAAAGGAACTAAAAATACACACGAACGGAACAGAGGTGAATTGAACGGAACGCTATAACTTCCGCAATCGCCGCGGCGACAAAAGTAGAACAGTACTCACATCCGATATCGTCTTTGTCATCTGTTTACAAAGTTCCGGTTCGTATTTCTCCTCGGCCAGGTAATGTTGCAGGACTTCGCATAGGATGTCTTTGACCGTGTTGACGGGGAACCGTTTGGTAGGCTCCATCTGATAGGTGGGCTCCAGTTTGACGCTCGACCCTTGCTTGTTGGGGTCGGACGGTTCGTCCATAAAGGAGACCGTGCTGACAGAGCTAAAATAGACAAAAAAAAGAGGAAATATCATAATAAAGTTGTGCAGTGAATCATTATAACCCCTGCTCATTGGGCCAATGAAAACATTCCAAAGACAAATGATGGAGAAAAATAACCAAACTGTTCTCTTGTTGCTGAAATCTGTTTAAACAAGAGACAAAAGTGAATTCTACAAATACGCTTACTGCTTGCGTGATTCAGTGCTCAAAAAAGAATTGAGTCTGCGTCTAAAATTGTGCAGCGTTGCCATGTCGAATTATTTTCCAGTTGAAATCAAAATTAATGGTAAACTTGTTTATAGATTTTAGAATACGTCCTTAACTGCGAAAGGCACTACGCATCGCAAAAACAAAATGACTACTGCTTGTCTGTGCAAAAACTCATGTATGTCTTAAAAATTATTTCCTACATGTACATTGTCTCCTATCACCTCTCTGGGGGTCCCTCTTGAATTCGTAATGGTTATATTTCCCCTGAAAATTACTAAAGGTGTGATGGATTAAACACACATTCTAGTAGAACTTTGGAACTTTAACAGTACAAGATTTGACGCGAGCGGATACAGTTGCTGGCGTGAAGTTTGGTTTTCTTCAATATTACTTTATAATGAGTTCAATGTTCTCTGTTTGCCGTTAGACTAAACGAGCTAGCGTATGTTTATTCTATGCTTGGAGTAAACATGTGTAGTCAAGGAGAACAGACACAAAACAGGAAAAACGAATTTCCCTGAAAATATTTTAAAAGGAGTTAAGTTCTTAAAACTTTGACCAATGTTACGCTATATACTGAACGAGGCATTTTACAGTTTTTATGAACGATAATTTTTTTATGTTAAAATTCAAGTTCATTTAAATAGCAACATGTCAGACAGAATAATTTCACAATACATTATAACCGATCCTATCACTACTCAATTTGTTTTTTAATGTAAAAAAAACATAACTTGTGTTCCACACATTTCTCGTAATTCTGGAAATGATGCTTCAAAGTTAACTCTTTCGCTTTTGTAATTGTAGCTTCTTTTTTTTTTAATCATTTAAAATTACAATCTGAGTAAAAATATGGTTCTCCATTGCTAGCACTATTCCAAGCTAGCTGTTTGCAGACAAAGAATGTACATACATGTATTTTCAATGATTCTCCACATTGTTGATAAAGTACGAACATGCTTTGTATGTACAATAAGGTGTAAAGACCGGTTCCCTGTAGATTCGGGTACCAACTCCATAGCATGCCTATCACCGATTGGCTGAAATTATAACATGCAAATCAGAATTGAGTAACTTTAAGCCAATGAATTTTTTTCTGGTGCAATGCACAAAGATTCCCATTAAGTACAATTTGGTTCTTTCCCAAATTTGACTATGTTTTCACCTTTTTCAAGTTTTTGCTCAAACACAAATGAAAGTTTGGTTCAAACTCTCAAAAGAATGCATATGTTAGGATACAAAGTGCCATACAAGTACACATTCTCCGAAAAATTGTTATAACAAATTAATGTACTACAACTACATATACATTTTAATTCACATACATTTTTAGCACAAATGTGTCAATAGACATGTGAAAACAGTGCTTTGTTTACTATTTTGACCAAAATACTGCCAGCACAAGTTTTATGTACCATTACAAAAAATGAGTTGAATAACCAGTTTTTCCATTATTCATGAACTGAAGTCACCATTAACATACAGTTTGTGTACTACTAATACTCAAGACAGCACATAAATTAAGATGACAATTAATTACAATCTTAATTAAAATGGTTCATGGAGAACAGGCTAATGATATGGGAAGTTAAACAATTCAGAATACAACGCTATACAAAGCAGAAAATGTTTAGGCTGTGGATGAATCAGCAACCATCTGCTTCATATGTGAGTGTTTCACAACAGTTCGTTAATACCAAAATCAAAAACAATGAAATAGGCCTATGACAATGAAAAGATTGCCACTTTTTCCTTCATGTAGTGAATACCACAATTTCCCAATTCACAATGTCTCCATTTACAAGTACAGATAAAAGCTGTGAATGAAATGATAGAAATAAATAGAAGTTAATAAACAAAACGATTACCCTGCTCTGAGCCTGGCGAGGAATGAAATTGTGCCAGCCCGCGATCTGGCCGTCAGGCCAACGCGGGCCGGAAGTGTCATACATCGGCTGCGCTGAAGCTGGAACGTCATGACGACAGTTTCCTCACGGCGGAACGACGCTAAACGGTGGAGAGTCTACAGCCTAGCAACCGGATGACAACAAGCCTCTCGAGCTTTCACGCAACCATGACTAATTGCGTGATGAGTGCGCTAAATTATCGGCCACTTTGGAGATCGTGCAAAAACACTGCCACTGCTTTATTAAACCGGCTGAAAATTACAAACAATCAGCTTCCGTTCTGATTCCCAACGTCATCTGCAGGAATTGTGGATTGTCTCCAACCCAACGTTAGGAAGTTTGATTGTAAAGCAGCTGTTTGCTTTGTAACTATTTGGATTTGTTTGTAGCAATCTGGAAAAAAGGGCCGCTAATTAGGCTGATCAAAATCCAATCTTGGGCTTAATCGCCATCCAAAGTGCAGATAGTATCAACTGCGAGTGCCGCGCTCTGCGAGGTTAATCGTTGGTGGAATAGTGTGAACTGGAGGGCTATGATCACGCTTCGGCTAAATTTGTTTGCATAAAGGCGATCCCTTCTGGAGATAGCGGTACATTTTTATTTGCATTTGTCTTTCATCCACAGAATTCCAAATTTATATATTAAAAAATAACAGCTTCAAAACAGATACCTGTGACAATGCTTGGAGTATTAAAAAGTCAAACAATTTACACTGCTTCTATAAATCACTTGGAATAAATTTTGTTTAAATTGAAACCTGCTAAAAGAACAAACACCAAAAATCATAGATAACAATCGCTAATCCCTTTTTAATGAAAAGTGCAGAGTTCATTTTTCTTAAGAATTAAAAATAGTAATGCGAGGTCACAGAGTGAATATAAAATTAATTATTTGAAAACAACGTGAATAAAATGTTACCCAAACAAGATTGTTTCATGGTAAATTGGTATTTTATGAAAAACTTGTATTCTTTTATTTTCCACACTTTGGCACAATTTAGCCTGCCAACAAGATGGGATCTTAGCCTTTAGAATAGGGGGTGGGAATCAATCCAGAAAAAAAAATTGTATCACTGTAAACCATTTTCATGAAATGGAATTTATGTCGGAGAGATGGAGCTTTTATGGTGGGTTTTGCCCTTCGCTGACATAAACACTATATACTCAGTGTTGTCTAAGTGACAAGTGTAAACTTTAAACAGCCATAACTTGTCAACAGAATGTCTGATTAAAGTGCAACAAATAGTATAGTAAGGGGCATTTTATTCTCTTTCCTAATACCTGCAAACTGTCATTTTGACCACTGCCCAGTTCTGTCTCATTTCACTGAAACGCCTCACATAATGTTTTCTTCGAAACACCTCCACAGAATTGAGGCCACTATCTCAGTCAACTGAACTCATCCTGAACGCACCTGACACGACTTTCGGTTCTCCCCTTCCCATTTTGCACCGACAGCCTGTTGCTATGTATACTGGGCCGCCGCCGACCGCCAATCCCACGCTGCCTGGAAAAAGAGCTCGCCGCAGGCGAAAACGTGACCACTGCTGCCTGAGACATGACGCCAAGATGGAGAACTTTGCACCAAGAAAGAGAAGCGATCCCGGAGAAAGCTTCAACAAGCCCTGTTCCCGCGACAATGACGTAATCACGGAAACCAGCCCCTTAAACACTTCTACCGACCTCCCCGATCGTCAAACGCAATAAATAATACATCTGAGTTTATTTCAGACGTATGCAAATTTCATCTCCTTTCCATAGGCATGTGTACAACAGAAGATCCGACTTTTCAATATTAATTATCCATTGCGGTAGCAGTTTCATTATGTTGGATTCTTACTTGACAAAAGTGGAGGATACATTAATAAATTACACAGTTGCAGCTTTGAAGGTTTGAAGGCTCCCTGGACATTAAATAAATAATTAGGATTGCTTAGATGGCTGTAGAAATTTGCATATAACTAAAATAGATCTTTAAAAAGACTTTTTAAGAAAAAGGTGGAGCCAAAAAAAACGGCTTTTGCACTATGCCAAGCTACAGGCACCTAAAAGTGAAGGTGATGAACTAAAGATACAATTTTTATACAGAATTTTACTTTTTCAACAAATCAATACACTTATTGGCAATACCACAGCAGTTTATCCTGTAAGATTGTATGCATTGACAATACAATGTAACTCAAATGATTTGTGTTTTGGAAAGAAAATGCAGAATAAAAAGAAAAAGTTTTGAGCAAGCAAATTAATACTTTGTTGTTTTTCTTGTAATGATACTGTAGCCTAGTGACTAATTCTCTGTACACATCTAATATTTGATCAATACTTCCAACAACAGCATAAATACCAGTCTTTAAAATTCCATTCGACAATGAATTCAAGACAGAACTGTATCATAAAGATGTGTATTTTAAGGGGGAAACCTTGAAGCTTTTTAGTTTTGTACTAATTGGCCGAATTATTCTAAAGGAAGGAAGAATTGTAACAGTGTCATGAAATATGAATAAGCCGCCACCCCACACATAGCATAGTGTGTAATGATACTGTAGCCTAGTTACTAATTCTCTGTACACATCTAATATTTGATCAATACTCCCAACAACAGCATAAATACCAGTCTTTAAAATTCCATTCGACACAATGAATTCAAGAAAGAACTGTACCACAAATGTGTATTTTAAGGGGGAAACCTTGGAGCTTTTTAGTTTTATATTAATTGGCCGAATTATTCTAAAGGAAAGGAAGAATTGTAAAAGTGTCATAAAATATGAATAAGCGGCCATACCACACATAGCAAAGCATAGTGTGTATTGTAAAGCTACAACAGGCATGCCAGTGTAGTTAATAATGTATCATTCCAGACCACTACCGAACAATCTACATACGTGCACAGGTATGTGAAGAGAAATCAATGGACAAGCAAACTGCATTAAAAATCCAACACATTATCCAAAAATAAAAATTTGAACAAGGATTGAGTATACCAAAAATAGTTTCGCAAACTTGTCCGTTTCTCGTACATTGTAGTATTGTCCATATGTAATAAACTTCTAGTTTTGCCCAAGAACCACACAATTTTCCCAAAAAGATTGGGATGTTTTGCTTTTATGTGACTAATTCAACCATTGACAACACGCATGTGAGTGATATCTTCTAATACTAGGGGTGTGCATAAGAACCGGGTACCCGAGTACCTGACCGCTGATGTCAGGAACCGGTTCCAGATTATGGGATCAGTACCCATTTACCAACTTAACATATTACTAAGTAACTTCTCAGACAATAAAAAAAGAAATGTTTTGAATGCCATTTGTGGGGAATTTTCAAAATGAAAACCAGGCTACATGGAAAACCAAAACAGATTTCAAGTTTATTAAGCTACATGTTTAAAGCCCTTCAGACAAATTCTAGGAAGTGAATTTTGGGGTTGTTTTTTTATTTTACGGATACCCGTGTTTTACTTCAATAGGGTACCTGGTTTTCGTACTACCCGCAAATGCACACCACTATCTATTACACATGCTAAAAAAGTGTAAATATTGGTAACACCATTTATTCACTCAACACTTTGAGTACATATTGTACATAGACAAACAAGATGCTGTCTACATTTGCTGACAGGTGTTTTCTGAAAAGGTGCAAGAGATTTTCTTTCCCTCGCAATCAATACGTGCCAAGCGTTTGTCCAGCTCAGCAAGCTATTTATGAAGGGTGGCATTTTGCTAATTTCCCGTTTACAGCAGAAAAAAGGAAACTAAAGTGCACTAACAAAAACACATTGTATGGGCTATCGCAGTCAAATTTTATATTTCTGATGGCAAAATATTGACAGGTGATTAGGTTTTATTTTATGACTGAACCAATGTTGCCAGTAACCTGGCTTTTCATATCAATTATCACTAAGACCAGGTAAAAAAAAAAAAGGTTCTCGTCCTCCTTTTTTACTCAGCCTAACACTAACAGAAGGTACAAACTAAAGGCTTTTCTGCACTTTAAAAGATGATCAACAAATAGATTTAATAGATTAAGTCAAGGCTATACAGTACACAATGGGCAAGGGGTGTTAATCATCAAGACAATCCTCACTTTAACACCCTGTTAAATTGTTAATATACTCTGTCTGACATGCTTTCATTAACCACAAGAAACTTACAGTGAGGATTTAGGTTCAGTATACACTGGACTTAAAATTGGGCAAAAAACTTAGTTCTCTGAGAGACCATTTTCTGCCAGGTCAATGGTCATATAAAATATTGTAATCTGTGAAAGCTAAAAATACAAAAAGCGATGAAAATTAGGAGACCCCTCCCCCTCCCCCCCCCCCAAATCATAGTAAACTGTTACCCTAGAATTTAAAGAGCTAATGTTATCGTGATTCAGCCAATGAAATTCAAAGTCACTAGCAGTCACAACCAATCACAATCTTCAGACACTATGTGCTCTCCCAATACCAGTGGGGTTAATTGTTTCAATAATAATTATTATTTCCCAATAATAATAATTTTTGGAAAGGATTGGCATGTTAATAGACACACTGTGAAAATGGTAAAAAAAGGAGTAAATTCCGGCCCAATTCTTAGGGCTTAAAATGTATTTTATAGTATGTCTACTCACCCTGCGTGTTTATATCTGCCACCATATTCACTTCCGCTCATCAGCGACGACGCGCTGCCGTGTCTCTTGAGCAGTCTGGCTGCCTTACTGCGAGCCATGTCTGATGCCTGCCTGTCCGACATGCTGATTTTTCTAGACTAAATCTTGCTGGAGATTAACGAGCTTGACCTTTACAAGAGAGAAAATGATTGCCACTTTAAATTTAACAATGACAATTCTATAGTTCAAGCTTTTTTGCCTCTGGTTTGTATGTTTCAGGTCAAACCAGTCAGTAGGCACTTTGTAGCAGTTTTGTTCATCTTTCATGTTGAATCATTAACATCAAATGGAACTTATTTTAGTGCTAGAATTAGACACTCAAACAATATAATTTTTTTTTCAAAGTTTTTGTGGATTTTTTTCATAGAGTTTGCCATATTTATTAGAATTCAGGCCAACTAAAAAAAATCAACCAGTTTATGAGGTTTCAAACTCCTCCAGAGATTGAGGCACTCCGGTAGCTCAATAGAATAAGTGTGCATTTTGAATGCCAAATTTACCCAAATATTTATTTTCTTACTTACTGTTTTGAAGCTACAAGTCCATCATTTGCAGCTATCCAAAAAGTAACTGACGTAATTATTGTTGAAAAACATACTTGGTTGAAAGATAGTAAGGGGAATAAACTCCCTGTAAAATTATTCTTTCTGGCAAGCTGTCACTTTGAAGAAATCAACAAAAGAAGGCGTTGGAAATTCCGTTAGTGGTTCGGTTTTCTTAGTCGAGGAAGGGCGCACAGCGTTGGCACGAAACACATGAGCGCGCGGTTGCTATAATTCGTCGGACCGGTGCGCGACATCGCGTAGCTGCAATCGGCTCAGTGAGAATGTGTCTCGGACGCTGAATTCAGGCCTAATTCAAAACATGATTCAGCAACTTTTGATTTGAAATCGAGATCCTAGAATATTGGGTTTCTTCCAAAATATACAGCTGAAGCTGAGCTGAAACTTCATCAGGTTAGTTGTATAGCACCCTTCTTTAGATTTTGAGCACTTTTGTTGCTTCAAACGAACACAATGCACAACTTAGAAATGATGGACTGTACCTTTAATTAAGTCAAATCCTACATGTACTTTTTTAGTGAAGTAGAAGTAGAACTAATTTTTCTTTCTGATTCGTAGGTCTGAGTTTGTTTTTGAAAGGGAACGTTGGAGAACCAGTCAGTTGACAACTGTTGCATACACGCAACGGTCGACTTATGTAAAAAAACAAAAAAAAAACACACACATTGTGCACAGGGTGTCAAGTATGGGAATCTTTCCAAAAAACTTTCAAAATTTAAAAGAAAAGTCAATTTTGGAGTGACAAAATCTTTATTAAAAATTAAAAAAACTGAGTTGTACTAAACTTCATAATCCCGTGATAAAAGCAACAATTTTTTTTTCTGAAATATGTTCACATTTATTTAGTTTGCGTAATATCAAAAAGGTATAAACAAAACAATGAGACTAGGAGTAGGATCACTAAAAAAACCCGCCACAAACAATTAATATTCATATTAACTACATACCTACCTCCAGGCTACAGAGATACCGCAAAAATTAATGAACACAAAACATTCATGTACTTGACTTCACCATACACATGATACAGTACATACGTTAGTTTTTTTACATAAATTTACATTGCCATGCATATCGCATGCTGATTGCTGTGGCATTGCATTGATCGCATTTTTAATTCGCAACGAACATGACGATTTCTCAACTTACCGTCGCTATTTCACCATTAAACGTTGACCTACGAAGAAATCCCAGCAGATCACGAATGCGTACGGGGTTCCCTGTTCAATTTTTCAATCAATAATTCCCCCGGAATGTCACGATCGTGATCACCGCTAAAACATAGAATGCAGCGCCGCCAACGCCATAAACGTGGCTTCGTTTTCGGTATCATAGGAACCATACACAAGAATGATCGACAGGTGTCTTGCCAGTTGATTGATTGAATTAGCATAAACAACAATTATGGTAATTTTGTTTGCCGATAAGCCCCGCCTACTTACTTTCAGCACGAACACAATTTGAAATGAATTCAATGGCAAACTGCTGAAATAAAATACAGAAACATCAAAATAATACTATTTTATTAGGAATGCACATAAATAGTTTGTTTTTGTTTAAGGAAAATATCCCCCATTGCTTTAAAAAAACCCAGTCCCGTGAGCTCATGAGCTTTTTGTCCAAAGTTGGAATAAAATTAACTGCTATTGGATGATTTGTATGCACGACATTCCGAACCGACCGTCAAAATGACCAATCATGTCGATCCTTACAACGTTTGCTTTCAGATTAGTCAGTGACAGGTTGGACATGTTGGAGAAAAATGGCGACTTCCAGTGCACGTCGTCTGAAATAGTGATGTTATTATTGACTTGAAACTCCGAGATTTTCAAAATGTATTTTCCTGTGGGATGGCCCAAACATCTAGACGTGCCTTCTGTCAAGGCAGAGGCAGTCCAGGAGGTTTTAGCTTCACGGGACCGATCACTTTTTGCCGTGGTTACGTCGCAGTCTATTCACATCTGGCAGTGCAAAGTAAGTCGGCTCACGTCGTGCACGTCCTACGCGTACGTCATGTTGGGTTCCGTCATGTTCATGTACATGTACGTACGGCCTTGTATTGTTGATGTACCCTAACGTGGCGCGGCCCCTAACGTGGCGCACTTTTATTTTTCGCCTGTAGCGCCTAGCTAGAGCAAAAGTTTTAACTGAAATTTCACAGAAAGTGAAATTTCATCAAGTTCTAAACACTCCCGTTCATAAATCGCGAGTTTATTTACCCGTTACAAAGTTAAAAGAAAAAATTATTTTGGCGTGATTTTCCGATTTTATTTTCAAGTGCAAAGTGAACCCTTTGAAAATGCCCCGAAAAATAAGAAAATAATTTTCTGACAAACATCTGGCTGGGTTTGTAAGTAAAGATAATAATGATTTATCAGAATTTATCAAGTTTACAGAAATTCTTAAATGTTAATTTGGAATTTTCGGAGATTTATTTAAGTGTGCCACGTTAGGGAACACTCCGCCAAATTGTGCCCAATTTCCGGACGCCACCGTTTTTTAATTTCGGCTTAAATTTTATGAAACCAAAATTGTTCACAGAGGTTAAATAGCAAGCATTAAAAAGGTAAAAGCACCAGTATTTCACTGCATGAATGTGAGGTTTATCAACAAAGAGGTTTGGCAACACTACACGAGGAAAGTTGGGTAAGCTTCGAAGTGCGCCACGTTAGGGAACACGACTATATTTGTAAGTTGTGGCATTGTCATTGACATACATGTAAATGAGACTCTGTACACAATCGCGGATGTGGCATCAGGTTACAAAATTCTTTCCGTCATTATTTCATATTTTAGGCTAACTTTGTAATCATGTTAAGCCTAATTATTTAAATAGCCTAGCTACATTAACGTGAACGTATAGCTAGGCATTTATATTAAAAATTATAACCTTAAAAAAAGTTAAATTTATGGAGTTGCCTATATGGCTATGCTGTGGTGGTGGATTTCGTGTTTTTGAAGAAATCGTCAACAATTTTGGTATCATCATCAAACATTATCATTGAAAAGAGAATCACACGACAAAATGAATAACGTTTAAATCATTTTCATACGTGCTTGCAGTTTGCAGATACAATAATGTTAAAAAGTCAAAATTCTGTGAAAACATTGTCGTTTTTAGTGTCAACATAAAATGTTAATACTAGGAATCCTTATTAAAGGAACAATAATTTGGTTTTTGAATTATAAGCTTTTTATGTCACATTACAAAAATGTTATGATTTTGTTTTCGGAACATGCATGTTTTACGTGTACATAACATGCATGACATGTATAATGCGTATTTATCCATGATACTCAATTGCTCCAATTCGATAAAAAAAAACCTTTATGAGATTTAATTTTAACCTTTAACAGAGATATATATGTTTCAGAGATGCCACTTTTCCGGTTTTAACCGGAATTCTGGTTTTAAAAAAAAATCTCACAAAATTCCAGTTTTTCCGGCCGTCAAATTAACCAGAAAAAGAGAAGAAAAACTGTGGAAATGCATTGATTTTTACCTCGATTTAGTACATTTAGGTGCACGCATGGCACAACGTTGTTCGTTGTTAGTCTTAAAAACAGTCTTTGTGTATGTTGTTGCCGAGCCTGCATGCGATACAAGCGGCCAACGTACTTGCACGCAGTATACAACGGCGCCTCGCGCGTGCTTCACCGCGTGCGGGCGTGTTGTGTGCTAAGCACACAAAGCATTCAGCCTGGAAATCAAGTCTATCATTTCAGCTATCGGTGGTTTCCGATCGCAGTGATATATGTGAATACAAAAAATGCGGGTACCAACCATGTTTTCGTTGAGTGCATCGCGTAGTGCAAGGATCATGTACACCGACAGCAGTGGTGTGGAATCGTGCATGTTTCGTGTCGAATATTACGTTGGAAATTCGGGTAGGCAGAATAAATATTAGGAATATGGAAAAAGTCAAAGTGATTGAACGAACCGACAGCTCTAAAGGCCATAGAAGCAAAATTTAAAAAAAAACAGAACTTGGCTTGGCTACAAGATAAAGATGACAACGGGGACTTTGTGTCGGACACGGAGTGGCTTTTTCACACACAAAAAAGTTCGGTTTTTTTCAAGCAGCCGTTCCGTTTTTTTCAAGCATCCGTTCCGTTTTTTTTTCAAGCAGACCCAGTTCCGTTTTTTTCAAGCAGACCCTGTGGCATCTCTGATGTTTATAGATCCAATGAAATCGTCTTCTATCACAATTCACAGTGCTCGATACATCTCTGTAGAGCTATAACCATGCAATAAATTCAGAATATGAGCCAAAGTTTGATTAGCTCATATTCTGAATTTATTGCATGATGTATATAGATATATATGTAATGACTTAATAAAAAATATAAAGATGTAATTCTTGAAAAACACGTGACGACAAGTTGTTTGAAATACATATTTGTACATACAGTACATGCCAAATTCAAATTTCTATTCAGCATGCTGATGATTTTTTCTTGCTATCTCAGAGACAGCACTGGGTAAACAGTGCTTAGGCCAAAAAAAAAATGTTCTGCTTCTGATTACATGGCATTCGAAAATAGGGTAGGTAGGTAGGGAATTTTCTTTTTTGCCAATTTTGTTGTGTACGATCATATGGAGGCGTCTGCGTGTAGTCAATGGTAAAAGGTAGAAATTGATGGTTTTGGGTGTTTTTTTTCTCATTTTTCCAAAAAAAAAATTAGGGTGGGGGCTGTCAAAATAGGGTAGGTAGGGAAACCGGAAGCAGAACTATTATTTTTTTTGGCCTTATATCATATTTTAAAAAGGTCAAAATTCTAATAGTTTTGTCCTGCTTGACAACACCCTTTTTTTACATTCTGGTCACCACAAGGCAAGTTGCTTGTGGAAATAAACGGTGTTCCAAGTATTTTCCCAGCAGGAAAATGCTGTTCCCAAGTTAGTATGCACAGTTTGGACAAACGCTTCCCATATGGGCTCATTGGGGGTTCCCGTACATGTATGCGAACAGCGTGCAATCCCAATTAAATCAGATGTTGATGGTAGTCCAAGTGAAAAGTTGAACGTTCCAAGTTTTTCCAAAGCCTCTTATTGTACTGGTAGCCGGTAGGTAGTAAAACTTTGTGCACAAACACAAACTAGTCCGTCACAAGCCAACATGGCCCATCACTATCTGGCTGGCATATACTTCTGGTTTCTTTGGCATGAAACCACTGAGAATATTGCAATTCCCTCTGGATGGGATACTGGTCCATTGCAGGTTACTCCCCAGCTAATGCCCGTACCCTTACACTCCTGGGTGGAAAGAGGCAAGTGGGAATGAAGTGGCTTGCCCAAGGACACAACCTATGGCCAGTGGCGGGATTCGAACCCATGACCCCTCTGATCATGAGTCACAAGCCCTAATATTATGTCACACTCCCCTAACAAACCATATATTGCTACTTAAGACAAGCAGACTTAATTTGTGATAAGCCAAGATGTTTTCTTAGACACCAAGGACATACTACAAGTGGGTCATCCATCAATTCGAGAACCAATATTTTCCGCATCCTTGTTACATGTATGTAAGATTTGTAAATCAGGACACATTCTTTAATTGCCTTCTTTCTCCAAGAGTGATTATGTAACTTATACATGTGCCCAATAAATAAATCAAATAGTTTGAAGTCTCTTTTAATATTTTCCCGGCTATTTTAAAACAATTTTCGTTCGAATTCACCGATTCTCATAGGCCTATTCAATTTTGTCCAGCAACATCGATTTAGTGCACTTTCAATGTATAATTTCGTCTTTTGTCAGATAATTTCAAATTTAGTCTGGAAAACAAATTCAAACAATGAGCACACATTTTTGACCCGGAGTATTCGATTTTGTCTGGTTACGCCGAATCGTGTTATTCAGAAATCAAATTCGTCTAATTGATAAATAAGACGAATTGATCTCTGAATGCTGCCATTCAGCAACAGCTCAGACAGATTTGAACTGTAATGACAAATATTCTTGACCCGGTGACTAAAAAAGGTGACCAAACTTTTAAATCGAATGGTAAATGACTAAATAGGTTTTGTTAAAAGCCTGTGAAATTTTTCTTGGACAAAATTGAATGTTCGAGTTGGTGAATCTCAATGAAAAATGTTTTAAAATAGCCGGGAAAACCTATACTTGTGTGACAGACTACACAGGTCAGGTGTAACAGGGACACAAAACATGTCACATTTTGGACCCCAGATTTATGAAATGACCCTTAATTACGTTAGACTGTAATATTGTTATAATTTTAGTGACCAGTTTGACTCAATGTGATTATGCAGAGGGAGAAATTATAGTCATATCAGTAACCGGTCGTGAAATCTTTGGCAACATCACGAAACATTTCACAAATAGTTGTGAACAAAATTCATGACGTAAAACTTCTTCACTGGTTTAATGTCCCTTCAGGGCAACCATAAAACAAAAAGTCCATGTGTTTAGTCAAATTCTAGATCATTGGACAAGCATACTGTACATGTGTATGACAGCTCATACGTGATTACACTCGTTCATCCTGTTATACCTGTCAGGCAAGTGTTTGTTTAGCTAATGTACTCTATGTATGCACTACATGTACAATGCTGTACATCCAGTAGGCCAATCCAGGCACGCTAGCAATTCTATCACGAAGGCCCCCTTCAATGGCGAAAGCATTGTGTTAGCTACTGTACAGATAATCCATCGCGGAGGAGTTGCTTTATACAATAGACCTTTATCATGCTGCCACCATTTCAGTCAAGTTCCCTGTATCCAATAACAGTACTGAATGATAACGTTTTGTGCAAAAAGGAACCAGACTATTTGTCCTTCCAGCCTTGCTTTGGTTACATTGATTTGAATGGGAAAAAAATCAAATGGCTGAAAATGGCAAAAAAATCAATAGACCTTTATCATGCTGCCACCATTTCAGTCAAGTTCCCTGTATCAAATAACAGTACTGAATGATAATGTTTTGTGCAAAAAGGAACCAGACTACTTTTCCTTCCAGCCTCGCTTTGGTTACATTGATTTGAGTGGGAAAAAAATCAAATGGCTGCAATGTGATAATGGTCTATCCAGTGTTTCCCCTGGCTAATGAACTGAGCGAGGTGGTAACAATTCAAGTTGATGACTGAAACAAATTTATGCAGTCTGCAAACTGAAAAGAATGCAGCGATGATTCCAAAAACACATCGAAATTGTGAGTTCTTGATACATGGAGGTAAAGGAAAACGCTCATATATTACACAAAATGAAAAATTCTCAATTGATATTTCCTTTTTTGCCAATCTTCACAGCGAGGTGGTGATATTGGCAAAAATTGAGCGAGGTGGTCACTGAAAGTAGCGAGGTGGGCCACCTCACGTTTGAATGGGCAGGGGAAACACTGCATAGCATGCACAATGGTTTGTTCAATGAAGGAGGCATGTTGTGTACATTTTGTACATTGCCCGGCATTGTCTGTGCATTGTGTGATGCAGGCAGGATAGACTGTGAAAGGGAAAGTGAACGAGGCAGTTTAATTCATTTGAAACAGGAAACGTTGGAAGTGTGTATTGTGAGTCATTGTCTGTCGGATGGCAGGTTACTTGGTAAATGGTAAACGTTCAACATCTGCAGAAGCCCTATCTTATTATAATCAGGATAACATGCACTGTTTGGGTTGAAATTACTACGTTGTTGAAATATTTCTATGCCAATTTTTAAAAATCTGGCTTTTTTCTCTCTCTTTTTAAGTGGTTTCTTAATCATTTCCCTTTTTCCTTTTAAGATTTTCATATATTTTTTTCTTCCTTTTTTTTAATGTTTGGTACATGTATGTATGTCATGTATGTATTTCCATGCAGATCAATGGACCGATCCAGTAAGCCCCTCCCACTGCACACTTGGGCAAATTAACACGTGCTCCTCTCCAATGCCACACTGCATTTTCCTGCCGCGCGCATCATACGCGCGCGCACGCATGTTGGACTTTTGTGCACGCATGTCGGACATAAATCACAGCTGTGATTGGTCAGAATACCATGGGGCGGTGCTTACTGGATCGGTCCATTGTAAGGACATAGTATTGTAAACAATTTACATTAATGGAACCCAAACTTTCCTTTCTTCTCTCTCCTATGTTACTCTGTTTGTTGAGGAGTCTAAGTTTTCGTTACAAGAAACTTTCCTCAAAACTGAAATTTCAAATATTAAAAGCTGTTGTTTTAATGGTCCCTTTTTTTTTTAGCCCTGTGTACTGGTGGTGACATACAGACGTTCCGATGATTCACTCATTGTTCTGGGGACCAATCAATGTGTTCAGTGGCGACCAGACTGCAGCGTCTTGGCAGTTGGGGTGAGTCAGAGTAGGATCGAGATCAATAACCCTACCCTCCTCAAATCTCACCCATCCCTGTCTGGTCCTCATACTCCACTCCCACTCCTATCCCTACACCCACTCCCACACCCACCCCAGCCTTTGCAATCAGTGTCTTAGTGAGGACCGGACTGCACCGTCTTGGCAGTTAGGGTGAGTCAGAGTAGGATCAAGGTCAATAACCCTACCCTCCTCAAGCTTCACCCCTCCCTATCCAACTCTAAAGCCCCACCCCCACTGGTACGTCCACAGCCACTCCCACACCAGCCCCAGCCTTTGCAATCAGTGTCTTAGTGGCGACCAGACTGCACCGTCTTGGCAGTTAGGGTGAGTCAGAGTAGGATCGAGGTCAATAACCCTACCCTCCTCAACCTTCACCCCTCCCTATCCACTCCTCAAACCCCACCCACACCCACTCCCACACCCACCCCAGCCTTTGCAATCAGTGTCTTAGTGAGGACCAGACTGCATTGTCTTGGCAGTTAGGGTGAGTCAGAGTAGGACTGAGGTCAATAACCCTCCCCTCCTCAACCTTCACCCCTCCCTATCCGCTTCTCAAGCCCACCCCACTGCTACCCCCACACCCGGGAGAGCTCAACATTTTCCCCAGTCTTCTGACGACGGGCAGAGCATACTCTCCGAAACATTTAGTTTCCTCGGTTCTTCCACAATCTCAAACACTCACAAAAGAATTTGTTACATGGTTCTACCAAAGACCTAATCTTATTGCCATCTTAACCATTCAAACCTTCAAATCTTATTAAAACAAAACATATCAGCAAAAGCGCAATATAGCAAACTTGCTACATGTAGAGCACTGGTACAGTATTCCAGAGGTTCAATGTTCAAATCCAGCTTCACTCATTTTTCTGTGTTCACCATGTTGTTTTTGTTGCAATATTTTGCAGACGTCCGGTGGTCACTTGCTTCTCTTCAAAGTTCAACATGAAGGCGGCCAGAAACTCTTGACTACAAAACAAACCAGGTAACCAAGACTTCACATAAAAGTAACTAGCAAAAATATAGAAAAAAAATTAACCATTTTCCCCCTCATTGTCGCGTGTCATTGTTCATGCAAGCAAAAATAGAGGATGCTGTTGAATTCACTGACATGACCAGTCTGTTCTGTGAAATTAATGGCACATGGGGACATTTGCAATTGCCCGAAAATATACCTGCCGTTCTAAATCCTTACTCAAAGTGAAGATAGGACTGGTACCAAATACCCTGTGAAATTATTCCGCCTGAAATGGTATCATTCGGAAGAAAACAATCATTGAAGGTAGATTTTTACATGCGTTGGCAATGGAATCAAGTCACGAGACCCCAAACATTTTGCATACGTTTTCTCTATTTTCTCATAATGTATACCATCCACTGAGCTGAAACTTCAACACGTTGACTGTTATTTAGGCACCCTTCTTAAGATTTTTAGCGATTTTTTGCTTCAAAAAACCCCCAGAATTCCTCAAAAAGCAAATGTTCCAATGTACCTTTAACTTTTGGACAAGTCGGTGATAACATGTGACATTTTGGTTTTCAAACATCATGCAACCTCCTCACAAGGTACATTTGTACTATTGGTTATTCTTGTTTTCCTGTAGCTCCGCCCACTACAGGTGGGATGCAACAGAAGCAGACACGAATGCTGTGCCCATGCTGAAGATTGTCTACTCCTACACATTACAGATACCTGGTGGCATCAACAGGTAAAGATAGTCTTAACATCTAAGTAATTGCTAAGCGGATTTCAAACATCACATTGAAAAGAGTCCCTTTAAAATGTAGTTGCTCAGCAGAAACAATTCTGCTTACCAATATGCTAAATAGAATACAGCGGAATATCAGTCCAATGGATTCAGACTAACTGATAAGATGATTTTAACTCTCCTAGTGGGCAGTCGATATACAGAGCAATGTAAAACCCTTTAAAACCCTGCAGGTCAGTTTCAAGTAAAGGAATATGAAGTGTTGAACTGTGTCACACTGAGAGTCACTGCACAAAAAACCAGAACCTGTTGAGAGCCGTAAAGCATGACTGAATCTGCCTGCTTGCCCTGAGCTTAACCATGCAAAACAATTAGTTTTGAAGTGTCATCCATACTCCACAGAAGATTACCTCCAAGGAATTTGAAGTGTGGGTGCTAACTCTATGGGCAAAAGTGGTTTTGCAAAACTTGAAGGATTGTGAAGTGCAGAAGACAAGGAGAGTATATATTTTCATATTTTGTACTAAATAAAAGTCTATCATGTGAACTTTTTGTTTTTTCAAAGTCTTTGCTGTTTGAAGGATGACCTCCTGGTTGCTACGGGCAACGGCCTATTGATGCGAGTAGGCTGGGACGGCAGTACCCGCAGCCTGATGGATCTATCCATCCGGGCCATTCCCTTCTCTATAGATCTGCAACAGTCACGAGGTTAGTACAAATTCAGCGTTATTAAAGACGTATAGAATCATTGCTTTTCATGCATTTTGTTTGTTTCCAATAATGACACTGGTCACTCCAAATCCAAAGAAGAACGTTCAAAACCTAACCTGTTAAGTTTCAGCGCAGTGGATATTACACTTTTCGAGGAAGCAGTGAAAAATCGTGCACGACCTTTTGATCAGGAAACCTGATTTTGTCGAAAGCACTCTTTATTTTCAAACATCAGTCAATTGACAGATCATTGGAAATCACCTACATTTCTTGATTTGTTCTAAATGACAGCAACCAGACGGAATAATTGCAGGGGTGTTTAGTACCAGTACGATCTTTAACCCTAACTCCCTACTGTCTTTTACTAAGTACTGGACCAAGTCCGCAAAAATCCATCAATCACACTGCTTCCAGTGCATGCTTTACTTTAGGCCTCCAGGCCCATGTCCATCATACTCCATCAATATTTAGTCAAACCGGGCCTGCAGGACCAATCCCCTAAAATGCACCAAAATGTTGGGATGGATTTTGATGGAGTTGGGTTAATCGAAGTGAGATTTTTGATAATAATTTGGTAGGTTACTTTTGGAATAAATGCAAATTATCCTTTACCGCTGAGGACTTCTGTAGATTTGTCAATTCAGAGGCAATCAGTGTTTCAGTACAGGATATTAAAACGGCATTTATAAGTCTTCTCAATTACTTTCACTCTCATCGAAAGTTAACCCATTTGCAAACCTTGTACATTGTACATGTTGTATGGCAATGAATCTAGATCAAAACATGAGAGTGTTGGCCCAATTGCAGTTTGGGGCAGTACAGGTACTAAAAGGTTCATTACAGAAGCCAAAACAAATTCATAACAGGATATTGAAAAATGTCAAATGAGTATTTTCAAATATCGTTTCGGTTTGCGGTAACACCATGTGGTAATAACTACTGCTTAGAAGATATTAGTTCTGAGAAGAACTTGTCCTGCTTATTATCAACTTTGCTAAGTAGTTTTTTGTTCTGTGAAGAACAGTCCTGCTGTAAGTTCTAAACGAACTTGTCTTTTCAAACTCTTTCACATATTTCAAGAATTAAGTAATATTCAAAGAATAAAATACATTTGGAATTCCATAAAGAATTTTCCCCACAACTTGCAACCCTACCCTACTAGCCTCTTTCGTACCCTAAAAATGTTAGCGGCCCCTCGATCATTGGCTTCGAGATACGCCGCATAGATAAAGCTGATAAGCATTCAAAATAAAAATTAAAAAAAGAAATTCCTGTCGCTGGCAATGTACTTCCAAGTATGATAAAAGTATGATAAATCAATACGATGGTTGAAGTACCTCTCACAAACTGTGGCTGAGTTTGAGATTCATGTTAAATTCCACACATTTTTATCTTCATTGTATGAAATACATCAGGCAACAACACTGACCTTTCCACATGTTCTCTTCTAGAGTTGAAATGTTTTCCACTTCAAAATGTCAGTTTCCTGTTCTGGTACTCCTAAATTTTATTCACAAACCACAGGAGGTTGTGAGCAATAATTTGCTCACTTTGATGTTGTCGTAAAATGGCTGTGCAGTTTTTTTTTTTTTTACATATTCATTTTTCTGCATAATTTGTGTATATAAACCTTTTCAACATTTTTGAATGGGCTTTTGATTTTGATGGGAATGAGAAATGTTGATACAAACAAGTGTTTTGATGTGATTTTTTTAGAGAAACAAAAGCACAGATTCTCAGGTTTTATAAAAGATGATTTCCAAATGCTCTTTTCAATCTGTGTCACGTTTGTTGTGTAGTTTAGTTTAGAATACACCTAAATATTAAACGAACACAAAACTGACTGTAAGCGCAAATATGGAAAATTGACTTTTAAAGCATTTCCAATAGACCTAGACGGAATTTTGTGACATATCATTTTGAGTGGCATTCAGCCTTATCACTCACTGCGCAGCCACTTAATTGACATGACAACGAACACACAGTGTTTATGACATCTTGACAATTCCTCCAATATTTCTGTGTTTCCCTCTTTGCCAGAGTCCACCCTGGGTGATAGCACCCTATCCTTCAAGCACGCTGAGTACAGCCTGATCCTCGGTGGTCTAGCTGTTGTCTTGTCTGATGGTAGGGCAGCATTCCTGACATCAGAAAACAGCAAGTTTGAACCAAGGGTAAGATACTGTAGTCCCTCACAAAGTTACCCCAACTTTATCAAACTCTGCACTCAGCTTTTTTTATCTTGACTTTTTCGTTCTTGTTCAGTTCTCAAAGCTTAGAGATTCATAGCTAAAATATTGACTACATTGTAAACAGTGTTGTGGTCTACCCATCAAAAGGCCTCTGATCATAAGTCATTCATATAAGACAATCATAAATCATCGAGTCCCAAATAAAGTTACAAACTATTTAAAACAAGTAACTGTGACAAAAGTATTGTTTTGTTGGGGTTTTTTTTTTGGGGGGGGGGGGGGCGTACTTGTGAACTTCTTGTGAGCCGTTTTGTGTTGTACTAAACTACAAACTACAACACAAAAACTAAGCAAGTGAAATGCAAACTATGTGGACGAACATTTTTAGAAGTAAAATATATTGCATAAATACGGAACCAGCATATTTGTGTCAATTTTTGAATACGAAAACTCCTTTTGAAACAACCATCTGTACCGTTAATATTCATGTCATGCAGAACTTTTTAGTTTACATAGAATTTACTACATGCAAGTGATTATGATGCATAGTGCATATTGTAACAATAATTGTTGTTGCTATTCGGAACCAGCATTTTTGTGTCAATTTTTGAATACGAAAACTCCTTTTGAAACAACCATCTGTGCCGTAAATATTAATGTCATGCAGAATTTTTTAGTTTACATTGAATTTTATTCATGCAAGTGATTATGATGCAAATATGCATAATGCATATTGAAACAATAATTGTTGTTGCTATTCGGAACCAGCATTTTTGCGTCAATTTTTGAATACGAAAACTCCTTTTTAACAACCATCTGTGCCATTAATATAAATGTAATGCAGAATTTTTTAGTTTACATAAAATTTACTACATGCAAGTGATTATGATGCAAACATGCATAATGCATATGATAACTTTGATCATTCATGCATGGTACATGTAGGTGTTAATGGAAGGACAAATTTTGGCTTTGGAAGTTTATGTTTACTGGCACTCTGCATGCTCTTCTGTGTAGTTAGAATTTGTCATTGATAACAGTGTAGCTAAAAGCATTATCCTTATTGTAGTACACAGTCTCAAAATTTGTCAAAGGTTACGAAATATACATGTATTTCCTTCCGCATAATAAAGGAAGGAATGTATAAAAAATATATCAAAAATAACTCCCTAGGCCTTTTTGCTAGGATGTAGCCTCAATCCTGCAAAATCCTCCATTTGGCCTCATGGAAAAATAGCTATAGCCTCAATCCTGCAAATTCCTCCATTATTACTTGAAAATGGTCCGTGGAGGGGTGACCACTGCCTGAATCCTGCAAAATACTGCAGCAGTGACTGTCAATATGTTGAGGCTTGGCCAGTGACATCCTGGAGCAGTACGGAGGATTTCAAGCATAATCCAAGCCTATATTTATGCATGGCTGAACAAAAACAACACAAGGTCCGACCCAAGACCTTGACAAAGTGCATCCTACAAAATCAGTCATGCACTTCAATCCTCCAAATTCCTCCACTTTGGCAAAGAGGATTTTGAAGGATTCAGGGCGGTTAGGCTTTGACTGTACAACCACAAATATACACTGTACGGTACATGTATGTTCCTAGTAATGACTGCATATGTACATTGTTCCCTGCATGTTTGCATTGCAACGTGTTTCTTTGACATGAACAGGTCAAAATGTTACTTTGTTAAAAAAAAAAAAAAAAAAAAAAAAGACTTCATTACTCTGTGCCGAAATTGGCAAAGTAATTTAATAGTCAGAATACATGTATGTGGTTTGGTGCCTGGATCTTGCAGAACTGAATCTATGAAAATCTAACCAAATCACTTGCCAGTTTCTGGCAGATTACTGATGCTGATGGTTATACTAAAAAGCAAATCTTCACTTCATGAACATCAATACAAAATCCTGTCATTTGTCATTGTTTGCTGATCATGTGTGTGTTTTGCCTTCTCAGGCTGTGCATGCAGTCTGGGCACCAGACGTCTCCAATGCCTGCTGTGTAGCCATCAATCATAAGTACCGCCTTATTGTGTATGGGCTCTCAAAGTAAGTGCAGTGAACACTCAAATTCAATGAGCCATATTTATTATCTCTATATATGTGATGCGATCAAGCTACATGAGTTGTTTGTCTGGAATTTTCATTTGGAGATGCAGGCCACACTAGGCATGCTAGGGCCACTTCATCACATCACTTCATCACATCTGTTGGTGTTCCGACTTCCATAATTTTTGAACTAAAGGTGGTATCAGCATGCGGTTTTCACAGCAGTAATGCTGTGATTGTGCTCATTTCAAATCTGTAATAAAAAATGTTTTGACTGGGGTCGACAAACGACCCATGTTGCTTGATCGCATCACATATATCTCGGCAAAAGTAATACATAGCGAGTCTCGTTTGCCATTCAGCTTTTAGAGGGTTGAAATCCATTTTATTTTTAATTTTTTTTTTAAGTCTTATTTATATCTTCAGGGTGTCTCAAAATAAAATATACGCGTTTTTAAATGTAAATGATAAGAAATGTACTGAATATTTCAGAAAAAGGCAACTACAAGGAGAAAGGTAAGGATGTCCTCTATCCAATGATATTAATTTCATAACGTCATTGTCATGGATAAATGAGCAAAAAAGGTTCTATGAACGAGGTCCAAATCAGGACTGTGACAATTTGTTTTACCTGGGTGGCAAAGGGCAGACAGATGTTATTCTTTTACTGTTGATGAATCAATTAAATTGTTGTTGCCACTAAACACTGGAATAAATGTTAATGTCTTCAATAGGCTATCAGATTACATGAGTTCTCTTTCATGATATAAATATGAATCATATGAAACATTAACTCACACCTTCCAACATCCTTAAAAAGCCAACAGGAGTTTTGGTTGAATTTGAAGGATTAAGGAAGGACCAGGCATGCCCAAGGGAATCTTTCTGGAGTTTCGTTCAATGCAAACAATGTGCTGATACTTTGAAATATGGAGATGGTTAATAGTCTTCTTTGGTGTGTTTTTGTTTGCTTTTGTGCAGTGGTCAAGGTGTAGTTTTCACTGTCGACGAAGTAACCGGTGCCCTGCTGTTGTCACATCGATTAACGCTCTCCAGTAGTGACTTTCCAGGTATTTAGACAAAAAGTGTTTCAAGAGTAGAGCTATGATGTCTAAGTCAAATACAGTAACATTGTAGCTACATGTATTTCATTCATGTTTGACATCGTAGCTTGTTGATTCTAAAAAATAACAACCTATTCCAAATACAGTTTTATTTTCGAGATTTTGCCCTTCACCAGTTTGTCAAAAGGCCTGTAATGGTCACTGCTTTCAAAGTGCTTGCGAGCACAAAATCATGATCATACTTCAGAGGGACTCGAACCCACCACCCCCTGTAAATTTGTACAGATGTCTTAACTAATTGACTAATCCGTCCCTGTGGCTAGCTGGCTAGTTCGAATCCAGTTATAACAACAAGTATTGCAATCAACTTGAACGATTTTTCTGAACCAAGATTAAAAAAATAAAAAACAGACAACATAAACCTTTTTCTAATCATTGAAGACTGTGTGAACACAATTTGAATTTGCAAATAGGCCCCTCTTCCAAAACTGACAGGCATAATTTGCATGCATCTTCTTTGTTCTCAGATGGTTGCCAAGCAGCAGGGCCCGTTTCCTTAGTGAAGTGGACCCCCGATGGCTGTGCCTTGGCCTGTGCCTGGCGTCAGGGTGGTTTAGCTCTCTGGAGTGTGTTTGGGGCGTTGCTCATGTGCACATTTAGTGGCGATTATGGGTAAGGCTAAGACCTAAAACTCCAAAGTTGTTTTTTTGTGTGATACTTTAAAGATGCTTTCCCTATGCTATTTTTGAGTTCACCTCCAAAAATTGATTTGTTTTATTCAATTGCTCTTTTCCTAGCAATACAAAAGTTGTTCACTTTTGAATGAGATATCGAGCTAAAAATCCACCGACGTTTAGTTATTGATTTATTTCTTCACAAAATATGACTTATTGGCTGCCAGACAATTCAGCTATCACAGGGCTATCACAGGGCGGGTTCACTTGTCCACAAAATGAAAGCACTGTTTTTTCAGAGGGTTACAGATGCCCCATATCAGAATGAAGTAGATTTTTTCATTAAAACAAACACACAAATTGAACATTCATTGGGAGGACAAAATCAACTTTTTGAAGAGTACAGGGTATGCATCTTTAATATCGGGCTTGATGCCCATTAGAAGTTGAGATACATGTATAACGATATGCCACTGGGCTTGTGCACTGGTGGATTTGGAGGGTTCGGCACGGTTCCTGACAGAAATTCCTGAGTTAAGGTTGTTGGAGTCTAGTTTGAAGTCTTTGTGTTGACCTTTTATTTTCAGGTTGTGTCCAGATACCAGCAGGCCCTATCCACTGCATGTTCAGTCCATGGTGAGTGACACTCGGACCTGGAGTTCTACAAAGGACATGGCCCCTCTTCCTTTTTTCTTTCGCTTTGTCCTGCTTGAAATACGCTTTGTCCCACTTGAAATATTCAAATAGAAATTTTGAATTTTTAGTACTAATTTCCTTTCCTTTTATCGTCAAAGGACATGTGGCTTTGCTCCTTCCAGAGCTATTTTTATAGGCATTGCAATTGTATCTGTTTAAGACAATCGATTCTGTAAATATGACTTGAAGCTTTGCATGGTGGATGAGATAAAGTAGAAAGATTGTGGATAACACCATGTGGAAAGACATATTTTCTGGGGAGAAGTGTGGTTCTGAAAAAGACTGGAGGACGGACAGAGCACGGGCAGAGCACACTGTCCGCAACGTCGAGTTCTACACTCAACCAACTGATTCTTTTTCAGAACCACACTTCTTCCAAGAAGAAATTACTTTCCACGTAGTGTACCCGCAAACTTTGTACTTTCGGTTCTGATTTATTAGAGGAGTCTAACCAAAACAAAACATACTTTCCACTTTCCTTTTTGTGTTTCTGCTTTGTAGGACTGGGATCCTGAGGGCTACAATTTATGGCTGACCACCGTGCCCCAGTCAAGCAAGGACAGAAAGACGTCTGGTACCAGAGTACCGTTCCCGTCAGTCATTCAGCAGCCTGATCAGCTGGCCGGGGAGTTACTGGTGGTTGCATTTGTCAAGAGTGCCCTGACTTCAAACCCTTGCATGGTGAGTAAACGGGTCTTGGCTTGAACTGAAGAGGGCGCCAGTGTTACTTTCAAGTAAACCATAAATCAAATGACAAGTCAGGTTGTAAGTAACCTGACTTAAGCCTGGATTACATTAAATAGAAAGAGCAGTAAAGTAAACGATCCAAAGCATCCAATTTTGGGGGATTTCAGTCCGTAATATCCCTTTAAATGTGTTGACATGTACTGTTTAATATGGGTCAAATAGCATGTAATAGATGCTTACATGTTTGGGTTGCACGGCGGTCGCCTGTCGGCAAGACGTCACAGGGCACATGGTCTATAGGGTGAATCATATTCGTTGAGTATATTTTGACTTGTTCTGAACTCTTCTGAACTCTTCTTATCCCATACAGACCAACCATGAGCACTTATTCCTGCAAGGGGAAGATAGGTTGTATCTGAATACAGGAGACACGATACTCAAGACGGGTCAGTCAGACGTGCCGTTGGATCACAGTCCAGTCACGCCGACTTCACAGGGTAATGCATCAGGTACGAATATCTCGTATCATTCCAACCTAGAGCAAAACCTAATTTGATTTACATCACCCCGATGTAAAAATTCCATCTTATGAATAGTTAACGCGGTACCTGCTGCTATGTTCATCAGATTTGAACCAGCCAACCGATTCCGTTAGCTCGGTGGTCGAGTGGTAAGACATCTGCACTAGAAAGAAGGAGGTCGTGGTTTCGAGTCCCACCCGAGTGATTTTTTTCCAACTTTCACTCAGGAGGTAACACACTGAGTATACAGTGTTTATATACGTCGGTGAAGGGCAAAACCTAATTTAATTTACATCACCCCGATGCAAAAATTCCATCTTATGAATAGTTAACGCTGTACCCGCTGCTATGTACATCAGATTCGAACCGGCCAACCGATCCCGTTAGCTCGGTGGTCGAGTGGTAAGACATCTTCATTAGAAAGCATGAGGTCGTGGGTTCGAGTCCCACCCGAGTGCTGTTTTTTGTGCAGTGACTCTCTGTGTGAAACAGTTACTGTAACACTTCATATCCCTTCATCGGAAACTGACCTGCAGGGTTTAAAAGGGTTTTACATTTTTCTCTGAATATTGACTTCCCACTAGGAGGGTTAATACAGTTCACACACGAGAACTATTAATGCGATTGGAATTCAGTATTGCGATGGCATTTTGACATTTTCAGGTGGTGATGCGCAAGGTCCTAGCGTTCTGATTGGCAACAAGCAGTGGCAAGTCCTGTCCCTTCCATACAGCTACATGGCCAGTAACTGGCCACTGAGGGTAAGTTCCATATTGGTATAGGTCTCATCTTGTTAGGTTCCATCTCTATAGGTACCATCTGGGTAGGATCCATCTTTTAGGTTCCATCTATACAGGTTCCATCTCTGTAGGTACCATCTGGGTAGGATCCATCTTTTAGGTTCCATCTATACAGGTTCCATCTCTGTAGGTACCATCTGGGTAGGATCCATCTTTTAGGTTCCATCTATACAGGTTCCATCTCTGTAGGTACCATCTGGGTAGGATCCATCTTTTAGGTTCCATCTATACAGGTTCCATCTCTGTAGGTACCATGTGGGTAAGATCCATCTTTGAGGTTCCATCTATACAGGTTCCATCTCTTGGGTTCCATCTGGGTAAGGTTCATCTTTTAAGATTCCATCTTTTGGGGTCTATTGTTTAGATTTCATCTTTTAGGTTTCATCTTATTAGGTTTCATCTTTCTAGTTTCCATCTTCTTACCTTCCATCTTTCAGGTTCCATCTAGGTAGGTTCACTCTTCTTAGGTTCCATCTTTTGGGTTTCATCTAGGTAGGATCACTCTTGTTAGGTTCCATCTGCATAGGTTGCATCTGCGTAGGTTCCATCTTAAACTTAAGTCAACTTAAGTTGTGAGCCTCAATCAACATTGTGTATAGACTGTTTAACATTATTGCGGAAATTATCCCATGAAGTTGTTCAAAATACTGCAAATAATAGCCAATTCACTGGGTCTACTGTGGATAAACCTTTCCACAACTTACTCCAGATACTTAAAGATAACTCCTTATTGAGACAAATCCTTTCTGATGATTACTTTGTCTGTATTTCTCATCACAGTATGCAGCTGTGGATCGGTCAGGCCACTGTGTCGCCATAGCGGGCAGGTTCGGCCTAGCACACTGTACCCTCTTTGCTAAACGCTGGAAGCTGTTTGGTAACATCACTCAGGAGAGAGACATGTCAGTCAGCGGAGGGGTGACCTGGTGGAGAGACTTCCTGGTCTTGTCCTGTTATAACCACTACGAGAATCGGCATGAGGTAAGGAGGATTTCCAAGTGAACATCTTGGAAGACGTTTGCAGATTGAAGCGAGTGAGCTGTTTCCTGGTCGGCATCTCTGTTCACTAATACAACAGCCATTCACTAATAAAAATAAGAAACAGTAACCATTAATGTTTGACACGGACATAGTCTGAATTTAAAAATAAACTGGTGTTACCTTCATATTTCAGTCTGTACCTTTGTATTGTATCTGCAAATTTCTCCCAAGACATTACTCTTCTTTTAGAGCCCTCAAATTGGAACACAGGGGTGATTGGAACAAGATGTGTTAACAACCTTTTCCCAGCTGAAAACAGGTTTTGCTCCAGACTTTTGGAGCATAAGTCTTTTTTTTTCTGGAGAGAGAAAACAATATTGTCGTCCTCAGGCATGCACCTTTTCCTCGGATCCGCTGATTTCCTTGTTTTTTTAATGGACCTGACTGCCATTACAAATTGAAAAACACTGTACAATTCTTGTGTGGTTCGGAATTTCCTTGTTTTTTTCTAAATTCCCAGTTGCATGCCGGGGTCCTAAATTGAAAACAAGTTATGGGTTTTGACAAAATTACAGGGGATGTTTTTGAAGTTCTCTGAAACATAACTTTTTTAATTGAGCAAAAGTCTTCCTAATATGCCTATAATTTGATACAGTTTTGTAGTTTGTTTACTAGTACCACATTGGGTAGAGTCACAAACTCTGAATATCTATTTTGTTTGACTTTTGTATCTTTTAGTTGCGGTTATATCCTCGAGTGAGCAACCTCGACAACAGCTTTGCCTACATCACCAAGGTGCCTTACCAAGTGCTTGTCCTCAACGTCTTCAAGGATATTCTCATCGTCTTTTGTGTGGATTACCACATCTCACTGTACAGCATAGAGCGCAGGGAGAACACAGGAAGTAAGTATTGGGTTAAAGGCACATAGTATCATTTGTATTTATCCCAAAAGTAACCTACCAAATAAGTTTCAAAGAAAGCTTACTTTGATTCAAGATCGTACCGGTTCTAAACACCCGTGAAATTATTCTATCTGGCTTGCTGTCATTTACAAGTAATCAAGAAATGTAGGTGATTTCCAACGATCAGTCAGTTGTCTGATTCTTGGAATTTCAGAGTTATATAGACAAAATTGTGTTTTGTGCATGGTTTCCTAACAATTGCAGGATATTTTATGATTGTGTTTGTGTCTAGGTCCTAGTGCCAGTATTAGTAGGATCCAGGATCTGTCTCTTGCCAACTTTGTGCCTCATCCTACCTCCTTGGTCTCCCTGACGCTCACATCACTGCGATCTGAAACAGGTCAGTACTGGAACCTTGTAGTTACATTGATGCTAAAGAGTCAAAGACTAAAAATGAATGACTTTGATTGTTACTTCACCTCATTCAAACTAAGGCCAAGTAGAAAAAAAACTTGTTCTTCGTCCCAGCTTTTAAAATAAACTGAAGGAGGCTTCCCAAGATGGCGGATCTTACAAGATGGCGGATGGATTTTTTCTTTTTCTCGACTCTTTTTGTGATACAGAGTTGTGTCCAAAGGAACACTTATCCTGTATACATAGCTACAATTTTGTTGGAATCAACTACAAAGACAAAATCGTGACACAAGTTGCAAAATATAGTGCAAAAGTATGAATAACCAAAAAAAGGAGGCAGGCGGGAAAAGAAGGAAGCAGGCGAGGACGAGAAATGGTTTACTATTTTACTTGGCCTAATGACCAACACTCTGGTCAATATTCCAACATGTCAGGGAGGTAAAACATCTTACTGTGGGACACAAGAGATTGCCAACTTGAATTTACTGCGATTTAACCAAACATTTCAGAAGGCAGTTTTTTTTCAAGATGCATTTACAAAAGGTTTGGGTTGTATTAATAATAAGTATATCTACAATCTTTCCACTACAGTTTCTCCCGAGTTAGCCAACCATACCAAAGAAGCAGAGAGTCTGATCATCAACGTAGCCGGGAGGTTACTGATGCTGCAGAGAGATCACTTCAAGACGCCAACGCTGACCCATGCTCCTCTAGACAGACGGAAACACAACGAGGTGAGGATCAGGCGTCATATATTTAGATTTCCCTTCAATTTTGACAAAATGTTGAAAAATATCCCCCAAATTAGGAAATGTCCTCATATGTTTTAGGTTTCCCATCAATTTCTCTGAAACTCTTCCAGATATTGCCAACATTTTCTCAATTTTTGGTTTTACCTCTTTCCCGTAGATGCCCTTCTGTGCCCCAGTGGTGCTTGCCTCTTCCGTTGAGAACATATGGACCACGTCTCGTAGCAATCGGGACAAACCTCACCTGATGGAGGCACTGTGGCTGGGATGTGGTGCTGCAGGCATGAAGGTAAGCAGGAACAATATTCCCCCTGGTGACAAAAATATTTCCCCTTATGATAAAAATGTTTTCCCCTTGATAAACATATTGACTGGCTGTTAAGGCACTAGTGGTTCTAGCAAACACATGGGCCATGTCTCGCAGTAATTGAGACAAACTTTACTTGATGGAGGTGCCACTTGTGTAAGCTGAGGAAGGTAAATATTATATTAACTGGTAAATATAATAATATGAACTAGCAGGTAAGGCACTAATGGTAATATTGTACTCGGTTGAGAAAATATGGACCACACCTCACAGTAATAATGACCAGCCACACCTGATGGAGATGTCACTGGCATGAAGCCAAGGAAAGTAAAAACTATAATTTCAATTATATTGACTGGTCCATATATTGACTGGTCCATATACTGACTGGTCAATATATTGATTGGTATGTAATATACCCTGCCAATCTTGGAAAGGCACATAGTCACATGTTTGTTTCTGTTTTGTTGTAAAGTGTTTTATTTTTAATGATTTCAGGTGTGGCTTCCGCTGTTTCCCCAGAACAACACAAAACATCACCACAGCTTCTTGTCCAAACGCATTATGCTGCCATTCCAGCTCAGAATCTACCCTCTTGGTAAGTCAACCAAGCACAATTATGGGCCTACCAATCAGGAGTGATAATTATATAACCCTTGGAGAGTTGGTAATACACAGAAACGTGACTTTACTTGCAAAAGATAGACTCCTTTACATAATAACAAATGCAGACTACTAAGATGTTATGTATGTACCCATTCAAGTCACCATGGTCTACTGGCAGAGATATAAGCTTTGTATGTCTACACGTTTATTCTTTCTGATTATTGTTTATATTCTGTTGTTGTATCTGTGTTTTGTTTTGTAGCCGTGTTGTTTGAAGACGCTGTCATGTTAGGAGCAGCTACAGACACCTTGAGCTGTGAGCCGCAGACACCGTGCAGCGCTGACAACAACAAGCCAACAATCCTGCCATTCACTACAGTAGAACGCACAGTAAGTATACCATAGGAAAGAGTCTATTAGTTTAGGATTCACAAAACCCTATGGCACCTTCCAGTCTACTCTATCCCTGCCAGGTGCTACACAGTGCAACAGGTGTACAAGTCTATGGGACCTTGCTGCAATGGGCCATCAACATCAGTTCATAGAAGACCAGTCTTAGACAAAGGGAGCTAGTTGCAGTAGACAATGCCACTGTTGTATCATGTTGCAGTTGGTAGCCAGGACTCTGTGGCATTGTACCTTTGGGATTATTGACCTGATTGATCTTGTAACATTTGGCAGGTTCTGCACTTGATGCGTTGGGCAGGGTTTTTCTAGACAAAAATACCCTGGAGGGTTAGGGTTAAAACAGAGACCTGTGTTGAAACTCTAAACGACAGTTAAAGGGCTGCCACTCAAATAACAAATCACCTTGTACTTTCCTTCTGGAATTTTTCCCCTTTTTCAGACTCAGATCTACCTGCACCACATCTTAAGACAATTGCTGAGAAGAAAGTAAGTTATCATTATTTGTTTTAATAATATTTCACAAATTAATTCAACAAATACTGATTCAGAAAAAGGGATCAGACCTGAACTATTTGGCTAGTCTGGGGAAAATATCTTATTCAAGACGTATGATTCTAATAAGAGTTCACTCTTTCAAAACTGAACTGGTTTTTGTACATGGTTCTTTTCTGACTTTAATCGTGTTTAATTTCTTGTTGCTATTTTGCAGTCTTGGCATGCATGCGTTACAGATCGCCAGCAGTTGTACGTCTCTCCCGTACTTCCCACACGTCTTAGAACTCATGCTGCATAGTGTGCTGGAGGAGGAGGCTACAGCCTCAGAACCTATACCTGGTAGGTATATATGATAGCAATACCGAACTGAAATCCTCGATCCTGATTCGCTACAACATTGTGGTAATATCCCGTATTGCATTGTTCATCTGGCACGATGCGTTTCGCGCACTTTTCTGAGATGCACACGTTTACCTGCTGCGTGCATGTATAACGGATAACAGCTGAAATACGACCACAGCTTTTGCCTCGCATCTTTGCTGTGCATCAAGTTTACTTCAAACTAATTTTTGTATTCCACTTGCACTCATGAACACAGAAAATGTGCTGCATCTGTGTGCCATATTGCCTGTGGCAAATAGGTGCACTACATTATTCCCAGTTTGACCCGCATGCGCGGGATTACTAATAAATATCTATTGCAAAAGTCTTTCAGAAAATTCAGTGTCAACTTTTTGGCACAGTGGGAATCGCAAAAACTTGGATTTTGACGATGGAGACTCCTAACAATCCAGTCACGAATGTTAACTTATCCAAGATTTCCCGTCTAATTTCACGTCTAAATATGATTGTCTATCATCAGATGCTCTCCTTCCGCGTGTGGTAGCCTTCATAGAGGAGTTCCCTCAGTTCTTACAGACCATCGTTCACTGTGCCAGGAAGACTGAGATTGCTCTCTGGCCGTACCTCTTTGGCACCATCGGGAGTCCTCAGGAACTCTTTGAGGTACACCTCTCCTCCTGCCCCACCCCTCCTCCTGCCCCACCCCTCCTCCTGCCCCACCCCTCCCTCGCCCCTTCATGTCTTGTGATGATGTGAAAACAGTGTTAATGTTGAGTCCATCGTAGGGCCATCACAAGACCGGTTACTAGTTTAACTTCAAAAAGTTAAAAAGTCTGATCACAAGTAACTGGATTAACAATAACATTTTGTCACAGTTCATTTGAAAAAGGTTGTGACTTGACTTGAGACTGGATGACTTGTGATGGACTTGTGATGTCTTATGATGTATTGTTATGACTTGTGATGCCTTGTGATGACTTGTGATGTCTTATGATGTATTGTGATGACCGGTCACTAGTTAAACACAAGTCTGATCACAAGTAACAAGTTGTGACTTGACATGAAATTGGATGACTGGTGATGGACTTGTGATGGACTTGTGATAACTTTTGATGAACTCAACTACAATTATGTGCAATGAATCCAATTAAATCCTGAACCTGTTTTCTATTCACTGCCCACCCAGTTTATCAAGATTCAACAGAAATGTTTAATGTTAGTGCCAGAATTGCATCTTTGTCTCTCAGTGAAGAAAATCCCTTTATACCCATCCACGACCCTACCATTGTTTAAAAAAGTTTTCAGCATGGCAACGTCAAACAGTAGCCCCCCCCCCCAATTTGTTTTTCTTCCTTTTTCAGAAAAGAGATAATTTGCAAGTTGAAACTGTGTCTCAATATGTGAATCTTATTTAAAGTTGCAGAAAGTACAATTATTTTGTTTTATCACATCGTTTGTTTGACAGCAATGTATAAAAACCGGTGCCCTGCAGACGGCTGCTTCCTATCTGCTCATCCTGCAGAATTTAGAGCCTCCTAAAGTCAGTCGACACGTGAGTACCAGTGATTCATCATTGTGAGTTCAAGTCCAGCCTATTGGGTTGTAGTGTGTGTGTGTCCACGGGCAAGACACTTTACACTAGTTGCTCCTCCCCAGTCAGGGAAAATGGCAACCTCATGCCCCATGCTTACTTTCTTTTCAACCTTATTTCCAGTAGTAACCCCTTGGTGGGAAGCTTGTACATGACATATGGCAATCCACCACTGATGCGCTGGTTGACATTCATGGACTTGCTGCACATGGCTTTTATCACAGTAGCAGTACAGGAAGTTAGGCAAAATCAATCGAATACCCCTAGCACTGTTTCAGGCCATTAGGCTTAAGTCCATCATACTCCATCAGTATTTTGTCATGCCAGGCCTTCTGGACCAAGTCCCCCAAAATCCACCAAAATGGGGGATGGATTTTGATGGAGTTGGGGTGGTTAGAGTTAATTTAATGAAACATGACTGTTACTTTCAGCATGCTACACAGCTCCTGGATGCTGCACTGGAGCATTGCGAGTGGAAACTCTGCCGAGATCTGCTCAGGTTCCTACGCTCCATCAGCGCCACTGACTTCGATGTTGCCAGAACTCCGCCCCCGAACCTCAACAATTCCATCGTCTTCCCGCTGGGCAGCCCCACCCCGCTACCTGCCAAGGAGGGCGTGGCTAGTCTCAAGCGAGGGAGGCATTCGAGCAAAGGGGGCAGAGGGACTGAGAAACAAGAGGTGGTGTCAGAGAAAAGGTAGGCGTGGCAAAAGAAAATGTAGGCGGGGCTTGAGAATAGATAGGGGGCATGGCTAATTTCAAATGAGGGAGGCACTCTAGCAAAGGGGTAGTGCGGACTAGAAGCAGGAGGCAGGGCCAGGGAAAAGGTAGGTGGGACCAAAAAAAATGTAGATGAAGCTTGAAAATAGGTAGGGGGCATGTTTTTTTTTAAATGAGGGAGGTACTCTAGCAAAAGGGGCAGGGGAATGAGAAGCAGGAGGCGGGGTCAGAAAAAAACTGGTCTGTGGATGAGCAAACAAGTACCCTTCAAGTCACTCCTTTGGGAGTTTGTGCCTATTGGGGTTGCATCCTCTAATGCTGTGCATGCTGTGAATAACACTCAGTTTAAAGAAAAACAGGCAAAATGAAGGCGAGCAAACAATTTATGTGAGTCTTGATGATATCTCTCTTTTTATTTCTCTCTTTAGCCGTCTGTCCTCACAATCCAAGCCCTCATCTTCCCAGTCCAAGACGACGGATCAGTCCTCATCCGTCGAGGAGTACTTCGTGGATGTGATTCTCAATCGACACGCTCGGAAACTCATCACGTCTCTGAGGCTGAGAGACCTTGGGATGTTTGTGGCTTACCTGGACTTCAAGCTGCAGGCGTGGCTGGCAAAAGAGAGGTGAAATTTGTTTTTGTAAGAATTGTTGGAGAGCTTCCAAGAACTCGTTCTCGGGTTTTCCTTGGGAGAAAGGATTTTTCTTCTCATATTAAGCATATTTTTGAGTCAGTAGGCTGACTTGGTCAGGTTTAACCCATGATCTGTGAGATGTTTCAAATGCTTTAAGTCTGAAATATGTTGGCGTATATTTTGCATTCACCTTTATACTATGATCCGCCATTATCTTTTACTATCTGTCAAGGGGGATCTGATGTGCAAAAGATATGGGAGGATATTGTGATGATACATAAATAATGATCCTTTAATAAGCAAAATGAGTCTCCTGCCGATGCATTCCCGATCCTTGCTAACTCCATTTCCAGTCTTTGCTGATGAGTTGTATCTTCCATAGCAATCCATTTGGAAGGGATCGACACTTACCAATTGAGATGCAAAACTACCCTGAGAATAAAGTGTTTATCTTTTGATTTTAGGGGTCGCGTTGCCAAAGTAGAAGACTTTGAGGCAGCCTTGAAGCAGCTTCATCATGACTTCCACTGGCCTCTCCCGACACTGACTAGCGGATCAGCTTCCATCGCCATCAATGCAACCAAGACGCCAAGTAAGATGCTTCAAATCTTTCATTCACTTACCTCGACCTTAAAAAGGCCTCCTGTTGTGATTGCCATATCTCAGAATGATATGGAAATGTTGAGTTACTAGCTGAGGACTAAGCCAACAATCTGATTGCTTGCTAGGTTTACTGGTCAAGTCTTCGCCGCCCACTGCTGCCACCATGCAAGCCCAGATCAATGGCCTGAAGCTCAGCGGAGACCCAGACACCGACAAACCCCACCAGGTCCTGCCAGCTCACCCGAGGGACCTACGTATCCTGATCAGACCTCACAGCCTGACGTCAGACAGTACTCACAGTGAGGTCCGCACTGAAGAGGCTATGCTCAAATACCCCTCAGCCAAAGGTATCAATTCGTTTATTACTTTATTTTGTTGGTATGAAGGGCCAGACTTTTGACTAACTGAGTTACTGACTGGTTGCTTGATTTCTACATAAGAAGTTTTTCCAACGATGGTCGGTTGCCCATCATTGGAAATTGATACAAAATTCCACTTTTCTGGAAAATGACAGCATACAAGATGCCATGATTTCACAGGATGTTTGAAACTTTTATTCACGTACAGTCAAGTAAGGTATTTTATAATAATTTGGTAGTTTTGTTTTTTGATGTTTGCAAATAATTATTACCTTTAAGAAAGAAATATTTTTTCTTTGTGCTCATGTCTACAAAAAGTTCCTCTAAGTTTTAGTGACATGTACGCAAATGTGAAATATTGAGTGAATTCATTAATTTGCCTGGTACTACTCCATCAGGTTCTGACGACAACAGCATCGGCACCACTGAGCCCTCGGAGGGCAGTTCCATGTTTGGTGAGGGGGAGAACCCGTTAGAGGACAGTATATGGAGCAGCAACGCCAACTTGGAAGAACTGGAGCAATTCTACCTGCAGCTGAGTCAGAGTGGCCCAAGACAATCAGACAAAGAACTCAGGTATGGGTTGTCATTGAGATAGTATGTGTGAGAATTAGAGTAGGGTAGGGTTTCAGAGTGGGGGAGTGTGGCCTAGTGGTTAAAGTCGATCAGAGGGTCAGGGGTTCGAATCCAGCTGCTGGCCATATGTTGTGTCCTTGGGTAAGCCACTTCACCCCAACTTGCCTCTCTCCACCCAGGAGTATTTATGGGTAATGGCATTTAACGTACGATGGACTGACATCCCATCCAGGGGGAATAGAAATATTTTCAGTCATTTTATGGCAAGGAAACTAGACATAAAGCCGGCCTGATGGGCCACATTAAATTGTGACAGCTTTTCTAACTTTGCGCCGATACATTATTTGTGACATAAAGTAAGTACCTTAATTATGTTTCCTTTACAGTGGAAGATGTAGGAGGATTCAGGAACATTCCGTACAAAAATGTTGTGGGAGTTATTGTTCAAAAAGCCTAAACAATAACACAATTATCACTCGTCTTCCTATCGTTATCTCCCAGGTATCTCTTTGACATCTTCCTTGCCGCCCTGTGTCTGGAGTGGGCTCTCCTCATCGCCATCATTCTCAGGGACTTGGCTCTCATCACTAAGGTTGTCATGGTAACCACATCCTCCGACGTTGCTCTGGATGTAGTGGCCCGCATGAGGGAGGGGCTGTCGTTTCTGGAGCTCTGGGCAGACTCTGAATGGTAGGTAGCTTTTGTTTCTGGAGTTTTAATTTCTGAAATTGAGATATTAATTTTCTATATTCCCAAGACTTTAAGATTTTGGGTTTTGATTTAAGATTCTCTGTTATACAGGTGGGATATTTGTCAGAAGTTTTTCCTGATTTTGGGATTTTTTTAATGAGGGGTTTTCCTGATGTCAGGATTTAAAAGAATCTCTTGTGAAATCTGGAATTCCTGAGATTTTACCATAAAGGTTTTTTTTACCTTGACAATTTTTTTATAGAACAAAAGAAATGGGTATTGTAAGGGGTACTTTAAGGCAAATGCAAACATATCCCATAGATCCTATGTTACTCTGGGGCCCTCGGTGATCCTCAGACCTTCCGCAGATTATTTCGTGGGTTTTTCCATTTTCTCCCAATCTCACCCTTGATTAAAAGTTTGATTTTTACTGGACTTCAAGTACCAGCCTACTGTCCGCTGACTAAGTCAATGACTGACAGACTGACTGACTGACTAACTAAATGTAAATAGTGTCCTAAACTGCTGTCAGACTGTTTGGTCCACCTCAACTAAGCAAGACAGTTTTAAGAGCTTGTTTTCAAGGTTTTTCAACAAGCTTTTGGAAAACACTAAACACAGAGCACTTAAAACTGAAGTGCGAAACTCAATATTGGTGTTAATTTTTTCCCAACTCAACAAAATCAATCAATTGTTTTTTGTTTCCCCTACAGTCCAGGTTACAAGCCCCTCTTGCTGGCCATCAGGCCCCAGGCCCAGGTCCTAGCGGAAGCCGTGGAGAAGGCTGTCACTCCTCCCCACACCCCTCACTCCAGGACCTCCTCCACCTCGGACCAATCCGTGGGACATCAGGAGATCCGTCGGCTGGGGTCTCACGGCAGCGGGGTCATCTCGGAGCACGAGCTGTCGGAGGAAGACGTGTTTGAGGAGGAGAAGGTGAAAGATGAGGAGAACGGATGCACCATCTCATGATAGAACGAGAAGAGGAACATTAAGATGTTTCTTGAGGAGAAGTTCATCTTTATCGTTGCCTGTCTTGACTTCTTCGTTGTAAGACAATGCTGAGAATGGTTTCCTCCGTCTGTTGATTAAAGAGGCAAGTTGATGCATTTCTTTGATAGGTTGAGAACTTTTGGTGGGCATCTTTGTTTGAGAAGGCAGGAGATGTTGAGGAGAGCAGTTGTGTTATCGTGTGATGGAGGAAGGAAGTTTATACTTTCCTTTGTGGAGAAGATAAAAAATTGATGACATCTTTGAGGAGGAGGCAGACAAGGAACAGGAGAACGGCTGCCTCATCTCGTGGTGGAGAATGAGGAGAGAAAACTTAGTGTGTTTCTCAAACACCTTTGTCTTTGACCGTTAAATCCTCATGGAGACATCTTCAGAAACTGGTTTTCTGTCTACGCTGAATTAACACTTACAACCTTTTCACTGGTTGTAATTTCACTTCAGCTTCTTCATTCAACTTACATTTATGACTCGTTCCAGTCGAGATTTGAGACTCTTTCTAGTCAAGATTGTTCTGATGATGCGAGTAACACTGTTTACTTTTTTTGTCTTTAATAAACAGTATTAATTTCAATGCAAGTAAACTGCAAAATTGATGAATTAAAAGAGTCCTGTGTAGCTTTGCCTGGTCTTCACAGCTACAAGGTCGAATTTTATTTTTTGAATTTTCTAAGGATATGACCTGTGTTTAGAGAATGTCTGTAACTTAAAACCTTGGTTTTCCCCCCAAAAACATGGGACATTCCAGTTTGGAACATTACTGTTTGTTGGTTATTCCAAGCTGGAATAATATGTCTCCAACTTTTCCTGCATGAGAATAAGTGGCCCTACCAGGTTGTTTCATATAGAAACTGGCTCCCTATTAAATAGAACATTCCGGTTGACCAAATTCAATTCAAGAACATTAGCTTGAATTTTTTAGTCCAAGTGTGGTTTCAAGAAACTTATACTCTACATACTTCAGTAGTGTCACAGATATCGAACTGTGGTGGCTGACCCGAGTAAGCCCCGAGAATGACGTCAGAGCTAATCGCCCGGCACGGGGTTAACCGGAGTCAACTCGGGCGAGCTAATCGAACACACCCTTAATCTGTTTACATTTAGGAATAAGTGAGTACCAGGGAACACAAGAGTGAAGTGATGGGCTGGTTCCTGATCCCTATTTTATATTGTAGACTGAAGAGAGGGAGCGGGAACCAGTCTTAAAGTGAAAGCTTTTACTTTCCTGGTTCCATACTCCATTCATATCTATAAACTCTGAAAAAGTGTCCCACAACTGACAGCAGTTTTCCACATTTTTGCCCCTCGTTGGGCATTTGAGTATGAACAGTTGGTGGGACACACTGCGTGCACATACTGATCCACACGTATGGCGTGAAGTACGCGCAACTAATTTTTGATGTGCATGCAAGCCATAGCATCTTTGCGTCATCGGCGTCGTTGGCAATACTTTTGAATGTCTCTCCCAGTGGTCTCCCCCAACTCTCCCTTTCTTACCGTTGAGGGGGTACTTCTGCACAGAGCCCTATAGGACGTAATGTTACCTGTATGCATTATGTACAGACAATATTTTTACAAATGGTGCTACTAATAATTTATTTTATATATCTTAGAGTAGTAACATTATAAAGAGCTTGTACAGACGTGCTCAGGCCAATTTGTACGCTAGAACATGTATATACAATGTACGTTATTGTCGGATAATAATGCAGTGATAGAAACTAATAAGATACATGTAAATGTAGTAAATGTTCAGTCTTTGATGGAAATCCTTGGATGTGTTTTTCTGTTCAAAATGGAAAAGGGACGTTAGGAGAAAGGTGTTTTTGCCAACAGGATTCCAAAATCTCATAGAATTTTTAGAACAATGAAAATCAAATTTTTATTTATTAACTCAGTGAAGGTGAAGTCATTGCAACAAAATTGAAAAGGTATTAATTTGGGACTAAGAAACATTTCCAATTTTGTTAGAAAATACTTTGAAAATGCACTCAACTCTCCCTAGACTTTGTACACAACCAAAAAAGTGACGTCTGGATGCTACATTCTTTCCATCTCATTGATTGGATTTCATTGTATGAAAGTTGTCTGTACATGTCATTGAAGTTTATTTGTGTATTACACTGCACAAACGGCCAGCCATCTGGTAAAAATTCTTTGGTTTTAAGAGTCTTGAGTTTTTTTCCAACTGCAGATTTACTTTCTTTATGCTGAATGTTGAAAGAGGTTGCCTGCCACGATTTATTGGTTCAAGTGATGTGTAACTAACTACACTTGGTGTGAAAAATTGACTTATTTTAATGTTTAGACATCTCTGTGTAGTAGTTAACTAAACAAAAAAATGTATTATGATTATTTATTTTATTCTTTTGTAGATGAAAGTGAATGATATTGTTCTACTTTGTCATTGTCTTGCTGTTGTGTGCTGGATGATATTCGAAATGTTTAGAGATATGTTGTGCAAGTTTTTTGTTGTAAAATCAAATTTTGAATAAGTTTTTATTCTTTTTGTTTCTTCTCTCTGTTGGAAAAGTGACATTTGTTGACTGTTTTTTTTTCCAGTCTATTGTGTTTTGTTTTTTTCTGTAATTCAGTCTTCTCTCTTTTCTTCAATTAAATCCATTTTCTTTCTATTATGTGCAGTTTAGGGCTATGTATCGGAACTGGGTACCCGAGTACCCGACTGTTAATGTCAGGAACCAGTTCTAGATTATGGAATCGGGTACCAGTAATCAACTTTACAAATTACTTAGTAATTACTTCTCAACCAGTGAAAAAGAAAGGTTTGAAGTCATTTGTTGGGAATTATCAAAATGAAAACAAGGCCACAAAGGAAAACAAAACATATTTCACATTTATGACGCTCATGAAAGCTGCAGTTTACATCGTAAAGGTATAGAAATGTACACACTTGTATCGTGCTGTATGCTGTAGTATTATTGTGCGGACCTTTGTAAACAATCTCAACAGCAGTTACTTGGGGATTTGAATTTTGGAATGGTTGGCTTTTGGCTTCTTTAACAGGTTACCTGGGTAACCGTTTTGCTTTTCAATTGGGTACTTGGATCCTGTACTGCAAATGTACACTCTAGTGCAGTGTGATTAAATGTGGTGCATTTGTTTTTGGTTTTTTTCTCCACTTTTCTTGATATCCAATTTTGTTTTCCGCTTCATTTTCACCTGTTGTAGCAATTTGAAATGCTACAAGTATTTGCTTCTGTTTGTTCTGTTCCATTCTATTCTTTACAATGTTTTACTGTCTTTATTGTGTTCCTGGTGGCTTTTTTTGTCTCTTTGTTTGTTTGTTTGTTTGTTTGTTTTTTTTTTTACTTTCTATCCTGTTCTTTATTTAATTTAGTGTATGTGTAACCATGTTAACACACTCTAAATTGTTATACAAAAATCCTCTTTATATATTTCTACAGTTATGTAATGCGTCTTTATTGTTCACCTTCGGAGTAAGTTATTAGTGTAAATTAAGATGTGCGTGTAGGGTCGTTAAGTAAGTAAATAAGTTATTCGTTTTAATTAGGCCTTGAAAAGACAATATTCGTGTCATCTGTAAAATTTTCTAGTTTTTCTGGCAATTTCTAGTTTGTGTAAAAGTTGTTCACAACTGTTTGCTTTGCTAAGGTGCAGACCCCGTTTAAAACTTCTAGGCTGGTACTTCTCAAAGAAATTTCCACCCCCCACGGGCCCCCCCCCCCCCCCCCATAATAATTTTTACCAAAGATTGAATTTGGAAACTAGCAAGTTTTAAAATTAAATTTTTGAATTTCTGCGACATTTATGTATATGCAAAGCAAAGACTTTCACAATTTGTATTCGCGAAAACAAAGAGAAATTATCACTTCGCATCGATAATTGAAATTATGCACTTTGGAAAAGGCATTTCTATATATTTGAACTTCTGTAGTTGTATTTACATTGTAAATGAAAGAAGTGTAAATAGCCCAAAATGAGACAGAATTGTCGAATAAAACATTTTTATCTCAAAGAAAAAAGTTTCATTTGCCTACTGTTCAATTTATAACGCTTCTTTGACCCCCATTCATAAGAAAAAAATGCTTCAAAAAAGCAGAGAAGGCACATTTTCGTTTTTAATATGTTTTAAATAGCGCCCTCCCTTGGCGAAAAGGAGCCAGTTGTTTACAAATGGCGGAAACGCCGCCGGTTGTCAATCTCTGAATTTGTCATTTTTTCTCCACAAGCACAAGGCCACATAAGAGCAAATGCAAACTAAGATGTCGCGAGACTGGGAGCATAACTTCACCAGTATAGTAAAGGAAACCGAGTCGAATCTTGCCAAAGTTCGGGTAAACACACGTATTAGGCCGCGCCCGAATTATCGGGAGGACGGCTAGCGGGAATTTTAATACACACGGATCTATAGTAGTAGTAGTGGTAATCCTTACTTTTAGGACACCTCTATTTTGTACGAGTTCTGTTCAAAACTGACTTTTGCAGATGACTGTCCAGTACCAAAGTGACTTTTGCAGGCTAAAGCAGTCTTTTTTCTTCATATAAACTCATGTTAGTTGTAATTTTGAAAGCACTTTCAAAGAAAATGTGACTTTTCTACCTTTTTTCACAGTCAGACGTGCATGTTGTAGTTCTCACACGCGTGAAAGCCCTACATAATGAAAGCCCGATGCTGATTGGCTGCTAAAAAAAATAATTAAGATGTTTATTTTTTATCAGCCAATCAGCATCAAGCTTTCATTGCATTGAGCTTTCACGTTTGCCATCTTGGTTTTTGAGTCTGTTTTCTGGTTGTCATCGTCGTCTTTTACCCCTCAATTTCCCTCTAAAATCAAAGCCCTGCCCTCTTTCCACAAAATTAAACCTGCTGATATTCAAGAAGGTGTCATTGCCAACTGTTCAAATGTGTCAAGAAATATCAGAATGTCACTTTTGAGTGTCATTTAGTCAGCTGTTTTGGTGAGTCTTTCCCTTCCTATATAGGAACGGGGTCCTAAAAGTAAGGATTACCGTAGTAGTATCAGTGTCTATGGAAAGTGGCTGCAGCCTAGCCGCTTCCAAGACCAAGTTCCATACTAGACCCGTGACCGTGTGTAATTTTCAACCGTAGCCAAGTAATTGGAACACGGCCATTTGTGTTCCTTCCTCCATGTACAAACTGACCTCATCGTCGACATCAACAACGCCAGTTGTATAATGCGCAGCAGCGCAGGCCTAAAATAAATTAAATAATCTGGGGGTGTTGTGATGTGTTGTTTTACATTTTTTTTTCGAAAAAAAAGTAGGCTAGACCTAGGCCTAATTGAGTAATTCAGTTTTAATTAATGTATTCGCAACGGATCCGGTACCATTTCTCGATTTTGCGAGAATATATAACTGGCAGACCCTGACGTCACGTGAGATCACGCGTGATCGATCCACCCTACACTGAGTGCAGTGGTGCGTAGTTTGACACAGAAATACATCCCTTAAAAAAAAATCCTCCAAAGCCATGATCACCAAAATAAAGTGAAATTTCATTTCTTGGAGAAGTATGACTTGTGTTTTAGGGGCGAAAAAAAAACTGGACATTTTTAGCCCAACAAGGAATCGAACCCAAAGACATCACCACTCACTAGACCTCCAACAGTATGATCGAGGCTCTTTGATAGCTACCATAAAATTGAAATCATATAACGTTTCTTTATGTGACATCAAGATCTGATGCATGCACATTATTGCATGCAGCCAGTTGCGTAACTTAGGGACCAACACCGGTTCAGTAGCCACTGCCAAAAAAAATTCAATATGGGCAGGCCATAAATTTTGTAGGGCCTGACGTTACTGTTGTCAGTTGTACACAGTCACTGAAGTGTCATCAGATTATCAGATATCATTCTTTCCAAAATTTATCGCTGGTTGGCAACACACAGTTCTAAAGCTTTCATTGTTGGTGCTGTCTTTTATGTTGGGACATCTTTACAAATTTATACGATACATGCTTAAAATGTTTGTTTGTTTTTGTCTTGCAGCAAAGTTTAAATGACTCTAGGTATAGTCACAGAAGCAATGGCAGTCACCCCCTGAACACGTACTCTGGTGAGTTACTGAAACAGGAAACATCAAATGATTATGAAATAAGTTTGGAAGCCATAAAATAACAATGAATAAGAGGAAATCGGGGAAACCTATTCAGATTCAATTGGTAGATTATACTAACTTCTGTATTTGGACAAACAAGAAGTTGCAAGCAATCATAATCAGTCACAAGCTGTCACAAGCAGTCACAAGCAGTCACGAGCTGTCACGAGCTGTCACGAGCAGTCATGAGCAGTCGCGAGCAGTAACAAGCAGTCGCAAGCAGTTGAAAGCAGTCATGGGCAGTGACGCGTAGTCAGGAGCAGTCAAAAGCAGTCACAAGCAGTCATAAGCAGTTGCAAGCAGTCACGAGCAGTCATAACCAGTCACAAGCACTCAGGAGCAGTCAAAGGAGTCATAAGCAGTCACAAACAGTTGCAAGCAGTCACGAGCAGCCAGGAGTAGTCACAAGCAGTCACAAGCAGTTGGAAGCAGTCACGAGCAGTGACGCGCAGTCAGGAGTAGTCGCAAGCAGTCGCAAGCAGTCACAAGCAGTGGCAAGCAGTCAAGGCAGTCAAAGCAGTCGCAAGCAATCACAAGCAGTCACAGGTAGTGCATTCTTGGTATAAATTTCAAGCCTCGCAAGTTTTGAGACTGTCCGCTGATGCGCAGGCCTTGTTCCTTATTTGTCTCCTCAGCAAAACCATCAACTCTACCCAGGAGCTACGTGACGTCATCGTCATTTCTGAACGACTACACGGGCCGGAGCGACTGGCGCCCTCACTCAGGCTACCAGAGCCAGTATACCCACAGTGCATCATCCGAGGGGGATTCTCTTCCCAATAGCTCAGCCGAGTCGCCTGCGCTGGTAGCCATGCTGACTGAAAAGATTGACAATCAGGCCAAAGTAGGTTTCCGTCACCCTAGCAACGCGCAACTGAAGTATGCATACTTGCACTTCCATTCAAAATATTCAATTTGAAATGACCATTAAGACCAATTTATGGCCAAGTTTGCGCAAGGACTATAGTTGACCAATGGATAACCATAGTTCGACTAACGCTTGTTCAAACTCTGTCTAGTCGACGGTGGTTGACTACGCTAGTCGACTATTTGGAACCAACCTACTGGGGCTGGTTGCATCGCTGGTAACCAATAGCCGCGCGCATTCATAACGCTAGCAGAGAGCCAGGATCCAGAAGTTTTGCGATGACATTTTTACCAGCGTTCAACTAGAGACGTTCGCACATTGCTATTAGTACGCAGGCGTAAGGTACGTCACAAATCAACCACTAGTCGACTAATGGTCCTTGCCCGAACTTGGCCTATGCAAAGCGGATTTGATGTCACAAAATCACTTTATCAGTAAAAATTGCATGAATTGTAATATTTTTGCATTCGCATCAGCGGTTGGTGTGAACAGGCACGATCACGTCTTATTCCTGATAAATAATCCATTGTCTCTCTGCCGACAGACTATACAGTCCCTGGGCAGACAGGTAGATTCATTAGAAAGGGAGAGAGACCGGAACCAGACCTATCTCCGTCGCCTGGACCAGGAGTTGTCGTCCGTAAACCAACGCCTCCAGGAGGGCGGAGTTATGCTGGAGACTGAGAGGAAGGTAGAGGCGTGGAAGCGAGAGGTCACGCTGCAGCTTGGCGACCTGCAGGGTCAGGTCACGGCGCAGCGGAGGGGCGGCCATGATGGGGGTTACCGTGGCGATGAGGTTGTGGATGCGTTGACTAGAGAGGTTCATGATTTGTAAGTAGACACAATAGAAGTTTAAAACCAAGGGACTACTTCTTTATTCATGAACACGCCAGGAATATCTCCATCTGAAAGAGATCCATGTACGAAAAAGGAAACATATTGCAAATAGAATGAGAACATTACAAGTTATAGTCCTTCCTTTAGAAATGGTGTTTTTAAACAAAAATTTCAGTAAAACAGAAGAGAACTGATGATCACCCTGTCATTTTTGTGCACCTAAACAAAGTTTAGGGAGACACTGATGACCAGTATGATCGTAGACCCGTATGTTAAAGTTTTGAAACAAATGTAAATGACTTCTACATGCTTTCACGAATTTTGATGAAACTTGGATGCAGTGACCGTTGGGTGGAAAGACACAATTTTTCATTGGATTACTGAGGTCAAAGGTCATGTAGGGGTCATTAGAGGTCATTGTTCAAATATGCTTCAAATGTTTCTTTGTCTACAAAAGTTCATGGATTTTCATGTAACTTGGATGGAGTGATCCTTGGATGGGGGTTCATCACACGTCTTCTGAAATTGCAGGTCAAAGGTCATATGGGGGTCATTTGAGGTCGTTGTTTAAAAATTCCAAAAATTTGACTTTTTTAAGAACACAATATAAATAGGGATTGCCCATGGAAAAAGGCGACACTTGGGATCCGGGGACCACTTGTTTCAGAACTGTATACTTCAGAAACCTGGAAAGTTTTTCTGCTAAACATTTGTTTGACTATATCTTTTTGTTTGATACAGCAAGCGACAGATGCAGGAAGATCTAGCCGTGTGCAGAAGAGACGTTGAAAGCCTGAACACCAGACTCATGAGACACGAGATTGATATAAGCAGCAACCAAGCTGATGGAAAAGATCTGGGCAGGAGGCTAGATCACATGGATAGGGTAAGAACAATGTCTGTATTAGGAGATTTGTAGCCTGAACACCAGACTCATGAGGCATGAGATTGATATAAGCAACAACCAGGCTGATGGAAAAGATCTGGGCAGGAGGCTAGATCACATGGATAGGGTAAGAACAATGTCTGTATTAGGAGATTCATAGCCTGAACGCCAGACTCATGAGGCATGAGATTGATATAAGCAACAACCAAGCTGATGGAAAAGATCTGGGCAGGAGGCTAGATCACATGGATAGGGTAAGAACAATGTCTGTATTAGGAGATTTATAGCCTGAACACCAGACTCATGAGGCATGAGATTGATATAAGCAACAACCAGGCTGATGGAAAAGATCTGGGCAGGAGGCTAGATCACATGGATAGGGTAAGAACAATGTCTCTATTAAGAGATTCATAGCCTGAACACCAGACTCATGAGGCAAGAGATTGATATAAGCAACAACCAAGCTGATGGAAAAGATCTGGGCAGGAGGCTAGATCACACGGATAGAATAAAAACAAAGGGACTTTTTAAGACCAAGGCTTTGTCTACTGTGTACCCTTGTCTACTGCTTCAGATTTGTGCTTCATTACTTTGAATTTGTTTTCTATTTTTCAGACGTTACTTAGTGTAGCCGACTCACAGCGTAGCCATTCCAGAGAGCTGAATCATACTCTACAAGGAAGACAGACCAGTGACCAGGAACTATTACAACTGAGGTACGTCTTGCCCCCTTGGGTGGGGAATGGGGGGAGGGAGGGTGGTCAAGGGGGTATTTTGACTGAGTCACTGACTGACTGATTCACTGTGTGTTATGTGTTAAGCTGAGACTTTCGGTCCAGCTTGACAATGCAATCCTAGTTTGTTATATTTTTTGTCACAACAATTAAAGCTTAAAAAAAAACACAACAAAGCTGTCTTAACCGTCCTGCTACTTAAACAGTCTCAGACAATCAAAATTCACTTCCACTTCCTCTGCTATACTTTTAACAAGGCTAGTCACCAGCAGTCAGATCATATGTCAAGCAAGCACTGTGACTAGTCAAACTGGGTCACCAGACAAAGCAGGCGCGTTGTGGTCACAGCTGTTTTATCACTCACCCGGAGTCAAAGCATAGCTGTATCAAGTTACTTAAGCAGTCCCGGCCAGTCAATCCTGCTTTATGTAGGCTAGGGATTCTTAACTTTTGAAAAAAAGTCACTTGTTTGATTTTGACTGAAAGTACTACTTGGCTCAGAATGTTTGCATGGGAGGGGGTTAATATTTGTAATAAGTCCAGATATTGCCCTAACATTTTCAAACATAGGGGGGAATTTTGACATCAAGAGAACTTCTTTCTTCCCTAGGGGCGCAAACAGGAAAGGTTGGTTAAAGGGAATATACATCATTTGCTTTTGCTGTAATTTTCAGAAATGGATTTGGGGGGTTGGAAATATATAGCAAATATAGTTACACTGACTTTTTGAGGTTTTGGGTTCGAAAATGCTATAAAAACCAAGAAAAACAATCATTTTCCTGTAGTCTGGTTCCCTGACTCCATTTAAGAAGAAACAGAGCAGTTTACATATATTGGGGAATTGTAAGGTCAGGGAACCAGTCTAGCTGGCTTGTACCCGTTCATAGGTGTGTAATCGATTGCAAACAAGTGCGATGGTCAATTGGGGCCAGTATTTGAAAAAAAGCCAGTTTTTTCCAACGCTGGTCGGCCTTGATACAAAAATACCACTTTTCTTGAAAATGACAGTATACCAGGTGCCATGATTTACAGGATGCTTTACACTGTCATTCACTAACAGTCCAGCAAGGTATTTCAAAATAATTTGGTAGTTTTATTTTTTGATGTTTGCAAATGTTGTATTTTCCCTTTAATAAGATGTTTTGACTTGTGCTTGCTTGTAGGTCTGAGTTGAGTCGCTTGATGAGTACCGTTGAGCGACTTGAGAGCGACACGCTCACTGGATCACAGAGGATGGCGGAGGAACAACTGAGCATGCTCAAATTGAACTCACCGCATCACAACGGACCATCCACTATCAACAGTCAAGGCAGATTGCCAACATCAAAAGGGAACGGTATGTCCAACATATAGAATTGTTTGATATGCAGACTTTATTTCCAAAACGCAATTATTTTGTTAAGTTTTAGATCCCGTCCTCTCCTGCTTGCGCAAAGTAAGCTTTGACAGCTGGTGTATAGTTAAACGCAAGTTAAGAATACAGCAAAGCGAAAAATAAAGTTAACAAACAGCGCTTATATTGTTTTTATTCTTTAAAGTTTCATGACCTTTGCAAACTTTTCACCTTTTTCAAATGTATGTGTCACATTTTGGAAATTTAAAACTTTTTATATTCATCATTTTATGTTACCACGGTAGCTCCGTTGGTTGTCTAATAACTTAGAAGGTCAAAAGTCATTGCTTTTATTTTGTTTTTGCCACCCTTGGGAGAAAAAGTATTTTTGATATTCAGATTTTAAAAATATAGGTAGAATAACAAGCAATGGCAGCCATTTAAAAACAATTTGAAAAATTGCTTGTTATTCTCCTTTTTTTTTTCAAAGGACAGATATTCAAAAATCTATCTCATGACATACTCTGTGTGCCAAATGCCATGCTTGTTTTCATCTAAGGCACAATTCCCCCAAATATTTCCCTATCTGCCCCACTAGTACCACTTCACTCCTCTCCAAAAAAGCTGTCTTTAAAATATCGATTGGACAAATAACTGTTTATTTGTGTGGCATGATGACAAGGCAAGTTTTGGAATTTTGTAATGCATGCGAAAGAACACCCCGGCACTTGAGATAACGTGTAACTGTCAACGACACAGATTACTAACTTGATGTACTGCAACTCGGTTACATATTGCATGTACCAGTTAATTCTTCTTCAAGAAAGCTGTCTTCAAAACTTGGCTATCAGTAAATACTTTGGTTGCAGCCGACAAGTTACCCCAAAATGCTGATATCTTGTTCCCCCCCCCCCCCCTCCTCTCCCCCCCCCCCCCAAAAAAAAATCCTTGCCGTTGTTTAAAGTTTTAAAGGAGATGCTCAATAACAGATCTGAGAAGCTCAAATGCTCTGAACTTTTTGTTCCGTCACCGTGATATTTTCTTGACTTGCGCGGCCAGGGAATAGTCAGGAAGTGTTTTATTATGTCTGGGTGTTCTGTTTTTCCATCGCTCGGGCACATTGCACATGACCTAAAAATACCACCGTCTTGAGAATGATTCAACTTATATACGCAAGGAGGGCCAGCTTGTAGTCTTGTGCAGAGGTCTCGCTGGAATTTTAGTTTGAGTAGGGGTTGGAGGGAGTGTTCGGGGAAGGGTTGGGGTGGGGGTTTAGTGTTGGGGGGACGGGGTGGGGTGGGGTGGGTTTTGGGGTTGGGGTGGAGAAATTCAAAATTGTGGCTTTATAGATGGAATTAAAAGGGTGGGGGACTTTTCTGTGAGGGTGGGGTGTGTTAAATAAGCATACTCTGTGTATTATTGCAGGGAAGCACATTTGAAGCATAGCATTTCTCATATTCAGCGTGGCACATGATTTTCAAGTAAATTGGACAAGTTTTTCAGTGTTGGAAGGGAAGTCTCACTTGTTTTCTGTCAGCTTAGCGGGAACACAACGCTTTGGTATGAGGTGTGCATCATAAACTGGTACCCGATTATCAGACCTCTGATGCCAGTAACCAGTTTGAGATTATGAGATCGGTTACCTACACCGAGTTTTACAAATAATTTAGCAGATGCCCCTCCCTCCCCCTGGAGAGCATGAGGCAAGCATCTTTAACACAGATAAACACTTGTGTGGTATGGCTTTGTCTGAAGTTGCCCACGGCCCTTCAGTAATGTATGAGCTGTGAAAAGCGGATAAGAAAATGTGACAGGGGATATATAACTTTTTACTTGAGTTGCATGACAAGGCAAGTTTTCAAATCTTGTCATGCATTCAAAAGAACACCCCTGGCACTTGAGATAACGTGTGACTGTCAACGACACAGATCATTAATTTGATGAAGTGCTGTCGTACGAGGATGACTGTTTCGCAGATAGAACATTCGACATGCACAGAAGACGCCGCTGACTAACGTCGATTCTGAGAACAAAACTTTGACGCCCATTTTCTAAATATCACACCGGTGACTTGCAATAATCTTTTTTTTTTTATAGAAAGAAATTACCTCAATCAATGTTTTAAAAAGTCTCTTTTTAAAGATGGTCAAAAATAGCTCACCTCAGCCCGCCTTATTGATTAAGTCATTCACTTGGCTGAACATCTTGACTTGCTCATGCCAGTGCGCTGGTTCCCGGACATCGGGAACCACTTTTGGTGAGTTTCCCACCTAGCAGCGTTGCACTTCTTGTCACAGGATGTGGCCTGGGATCTGTCCAGCCATACTCAATCCGTCCCGCCTGTTCAAACCTTGACACTTGTTGCGATCTTTTCGTCTTCTCATTAAAACCTGATTCATGATTTGAAAAAAGGAAAAGACACATTTACGCCACATGGTTTTGACAACTGAGCTTAAGCAGTCGGAGGCTTTTATAAGGCGCGGAGTGAATCATACCGTATAACATTGGCGTGAAAATCCTGGTTAATTATGCGATGCAAGACACCATGTTTCAATCGTTTCTACTTGAACTCTTTCATCCGGCCTGTTTTGCTGACACGTGGGCCAACCGAAGCCTAATTAAGCCATAACAATCCCAGACCTGCGATGTCCGCTTAACCTTTGCCCAAATTAAGATCCCAGGTACGCATTGTGTCAGCGCGGCCACATCAAAACCTTGCTCTCGTTAAAACAACGTCAAGATGAGTTACCCTCACACAAGAGGACCGGTGATCGCTGGATATGAGTTGCACGCGGGGCTTCCTGAACTCTATCAAAGCCACTAATCTTATATCAAACTGCTGAAGTGTGCATCCATGCTACCCGGAAGGTTCTCCTTTATCGGACCAGCTTTCTCTTCTTTTTTTTTTTTTTTATAAAACCAATTTACATCCTGAAAGCTTGATGAGTCACAATGTGGAACTCGTGAGAAGTAATTGGCTCAATTACGTGGCAGGATTGTGCAAAGTCAGGTTTAATTGAGTGCAGCACTGGCTTAATTGTCCCACAAGTTGGGGTCATTTTATGTCATTTTTTTTTACCTCAGATTTTTTATTATTTAAAACATGTGAGCTACCCTTTACGAAAATAGCTGTTAGGTTGTTCTGATAACAGTCAGTTTGTTTCAAAGATGTCAGTTTTTTTCAAAGGTTTCAAATATTGTTTGGTACCTTCTGTCATTAACCTTGTTTTATAGGCTTGGAAAATGATTGTTGTGACCTAAATTAATTGTTCTAACAAAAGTTAGTTGAATTGTTCTAACAAAAGTTAGTACTGGTACATGTAGTTGAAGAAGTGTCTTATTGGTAATGGTATATATACTACTTTTGGTGTCACATGAGATTTATTCATTAAAACTGTGGCAGTTCCAGTGGGTTTAACTTCTAATTCTCTGGGACATTGCTGTTATGAACTTTCTGAATTCTACCAAATTTAAACCTCCTCTGTACAGGAGGTACATTAATCTACCCCAACTTTCAAGCTACATCAGGCTCCATGTTAAGTAATCCTGGCAGAGCACTTCCTTCTTCAAACCCAGAATTTAATCCTCCAAAACTTTCTGGTGGATTTTGAAGATATAGGAGCTTCTGTAAAGTCAGAACAATCAGAAAGTTCCAGATGAAACTGGGCTGTTCCATCTTTTGGCAAGATGACATAATTGGTACTTCGGACTGTTGTAAGTCCTACATTTGTGGTTGCCGGAAAATTTTCAATAAATTGAACTTAAATGTTTGTCACAGTGAAACTTTCCTAAGTTTCAAGGGTCGATCAGGAGCGAATTCCCATCTTTGACCCTGTAGGATGTACCACTATATCACCACACTAGTTTTTGGTTTGTCATGGTCTAAGTGTCTCCACGTGCAAACCACATACTTCACACATTTACCCTAATGGAAACAACCTTGGGACCACTTACATCTCACGTTATATTCAGGTCAAGGGATAATATTATGGTGTGCCTGTACTGTGTCGCGGTGTCAGATTGTAACACGGATAATGACAGAGCATTTCGGTACCGTAATTCACCACAGACTGTGGATTAATATGGTGTTGGAGAGTTCAACAGGGAATATGGTTCAAGTCACATTTGATTTTGAAGTTTTTAGCCCACAGCTTCTTTTGGAAGATATCCGACCAGTGATTTTTGGCAGACAGCGTTGGGGATTTAAAACCAGAGAGTCATCTCAAGTGTCATCTCAAATTGTTCAGCCTATGGCTTGAAGACTCTGGCTACTTCAGGTAGATGCAGTTCTAGCTATAACCCTAACCATGCTATATGCAACAGAATTGCAACGAGGGTAAAAAGTTGTTGCATACTGTTGCAGTAAGCAGGCAACTCAAGTCTCAGTGCTTGTTGCTTGTTGCATTTAGCAGGGTAACTGCTCATACCGGTAGTGCCAAGGTGATACAACATCCACTGTTGCATTTGGTTGCATTTAGCAGGGTAACTGCTTGGTGCCAAGGCTAGTATGCACTGGGTTCACTGCACAATGCAACAGAGAAGCCACTGTTGCAATTTGTTGCATTTAATAGCAGGGTTCTTGTTTCAGCCACGTTGTTGCATTTGACAGGGTGCAGATGCCCAGTAGGCCAACATTTAGAATATTGCCATTAGAAAGGCTTTTAAATGACTCTGACGACATCGATGACTATTGAAGCCATTAACTGGTTTTTCCATTTTGTTTTTCCCCAGATCAGGGGTCTTGGGTAAAATGTGGATTCCATGTGCTGTGCATGGACTGTCTTTCCTTATAACATAATTGTGATGATGCATGGCTGCTAAAGTCCTTAGCAAGTCAGAAGAAAGATAACATGCATCTTGCATTTTCACTCGTTCAGTTGTTATGATTCTCCACATTGGCCCAAAACAAATGGACAGAATTGAGGAATTCTGCTTTTGAAGGAAACAAAAACTAATGTTTGTATTTAACATTAGTGTACAACTTGTGATAGTTTTGCTAAATTAAATTCTGACAGTTTTCCAGCATTATCTAACCCTCTAACAATCCAAAGAATTTGGTCACCAAAGTGTAACATATACATGTACCCTTGACCCTACAATACTTTGTGACTTTAGACAATGGAATGTTTACAGAATGTATTTTAAGGTTTTCCCTCCAGGATGTAGCCCGAAAAAAAAAGTTTGAAGGGCTCTAACGACATATCCCCACAAGTTTCTCATAGCAGAAAGGAATCTATAGGGCCTATTAGCTTTTGCCCTTCACCGACATATAAACACTGTATACTCAGTGTGTTACCTCCCAAAAGGAAAGTTGGAAAGAATCACTCGGCTGGGACTTGAACCCACGACCTCCTGCTTTCTAGTGCAGACGTCTTGCCTCTCAACCACCGCACTTGCGGGATCGGTTCTGTTGAACGGGAAATTGAAAGCTGGTTAACTGTTTGAAATGTTGGCATGTGAACAGGGTGATGAAGTTGCAATATTTTCACCGAACACGCGTTACTAATTTGAAAGTTGATAGACCCCACCGGCTGAATTTGGCACCCTGCCTTTTTTCTCTCTATTTAGTAGCTCAGCAGGAAACACTAATAAGCTTCATATCTGTTGGTACTTGTGAACGACTGGTCTGTATTAAGAGATGGGATGTCTCAGGATATTTCCCTCACTTTTGTAAAAACGTGGGCTGTGGCACACATTTCTCTCACCCTCCTAAATTGGATCATATGGCAACCACATGCATTCCTTTTTCACTTTTCCTGGAGTTTTTCACTGGCAAGACCTTGTGATGAGTCACAGAAATTACATTTATTTAGAAACCCATCACGATTAAATCTACCAAAATCCGTTGGCATGGTTTGCCAGTATTTGGATTGATTTAGGACAAGTTGACGTAGATCTTGATTGGTAACCATGGTAACTTCTTAGACCTTGTGATGGGTAACATTCCTCAAAAATCCTCCAAAACCTGATGGATTTTTTGAAGGGCCTTAGTTATTGACTTTACGATGAAACTTAGTATCAGTTTTTGTCCCTGGAAGCTTAGTCCTGACTTCAATTTTTTTTTTCTTCATGAACATCCTCCTACTGAAATAAATGTCACACACCATCAAAAACTCTATCCACTCCCTCTCCTATAGCTACATTGTATTCAGCTGGTCACCAACTGTACCCCTATGGATTAAACTGTATAACTGTCAAAGCCTGTTGAAGGGGCTTTGTAGGGCGACCATTAATACTGCTACAGCTTGTGTAGCAGCCATTTTAAAGGGTGACTGCTCTATGTTCCGACACCCCTATGTTCCGACAACCTAGATCGTGTTACTCCCGGTTAGGGTTAGGGTTAGGAATAGGAATAGGTATATGTGCAGTCGGAACATAGGGGTGTCGGAACATAGAGGTGTAACCTTTTAAAGGGTGATGCCTTTGCTTGGCTGGAATGCATGAGTGAACCTTTTGTGCCTTCATTGTTACTCAATTATAATAACAAAGAACACCCTCTGAGACACCTGCAATGCATAAGGTCTATAGAGCTCTTGGTGGCTTTGCTCCACCTTCTTCACATTCCTCAAAAATCTTCCAAATCCTGATGGATTTTTTTAAGGGAGGGTCAGGGTATAGGACTAGTGAAGTAGGCAAGGAGTTTAGTGTGACATAGTTATGCCAACTTTCAACTCAAACTTAATAAATGCAATTTTTTTCAGCAGAAATCGGTCGCTGGAAGATGACAGCACCAAGCAAGAAGGCCAGTAAGCCACTCAGGAGGGCTATGGCTCAACCCACCCAGCAGCCATTATCAGACAGTGATGACCTAGACGCTAGCCTGAGCCTGAGTCTGGCCAGCTCGGACAGTGAGGAGTTTTCCCTGGACCTTCCCCCGCACAGGGCCAAGAATGTCCAGAGAAGTATGAAGTCTGCTTATACAAGAGGTAAAGCAAGATTGAGATCTGTGAGGGATATGTAGGGTGGCATGGGTGGCTAGTGCGTAAGGGCAATTCCACGGTTACTCACGTTACATTTTCGTAACAAGAGTAACCGATTTTGTGCGTCTTGTTTATCATACATAGCACATTTTTCTGGATGTCATCTTTGGTGCTTAGGTACATGTAGGTCTAGGTCTACTCTATCTACCATTGGGATAACAGTTATTAAACCTTTTCAGTAAGGTAATTACAGCCCAAGGAAACTCAAAAGTACATCAAAAATGTAACGTGAGTAACCGTGGAATTGCCAATAAGGTGCTCGCCTCTCAACACTGCGGCCCTGGTTCGATTCCATGCTTGGGTCATATGTGAGTAGAGTTGTTCATTGATTCCCTCCTGTGCCTCAAAGGTTTATCTCCCTGCCTCCTCCCCCCCCCCTTCCCTTTCTCTCTCCCCCCCCCCCCCCCCCCCCCCCCTTTTGACCTGGCTGTGCCCGTGGTAAGACATGGGACATAAGGTGGTTGCCTAAGGCACCTTTACATGTACAGGTGTATATGCCTTCAGCTTGACCACATTGTAGCTGCGTCCTCTGCAATTCAGTTTCTCAACTGCGAGCGAAATGATTAGCTCCCCCCCCCCTTTCCCCCCCCCCCAAAAAAAAAAAAACTGTTAAGATTATTTTCTTGAAAATGAATGTTGTCTCACAAATACATTTTAATTTTTGTCTTCTTGTTTATCTATCAGTTTTCCTTCATCAAATATGATCAAACCAGATTGGACATGTTCTACAAGTATAAACGATCCTTATCTAAAGTTGCCAGAAAGGGAGAAATTGTAGGATATGTGAAACATTCTCGATTCCTTCCGAGTGGTTTCTCAAAAGCTCAGTGACTTGCTGACTCATTATGTTCCAATTGGTTGACATTTCCCCCTAAAAATTAATTCATACGTGTAAGTTCAAAGCACTGCCTTTTTAATCACTTTTTGTTTTATCTTCATGAAATCTGTCTAAAGGAACTGCAAAAAGAGGAGAGAGGCTTAGGCAAATATTTGGTCCAACTCTTCCCTCTGATGAGTAAAACCGATGCCAGAAGTCACGTACCCTATTTTATGTTCAAGTCCAAAATTGTCTTGACGTGCCAATTATCCCCGGGGTCGTGAAATGAGGTGCAGTTTACAGTTCCAATTAACAAGACTTTCCCATGTTTACATGAGCCGCCACGTGCGCGTGGTCGCGGGCAAGCTTTTCTGGTTTCCTCAATTTATCCAAGATTGGCGCTGATGTCGCGATTTGCAGGACATTGCCATCAATCAAAATTTAGGTCCCAGACGGAAGAATTAAAATATCAAAAAAACTTGAAAAGGTTTTGAAAGGTTTTGTAGAGGTTTCAAGAAGAGATTGCTGTTCTTTTTGACCAAAACCAAATGTTAGACAAACGAACGAAATGTCAAATATCCCATGGGTCAAATTTGAGGTTGCAACACGCAGCCTATATTAATAAAACTTTACGTGACTACAGTAATCATTACATAGTGTTTGAGACTTGTTTGATCTAAAATGCGTAAGTAACTTGCGCAGCAGTCAATGGGATATATGGGTCATTCCACCGGGTTGGGGAACAATGTGTGACATATGACCATATTAAGAAAAGCATGAATGCCTTGCTAGCAGTTGCTCCACATAATATTTGCTGTTGGGTGTTTCACTACTGCAGAAACTTTGAAATCATTTCAATGTATTTTGCCAAAAATATTAGCATAAAATGTCATTTTGGAAGTAACATTAACACCGTGTCAGTGTTACGTCCAAATATGATATTTGTACCTTCTTTTTTAAATTTCTGCGAATCATTACCCAAATTCATTTTGCGTACTTTTTACTGTAGATGCAACACAATAAGAAAAGCTTTTGTTACGGTAGTCAGGTATCAAATGGAGCAGATATGATTGCTTGGTTGTGTGGATGTAACATTGACATGGTGTAAAACCCAAATGTCACACTTCCATTAAGTGATTTTTACACCGTTACATCCACACTTGAGGTATTGTTTCTGCTATATTTGAACCCTGACTATACCAAAACAAAAGCTTTTCTTGGTGCTTAGGTGTCCAGATGTAAATATGCAATGTCAGTTTGGGTAACATTTTACATACGTGTAAAAAATGGCAAAAAAAGAATATTTGGATGTAACATTTACACGGTGTCAGTGTTACGTCCGAATTAATACATTTTTGCTCATATTTTTGTCAAAATAGTTTCAAATAGTTTCAAACTTTCTCAAGTACTGAAACACCCTAACACAAATATTATGTTGCGCAATTGTTTAGAATGCATTGATACTTTGAATAACATAACCAAATATATGGATGTAACATGCACTGCTTCCCAACCCGGTGGAATGACCCATGTACATGGATGTGTTGTACAGTTACGGGCAAAAGGGCGAGGCAAAGCCTCTTCCATTCGTTAGTAAGTTCATTCACAAGTCTGCTCACAGTGCATGAACAATAACAAAAAACATGCCTTTTTCAGAGATCATTTTGATAGCTTGTGACGAGACTTAAGACTTGATGACTTGTGATGGACTTTATATGATGACTTGTGATGGACTTTTGATTGACTTGTGATGGACTTGTGATGGACTTGTGGTTGACTTGCGATGGACTTGCGATGGACTTTTGTTGGACTTGTGATTGAGTTGTGATGAACTTGTGATGGACGTATGATGACTTGTGATGGACTTGTGATGGACTTCACTTATGATGACTTGGGATGGATTTGTGATGACTTATGATGACTTGTGATGGACTTGTGATGACTTGTGATGGACTTGTGATGACTTGTGATGACTTGTGATGACTTGTGATGACTTGTGATGGACTTGTGATGACTTGTGATGGACTTGTGATACTTGGGATGGATTTGTGATGACTTGTGATGACTTGTGATGGACTTGTGATGACTTGTGATGGACTTGTGATGACTTGTGATGGACTTGTGATGACTTGTGATGGACTTGTGATGGACTTATGATTGACTTATGATGACTTGTGATAGACTTATGATGACTTGTGATGGACTTATGATGACTTATGATGAACTTGACTACAACAAGCTTTCTTTCTGTTCAAACAAAAATTGATTTTATGGTTACTTTATTAGTAAATTCCTGTGTGCTTCATTGGAACAAGTAATCCTAAATGAAGTCGCAACAATAAAAGAATAAATTTCTCTTCCTGGCTTGTCTCATCACCAGATGATGAGAGTAGCGACGCCTACTCCGAGCTGACCTCTGCCCTCGTGGGTCATGACCCCACACTTGACCTGGTGGACCTGGCAAGCACGCCCTCTATCAGCTCAATAGAGTTAGACGCTGACCTCCTTTGAACTTTTGCCAGTCGTAATTAGATGTATTTTTGTATATTTGTGTGTTTATTAGAGTCTTTATCTGCATGTAGATTGTAACTCTTATTAGCCGAATTGCAACAAAACAAAGTTTGTGCCAATCTTTCCAATTATATTTATGATCTGTGTTTTATGATCAAATATTAACAGCTTTATCAAAGACAGGAAATGAAATGAATAAGATGGATGAAAGACCAATTAATATGAAGACAGTAGCAACAAGACCTGTTCATAATTCACGCGAAAAGCGAAGCAGATTTCATGACGTCAACATATGAAGTTTCATTTGTGACGTTCTCCGTACAAATTTGCTTTGCACCGACATTCGCATGAACTATGAGCTGACCACATACTGAGAATTTGGTTGGAAGTTTTTCTCAAAATTTATTTAACTGAAACCACTTGGACTCATCTATGGTTTTCAATTGACATTTTTGCAATATTTTTAATGGCATCAGGACTGTAGATCTTGTTTTTGTAGCTCAAATGTAACTTGTTTGGACAGGTCAATTTATTTTGGTTGTTTTATTGTGAAAATGTAAATTTGTGAATTTGAATACTTTGCAAGAGTGCAGAAACAGCACAGCGTGAATTAACTATTTCTGTGACTAAAAAGTAGACAAAGCATATGTCTTTTTTAAAACTCAGGTTGTTTTAAGTTTGTAGCACATAATATTTAGCTGTCTGTAGTTCTTTTTTGTGACATTGTGTATCTTAAAAGTATTTTTGTACTGTCATAGTGTGATAAGTGCCAGTTTGTACTGTTATGTTTTGCCTTTTTAATTATCACAACTCCTTAGTAACATTTTTTTAAGTAGTTTGTCATTCCAATTAAGTTCCAATTCATCAATATTAGTGCACTGTGTATTCAACTATTGCCTTTTGAGAATTCACAAACTGTATGCCCTCTGTGAGTGTATATGTTTTATGTGCACTTCTCACCATCCATTAGCCCATTGACAGCAAAGATCAGAGGATTAACTGAGATATTTTACAAATAATGACGCATGCATGAATGTATCAAGAAGACTTTTTGATATGTCATTGCACAGTTATTTTTGGCATTTGAGGCCAAGGCCAATTTCGTGAAGGTACATGCACAGAAAATAGTTGCTTAGCTAGAACAGAATACCAACCAAAGTGTATGCAATGCTTGTAACTAAAGCCGCGGCTGGTTCCCATGCCAGCTGGGCCCAATTTCATATGTCTCTGCTAACCACAGTATTCCTCGCTTACCATCACCATTCTGCGCTAACCCTGTAAGCGCAGAATCCTCAGTTATGGGATGTACATGTATGCAAGCGCACAAGGCAAAATTCCTCGCTAACCCATGAAATACGTTTACCGTAAGCACAGAATTTTCTTTTGGTTGGGATTTTTCGCAACGGTAAGCAGAAACATGAAATTGGGCCCTGATCTTTGCTAAGCGCATAATTTGAGAAGCAAAATATTCTGCCTTGAAACAGCTTTATAATAAAGTTGTCCCAGATTCCAAAAATGAGTTTAAGCAGCACTTCATTTTAGAGTTATAAAAACACGTACACATTCTTATGAATATGGTCATTTTATGTGTAGCGAAAAAAGTTGATGGTTTCTGCGTATGGTTTGGTCCTAATTAGTTATAAATACACGTGGAAGGTGTTATTGCAAGAAGCCAATGTTTAACAGCTAGGTTCAAGTTGTCTGAAGGCCATTAATTTCACGAGGAATTATTGATTGACTATTTAGGAGCAATTTAATTGCCAAATACCTACAGAAGTAAATGCCATAAATACTTGTGTGACAAAATAAGGCGCATATTGTGTTGTATAAATCATTGTTGGTTATGCTGTGTGTACAGGCAATTTATAGCGACACGGACCATTAATTTTTACTCTCATTTTCTGCCCGACCAGCAACAATGCATGCTTCCAAAATGACTCGGCAATAATTGTACAGCATCTGAACCCACCAGGCTTTATTCATCAGAAAGTGCAATTGTTTTTAGATTTCTGACTTTGGCCGAGTATAATCAAACATAAGCTGAATCCACGGGTCGACTTGCTTTGTGGACTTGTTACAGCAAAAACCTAATCATATCCAACAAGGTCTAGTTGTTCACGCGTGTACTAGGTCAGTCTGATACTCTCTGGGATGATTCAGCATTGTTATAAGGGCTAACACTTGCCGGTCGTGAAAGGGCGTTTTCAACATCCAGGGGCTTTTGTGCAAATACCAGGACAAATCCCCCATTTCTGCAACGTCACGCCAGTGTCGCACTCAATAACACAGTGCGGGTAATTGTTGGGACACTGGAAATCCCTGCACTGCCTCTGATCTTCAAAGCCTCCGTTGTACTGATTTTGTTCTTTATATCAACAGCCAGTCGATGCAGTGCATGTTGGCTGTCTTTTCACTGGTTTATCTGTCTAGGCTGTTCTGCATTATTAACTTAAGAGATTATTTGTAGAACAAGGGAGCTGTCTTGATTGTTAATTCCCCCCCCCCCCCGCCTTACCCCTCCCCCCCCCCCCCCCCCCCCACGTTTGACCTGTCTGACCCTCCAATTTACTTTATACACTTAATTTCCTGCTGATTATCCATGTCATGGCTTGTACCACAATGTCATAATCGACACTTCTAAGTTTAGCTTTTTTGGACTGCTTTGGTTTTATGTTGTCTGAAAGGCCATGGCCTAATTACCTATGTATTAAACCTTTGCCAGAAAAAAAGTGAACCCAGGTAGTTATTCCTATGCACTGAAATAGCTCAAGAAACAAATTTGTGGTTTTTGTGAGCTTTGTGTACAGACATTCCACTTGTGCAAATATGGATGAGCTACAAAGAAATTTGTTTGAACAAACCTAATGCGCTTATAGGCAGCTCCTACCATTTGCACAACTGTATACATGTATAAAGTTTAGGTCAGTTCCTATTTTTTAATCCCCAGAATGTTTTTTTTGCTGATTCATCCTTGCATTCATTGCATGGGTTGTTTCTGTTCAACCATTTTATAGCTCTGTAATTCATTTGACAGCAGTTGCTCATTTCTTAAAATTGGCCAGTTGAGTTGTATGGACCAGTTGCAGAAATGTTCAATCCAAATTTTGAAATCATTAAATAGTGCATAGATTATATTAATAATATTTTTATTTTCTTTTGCGGGGGGCAGTTTTCTTGACCCATTTGTCGAAGAGGTCCCTAAAGAATTCAGTCAGCAAAAACATGTTTTTTCTCTGGCTTAAGTATAGTTAATTATACATTTAATAGAAAGAGAACTCACCAACCCCCAAATTCTGTCAATCTTTTCAAAATTCCAAGGGTTAAGCTCATCCTTTTGAACTCGAACGTTTCAAATTAATGTTTGTCACAAATTAATTTCCTAATGCGGAAAGCGTCATGTTGATTAAAAATGTGCCAAGAATTGATCATTTTGAAATTCCACAATCAGTTTTTGCAAGGGGTAAACCTGATCATATCAACAAAAAAAGAAAATTACCAAAAAAATGAAAGCACAGTGTAAACCTATTTATAAAATTATTTTAACACATCAGAAATGGCAATTTCAAACATCAGCCCCAATTTCATTTTTCCCATTTTTTTTTTTTTTAATGATTTTGCAAGGGGATAACCTTGTTATTTTTAACAAATAATGGCTTCTTCAAACTTTCAACTGAAAAGTAAATTTGCAAGGGGATAACCTTGCTATTTTTAACAAATAATGGCTTCTTCGAACCTTCAACTGAAAAATAATTTTGCAAGGGGCTAACCTTATATTTTTAACAAATAATGGCTTCTTCAATTTTTCAACTGAAAAGTAATTTTGCAAGGGGATAACCTTGTTATTTTTAACAAATAATGGCTTCTTCAAACTTTCAACTGAAAAGTAATTTTGCAAGGGGTTAACCTTGCTCTTTTTAACAAATAATGGCTTCTTCAAAATTTCAACTGAAAAGTAATTTTGCAAGGGGATAACCTTGTTATTTTTAACAAATAATGGCTTCTTCAATTTTTCAACTGAAAAGTAATTTTGCAAGGGGTAAACCTTGTTATTTTTAACAAATAATGGCTTTTTCAAAATTTCAACTGAAAAGTAATTTTGCAAGGGGTAAACCTTGTTATTTTTAACAAATAATGGCTTCTTCAATTTTTCAACTGAAAAGTAATTTTGCAAGGGGTAAACCTTGTTATTTTCAACAAATAATGGCTTTTTCAAAATTTCAACTGAAAAGTAATTTTGCAAGGGGTTAACCTTGCTCTTTTTAACAAATAATGGCTTTTTCAAAATTTCAACTGAAAAGTAATTTTGCAAGGGGTAAACCTTGGTCTTTTTAACAAAAAATGTTTTTTTCAAAATTTCAACTGAAAAGTAATTTTGCAAGGGGTAAACCTTGTTATTTTTAACAAATAATGGCTTCTTCAATTTTTCAACTGAAAAGTAATTTTGCAAGGGGATAACCTTGTTATTTTTAACAAATAATGGCTTCTTCAAACTTTCAACTGAAAAGTAAATTTGCAAGGGGATAACCTTGCTATTTTTAACAAATAATGGCTTCTTCGAACCTTCAACTGAAAAATAATTTTGCAAGGGGCTAACCTTATATTTTTAACAAATAATGGCTTCTTCAATTTTTCAACTGAAAAGTAATTTTGCAAGGGGATAACCTTGTTATTTTTAACAAATAATGGCTTCTTCAAACTTTCAACTGAAAAGTAATTTTGCAAGGGGTTAACCTTGCTCTTTTTAACAAATAATGGCTTCTTCAAAATTTCAACTGAAAAGTAATTTTGCAAGGGGTAAACCTTGTTATTTTTAACAAATAATGGCTTCTTCAATTTTTCAACTGAAAAGTAATTTTGCAAGGGGTAAACCTTGTTATTTTTAACAAATAATGGCTTTTTTTAAAATTTCAACTGAAAAGTAATTTTGCAAGGGGTAAACCTTGTTATTTTTAACAAATAATGGCTTCTTCAATTTTTCAACTGAAAAGTAATTTTGCAAGGGGTTAACCTTGCTCTTTTTAACAAATAATGGCTTTTTTAAAATTTCAACTGAAAAGTAATTTTGCAAGGGGTAAACCTTGTTATTTTTAACAAATAATGGCTTTTTCAAAATTTCAACTGAAAAGTAATTTTGCAAGGGGTAAACCTTGGTCTTTTTAACAAATAATGGCTTTTTCAAAATTTCAACTGAAAAGTAATTTTGCAAGGGGTAAACCTTGTTATTTTTAACAAATAATGGCTTCTTCAATTTTTCAACTGAAAAGTAATTTTGCAAGGGGTTAACCTTGCTCTTTTTAACAAATAATGGCTTTTTCAAAATTTCAACTGAAAAGTAATTTTGCAAGGGGTAAACCTTGGTCTTTTTAACAAAAAATGTTTTTTTCAAAATTTCAACTGAAAAGTAATTTTGCAAGGGTTAAACCTTGTTATTTTTAACAAATAATGGCTTTTTCAAAATTTCAACTGAAAAGTAATTTTGCAAGGGGTAAACCTTGTTATTTTCAACAAATAATGGCTTTTTCAAAATTTCAACTGAAAAGTAATTTTGCAAGGGGTTAACCTTGCTCTTTTTAACAAATAATGGCTTTTTCAAAATTTCAACTGAAAAGTAATTTTGCAAGGGGTAAACCTTGGTCTTTTTAACAAAAAATGTTTTTTTCAAAATTTCAACTGAAAAGTAATTTTGCAAGGGGTAAACCTTGTTATTTTTAACAAATAATGGCTTCTTCAATTTTTCAACTGAAAAGTAATTTTGCAAGGGGTAAACCTTGCTCTTTTTAACAAAAAATGGCTTCTTCGAACTTTCAACTGAAAAGTAATTTTGCAAGGGGTAAACCTTGTTATTTTAAACAAAAAATGGCTTCTTCGAACTTTCAACTGAAAAGTAATTTTGCAAGGGGTTAACCTTGTTATTTTAACAAATAGTGGCTTCTTCGAACTTTCAACTGAAAAGTAAATTTGCAAGGGGTTAACCTTCCCATTAAAAAAAAATGGCCCTTTAAAATTCTCAAAATTACTTTGAAGGGGGTTAACCTTATCTTGGGGAAAATATGCCGACTTTCACAATTGTAGAAAAAGTTGTTTATTGTTAAATATGTTAATCATTCTGATTTAACTGCCCAAATTTCATCAACAAATGAATTTGTAAGGCTTAATGTTATCCTTTTGAAAAAAAAAATTAATCTTAAAACTTAATTTCGTTTTGCATATATACTCATTATTTTGAAAAAAAAACTTTGTTTCTAAATTTTACCAAAAAATTGCTATTTCAAGATTCATCACAAATTTAATTGTGTAAGGAGTTAACCTTGTTCTTTTCTCTAAATGTATGCAGTATAAGAAATTATTCAACACTTTCAGCTCATATTGATTTGTGGACTTAGGGATTACATAAAGTAAACAAAACAAAAAAGAAAAGAAAAAAGACAACAGCTCATTTTTTTCTCAATGATACATGTTTATTGACATATACACAACATCGAATCTCTCTTTGTCATGTTGCCTTTTAAAAACAAAAAGCAGTTATTTTGTCCCAGTGGATTCACCAGCCAACACATATGGTGAAAAAAAAGGTTAAAGTTTTTACAATTAATGAAAGATCTTGAAAATAAAGACCGAAGGATCGTTAACAATTCCATTGTTTTGGATAACTTAAAAATCCCGCATCAGATGTTGGGAGGAAAACACTTGCATTTTCTGATTTTTTTTTTTCAAGGGAACAGTAAGAATCTCTGCATGCTTTATTTGCATGAAATTTGTACATTGTTCTTAATTGCTTTCTTAGGGAGCACTTGAGTAATTTAAATAATTTTAAAAACCCCATTGTTTTGTAACATGCCAGACAGACAGATTCCAGAAGGGGTTAGTCCCAGACTTTTTTTTGCATGCCCAGTTTTTATCCCAAAAAAATTTGTAGGGAACTTAGAAAACGAGCGTTCAATGATTACACTTCTACTAGCTCACAATCTGGCATTATGATCAACCCACATTAACACAAGTTTATTCTGTTAATTACCATGGTAACTGGAAAATCTCTTTAATGGATCTATGTTGAGTAACCTCAATTTCAAACAGAGCATTTCATATACACAGTATACATTTGCCATACTCGTGCAACAGACGTCTTCTCATGTCTACATGACTGATCATTCTGGATATGAAAAGAAATTGCTTGATAATGTTAAGACCATGAGAAACACCACCAAAGATTAAATGCATAACACATGGTATTGTTCTCTACGTTTGAGAATTATTAATAAACGGTTACCGTTCCACTTAAAAAAACAAACCAGGATCCGTCACCCTCAAAATACACACATAAAACAGACTTTACAATTAAATAGCATAATTTTATCAAAAACCGTTCAGCATCTTTTTTTTTCTCTTCTGTATTTACATGATGATGCTAGTAGCATCACAACACAGTCACAGGCAAGCATTCTAAGAAGGCAATAATTATGTATACATGTACATAAATATGTACTTTGAAAACTCAAAAAAACTTCACGGTTATGTACAATTAGGTTTATATTTTACATGTATTAATGTGCACACCCAAAAAATGGACAGTAAGTCCAATGAGGTATATACATGTACACATTTGACATTTTAACACAAATCCCCCTTTTCAGGTCTGTTATTGGTGGTTTTTGTGACAAAAACAGACTTGCCAGCCCGTTAACACAGCTCATTGAAACTAAAATGTCAACTACAGCCTCTACAGGGACAAATATAACATCAAAGAAATTAAATACTGTATTAGTGTGTATATATTAAACATCAAGCATTATGTGAATTGTTCTGAATAGAGCAAGTTGGAAACTATCAAAACCACAAATGACGTCTTCTTTTTGGTTGCGGTAATATTACAGACAAGCGTGAGTGCTCGGACAAAAGGCTCCAAACTGCAAAGTCATCCACATCGATTGAGGCGGAACAAAGCTCAAGGTTCGACTGACAAGTAAACACAACAGTATGCTCCCTTTTTGCTTAAATCTGGAGAATAAAAAACTGGCCTGGGTCCAATTTGGCACACAAAATGCTTAGCAGAACAGGCTACTTGGAGCATTTATGAGCAGGCAATGGGTCATTATCGCTATCATTTCGTAACTTGTAAAGCAAAATGTCTCGTTGCTAAGCACATTGCTGTGCTGAGCAGCACCATAGTGACTCAGCCGTGGGTTGAATGATAATCGATCTCAACGATGACGTACATCTATAAAATTAGTCAGTAACCATGATATTATCTTTTTTTATAGGTGTGATCAAAAGTGTGGTCACCTGATGTTGAGCCGCATATTATGGGTACACATACAAGTGTATTGTTTGTACAGTGTTTCTTTTTAAAGACTAGTACACGTAGATGAATTGTAGCAAAGGCTAAAGGTGGTGCATTAAGTCAATGAAAGGGTTAGGCAAAGTTTAGGAGGTTAAGAATTGAAAAATAGAATTAGCTGTTGCAAACTGCTTACCAACCAAAAGGACCTATGGTATAAATGCAAAAAAATAGTTAGTGGCCTGACGTTTCGACCCTAGCAGAGTCTTTCTCGAAGGCCTTCGAGAAAGACTCTGAAAGACTCTGCCTTCGAGAAAGACTCTGCTAGGGTCAAAACGTCAGGCCACTAACTATTTTTTTGCAGGTTAAGAATTGGACAGAGTTCGGTGCACGTGATTACGGATGTTGAGTTTTCAGAATCTACATTTTACGAAAATCTACATACAATAAATAGGACTAAAACCCACCCAATATACATGTATTTAGGTGCAGATTTCTTGAAGTTAAAGGCCACGGACGGGACTTTTCTGTATCCCATTTGTAAATATTAAATATATTGCATCTCCTTGTTAAGTGCAATTAATGAACAAAATTAAATGAAAATCTGGTTCAATGTACAAGTCCTGAATATCTCTACAAAATGTTTTAAGTTACCATTTCATTGCATGGGTCCTTTAAAGGGAATATACATCATTTGCTTTTGCTGTAATTTTCAGAAATGGATGGAATTGGGGGGTTGGAAATATAAAGTAAATATAGTTTCACTGACTTTTTGGAGGTTTTGGGTTCGAAAATGCTATAAAAACTAAGAAAAACGATCATTTTCCTGTAGTCTGGTTCCCTGACTCCATATAGGAAGAAACAGAGCAGTTTACATACATTGGGGAATTGTAAGGTCAGGGAACCAGTCTAGCTGGCCCGTACCCGTTCATAGGTTTGTAATCGATTGCAAACAAGTGCAATGGTCAATTGGGGCATGTATTTGAAAAAAAAAAGCCAGTTGTTTCCAACGCTGATCGGCCGATCAGCGTTGGAAATTGATACAAAAATACCACTTTTCTTGAAAATGACAGTATACCAGGTGCCATAATTTTACAGGATGCTTTAGACTGTCATTTACCAACATCCTATTAAGGTATTTCGCAAAAACTTGGTAGTTTTATTTTTCGATGTTTGCAAATGTTGTATATTCCCTTTAAGTAACACAAAACACCCGATTACGAATACATAAGAAAGTTTCTTTTTTTAAGATATGAATGTAATTCACCCATACATATACATGTACATGGGGTTTAATACAATAACATTCCACCCACATTTCTTGCGTGCATGGTTTAACAACTCCTCCGACTCTAATACTGAAAGTACACAAACTCCAAAACTCAGAAAAACTGAAGTTATTTCTGACAAGCCATACTGAACAAGAGCAACAACACAGACAGACAATCATACATGAAAATGGAATGGAAAAAAAACGTTGAGACTAATTCTACGAGAGTTATTACATGCAGTTCGTCAAATCCATGTACATACCCTGTTTGTATTGTTTGCGGCTTCACACGTGTACGCAAATTGTTACACTCGTTGCCTCAAGCCTAAATTCCAAAGGATGGATTGGCCATGAAATATACACAGGATTTTGAAGGCTCTCGGTATTCAAATCAGCAAAGGAATATGAAATGCAGATGTCTGGGCTTATCAAGCTACAGCACCATTTTAATCATTGCATCAGCGTCTGAAACTACTACAATTTACTTCACTGTATCTTCTTACACACAACCAAATGAAAGATAACTACATATTGACCCTAACCACCCCAACCCTTCAAAATCCAACTGCATGTTTTGTTGGAATCTGTTGGAGTGAGTACTGCACTAGTAAACTGATTATGCTTTACATGGGGTCAGGCATACCACCATAATCAGAGCCCAACAGGTTGGGTGTTGAGTTTGACATATGGTGTTGGATTTTGCAAGAGTGAGGAAGGTTCCTAGTAAATCACTCAAGGGGGTTAGGGTTAATCACGATTATATAAAAACAGACTATTTTGTCTCACAGTTTCAATTTGAATAGTTCACATGTATCAGGGTGTGGGTAATATGTTGTTGCAATCACTGGGGTGAAGTAACTAGATATGACATAAATGCGTATTACTAAATGTTCATTTTTTTAAACTCTTGGTTAATTCCTTGAAACTTTTGGTGGTAACTAGATCGTCAGGAGGAACATTTTACGTTGCCTGGTGATGCTCTGAGTATGGTGCCTGAAACGTCAAGCTAACGGCTCGGGTTCCTGTCAGAAACACTTCGCAGTGAGAGATGATCGCTTGACAGGGTTATCAACAAAACATCTTCAAGATGCAATTGCCCAAAATGGCATTTAACACATTAGTCCATGCACTGTTCCAAACTGTCCTGCCTGTTACTCCCTGTACCGCACGTAACCGCCCAAGCACTGAATGGTTTTATGGATACACCGAGGAATAAATACAATGTAGTACAATGTAATACAATGTAATACAATGTAGTACAATGTAGTACAATGTAGCACAATGTAGTACAATGTAGTACAACGTTATACAATGTAATACAATGTAGTACAGGTGTGAACAGTTTAACATTCAATTTGCAATGCAGGCAGGAGATTATAACTGTCTTTTCAGAGGATGAACTCACAGAAATAGGAAACAAACTCCATGTTTATGTACAGGTGGGATTCGAACAGGGGGAACAGAAACTGTGGCGCAGCTCTGAACACAACAACAGTCTCCAGTTGCAAGTGGTTGTCACTCATGGGGGTTACAGGTTACAGGGTGTGGCTCAGCTGGCAGTGGTCAGAGATCGGCAGGGGTTATTGTTACCGCAGGTGGAGCACGGCTCCATTCCTACGGCCACTCCGGCCCCGCTACGGCCGCTGCTCATGTTGGTGACCAATGACCACTGGTTGGTGTCCGGGTCGTAGCATTCCACGGATGATAGGAAGTCTTGACCGTCGTAGCCACCTGAAAAAACAAGCAACACATTGGGAGTAAAAAGTTAGAACTGTGTTTTAAAAGCAAATAACAACAGAAACACATTGCAAGGAACAGACACCGTTTCAAAAGCAACAATTTGCAAAGGGTCAGCCCTGTGCCGTAAAAGCAACACTTGCAAGGACTTAGAGGAACACACTGCAAGGAATCAACGGTGTTGCCAAACGAACCCATTGCAATGAATCAGTGCTTTGTTGTAATCCATTAACACATTACAAGAAATCATTATGGACAGATACACTGCATGCTATCCCAGCGCGCTTGTGACCGCTGCAGTGGCTATCCTGGGTCACAATCAAACAAATTCTGTCGGTGGTGGCTCATAAATATTAGAGGTCACCAACGCAACTTTGGCAGTGGGTACCAGGGAATATACACCGCCTCAGACTGGTGTTACAGAATCGCATTGAACCAAATAGTTTCAGGATAAACTCAGGTCAACCCAATTTGATTTTGTATTAATTTTTTTGATTTGAGAGACTGTGGAGTTGTTCTGATTGATTGCAACAGTTGATCTCTCAACGTAGTTGCTACTGTTTCAAATGGCTAATTTTTCACTTAGTTGATTCAAATATTTTGGTTCGGCACGACTCTGGAATGCCTTTTCAAAACGGGTGATACACCATTACGAGTGTCCGTACCTAATGCGTAGACTTTGCCGCCCACCACATCCACGCTGAGGGCGCTTCGTCTGGAGTTCATCGCCGCGACAAATTCCCACTTGTTCTTCTCCGCGTCGTAGCGTTCCACGCTGTTGAGCTGACTCGTGCCGTCGTAGCCACCCACTGCGTAGATGTAGTTTTGGATGCTACACACTCCTGCACAAATACCACAAAAAAGGGAGAAAATTTCATTAGTGAAATTTACAAGAAGAAATTGCCTGTCAAAATACTGTCACATTTACAACAAATTGAAGACCAATTGTAAACACAGGCTCCAAGTTGCCACGAGGAAATTTATGCACTAAGCGTACAAAACTTAAAACCAGTCACAAACAGTATTCCATCCCCTGGCGATTTGGCTGATTTAACCCTGTTTTTTACCCTAACCTTCCAAAGTACTCTTCGCAAAATACAGGATTTTGCAGGAGGCTGTGTGGCAAAAATGCGTGGCTGATTTTGGAGGATGCACTGTGTCAAGGTCTTGGGCAGGACCTTGTGTTGCTTATGCTCAGCCGTGCATAAATTTAGTTTCATCATGACAATGCCTTTTATCACTTCCTCAAAACGAACACTATCTGCTGAGCTGAGTTTCAACGGGTCTGTTATTAAATGGCCGCTGGGCTTGTTTGGTTCGAGGAAAATGACTCCATTGCAATGGTGGTTTCATTAAACCCAGACCTCGGAAAATATATTTACACAAGAATCGTGGAAATTGTCCCAGAATTTAAGAATGTTACAATCATTTGTAGTTTATGGAAATCAGGAAGTGATCTGAAATATCTGGAACTGATATTGTAAACGTAAATTTATGTATTGTACACATTTAGTGTTAACATACTGTACATGCATCTCTGTTGAAACATTTAGGGGGAAATACGGTAGCTTCATGTTTTATGCAGCCCAGGGTTTACATGTAAAAACAAGACAATCAAAAAGAGGCTGGATAACAAACCTACAATAAACAGCAATGAATATGAGTGGCTGAATATGAGGATTAGTAAATGATAAGGTTCCATAAATACCCAGGCACTTTAACCTCATGCAATGATCATCAACTTAAAAAAAAGGGTCAAAGATCGCTGTCAATTAAGACAAAATGAACTTTGGTCAAGGACATGTATGTACATGTACATGAATGCACACATGTACATTGTACATTCACGTGCATGTACATGTACAATGCATGTGTGCCTGCTTACAATTGTATAAATGCAACATTAAGACAAACTGGGAAATATTTTTGCACGTGTAATTCTGTAAGCATATGGACATACCGGTACCGATGTACGAATGTAGGGCTATTATACATGTGAGCAATACACATGCTAATTTCAAAGTGGGGAGACAGGTTTTGTGGGGAGCAGATGTTACGGGTATGGTTGAAAGTCGTCACAACTTAATTCTAATTTTCTTAACAATAACTTCCCCACTCACGCCATCCTTGTCTGGGCATGAGCATATACATATAAACAGGACTGTGGACAATGAGCAAAGAATGCAAACCTAAACGGAGATCACACAAACCCCTAAAAAGACTGGAAGTATCATGTGAGTCTGTGGCATTGACTCATAGGTAACTCCAGCATGAATCGCATCTTGGACCCATGTTAGTCACGGCCCGATGGAAGGAACGACACGCCAGTCTCACCTCCGTAACGACCCTTCAAACTGTCACTAGTCATTTCCAGGCTTGCCACTTAATTCTCAAGCCCTCTCTTAACCCCCTTCCTATCCCCCTCAACCCCCCCCCCCCCCCCCCCCCCAATACCACAATCTTGACAGTTTCCTCAGCACGGTTCTACAAAGTGGTTTATGACAGTAGACTAAATGATAGCTTGGCGCTGGGATACGTGAGACCCACAAACCCTGCAGGCACAGAGCGTGACCATTGTTATCACATCCTCCAAGTTGTCAAATGATGAAGATGAAAAAAAAAAAGCTACCGTTTATAGGTTGATGTATCGCTCAAGACACTCAAAGAGAGGACAGATTTTCCATTGTTCTCATATCATCAGCTGATGAAGTTGCAGTTGATATTTGGCAACTCATTGTGTAGCGAGTGAACAATTCAAGTCACAACTAGCAGACGATGAACACAACAGGGGAATGCCCCCTGTCAAAGGTGGTTTGAGTAACTTGCGACTTGACTTGAGATAGACGTCTTGTGATTGACTTGAGATAGACGTCTTGTGATGGACTTGAGAATGACTTGATCACAACTGTGTCCAAATGACACAAAGCAAAAACTAGTTGTCCATATCTATTTATTAACACTAACCCCAAGCACTTTTGGCTAGGAACCATCATCAATCCAGCAAAATCCTCTAATTGCCACCATGTAAAAATTGGATTGAGCCTCAATCTTCCAAACTCATTTGATGACATTCAGAAGCAGTGTGGATGATATCGAGCATATTGCAAGGCTTCATTATGCACGACCGAACATAAACAATACTGGGTACAGCCTACGAACTCAACACAATGCATCCTCCAACATCAACCGCCCCTGTTTTTTCATTCAGCCTCAATCCTCCAAAATCCTTAAAAAAACAAAAAACCTGGAGGAGTTTGGAGGATTGAGGAGGGTTAGGGTTAACAGTTCTCCAGATAGGACTTTGAAAAAGGGACCTGATTGACGTCACGTGACAAGTGTTAACAATACATCACTCACTGATGATGTACAATGTAAGACTAACTGTAAGGGTCTTTGTCTGTACCAAGTTTCATTCGGATATGAGTTTCAATTGCCAAAAATGCTGGTCAGAAGAAAAAAAAGTGTCATAAATATTTTGCTTCAATTAAGATGTCATGTCTCTACATTTGTAACTCCAAAATTGTATTAATGGCCCAAGGACTTGTAAAAAGAATTTTTTTTATTTCAACTCCAGGTTACCAGACAGTCACTCACAATCACTGGCCTCGGTCTAGTAGTGCATAGTTTCACATGAACACTGTACACCCTTAAAGGTTGCCGGTCGTAAAATCTGATTCAAGAGTGCGCAGATTTAGCGACGCTGTGACGTCGCGGCAGACACGGACAGGAAGTTTTTGAGCGCGCTCGACTTGGCCTGGATGATACAGGCAATTAGTGTTGCCAATCGAGCGACTCAGCGATGACTTGACAGACATCAATAGTATATTGTGAATCACCCTGTATGACCGCATCCAAATTGCTTGGCTACGGCTAACAGTTATACACTAGTCTATGGGGAGAGGCTGTAGCCACTTCCATTGAAGCATGTGCAACTGCTAGCCATAGCCATGTCATTCAGACACAACTTGTTACAGGCAGTAACACAAATGTTTATGGGAAGTAGCTTGAGCCGCTTCCACAAAGCCATGTCTGCAAGCCGTAGCCAGCTTCTGAATTACTTGGCTGTGGCTGTCAGTAATACACATGTCTATGGGATGTGGCTTTAGCCCTATCCATAGCCGCATGAAATTGAAAATTGTAGCCAAGTAGCTCAGACACGGCTTGTGTCCCATAAAAAAAACACCCAGATTGTCTGTGCTACCGGGTATGTACCCTCCAAAATGAGAACAAAAATCCTCCAAACACTGTAGTGGACTTTACTAGTCTGGAGGTGTTAACGATAAGAATTAACTTTTTGGGGGGAGGGGGGGGGGGAGGGGGTGAATAAACTGACCTGCTCCACTGCGACGGGCTTTCATGGGGGCCACAATCGTCCACTCATCGTTCTCAGGATGGTAACACTCCACACTGTCTAGCCGGTTATTACCGTCGTAGCCGCCCACTGCGTAGAGCAATCTGTTGACAACGGCACAGCCTACGCCGATACGCTTCGTATGCATAGGAGCTATCATGGTCCACTTGTCCTCATCTGGGTTGTACCTAAAACATGACAGTATGTACATGTACCCATTACAACTTGTATTACATTGTATTACTTTGTGTTACAATGAAATACATTGTATTACATTGTATTTATTCTCTGATGAATTTCTTTAAAAAGCATAGAGTGCTTGGAGGGTTTGGGGCGGTACAGGGAGTAACAAGGCCATTTGGGGATTCATGAATGGGGATTATAGAGTGATGGAGAAATTAAAGTGATTTTTAAAACCCGTAAGGGTGCTTTATGTCCACTTTCAAGTGCTCTTGGACAGGACACACCGTGTACGCATACTGGTTCGCATACATATAGCGCACAGCACGGATGACAGCTGAATGTGCACAGCTGGTCATTATCAGCTACGGTACCTGGTTAGTTTTTATCCTCATCAAAACTCAAATTACAAAGTAATTTTGGATTTAAAATGACAAAGGAATGACTTAGTCACAATTGATAGGAGTAGCTCGTCACTTGACTCGTGACTAGACTTTCGATGTGACGACTTTATCCCAACCCAGTAGGACTGGGACAGCAAATCCGCTGCATTACTGAATCCAACTCAAAAATGCAAAACCAGGAGTACCGGTAGGTTTTGGCTTGATAGGAACTATGGGTTTCAATCATTTTATATCAGATGTGCCCTGGCAACAGTTTTGGTTAAACATTGTTAAAATCTGCACAATGTCTCACAAGGTCCAAGTTTGAACCCTTTCGTCAGCTGTACTGCCCCAAACCGCCCTGCCTGTTACTCCCTGTAGCGCCCAAAACTGCCCGAGCACTCTATGATTTTATTGATTCTTCAGTGAATAAACCCAATGTAATAGTAAAGGTGCTAATGGATTTAAATATGAAATTAGAGGAAAAAAAAGCTTGGTTGATGATTACCTTTCAGCTGAGTTGTGTTTAGTGCAGGCTTGCGACCCACCGACAGCATACAGCAGTCCATCCAGTACCGCCGTGCCTACTCTGTTCCGCGGCACATTCATGGATGACAATGTTTTCCACTGATTTTTCAAGGGGTTGTAGGCATCCAGCCTATCAGAGTCTGTGTTGGCTTCGGTGGTGTTATTCCGACCACCGACCGCGTAGAATATCCCCGCAACTGTCGCAGCACTGAGTCCGCTGCGGGGCTCGATGAGATCGGCCAGTTTGTGCCAAGCATCGTCTTCAGGATTATAGCATTCCATGTTGACTAGGGATTGGCGGAGGTAGCCGCCGGCCGTGTAGATCACACAGGCTGAAATGGGATTCCGTTTGGGAGTCTTGCAGATTTTATGTAATCGCAGCTCCTGGAAGATCTTGGAAAGGAAGTCTTTGCATCGAGGCTCCCCTTTGAGGATCTCGCACTTGTCTAGTTGTTTCTTTAAGAAAGTCGGCGTCAGGTGCTCACAGCGGATGCCGCCACATCCTAGGAGTTTCTCAAAGCAAGGCCGTCGCTCGCCCTCGCTGTGCTGCACCCAGCGCAGACACGCATTGTAGACCTGAGATTCGCACCAGACGTTGAGTTTGTCATGTTTGATGAGCGCAACCAGCTGCACTAGCGTGAGGTTCATGAATTCCTCCGTTTTGGACACTTCGCAGAACTTGCGACAGATGAACTCTCGCGCTGCGGCATGCAGGGTCGTCAACCCATGCTGCTGGGCGTACGCCGATATGCCAATACAGTTGCTTGGGTCCAGCTCCTCTTGGAGAAACGTACAACAGCACTCAATGATATCCTTGATATCATACATGACGGCTTTGGGCAGAACGTTCAGCACGTTGTGCTCGTTGATTGTGATCTCTGAGGTATACATGAAGTCTATGATGGATGAAAACACACAGGGGTGGACATCCTTGAGCTCAATCTTACGTTTGCTGCACTCGTTGTATCCTCCCGTGAACATTGCCTTGAAGTAAGGGCTACAGGAGGCCAGCACGACCTTGTGGACGTTGAATTTGACTGTCTCGACCACCAGCGTCACATCGCACAGGTCTTTCTTCTGCCGTAACTCGTTCAGGACAGAGAAAGCGTTTCCCGGGTGGCGCGCGCTAGTAAACGTCATGCCCCCTCCGCACGTCCGACGGTGAGAGATCTTACTCTCCGAAGTCATTGAAGTGGTATCTAGGCTTGGCATAATGGGGGATGCCATTTCATGCTTACTATAAGAATCAGTTTAGCCACATCCGAGTGGTATGCCTCCATTACCTGAACCGGACGGCAGTGTGGAGGGAATGACTTCGCATGTCAGACGGTAACGCAGTGATCAACTCCTTATCTGATGAATCACCTGTCCGGGTAAAGACAAAAAATAGAACAGAGGAAATTAATAAAAAGAAAATCTGCATATTTCAATGTCTGTAACAACTTTCTGTGACTGCATGTAGACATAAATGTACAGCATAAGCCACAGGTTCTGTGCAGGAAATTGGAATTTAACCTTATTTGACCAAAACTCACGCTTTTTAACTTTGCCTTTATAGTCAGCGTCTTCATTCATCCAGAAAAGTGTTCACAGACAAAAGCTTCGACAAGGAACTGAACTGAAATTTAAATCATTTCCCACCTCCATTATTGTATGTACCGGTACTGCAAGAAGCTGGAAAACACAAGTGTGACAACGTAATTTCTGCTGAGAAATCTTTTTTAGATGAGTCATGCTCCATTCAAATGATCTCCAATCGGCCGCGACCGATAATCCGTGCGTGGGACCAGCCCCATTGAGAACTGACAAGCGAGTGACCAAACACAATGACTGTGGGGAAATTTCCCAGTAAAGAGTGCCTGACACAAAGGCACTCTATCTGCACTATCATGCCCATGGCAAAGAGTAAACTTGACATGCTTATTAACGGTGGGGCTACTGTTGTGGATCAACAGTCAACAGCTATTGTTGTGAAATGTACATACGTAGGTGCATTCCAATACAGGTCAATTTGCCTAATAATTTCATAATTCTTTTATGTGTGGAGAGCTACCCCTCCTGATCTGGGAAATGAACAATGTGTAGTTCAGACTGTGAGAAATATCAGGATTAGGGTACAAATGAACAGTGTGTAAGCACTTCAATTTCAGACCAGTTACCCCACACTGGGAATCAAGCTGGAAGGAAAAAAAACAGACAAACAAAACCAACTCAAGAGTGGGATTTTACTTTCATTTGATTACAGAAAAATGCATTTACGTATGACTGAACAAATATCTGATTATACGATGTGCAACAGTTCTAGCTTGCAGAAACGACAACCATTTTAGAATAACTTTTTTTGAAGGGCAAGAAATTCAGACAGGAGGTGAATCCAAATTTGCCAAATCTACATGTTTGCTGTCAACTCCAAAGAAACAAATGTATCGTTGCCGTCAACTTCAAGAACAGCTAAGAGTTTTTACCTGTAGACCAAAAGATGCATCTTCTGAAGCATTTCAATACCACAAACCACAAGAAAGTCAAATAGTTTACAAAATTAATATTCTTGCAAACAATGATAAAACTGACATGATAAACTGAACAGTAAAAGCATGGTTTAGAAAATGGAATATTACATGTACATCCATCCAGGGGTCAATTTTGTGTAGCTGCTATAACAGGCATGCAACTGGGAATTTAGAAAAAAAAAACAGGGAACTCCAAACCACACCAGATTTTGTACAGTATTTTCAATTTGTGAGAAGTAAAAAACGAGGAAATCAGCAGATCTGAGGAAAAGTTGCATGCCTGTATAAAGCACGGCAAATATTTTCGTAGCAAAAGCAGACTACCGGCCAAAATGTCACACTACATGCATGCATACATGTAGCTGTGTGCAACTGGTTCTCTGAAGACATTTGCTTAGCAGTGAAACTTGCTAAGCTTTGATGTTAATTATTATCTAATGACTGCATACCTAATGAGGAGAAAAAACTACGACCTAGTTATACAGCACGAGGCCCAACTACAAATCTCCTTGCTTGATGTGCATTCAAATGCATGCAGGGAAAAGCGTAATACGTACCGGTGGGGGCCTACATGTTAAGCAAGATTAATCGTGCAATGTGAGGTGATACCAGCGAGTTACTGTTAGCATCAAGACTTCAAGATGATGCCTCACAACTATTAAAATTGTTTAGATACGATGTGTGAAAGAGGACAATCAGCCCATGATAAGGTACACGTTGCGCAATCGTTTGTTCACTTTAAGTTCAACTAAGTGACCATTGTGAACTGTCCATCTCCAATGCCAACAAAACCCAACCCCAGCAATGAGATAATGAACTTACATTTACCACAGGATATGAGTTAAGAAACTAACAAGCTCAACAACCTTCCAGCACAGGTAGAAGAAGTGTCGGCCGTTTCACACATTAAGGCGAGAAGAGGATGTCTACTGAATTAGCCAAACAGATCCCCCGGAAAGCTCCCGGCTTAGAATCAATCATAATCCAATTGCTCTGGTTAACTTGAAACACACAAAAAAATTTGCCGAGAAGACGCTGGTCGGGCCCGGGTTGCCCGCACAGGGGAACAATCGCTGACTGGACTGGCTCTAGCCTTGCGCGGCTAACCTTATAAACCGCGGTCTCATCCTGGGGCCTGTACGCGGCCGGTACTGAAGCACAGGGGTCCTTGACAGACCATTAAAGAATAGGGGGCCGCTCACTGGGGTATATCACGGAAACACGCTATGATCTCCAACAAGTGACTTCAGCATGGTGAATTACCGCTGTGACCAGCGGCCCGGTGGTTCGGGGTTTTTTTTAGTGCAATCTCACCAGACGAGGGGTGGAGGGTTCGTGAGTGTGCAGAGCGTGTCCCCCATTGCTTGCCCGGTTGTTGACATGCCCCTAATTGGCCGCTAATCAGCTCAGGAAATCACTGCACCTTGTGAAAGCTGCAATCGGGCTTCCGTTCCTGATTCGCTTGTTTCGCTGTCATCATTACACTGCAAGAACGGGGCTTGATGTGAGGTCATGCACGCTCCATGTGCCATCAATCAGGGGGCTTACCAAACCCAACCATCAGCCGAGTGCAGGAGCCCTGTGCAGTCACAGCCTGCGCTCCAACAATGCAAAGACAATAGGCATCCACAAGTCTTCCAATGATTCATACTTGCCAAGTTCTGACCAACAATATTTAAGAGCACTGTGAAAATTGGCTGAAAACTAATCGCAAGTACATTGTACAAATGTATGGAAATCCTGTGGCAGTTTGGATGGTTACCAGACAAGCAATATTTTCCTGAGCTCAATTGATGCATTTAGCCACTCCCTGAAATAGACCAAGCCATTTAGCTCCACCCACTGGGCACATGGGCAACCAATGCGTGCGTCTACATTGATTTGAGTAACTCTCCGATGCCACACTGAATGTTCCAGCCGTGCACGTCATATGCGCATATACATTGTATATGCACGCATGTCAGACTTTTGTGGACGCATGTCAGACATTAATCGCAGCTTAGTAACTGGTCAAAACAGCATTGGGCAGGGCTTTACCCTAACCTTCCTAAATCCTGCAAAGTCCTCCAGGCAGTTTTGGAGGATTTTGGAGGATTGAGGATGAATGCACATTCAGTCCTGGTTGATTTTGGAGGATTGAGGATGAATGCAACATACAATTATGGATGAGTGTGGAGGATTGAGGATGAATGCACGTTTAGTACTGGTTGATTTTGGAGGGTTGAGGATGAATGGTGTTTTTGAAGAAGAGCATTTTGGGGGATTGAGGATGAATGCAACATAAAATTTGGAGGATTGCGGAGGATTGAGGGAACATGGATATTCAGTACTGGTTTTGAATGATTGAGGATGAATGGTGTCTGAAGAAGAGGAGGATTTTGGAGGATTGAGGATGAATGCATTTCGAGAGGCAGGACTGTCTGAGGATTTTGAAGGATTGAGGCAGTGGGTATCCTTCATTTGAACACTTGTGCAAAATTTTGGAGGATTCTGGAGGATTGAGGATGGTCCCTAGCAAAAAGGGCCTAAGGGGGGTTAAGGTCGGTCTATTGGCTTCAAGAAGATTGACCAAAAATCCATTTTCAGCTGACATCAACTACATGTACGTGCTACTGGTACACATGATGAAGGTGCAACAGACAGTGGGAACGTGGGAAACAAGACTTCAGTTCGTGACGATGATAAAATAACATTTATGAAAAAAATAATGTCATTCTTTAGATAACTTGCACTGCAGTCATCTTTGACGTGTGCTTCTTTCAACAGGGTTACGCATTCATGAGTAGACGTCTTGTGCAGTCACTGTTAATGAATTAACATAACAAAACACACCTCAAAGATGTCTGCTGAATGCAATCCATCTATTGTGGCACGAGTTAACCCTTCGAGAGGGCTGAAAAGCCACCAAATATTCCTAAAAACAAACCCCTTTAAATTCCAAGCCCAAAAATAAGTGCCCCCAGCATTAATGAATGAAATGAGCCGATTTCCTGCCTCCAATTACCCCGGTATCAAACGTCAGCAAAAATTTGCTCCACAAAGGAGACGAGGTTTGACTGGAGAGACAAGCCCGGCTAATTGAGTCATTTCATGACATCGCTGGCCGGTGCGTATTTTATTAGCGGTCTGGCCGGCCAATCAGCTGATTCTAATCAACTTACTGAGTCACTGCTGATTGGCTCAGGTTCAAATACGGTAGACGCTTTGCGCAGAGCGCCCCCACTTGCAGGGCTGTAGATGAAAGGGGAGGGGACTGGACACCATCTAAAAAGTCCAATGATCTTTCGGTGGGGGGGGGGGGGGGGGGGGGGGGGTTGTCATCCTCAACTGGTCATTTTTGTCGGGGGGGGGGGGGGGAGTGACACCCTCTAATGATCATGTTTGCCAGCAAAATTGTCCGTTCAACAAATACCGTAGCTACAACGAAAAGCGCCACCTGTGGTTGGTTAGTGTAGTGTTTAAGTTGGTCTGCTTTGAACAGCGCCCTAAATAGTAAGATTGTGTACAGATCCCCCCCCCCCTCCCCCCCCCCCCCTCCCCGTTACTAGGAAAATATTCCTGGCCACCTTCAACGGCAGATGTTCTGTCAGGAAACGTACCGGTAGTCTGGCAACGTCCCTGATCACTTTGGACAGTTTTTGTTTTTATAATTTAGTGACAATGGAAGTACGGTACACATCACAGAGATCTACCGGTGCACCAAGACCTACCGGTACATGTACAGTGGTGATGTCAGATACAAGGGCTCTATCAGTATCACACTTTTTATCAACGTTAAAATTACAATGGATATCAACACCTTTGTGACCAAAACTGTCAGGTCAGAAGCAGCTACACTGTACGACTCAAACACCT